TAAGCAGCCGGATGGGAGCCTTTCATGTATGCAAATCACACTGCATTGTTGTCCATGCATCACTTACATATGTATGAGCATCATACTAACGAGTTACAATTAAATAACTCCAACTTGACTGAAATCGGCTGAAGCTGCAGAAAACTTGAAAATTCACAGATCCATCTATGTAGGTTATAAAAGGCGACGTTTACGACATGCAGTCACGAATGGGAGTACGCCTGCATTTGCACTTGTGAGACCTTCTGGGTCAGTTTTGTTGAACAACAATTGCTGACTTATCTGCATAGATGTGTAGTGTGTGTGCATCTTGATTTCTCATTTTGGGATTCACATTGAACATTTCATAAATTAACTTAAACTTGTTTTCAAGTCAACACTCGCTCTTCCGAAAGAAATGTGTGCACATATTCCTCGTCAAACTGGTGATCACAGATTTCAAGGCTCCCTGCTATGTACATTACACGTTGGTCGATAGTCTGCTGCACTGGCGATGCGAGGCAGATGAGCATACAAACACAACCACGATGATCTCTCTCTCGGAGGCGGGGGCATACACGTAAAAAATCAAAGTCCGTCGTGTCACGTCGCAAGAGCACAAAAATTCCACAATGACGAAATACCTGTTGATTTGATGTGATATTTGGGGAAAATGAATCTGGTTTTGGTTTGATATCGAGGTTTCGATTTTTACGAGGGTGCAGGAAGGAAATTGAGGGCAACAGATACCAAAACTAGTGGACGCATGTTTTTTTTCGAATAAACTTGAAGACGCTGTTTTTCTTGCTGTTGGTGTCGGTCTGCAATTTAATCGTAGCATTTTATTCCCTCGAGCAACGACAAAGACTTCTCAAAGAAACCTCAGAGCCACGACTGCCCTGATCTCAATTTTATAAGAGCCACAATTTTCACTCTTGCAACCAGTCAAAATTTAGATTTATGTAGTAATTTCCCTTTCAGTATGCTTTGCAGTAGGCACAGTATTTATCGGGAGAGGCCACGCACGTGGCACTGGAGGAACGCATCGATTAGAGTTCTGCAGCATGAAATGAAATATTTGTGTCACCTCCTTTCAATACCGACTCCTGAATACCTCGTCCAATTTCAAGTTTTACTTTGCTACCCAAATAAATACCGCATAAGAAAAAAAGTGTGGGTTTTAATTTATACACAAGATTTAGCCGTATTTACAGGGTCAATCTGTGGCAAAATTAGTCAAGTGGATCCATCATCATTGGCAGCTTTCCTTAATCTGCTGAAAAATACGAGGCGCAAATTACTGCTTTCTACAGAAGTACATTCTATTCTACTGCGGTTTTCTGCAATTCTGCTTTCAGCACAGAAATCGCATCTTCATTGAGCAAAATCATTTCATTTTTGGTCCCATAACAGCCTCGTGAAATAAATGAAGGAATGGATGCTGTAAAGGAGGGAGAGGAAGGGATTGTCTCTGCACTGCTCGTAAATAAGCTGGCGTGAAAGTTGGGTGGACAGAAAATATTTCGACGAAACAAAGAGCATCGAATCATCCCCAATTTTGACTTGATGTCATGTGGATAAAAAACGCAGATCAAATTAATTAAAATATGAGAGATGAGTGACCACGAAGGTACTTGTATCTATTTAAGTATGCTTTCTGCAACCTCAAGCATCTGCAAAGCTCAACTTCAGGTCAGCGTTCTTGGCCACTTCTTGTAGTGCCCAGGGTTCGCACGACATTGGCTCTTAATAATATTGCCTATAGAGCTACGAAATTATGGAATACGCTGCCACGATCATGGGATTTTAATGTATCTTACACCCAATTTGTTATTTTATGTCGCGACTTTATAATTAATCAAAGGACAAATGAATGATATATATATGATTTTCATGAATTATTTAGTTGCCCTACTTAATTAATTAGATTAGTTTTAGATGCTTATAAAAAATATATGCTACTTGTGTCATGGTGTGTAAACCAATTTGTAATGAATTGATCTCTGTTGACACGTGAATAAAGGATTAACAACAACAACAACGAGGGCAAGTTTCTAATTTCTTCACCCCATCAACAATACATGCCTAACCAAGTAGCCGTCGCATATTGTTGGCTTTATCTTTTGGGGGAAACAGGTGACAAATCTTTGCGTAAGAGTGAGCAACGGATGAGTGGCCAAGAGTGACCTCTCGATGAGAAGAGCCATCCGTCTCCTTCATTCTGACGATTTTTAAAATGCAATCGTCCTGAAACATGTAAAAGTTCTGTAATCTCATCCCTTGCGAAATATTTGTTTTCGCTGTTGCCGAGTTCTCCTACTTAACTTGTGCACAAATCAAATTAAGACCTGGAACAAATAGATACACGTTGTAAATATGTATGTAACTTGGTCGAGAAGGACAAATTTCTTGTGATCACATTTCGTTCCAGTCCAAGTAGATTTTGTAAATTCATCACTCTCGTCTGAGGAACTGTGTTGACTTTGATTTGGCATGTCAAATTGAGATTGAGATATCTGCTCAGCGCCCCAAGTGTAGTTACAGGATTGGATTACAAGCCCCTGCCACTTGCACGTATTTAAAGGAGACCAAGTAAATAAAATTAGAAAAGTCCCAATGCAACGGATTGGCTCTTTTTACGTGTGCTAAGGATACAATGGGGAGCAGCGGCAGAGTGAGAATGGAGGTGGTGGTGGTGCCATTCGACGTGTTTTTGATTGCTGGTTTAATATCATCATTACGACATCAGGAGCGAGTGAGTTGAGTCGACAGCATGGGCGACGACGACGACAGATGCGACGAAATTTCCCCACTCCTCCTTGTGTAAATCCCTGAATTAAACTTTATTTCCTTCCTTGCTCGCAGCAGCCTTTGAGTCAATTTTATGCTCTGCGTGGTCCAAGCCAATCCTAGCGACTTCACAACGCTCAAAGGACTTGATTTGCAAAAATTGAGATGTGACACAATGTTATTAACTAAGAAGCCAAGCACATCGTCAAGCATAATATGTACGATACATTTATGTGCAAATGGAGTCGATAATTCACAGAGTTTCCTACTACTATTTACGCCTCTCAAATATATTTATGCGATTGGTAAGAAGAACTCCATCGGAAAACGAGCGGATAAAAAATCAGTAGAGAGGACAGGAAGGGAATAAACGACGACAAAATTTAAGATCCATGCGATATTGTTATTGGACTGTAACTCTAAATATCATTACCGCATAAAAACTTGTTTCACTAATAACTCTTTGAGGTCTTTGCGGATGGGTGGATCAAATCAACATAAAATTTCCATTACAAACAGTAATCCGGTCACCAACAATTTTAAGTGGAGAGTTACGACCACTGAAAATACATTTTATGCGATACCTCAGTTAAAAACTCCCACTCGGTCGTCACCACTTTTGACCAACTTACAAACTGTTTGTACACCTAACTGAACGTGTGCATTAAGACCTGAATTGCACGTCCATTACTTAATCCTTGTCCACTATGTCGTAAAAATGCTTGGATGGTGGGTTGTTTGTGCCCACAGTATATTTCTGCCACTTTTTGGCACATGTGTCAGAGCTGTGTAAGCGTCGACATGCACCCATCTGCGCTTACTCGATCCCTTCATTCAGAGATCTGTAAAAAATCACCTTGTAATTGAATTATGCGGAAAGGAACGCAACATGTTCTCATCGTCATTCGAAATAATGCAATGTATTTGACAGAGACTTGCATCCAAGTGCGCGTAATCCTAGTTTCTGAATGACTGCATGTGAATCTCGTGCACTGAAAAGCTTTGCAAAAGCATCTCACTGGAAAGAAATGCATGTCACACAAACGTCGTTAATAGGACACGACACACAAAGTATTAAATATGTGTGCATGTAGTCATGTGATGTAACTTCATGCCATGGCGTTCAACTGCACTACGTCCCGTTGCGGTTTAATTTTACTGCGATCTATTCACAGATATCGAGCAATGTGTCAGTCAAAATGAAGAAGAACTGCACAACTTCTCGTCTCATCCAATTTCATCGTCAGTCAGTGTGTGCGTGTATGTGTGTAAATGCTTCATATCTCAGAGGACCAATTTTTGTGTGAAATTGAATCACAATGGAATCCGCTTCCTTGCAAAAAACGAACTGGTACACAACAATCATGCTGACGATGATGCAACGGATACAATTGTACGTTGTGCTCATCCGTGAAAATCGGTGAACCGGCAGAGACATTCTACTCTGATTTTTCCTACGCGATAAAAATGGATTTCTTCACAAGCTTGGGAAATCCGATGAACATAAATAGATTTAGCTCAAAAATGTATTTATTTTGCATTAAAAAACGAATCGGCCAATAAAGAAGCAGAAAAATCGGATTTATTTCATGTCCTGTTTCATTGAGGTTGAGCTTAGAGGACGGGGGAATAATTGACACCGTTTTACATGTGATTACATGTACTCATGATCCTTAAAATATAAATGAATGAATTACGGAGGGAGATAACGACCTCTCCCAGTGTATCGCACTCATTGACCTCCACCAACCCGTACTACCAAGCAAGCACTCCTCAATGGGTTGGAACACCTACGTGGCGGAGGCAGTTGTGAGTGCTAAATCTCCCATTGCATCCGACATGAATGCAAATTAACCAAGATTTACGAAGCAAGCAGTTCCTGGTTCCAGTATCATTCTTGTTGCGCGTCTTTTTGACTGGCGGAATAATTCTGTTAGATCATTTGATGGTCGAAAGACTTGGTTGGTCGCTGGTGCTCAGCAGGACGAGGGAATATTTATTAGGAATATGAGCTGGATGTCACTAATTTATTGCGATTTATTCCTGCATTGGTCAAAAACATGGTACTAAAGCACCGTTGTTGCTCAAGATGTCAAAGTCAAGTGTGTATTCATTCCTACGGAAGGAGGCGATCGACTGAAATGATGGGATTAACAAAACTTGTTTTTTTACTTGATCAGCAATTTGTGTATGTACAGTGTAACTTATGGCTTTTTATTTTGTGTTTGCAGTTCTGAATGTTGCAGCAGGAAAGGCGCCGATGCAGGTGAGTAACCCACTGACAACAACTCGACTTTTTTTAGCAATCGCAGTCATTCGTAAATTCGCAATTTATTAATTGTAGTCGTCGGTGGCTGGAACGGGCGTCCCACAAAAAGCGGTGGATGGCTCAGCTGCCAACTTTTTCAACCCGGCCACGTGCACTCTCACCCAGCCGGAAAGAGGTTGCTCGCATTCTTATCCGCCTCGCGTCTTGCCCACTAACCTAACATGAGATTGGTTAATTGCAGCTCCGTGGTGGTATGTCAACCTGCTGGAGCCATACATGGTTCAACTCGTACGCCTTGATTTCGGCCGCTCCTGCTGCGGCGACGACCAAGCTGCGACGATCGTGGTGCGCGTGGGCAACAACCGACCCGACCTCGGAGTCAACCCCGTCTGCAACAAGTTCACGGGCGTGATCGAGGAGGGCAAGCCGCTCTTCCTCCCATGCAACCCTCCTCTCGCGGGGGCCTTCGTCTCCGTTCAACTCGAAAGCCCACCCGGCAATGCGCTCTCAATTTGCGAAGCCTTCGTCTACACAGGTTTGCGAATATTACGACCTCTTAATAAACCATACGTACACAACTTGTCGTTAGTTAGTAGCATTTACATAGGGTTTCAAATAAAAACAAAAATTTTCCCATAGACCAAGCCTTGCCCATCGAGAGATGTCCCCATTTTAGAGACCAGCCACCAGGAAGCACGGCCACGTACAATGGCAAGTGCTACATCTTCTACAGCCAGCAGCAACACCGATTCGAGGAGGCGCGTCAGTTTTGCGACGCTCGGGGTGGGTCCTTAGTCGACGACAGCAACCCCGCACTGCAAGGTTTCTTGAGTTGGGAGATGTGGAGGCGTCACAGGTCCGACCCCACGGCGCAGTACTGGCTGGGAGCCGTCCGAGATCCCAAGGACACGAACAACTGGAAGTGGTTGAATGGTCGCGACGTGTCCGTGTCCTTCTGGAACGTGCCCACTGGTCGAGGAAACTGTGCTCGCTTCGACGGAGCCAAGGGATGGCTGTGGTCGGACACGAATTGCAACGAGGCGCTCAATTTTATCTGCCAACATGGTCCGAAGGGGTGCGGTCGTCCCGAACAGCCTCCAAATTCCACCCTCTTGGCCACCAGTTTGGAAGTGGGAGCTGTGATTGAGCATCGCTGCGATGCCGGGCACCTCCTCGTTGGACCCGACTCGAGAACTTGTCAACCCAACGGATTCTACTCTGAATTCCCACCCGTGTGTCGATGTAAGTTGCATTACTTTTTTCCTGCAGGCCACATTTTCTCACGTGCAATTACTGTCATTAGTGTTAGCATGAGATTGAAAGTGAAGACTTTTTCTGATTGAACATTGATTCTCCTTGTGGTGGGTTCTGTCGTTTCCTGTGTTTGTAGTCGCAGCCAGCACCCCATAATTAATTATCCGCAATCTGCATTTAATTGAACATACGTACACACTACACAGCATCATTATAGAGCGTTCTAGTTTACTTTCTGCATGGGAGTTCAGTTTGCAGAAGAGCAACGAGTTTTGTTCGTTTTCACCCTCAATCATCCATCAAGAGTGGATGAATTAAAAGTGGTGCTGCATGTAACAATATTTGTGACGAATAATTGAAACATCAGGCAGCGACGGATACATATCTGATCGACTGGGGGCTAAATGTGTACACACCGTCGAGTTTTTTTTCCGATAGCGTGTAAATACTCTCTCTAAAAGAACCCTGCCTAAGCAATTATTTTGGGTCAAGTAGATTTGCCACATTTTTCAGAAATCGTACAACACATTGCTAATTATTAATCAGCACATTAACCAAGTTAATTATAATCAGCGAGTTGGACGAAACATGTGCTGACGGTAACCTAAGGTGGCTGTCTATGTGTTGCACATGTCATGCAAGACGGATGGGATGGACGTTCAGCCTTTCGGCAATACCAATCATGAGATTTTAACATTATTGAAATGTTACGGAAAAAACAATGGTTGTTGTGTTGCTCATTAGCATAAGACCGAAATGACGAACGGCCATTTGACTTCCCTTTGCCCGTCCGATGAGAGTTTAACCCACTTATTGAACTGAAGACTGAAACTACTTGTGTATCTTCCTGCTCCTGAGGACGTTGTTGTTACTGTTAGACGCACCTCGCATGCAAATGAGTAGTGACATTCATTCGCATTCGGAATTTATTTGCACATTCCATTCCGACCACGGTGTTGGTCTCAAGCAGAACCATTTTGTTGTGCCCAGGGATGAAAACCGTCCGTTTAATTTCACTCGTTGCACGTTCTCAGCATAATTGTTGGTTGAACGGCTCAATCGAATCTTAAAATAATAATAATGCAAACTAGTTGTCCATCGTTGAGTCAGTCGTCGTAGATCGCCATCATTTCTGACATTGTTCTCCGCACTGCACACGAAGAAAGGACGACTGAGGACGATTTGACAATGGGCTACCTTTGACACGACGATTAGGCCAAATGAAGCAGAAAACGGGCTATTTGTTCCGTCTCCTTTGCTTTGGGACTCGAATTAGGCTTGAGTTGCATGACCATTCACGGTCGATCGGCTGGCCCACATTTGCCCTGTCACCATTTCCTTCCTTCAAACTCTGCCCGTGTCACTGTTGACGTGATTATTGACTCATCATCCCTTATCCCAAACACTAATTGAAGACGTTGTGAAATCAGGGAGGACATCAAACTTTGTGCAGTTGTACAAAAACTTTTATTTTTTGCCATTGAACGGGTGCAACGAATGCAAATTATTGCGAATATTGAGTGCATATCATTTCATTTTTATTTTGTCGAGTAAATATTTCGCCATCTTGCTGAGTGAGTGAAATGTCCGTAGCTTCAGTTTAGTGCGGCCCGGATGTTGTCACGGTTCATTTTTTCCTCGAAGGTACGAATCACGTGGTGATCGTTTAGAAAAACAGACCTCCAATGACACCAATTCAGACTTTGCCAATGTCTCGTGAGGTATTATTCTCTCACATGGATCGTTCTTCTGCTGGGATAAAGTCCGTCCGCGGAGGTGCTGGCAGCTAAATATTTTGCAGATGTCGAGAGATGAGACGAGCCAACTTGCAGGAGGAAGCTAATGACAAAAGCCAACAAAGCGGATCTCTCTCCGTCAGATTGTCATTGTATTTTCTGTGGCACGATATTTACTGAAACAATAGCGGTTAATGTTGCTGGTAAAAATAAATTAAACGGTGCATTCATTTCATGTTCTCTCCAACTACACGTATTAGCGATTCATTGCGAGGATGTACGTGCAGCAGTGGGGCTGACATAATCTGCAAAGTGTCAAGATCAGTTATTTTTACTTGGTCCGCTTTATCATTTTTTCAGTGGGTCTCATAAACGGAATTAAAAAATGGTCATCTTGTCACCTCATAAATAGAAAATACTGCCAGCCTTCCCACATCGCACACACTTTGAGTCACATTAGGCGAGAGGGTGGGAATAAAAATGATTCTAATCCGCGTTAAATGCACACCCTTCTTTTCGCATTCATTCGCTGGGTTTGCGAAAGGCGGAGGACGGTTCTTGAAGGAGATGACATGTGAAGACATTGTGCAAAACCTAAACGTCGCTGATGAGCAGAGGGCGGATATGTATGTATTTCTAACTTTTTCATTCCCAATCAGATCTTACTAAAACTTCGTATACTCACATCCCATCGAAGCATGATTTCAAAAATTCAGACATGGTTTTCCATATTTTACATATTTTAGAGTTTTCGTACATATACATATTTTCATACATATTTTGAGGTTATTTCGTAAATACACATATTTTCGTACATATTTCGAGCTTTTTTCTAAATATCAATATTTTAATGCATATTTCAGGATTTCCTGAGGAAAAAATATTTTTCTTCTTTCAGACGTTAGAGTTGGATAAAAATTGTACTTTCATGATAACGGAGTTTAATTCGTGTGAACGACTAACAAATCCATTTTGCCCCATTTTTCAAGTCATAAAATTACCCCTGAAAATCTCTAAATACGGCTAATGTCGTTTTATTTTATTCATTACATGAATATTAAAATACTATACATAATAATTCATTAATAAGAGTGTTACAAATTTGAAACTTTTCGAAAATTAAATGTAAATATAGTAGAAAATTTCGGTTGAAAAATATGTTTTACGTGCATATTTTCGCGTTTTTTAAGTACATATTACACACATATTTTGAGGAATATAAGTACATACATATCCGCCCTATGCTGATGAGCTGATTGTTGGGTTGGATAATCCGTTTGTGAGTGACTGGCTGAGTGGCTCAAGTTGGAGTGGAGCTGGCTGAGTCAGGACGAATGTTATGATTACGGTGGAGGCATTGTTGATTGGATGATAACATCAACAAAGATGTGTTTAACCCCACCGTTTTTCCTATTTTTAGACATGGAATGTGGCTTCCCCGCACAAGTTCCCAATGGTCACTACACCTTCCTCAATGGGACACGCGGCTACAAGAGCATCGTCCGCTACTCTTGCGACGAAGGTCACGTCATGGTCGGACGGAGCGACTTGATGTGCGACATTGACCAAAAGTGGAATGGCCCTCCGCCCAGATGCGACGTCCTGGTCTGTCCAGAACCACCCCCAGTTCCCAACGGGGCTTCCAAGGTCATCCAGAGGACGGGCAACTCGCTCACGGTGGAGTACGAGTGCGACCCCAAGTTCACCATGTCAGGACCCAAGCGACTTGTTTGTGCGGATGGCAGCTATGACCAACCCCCACCCGTCTGCAAGGGCAAGCCCGGAGTTGCACCTCCAGTCCTCATTGTGGTACGTGCACTTTTTTTTAATGAAGGAGGAGGATTGCTAATTTTCCTGTTTTCCAGAAGACGGAAGCATCAACGACGACTCGAGTTTCTACGACGCCCACTTCAGGGTCAACTTCCAGCAGCAGCAGCACAAGCAGCAGCACAACGGCCAACACTGGGCCCCAGCACGAGGAGGACGAGTATTCGGAAGGTCACTATGACGAAGGGTCTCAGGAGGAGGGAAGCCACAACGGGATCGAGGAAGGCAGTTCTTCGGGACAAGAGGACACTCAAACGGTCATCAGCGTGGTGACCAACACGAATTCGAACAGCGGAGACATTGAGCCCTCCAAACCTGGGCCTGGGCTGGGCGTGGAAACGGAGCTGGATGACAACGACGTTTCTGAAAGCAACCAGATTCTGAAAGCCAAAAGGCCAAATGTAGACTCGCCAAATTCGATCGAAATCCAACATCGCGAGTCAGCCGTCGCCAGGCTCAATTTGGGTAAAAAATAATAATCTCAGCTAAATACACATTACCCAAATTAATTAAATAATTACTGATTGATTGGTGATGATACTGTGTTGGCAATGTCGTAATGAATGACAAATAATTGTGGTAATCTCCAAGATCGAAAATGGATAATCTATCTACACGGATTGCATAATAATCGTGGCAAAAAGAGAAAGCCCACGATCGTTAGAACTATTTGCGGTATTTGCGCGATGAGGAGTCAGCTTAGGGCTTAAAACAATACAAGATCTGATTGTTGTCTTGAATTAGCGACGTGTGTACATGTACATACTTACATAGGAAAATAGTTGCACAAAGGGACTGAGCATTGATGGGAATTGCGATAGAAAACCATCCATGCGCATGTTGTAATTTGAGTCCGTTAAATAATAACTCTAATTATGGTGCAAGTGTAATTAAAATTGATTTTAGCCCATTGCAAAAGTCGTCAGCAGAAAAGGACGAGCCTTCAGTTATTATTAGTTGGAAGGAATTTTGTGAAAGTGTTGTTTTTAGCGGACACGTGTTACTTGCTACACGTTTATTACAATGCTTTTATGTATTTGCGGCGGCGGATGGGGAGACTAATGGTAATTGAAGTGTCACATGTGAGAGCTCATTTCCGGTGACCTGTGAGTGCGAGGTGCTGGTTGTTCTTAGCACGAAAATCAATCGTCATTTTACGTCTTGTAAATTGCTGTAATGACAAATACCAAATTATTTTATGCTAATGTCTACCTTGTTTTTAAAACCGTTTCAGGAGGCATCATAGCTCTCGGCGTATTTGGTGGTTTCATTCTCCTCGCCGCGATTGTGACGAGTATCATTCTCCTCATCAGAAGGTATGCCCGCATTCCGCATTCAATTATATTCTACTCATGCGTCTTGAGCATATTTACCAGGATAATGCTTTACTAAATATATAACACGTAACGCTTATCTACGATTCGATCAGTGTTGGGAGAATAAGTTGTGAGATTTCAGCAACTTCAAATTATTCAGTCGTACTGACAAAATAGAAGCATTTCTGCCTAGATAAGGCTAGAACTCGATGATATGTACTTAAAGATTTACATTGAAATATTGTTTGACGACATGACTTCTTAGACTACCGATTGAGAGCTGGAGCAATTTCTTACTTGACTTTATTACTTGAATAACCAATACTTTACAAAATTGTACGTTTTTACAACTGAACAGTGACAGTAGGAAGGTTCTAGCGACATCGAGACAGCGCCGACATCGATCTGCCGGCCCACACGCTGACTTTAATCGCAAACATCGGCGCGAAAGGAGGTCACGCTCTCACACGGTCGAGTCGGCCGCTCAGACGACGGACAATGACCACGAGGAGGTCAACTCCTCCCCACACGACAATGACGACACTGCCAACCACCGCAGTGGGACGGGAGGAGTGGGCAGTGGGGCCAAGGCCAAGTTGTACACCTTGCTAGCCCTCCCTTTCCCTGACCAGACGGTGGGACGTCGATATCTGGACGCCCCCAACTGTCGGAAGTGGGCTGGCTACTTTTCAGAACACCCGGGCGCGGCGTGACCTTAGCTTTAACGACAAATATGTATATGTAGAACCCTCAGAGCCAGCAAATTGTGACCCATGTGCCATTGCCAAAGTGCCACCTCGAATTGACATAACGTACAAACAAGTTTAAATAGGAATATCCACCCACACAACAAAGCAAAATCTATACGACTACCGACCACCACGAATACTGCCACCGCAACTACAAAGACATTGTTCCTCTGGTTAGTTTCACCAAAAAAGCCCCACAGCCTGCAACATACATGATAGAGCACCATTTTTGCATTGTACAGAACTATGCATGGGACCACCGACACGGATTTTTTCTTGTTTTGCACTGGTGACACTCCTTGAATAAACTGAACTCAACATTTACTTTTAAGAATTACGCGTCCTCGTTCGCAGATGTATAATAATTACTCTTCTGAGAGGGAAATTAATTATAAACCGCACCGGCATCACAAATTGCCAGTCTTCTTACGCGTGTAAATAGCGAGACGATAATATGCAAACCAAGCAATCCACCGCACAGACAACTGCAAATGTTGAATTGGGAAAGCGTGGGGTTGGCGACTCTTCTTGAGCCAGCTCTTTTCGTGGCCACTTCCTTCTTGATTATCAAAGGAGGAGAGAAGAAGGGTGGGAATGGTTGGGATGGTCGAATGAATTGCAAATATATTTACTTATTGGAAATCACCGTTACCGTGAACTCACTCTTCTGTGAAACAAAAGCCTCGGCTTTTTAACTAATCGTTAAGAATAGCACTCTCCCACAAACCAGCTTTGCCTCTACACACAAACCACTGAAATCACAATACAATTCATGACACTGACAAAATTCCCAATCTCACCAAATAACTATCTATTACTACTTCTAGTTATCACCATTTAATTAACACTCTCACCAACTGTTTCTCTCACATGAATCACTCAGTTAACGCCCACTTATGGTCTGAAATGTTGCAGGAGTCAAGTGAAGGGAAAGCATGAGCGTCACCGTGGATCTCCCGACAGCCACACGATCACGTCGGTGGACTCTGGATCCGACGCGGGCCTTGGGCGCTTGTACCGGCGAGCGTGGGATTCTCTGGCGGCGACGGGAGGCCCACCCACGGCGTCGACCACTGTGACGGACAAGAGCAGGGGGAAGGTGCCGCGGGACACGTTGGACTACAGGAGCAGGATGTCGTCCGTGGAAGGGCTTCGGGATGAGGGGGAGATCATCGTGCATGACGCCTTGCCCACCAGGAAGCCACACCACCACCATCATCACCACGGTCACCACCACCACTTTGACGGGGTCGGAGGTGGGAGCGAGTGGGGTCGGTCTGTCAGGTCACACAGGAGTAGATACTGATACGTATAGAGCGTATACATCATAGAGCATATACGATCATGTGTATGAATTGGCTAGTAAAAATTTGTATACAATAATTGATTGATCCCAAAATTGTAGAAAATTTGTCAATTAGTATACCGACGCGAATTATTTGCAAAAAATTTTGCCTTTGCATTATTCCTCTGCCCCTTTTGGAGCCGTACTTTTGTGCCCTTCTCCATGAATGGGAGCAGCCGTACGAGTAAGTAGAGTAAGTAAATCTTAGGCCCTAGTCTACCGTGTAGGTATTTACCACTTAGCAAGAGATCAGTTTGTCTAACGTTTATTTATGCCCAAATTTACAAAGGAGAGAAAGTAAGTAATTAAACGAGCGAGGTTGTGGATATTCCATGAATGCCATCAAATTCTTTATTAGTTGTATTTTATAAGCTTTATTTTCATGTTGCATAAAAAATCAATGTAAAATAAATATATTTTATTACGTGGTTTAATATAAAAATTGAGCAGCTGAGGTTTTACAATAGTTGTAGAGAGCCGTTGATTGTTGACTGATTTGAAGTAGCGTTTTTTCTGACCGAAATGACCTCTGACCCCGTCGTCCTCATCCCACTCGACCACACGACAATGTGCAACACATGCAATGTAACCTACAAAATGTAATAGTATAACTCGGTGATGTGGTCAATATTAGTTAATCTGAGTTCATTCGCATAGTGATGATTTTTATATTTGTGTGCAAGCCATTTGTATTTTTTGCCCGTGCCAGGGTTTATTTTATTTAATGATGACAATGAAAAAATGATGGACAAACCATAAGATTCTAAATAATTCTGTTCTGTTTTAACATGTGTATGTTTTTTTTGCTTCCTATTGTATGTTGGTTAAAGATTTCTGAATAATAATGATAATGCTACAATGCCTTTGTCTCATGAGATCATTTACAGGATTTTTGTAAACCAAAACATCCACAAATTTTTCATGCGTCCATTCATCCAGAGAAACGTTAGCACATGTGCATATTTTAAACTGAAGAGAGACAATTTTGTCTCATCACACCTTAAAACCATGAAGAAAATGCTGATAATTCAGATAAAATAAAAGCATAAAACGGTTGGGGTTGACCAGTTTATTAAGGTTGGAACAAGTAAGGCTATACTTTGAAGAATGTGACGATCGAACTTTTATCAACAATGCACCCTGCTCAGAGCTCATTCGAACTGGGAAGAAGGGGGACCAAGAGCTTTGCCATGTCAACCTTAACGATTCATTGATCCAACAGAAATACATCCAACATGAATTGACATTTAGCGAACATAATATGATCATAATATGTTATGATCATATTATGATCGCTAAATGTCAATTCATGTTGAAATACATCCTTATGGGTGGAATTCAACATACTCCATTATTAACGTGCTTATGTACTTTAGTCTAAACCGACAAAGTAGTCACTGGAACCACTGCAAATTGACACTTCGGCTTCATTGTAACGTAGCCATAATTCCTTAAATTCTTCAAAAATATTCATTTTGAAATAAAACAATATCATTATTAGAACTCCATCGTGTCTATCTGTCCGTAGTCTCGATAGCTCTTTTTCGAAATGACTGCTTTTTAAGTATTTAAGGAATTTGCCAGATTTTTGACACTTGATCACTCTCGAAGAGTTTCCTAGATAAGTCACGAGTGAATAACTTTTAGCATCTCTTCTCCATTCGAGTGATAGAGTGTCAAATAACCTTGCGTGAGCAGTTGATGGCTTTTACTGGACTCCCGTCGGATATAAAGAATCTCCTCGCCAATTGTGCGCTAAATCACTCAAAGATATGATGAATATCACGTCGTCGTCGACATTTCCTCTTCCACAATCATGGCATCATCGTGGTGGAGGAATCCACCTCCATCTCTCACCAAGCCACGTCTTCATCACGGCACAACCCCAGGACGACACACTGCTCGTCATCCACCCTACGACAACAGCAACTACACAATCCGCACCATTGGCACAAGAACCAAACACAGTAATTTTTTAAAGCGGAGGAGCATAAAGAACTTGTCGGGTGCAATTCTATCTTGTAAATTGTAATGTTTCGTGGGATAGTTGACGCTTGATGAGCCGATCCACTCTGCCACCGCAAGTCCCGATGTTCCCGGTCTCCTCTGCTGCTCCAGCGATGCTCAAGTCCTGCTAGTTCACTGGGATGCTCTCTTGGGTGAGTGTACAAGGAGATTGGGCCGCACATCTGGTTATACTTTTATCCTGTTGGTCTGACCCCCAGGGGAGTGGGAGCGGCTCGTGGTAAGTCAAGGAGAAGGACGAATCGGAAGCATTGCGCTTGTTGCGGAAGGAAACCTGTTGTGGGTCGCGGCTTTCAAGTGGGACGTCATCGTCGTGTATCTCGTCACCAGTGTGCATCACCTTGTAAGTAGGTCATGATAAGTCTCGAGACAATGTTCCCAGAATACGTCATGAATACGTCCGAGCAGATGTATTAATTATTGCTCGTGAGGATCTGATAAACAATTTGTGCCAGAATGAGCCTGGTCCCCTTGTGCTGGAAAGTATTGAGGTCGTGGCCACTTTGAAGAAGGGCATGAAGGAAGCCACGCTACACCCACACGCATTCTTAGGACCAGATAAGAACAGCCTCCTTCTCCTCGGCGTCTCTGCTCCACTTTCCATCAAGGTGTGCTCAGGTCATTGGCATTCGACCATTTGTTTATCTTAGGATTAGATTTTAGAGTTAGATTTTTATTTGCTCTGCTGTTATTGGGTCAGATGTGGGAGATACCTTTGCACCCCTCAGTGCCAGAGAAAACGGGGCGTCTGGTAAAGCAGAGCTCTGGGATGAGCATAAAGGGCGTGGTGGCGAGTGACCTGGGTCAGATTGGTCGAGACCGTTTCCTTCTCCTGGTCAGTGGCGATGGTGTCGCGGAGGTTTTGCACGTTGGAGGAAGTGCTGACTTCAGTCTGCTCACCAGGTTCCGAGTCGTCGAAGAAGGTGACTCATCCTTTTCATCAATATATTTCTTAGTTTCTTCGGAGTACGTGGTTGGCAGTGAGGTGGGAAATTAATTAATAATGTAATCTTCTTCCTTTTATCGTAGACGAAAGTGTTGAAGGAGCAGGTGGCCTCGAGAGGGCTGCTGAAGAACAGTTCGAGTGGCGTGTTCTTGGAGCCAAATTCTGCTGCAGCTCAGAATGTGACGAAACATTCTACGACGATTCTCTCAACGACTGCAAGGATGACCCCTTGGTTCTCACGCCTCAGAAACGGCTCACCTTCCCCCGACTCCCCCTCATAGTCCTCACCACCAGAGGATTCACCGTGATCAACGGAAAGAGTGGTCACGTTCTTCGTCACATCTCCTACCGTGACCTTCTCCTCGACCGAGTTGTTCTGGGAGACGAGGGCGTGGTGGCGACGGAGGCTCAAGTCGCGGGTGGCACTGGAGGCGACACAAGGGTCACTCTCGGTCTCCGCCTCCTCTTCTCGGACAACGTCCACTTGATCAGAATGGACCTGTCCAAACTTCTACCCGCCAGCGAGGACGGCGATGAGGACGAAGGAGCAGCATGTTGCTCACTGATCACTTCGTAATTCTCTAATTCTCATAACAATAATAAATTCTACCCGAATAAATAAGTAATGAATTGGAATGTTGCAGTGACGTGATAAATACAAAGTCGGTGTTGAGAAAGCGGTTCAAATGTCCTGCCCTGCCTCCACTGCTCTCCGCTCGTCGGAAATCTCAACCCAAAAGGGTTTTAATTTCGCGAGGTGGGGTGAAGAAGCCGGCCTGGGCCTGCACCAAGGGCAGCAGAAGTCGACCTTCTCCACACAAAAGGACGGGGGCCGTCATCACCCAGCAACTTTCGTCGGCAAGGTCGCACAGCCCAGTTCAGAGTGACGACGCGTCTGCGCTGATGCCCACACGTCCTGTCCCACTCACTCGGAGAGGAAGTTATGACTCTGACAAGGATGACGCCGTGTTTGGTGACCGACTGAGGCTGAGCAGCGGTCTGATGGGTGGCCACTCCTATCTCCGTCTCGCCATGGCCCCAGATGGCTCCGTGCTTGCGGGGGGTGGCTCCATCAGCCCTGTCGGCGTGATGAAAACCTACCCGTCCTGGGAAACGGTCCAGACTTTCAAAGACGTCGGCAGAGTCACGTCCCTTCATTTCAACTTTCACTCCAACCTCCTCGTGAGTATGACCAATCAATGGGCGTGACCTTGCACTGATTTTCGGATTAGGTGACTAACTCAGAATGTGTGTGCATGTGCAGTTGGTTGGCAGCAATGATGGGCGGACGAGAGTCATGTCGTGGCGTCACGGGAAGGAATTGCTCTCCTGGGAATTTAGCTCCAAATTCAACGAACATCTCCACACCCAGTTCTACTTCATGGACAAGTTCGTACTCCAACCCCAACAGAGTTCTCTCGCCTTGTACGCCATTGGTGAGATGGATGGAGAGGACTCAAATCCGCTGGCGACTCTCAAATTTCAGAAACGGCTGGCAGCAACATTCCCACTAGACGCGCAGAGCATTACGGCCGTGGCTGCACCAAATCGGTTCCTCTCGTGTAAATGCATCCAATATAAGTTGCATTAAATTCGTAACAGCAAACTCTACAATTAATTTCCTCCTTGTTTAGCTCAAATCCTGGCAGGTCTGTCCAACAAAGGGTTTCAAGTTATGGACGTGAATGCGGAGCGCGTCTCATTCTCCGTCCGCTGCGCTCACTCCAAACCCGTGACCTGCATCCGGCTGAACGAGGCGCCGCTGGGTGGCGTACAAACGTCTCACCTTTCCGATATCGTCCTCACCTCCGCCCCCTCGTATTTCGACCCCGTCAAATTGTGGGATCTCCGCCTCGGAGCTCCCGTCCTTCGACTGAGCGATATCAACGCTGCCATATTCGTACCCCCTGCGAGACCGGCGCTCTCACCCTGTGGACGGTTCATTGCGACCGGATGTGAGGACAACTCGGTAACACTGCATACTTATTCACATGACTGAAAAATTAGAGGAGAGAAACAATTATTTGTCCATGTTTTCATGCCGCAGTTGATTTTGTACGACACACGGCGGATGCAATCTCGTCACAGTACGTTTGGGCAACTAAAATCGACAGTGTTGGACTGCGTGTTTGACCCCGTGACCCCTTCAATTTGGGCAGCCTGTCGGGATGGATGTTTTTGGAAGTTTTCCTAATAGTTTGTTTCCTTAACCTTGATTTATTTGTGTATGCACATACCAACTATCTATTACAGACATTAGCACTCATTGTGTGGTTTTATAATTCCGAATTTTGTACAATAGTCTTAGTCTATTAATAAGTGAGTATCCGTCCGTATGTTATGCATCATTGTGAATATGCCTTTGTTTGCATGGAATAAAAGAGCTTGCATAATACTGCATACGTCAGGGAGCCGAGGAGTGTGTCTGGTTGGTCAAATGTTGAGCATGAGCACCGCCTGATCTCCTTTCCGTCGTGGCGGCGCATAATTCTCAGAATTCTACTTGTTACACAACGTAGCACAAACTTGTTTTCGTTCGGAAAATGATGGGACGCCAACAGATGTGGGCGAAGAACAACTGGAACTAAAGCAGGACAAGAAGAACACACGTACGTTTCTTTTCTATATTACTATCTCACCATTCTCGATGATCGGAGGGATTTAAGAGGTAACACTCATTTAATTTAGTCCAATTATTAAGTAATAATGACTAGAGTTTAATGACTACCATTTGAAAGCTAACGTTGATTGTTATGTGGTTTGTTTGATTAGGGAGAATAATCCAGTGACCAGATTGAAGATGAACGTCTTGTGCAGCTGCATGCGTTTCCATCCTCATCACGGCTCCAACATTGAGTTGGACGAAGATGGGGTGGTGGCGTCAAGAAAAAATTCGTTCGCCAATGCCCTCACCTTCTCAGAACGACCCTTGGCCCCAGGGGAGATATTTCTGATCCAGATTGAAGAAAACGAGTCAGGATGGAGTGGCTACGTCCGGCTGGGCCTGACACAGAAAGACCCATCTTCCCGTTTTGACCTCCCCCTCTACGCCCTCCCTGATCTCATCCCCATCGGACCAAGTTGGGCCTACGCCATCACTAAAACAGCCATTTCAGCAAGCATCAAAGAAGTCGAGGACAGGGAGGAAGTTTTGGACGAGTCGGAACAAAATCTGGTCAACTACAAGCGATTTCCTAGAGTGGTTCATCGTAAGTGCAGACGTGAAATCAACACACCCAGCGTCGTCGCAGTATTAATAGCATTTATTTAATTTATGTTAGGTCAAGGCTCCATGGTTCGCACACCACGTGGGCTCATTCACGAGAACACCCTCCTGCCCTACGGAGGAGAGCCGCGCCTCCCTCCGGGCGGACTCCCGACAGACGTGGGGTCACGAATCGGTGTCATGTTCGTGCCGACGAGCGAGTTTGGGGCAGCCATGCACTTCATTATCAACGGAGAGGATCAAGGACCCTCCTCTCTCGACATACCCTTCACCTCAGCCCCACTCTATGCCGTGGTGGATGTGTACGGATCCACGAAGAAGGTTCGGATTGTGCAGTATGATGGAGGTACAGTGAAACATATGCACTCCACATAAGCCATATAAGCAATAAAATCATGTCTGTGTATAAAATTGGTCGCTGACAATTATTTTTGTCTATTTAGCCAAAAACTTGCAGGCCTTGTGTCGGTCGGTGATTCTCAATTCGATCAAAATTTCGGGCGTGTGCAACCTTCCTCTTCCCCCACTTTTGAAAAATTACCTCCTGTTCTCCGATTAGAAACACTTGTGCATGTGAGTGCATCACGACCGGGCGACCGAAGCAAGACTGACAACATCCAACAAACTAAAGTACCCACCCACCCATCAAGTAACCAAGTATCCAGCAACACACAAGTCCCTTCATATTGTTACCACTACTAGATGTATGTCAACCAAATACTGTAACTAAATAATACTACACAAACGATTGTCAATTAATAGTTCTCGATTTGTCATGCGAGGGTGCATGCGCACATCCGCAGAAGAGAATCATACGCTGGGGTTGCTTAATTGTTACAAATATTTATTTATGGTGCTGGATTCTTACCTGGCAGTATGAAAATAGACAATTCAAGTATTATTAGGATAGTTATGGGATGTAAATGCACGGACGGTGTAGTATTTTACTTTGGAATTGTGTTTGATGGTTGACCAGGGTCAGACTTGAGCGCACTCGACCCGGACCGTTCATGGAAAATTGTCAATAGTTCCAAAATAATATACTTGTAATTCCGCATTGAATTTTGTTCAAGTAAGAGAATGATAAGAGAATCACAAAATGAGACGCATTAGTAATACTAATTTAGTATGTATTCGTATAATAAATGGCCGCCATATGTTGTGATGATGAAGACGTGATGAAGATAAGTAAATAATACACCGATAAAACCTGTTTAAAATGTGTCGTATTTATTTTTATTCACAAACGCTAACAACAACTTAATTAACATTTAATGGCGATTCAATAATGAAAATAATATCAGTGATATGCATTCTGAGTCGGAGGAATGAATTATTTAATGAATAGTACTCTTATTTTGATATAACTCTTATCTGAACGTTTGGGTAGCATCATGAATTAACGAATGTTTATAATATTCCATTTTTAAAGGGCGTCTTTGTACACATATTTATGGGAGCCCTTCTCACGGGGCAATAATTACTACGATAATAATTCGTTGCCTATTATTATTATTACACACTGACAATAAACCTTAAGTACTTAATTTAGAGAGACACTGATATTTTAGTAGAGAGAGAGGTTTAACAGGTAGCACTTACTTAGCACTAACTGACACTGCTGGCTGCTACATATTTGGCGTGGCGGCGGACGAGGCGCAACTTATGTATGCTTGACCTTTTGTATACCTTCGCCTGTTCAATTCTGTATAAATTATGTTATCTGCGATTTTTACCTGTCTAGTATTGCATAAAAATAGTCGTATCATGTGTGGATGGATTTTTATATGGATGGGCACTTTATTTTGCTTATGGCACTCGATCATCTATTTGGGCTTTGGGGTATTTTCTTTGTATTTATGTTATTTATGTACATCTGTAATATCATTAGGTAGGCACTGCTCCCGAGTATTAAACTACACTTCCGGTTGTTTAAAGCTGTCGTCGTGTTATAAAATATCATCAAAAATCATCATCATCATCATCGTCACTACTAAGCGAAAGGGGGTAGCAGCTTAGGGGGTGGGGAACCTTATAAAAAATTCATACTGGATTTTGTACAGAACACAGAATAATAACTGATGGGGATTCTTCCCGCGTTTGGTGTTTCACTTTGTACACGGGGAGTTAAGATTAGGAATAAATGAGAGGGGGTCTCCATCACACCGCCCCCTCCGACACTAGGATTTAGCATCTTGCGGTGTGGTGGGGGCCCCTCAAATCTACTGGTAGCCTCTCACTACGAATAGAATTAATATATGCATCTATTATATGTACTACATCTATTTAGTTACGTGCATATGGCTACACCCGCTAACGGCTAGTCTTATTAAATAGAAACTATTTTATACTCTTTCTAATTGCACCACAAGAAGCTCTTTTGAGAGACGTTGCACGCTAGCTAATAACTCTTAAATCAAAATATTCCGTCTGTTCTTCTACTATGTACATTTAACAAGCTCATGTTTGGTAGTTGTGTTGTAATTTATATGTATCAAAAGTATTATTTAATTGTTTTTTAGAGAATCACAGGAAGAGTTGTCGATGTTGATCGAACGACTGTTGTTGTTACTTATTCATGGATTCCTTGAGTTGGGAGGATCATGAGACCAGCACTGCTCCCGTCGTCGTCCCCACCTGCACCACCACCCCCGCCCCCACCGTGGCCCATGACGTTATGGTCGTGGACTTGCTGCTGCTGGTCATCCACGACCATCTCCATGCAGAGCTCGGCGAGCGTGACGTCGAAAGCGTCCTCGTTCTCGGAGGCCTTCACTTCGAGAAGAAAGGTGTCCTCGTGACAGTAATGCTTCAACATCTCGTCGTCCACTTTAGCGACGACACTGCAATTACGGGAAGAGGAGGGTCATAAATATGGCATAGCAATCTCTCTGGTGGTGTCATGTCATCAATCAGAGTATGGTTTTTTCCACGGCCGAATGGACGAGTGGTGGTCAGAGAGTCAGTCGTTGACCGATGGGAGAGAGGAGCAGGGGAGAAGAAGTGCACAGGTAGGTATCCGTAAATTGGTCTCTCTCGCAGCAGTGGAAGGAGAATAAAAAGAAAGGATAAAAAGAAAATAAAAAAGTTGGTGAGGAATTTGGATAATTGGAGATGGCCGGAGATAGAGGCTAGAGAGAGAGAGAGGGAGTGATGTTGTAGTCAGTGGGGCCATAAAGATGTTGGAGGAGGAGCGGTGATAGAGCGGCCAATGAAGAATAGAATATGCAAATCTGCATCTCTTTGCCGATCACGGGGAGATAACAGAAAAGGTAGAAAAAGAGTGGATGTGACCAGAATTAATTAAACGAAACCACCACCACCTTCACAATCATCACCCTCAGCAGCACCAGCAAAAGTAGCTCAAAAGCCAAAAAGTGGAAGCACCACCGCCAAGCACCCAACAAAATACAGCCACCAACAACAATGGGCTCAATCAACAAGAGAGACGCAGGCACAACAATGAGGGAAGAGCACCGACGACGACGGCCAACTCATGTCATGGGCAATGTGAGAAAGTGAGACGTTCTCTCAAGTCAGTGATGATAACCCAACCGATAATTTGCTTACCCTTTCCCACTCCGCCGCAAGAGATTCTTCACCGAGCCCATGGATATCTTGAACTTGTCCTCCAACTGAAATTTGGTTCACAATGTTTACTTTTCTCGCCCTAAACCCTATGCGCATTTCCATAATGCGTAGCTAGCTAGTTAATTAGTTGGTTAGGTCAGAAGACTCACCGCTGCGAGGAGTCCGAGCGTGGTTGGGGGTGCGAGATGGACGGGAGTGAAGACGTCCTCCCCCTCCTGCCTCACGTAGATCATGAGGCGTTCGGAGGAGGGGGGCATGGAGGAGCGGAGGCGCTTCATGGGGATGATGAGGTCAGGGTCGCCACTGTTGTCCTGCTGGCCCAAGGGGTCGTGGTGGTCATGCTGCTGGAGTTGGTGGTGGTGGTGATGGTGCTGTTGTTGTTGGAGGTGTTGGTGGTGGTGGTGGTCGAGGTCGTGGGGGTTGTGAGGGTCGAGGAGGATGGAGGTGGACGAATTATTGGAGGAGGAGTCCTTGTTGCCACCATTCGTGAGTGTCATGCTCAGGTGGAGCTGATTCTTCTCCCTGGAACACCAAGTCTCACTTAATAAACCAAATTGAATGAAGGGCGAGAGGAATCGAGAGGGTGCCTTTCCCACTCATCATCCCGAGAGATGAACCAATGGCAAGTCATGTCCAGAGTCAGTGGAAAAGTGATTAATCATTATGCAGCACAATGCATAGTTCATCAATCCTCTCTCACAGCACTGGCTGCGGCCATGTTTCACCACAAGGAGAGGATGACAGCTAACCAATAATAGCTCCAAGTGGGTGTGGACCACCACCACCACGAGGAAATCATAATAGTCACTGAATTTCAGTAGTCCTTTCACCACTTCTGACTCTGGACATGAGCCCAATTTCGACTACTCTTTGGCCTATTCCCATGTGTAGTGGGGGCAGGAAAACGTATACTCCGCGAATGGGGACGACAGAGTTGAGGAAGAAAACAGATTTTATTGTGGGAAGGAAGGACAGTTTGATAAGAAGAGCAAGTAGTTTTGTTGAATTGGTTTGCTTACTGCTTGATGGGCGTCCTGACGATGATGGAGGGTTGTTGTGTGGGCTGGGGCGGGGGTGTCGGTGGTGGGGGCGACTCTAGAGGGAAGTTGTGGTGAAACTTGAGCGGAACTGGTCTGGGGGAAGGGCTGCTCCTGTTGCTGCTGCTGCCGCCGCCGGGGGGACGATGATGATGATGATGATGATGACTGGATTTGGGAGAGAGGATTTGAGGTTAAGCTGGAGGTCTGGTGGTGGGTGGGACATGCTGGGTGGTCGTTGTTGGGAATATAAGCGTATTTTTGTACCAATCATCATCTGTGCATTTGTGCAGTTGCTCCCTCCTCACTCCATCCGAAGGGGTAAAAGCTGCAACCAACAAGTAACCACGTAGGGGTTGTTGTGTGTGAAGGAAAAGTGGTTGTCGGGTCAGAGTGGGTGGGTGGGGGCAGATTCAACTCGGGAACAAATGCACAGATGCACAGAGATTAATATAGCTGGAGAATTAATTGATCATGCACACACGCCCCACCCACTCACTCCTCCCACCCGCCGCCACCTCGACCACGACAGCAGCGTCCGCACCAGGACGGCACTCACTCGGAACTCGGTCAGTGAGTGATGCGAACGTACAAACGCACACGACAAAGTTCGAGTTACAAGACAGGAGAAAGCAAGAGAGAGAAAGAGCTGTGGAAGGACAGACACTTATGGTCACGGGACAGTGGGGGCAAGAAGAACAAGAACAATCACTTTTTTTCTGGGGTGGTTGGTGGTGTGACACATATTTTCATGTTAATTTGACACGCATGTCATTCTTAAGAAAGTGCGATAACAGGGATAATAAAATAATGGCAAATAAAATTCCATGTTCTTACGCATTATTTGGAACATTAGGATTTGAATTGATGTTTGGCGAGTCTGAGCCGGGGTCAGAGTTTCCCCCAGCGCTGCCTCCTCCTCCTCCTCCTCCTCCTCCGTAATAGCCGTGGAATTCGGCAAGTGGCGTCAACTATTTGTTTGTCATGCAAAACAAGAGGGGAAGAGAGAGACAATTAAAACAATGGAATGAGCAACCATAATACAACAATCATAAAATACAAAAGAACAAATACACGACAAAGACCAATAACGAGAGAGAGAGAGAGAGAAGCCATTAGTGGATGCAAATGAGGAGCATATTATCGAAGCAGCATAGTGATGAATGAGGAGCGCAGCAGCATCGATGTGACCACTGATACATGTCATTATGCAAATACTCCCAATCAAATCAATTATCCCACTCAATCACTTACAACGAAACCAAGCCAGAGCAGAAGCAGTCTCAAAATGTGGACGTTGTTAATTTAACAACGTCAACCTCAGTCGCAACGAGGAAGATTGCTTGTTCGCAGTCGTTCATACATTGTGCAGGCAGAGTTAGATAAGCAGCCAACTAATAAATAGGGAGCAAGTGCATTTTAAGAGGGAGCAGGAGCGTCAGAAGCCCACAAACATGGCGGCGGAGTGGATATAGAGAATAATACAAAAGTAATAAAAATAGTCCATCCATTTTTATGTGAGATTGAGAATTCATGCAGATTGGATGGTATGTATTTGTGTGTGTGTGTGTCCAACAAGAACGGTGGCGTTTTGTGTGAGTACCAAGAAACGAGAAGAAATGGCAATGACGACGACGCTCAAGTTTGTTGCGTGTTAGAATGTTGTAGGAGAGAGAGAGAGAGAGGGTTATAATATTATTATATAGTTTGGGGTCCAATTAGCCCAAAGTGTCCTCCCCAGACTTGGCACCAATTCACATTCATCCATCCTCGAACTGCCTGACTCTCTTCCCTTCTTGCTGGCTTCATCTCTCTCGGCCACCATCACCACCTCATCAGTATTCCGCTCAGGTGGGGTGAGAGATTAAATGCTGTTGTTTCGTCCATTTTTTTTACTGCGACTCCGAAAAACAAGTGATTTATTCCTTTTATTGCTCGGCCCCAAATCAATTCTTCTCCTACGACGACGACTATGCACACACAGCAACTCGCTCTCCTCTGCAATATCCTACTCGCTAGTGGATTCCCATCGCCAACCAAATTACCCAAAGCCAAGCCATCCACCAAGAACCACAGAATCCACATACAGCTCCCCATAAAACATTTTATTGTTCTCTCCTCCGCATAAGATGAACAGCGTCGTCGTGGATGGATTACATATTCCACACAGAGACGCGTTTCATTATTTTATTTCCACATTTTTCACTCGTCTCTCTCTCTCTGAGATCACATCGCTTCTTGGGAAGTGAGAATGTGTACTTATCGATAGTCACTGAATGTGTGTCACTTACGTTGACTTTGTCGAGGTCCTCCGCGGGTGAGAACTGTGGGAACAATAAAACTATTAGTACCAGATTAAAGTAGATGCGAATGATCACATCTCCTCTCCAATTAAACTGCTGCATGCATTGTCATATATGAAATGGGACTGCTTACCAGGACGGGTGGTTTTGCGAGGTCGGACATGGCGTAGAATTCCGTCCTCTCGGTGGCTGTGTGGTAGAGCTCGTCCAGCTTCTTGCGCCCGGTCGCGGTGAGTTTGCGCTTGGCGGCGCGCCTCTCCTCGTCCCGAGTTTTCCGCTCCGCCCCCTTCAGTTTAGAAAAGGAGAGTGAGGATTTAAACACACGGGCCGTTCATGAGCGTCGTAACACTCCCCACCCACTCTCCCCACACTCTCGGAATAGGCGGAGGAGGAGATGAGACGGTCATCCCCACACCACCACGAGAACCACCCCACGACATATTCCATGACCCCACGACGAGGTAGACGGAGGAAGAGAAATCTCACCCTCCGCACATTTCCCTCTTATTAATTCGAATTAGAGATCGTGACGGAATGTGCGGCCAGCACCATCAGATTCCTCATCAGATCAGGAGTGCAGGTAATGCAGCAATAATAATAATAATAATCAGCATGTGTGAGTAGAAGACGAAGGCATTGCTGCCTACGAGCTGCTGCTGCCTCTGCTACCACGAGCACCTTCGTAATAACCTTCTCTCGATCTTCTCTAATAACTCGGAAACCAATTAAATCTCTCAAATTAAGCTGCCAACTCTGATTGACACTTTACATCGCAGGTTATAACATGGGATAAAAACGCTTCCACGTCGCTCAAGTGGAGAAGGGACCCTGCTGAGGACGCATCAAAATGTCATCCACCCATCCATCCCAACCACAACTAACCCGCATGAATATCTCTCTCACCCTCAGACCAGAGACCGTGTACAAATACGGACGTATTTATACACGCTTCATCTCTCTCGCCTGCCAATCCAATTCCCACCGAAAGAAATTCTCGACAGGATATGATGATCACCTGGCTGGACGATGCGATGAGGCGGATCACATTCTTTTAGCATCCCATTTCCACCACGACTACATCATAGATACTCATAGATTTTTAATACTCATAGTTTCTCATTTTAGCGACGGACGACGGGGTCTAGAAGGAAGAAGGATCTCATCCCCTACTGAATCTGATTGGCGAGTTATTTGTGGAGTCAAACAATGGAGGACCAATGACGAGCTGAGCCATTTTTTGCGACGATTTACGAGACTCTCATCTCGCAGTCAGTCCTTCTATCGCACATCACACGCCGTTGGATAATCTCTCTGCCAGAGAGGACACTTCTTCTTGATCCTATTGTGAAAATTGTGCATACCTGCCTCGCCAAGTCAAGTGATGGTCAGTGTGGTGATAATTATGCCTACACATGTACGTACGTTCGTAATAATGGCATTTGTTTGGTGAGGACAAATCAATCATGCGGCTGGCTCATGTCTGTCGTACATATCTGTTGTTTGGCCATTTGACGACGAGCCCGACGTAGATCTGTGTGCACACATGTCGACGCTCTCAATCTGTACTTCTTGCCCATTCCTTGCTACACAAAGTCAATTGATGAAGCTTAATGGGCATTTAATTCCGAGGGGAGAGCATAAATTAGTCGTGGAGGGGTCGCAGTGGGGGTGCCTCTTCTCATCCAAGTCTCGCCGATGCACATCTTGTGTGTGGATAGTGCAAATAAATTAAGCTGATATTTATTGCCCACAGCGTACAACGAGAGAGAACATGAGAGCAATTAAAGGATTGTTGGTGGAATCAACAAGTTGACGATGATGATTGCGTGCATCGTCGCACTTTGGTTGGAAACGTATATAAAATGGATGATGGATAATGCGGATGATGCCGTGGAACTGAACGACCGACCCTTCAGCTCATGTTCTACGACTACATCTCATCCTCAGAGAGCTGCCTCGGCAGAAGAGCCAGTGCTAATGCAGGCAAGGAGAATAATAAGTAATTATTAAATCGAAAAATGTTATGGCTTCTGGTCCCGTCCGACTCCATTAAAAATATGGCGATGACTAACGAAACCAATAAAAATGGATGATTCATAACGACATTCGCACAACAACGTACTTAATAATCTTGTTGCCTCTTGTTGATTTTTGACGAGGAAAATGCAATACTTTTCCCACGGAGCGACCTTGCTTATGTACATACGCTCAGGACTTTGTATGCATTCCTATGCTCACTCACTGCTACATATTTCTGGGGTGACTACTAAACTACCAATACTCCGTCCACCTGAAATTAGTGGCAACTCGACCACTTCTGGCAGAAATTTAGCCTCCCAATGCACACACGATGGATGGGTAGGTAGATGGGTAGTTAAGTGGGTGGGTGGGTGGTGGGTGTGGAGCAATTTAGGAGTCGCGGAGGAGAAGAGACTTACTTTATCACAGAAGACCTTGATCTGAGAATAGCCACGATGGTAGATGGGGCAGTTGGGGTCGCGAGGGTCGTCATACGTGTCGATCTGCAAGTGAAGGGGCAGCCCCTGTGACGACAGAAAAAAGGACGAGGGTTATTATTGCATTTTTATTACACGTATCAAGAAGAAGGATTCCATTTAGTGAGGTGGAGGTGAGAGAGAGAGAGAGAGAAAAATAGAGAGAGTGAGAGAGGGGGGAGAAGGACACAAGATAAAAATGGGTAAAAGCACATTTTTTAATTTTCCTCTGCCCCAACGTGGGAACGCATCTGGGTGCGAGTGATTTTTATTTCTTGGTCATTCAAGCCATTGCCGTATTTCATTCTCGGTCGTCTTCTTATTCCCATTTCTTTATTTCCACCACTCGTTGGAGCACAAGTTGTTTGGTTTTGGACATCCGACTCACACTGCTCTTGCATCGCATGCTAATGAGCATGGCTTCTAATCGGACCAGGTAACTCGAGAGGTTAAAGTGTCACTCGATCCAATGATACACTCCACTCGGTCCCTGTGAATTATTTCCTCCGTGGTCATTCCTCTCCATCACTCGTCTCATCCAACCCCACGCCATCATTGGCTTGGAGAGAACCAAGTGTGTGACATGACCATATTTTTGACGACCACAACAGCTCCGTATTGGATGACGTTCATAGATTTTTGTGGTGGTGGTGGTGACATTTATTGGCCACGACACCCCATCGCATCACTGCTCGCGACGTATGCAAATTGGACATGAGCTCATATTATCCCTTCGTATGTGCTGTCAATCACTTATTGCTTGACTTGTCCCAGGGAGATGAGGGATTAGAGAGAGAGAGAAAAGTCATGGTGGTGGGATTAGTGCATGTGTCTCACCTTGACGCCTTTTTGACTGCTAAAATCCGTCGAGAGACATTGGACGGCTACGTTGATCTGTAAAAATACGCAAAAATTTCAAGTCAGCTCGCAATCAGAACCAAAATATTTTTTCCACTCTTATGCAACGGACGACGACTCGAGGGGAATTATTGAGTTGTCAAATTGGTACACATCGCCCAATGGTGATGTGCTTGGTCGATTATCTGTTTGCATATGCACATTGTTGTTGTTGTTTTTGAAGATGCTGGTGAGGAGAGTGCACGGAGGGAGCTGAGGTGAGCGAGAAGAGCAATTATTCTCTGGTATTATTGGGTTCCTTTCCATTCTTCGTGCTTTTATGAACATCATTTTGATGCGGCTGTTTATCCGTCCGTCCATCCATCCACCCATCGGCTATCTGCTATCCATCTCCTATGAATGCCATGATTTTGGTACATTATTTTCCCAAGTTCTTAGTTCGAGGCTGGTGGTGGTGTCTGGCTGGACTGGAGAATATGAGAGGATTTAGAATCAGATCACGTCCACGCTCCTTCCGCTCATTACATTCTCACAATCTGCTTGGATTAAATTATACGGCCCATCATCATCTCGGAATTCTTCCACCACTCTGAACCCACCACCTTCGCCGTCCCAAGGAAAACTCTTGCTCGTCGTAAACCCATCGAGACTCTGCCAGAGACAGGGGCATTCACTCGAAGAAGACGCTCCTCCAAATACACACGGACGCTCGGAAAGAGTGTGTAATAATAATAATGAAAAGATTAAATGCCACAAAAAATGCGCTCTCGTATCGCACCTGTTCTGCTACGAGAGTCGCTGCTCTCGTCGACTTGTTGTTGCGGGGGAGTGGCTTATCCGCTTATCTCTACAACAACATAACTACGTATCCTTACCTTTGCCGAGCTTTCCAGGGGGTTCCAGTACACGGCGATGGCGTTGTGAGCAACCTCGTCGATACAGCCCACCAGCCCCACCGAGTTCTTGGTGTCTGCAAATTAAAAGAGGTCATATTACACAACGGCCCAGTCGCACCTTCCCCTTCGCTTGCACACATGCATACGTCAAGAGTGGAGTCGTTAATAAAAGTCAGAATTAATAGAGAAGCGACACTAATCCCAATTAAGCAATGGCTTAATTAGTTGGTACGTGTAATGGGGTGGTGGTGGTGGTGGTTGCTGTCCGCCGTGGTGGAGGTTGATTTAGAAGGCAATATAGTTTTAGTTATTTGATGGGATCTCCTTAACTCGCTGTCTGTCTTCTTCTTCTTCTGGAGAGAGGAAGTGGGCGATGGAGAGGCGAGATTAGTTTAAACTGAGCATTATACAAAGGTCGAGGAGGAGGAGGATGGCTTGATGGAGAAGAAATGAGAATTCTGCCATAAATTCAGATTCTCACAAAACAAATCAAAACGAGAGCATCCATCGTCAGCAGGAGGAATAAATAAATAAATGGTGGCTCATACGCCGTCCGTAATAATGAGCGGTTGAGACTCTTGTTCTTCATCTCATAATGCCATTTATTTTTCCTCCGTCCACTGATCCACTTGTTGGAAGAAGGAGCACAATCTTGCTAAATGGCGTGTATTGTGTGTATCCTCCACTTTTTCTGCATACCAGCGTCACTCACCACACCCAGGAGTCCCTTTTGTTGTCTGCCTACCATCCATTTCAGAACGGGAATAAATGTGAGAGAGAGAGAATGAGAAATGGCCAAATTGGCGATTGACTGTTGAAGTGGAAAACAGGTTGTGGGGATGCTGGCGATGGTGGTGGTGGTGGTTGGTTGAATTGATCTCTGGGGTGAATGAGTCAAAAGTTGGTCATTTTTTCATTTTTTGGGCACCCTCATCTTTATCGTCACAATCCACACACATGTATTACATTGGATTCATTACATTCATGCGATGAGTTCAGGCGGCCGATGAACCCTCATCTCCGCCAGAAAGAAATAAAAAGATGGTCCAAGCCACCGTTATGTTGGAAAAAACGATGATGACGACGATGGTCATCATTCCTCTTCTTCTTTTCTTGTACGATCCATCTGTTCTGGGACTTCTGCTGCTGCTCCTGCTGCCCACCACAAAATCACCACCACTCACCCGCACAAGAATTGATACAGGAGGAAAACTTCATAATAAGGCTGCCACCAAAAAAGTGCTCGCGGCGGCAGTAGCGCCACCACGGTCACAGGTCATGGGAGAGAGGAGGGTGGAAAATTACCTGCGTCCAGGATGCGTTGTTTGACGGAATGTTGTCGCGAGTGCCAGAACTGCCATGCTTTGATTTCATCCTCTGGACTTTTCTCTTCGCGGAAGACCAGCATCACGACGCTCTGCGAAATAATAATGGGATAAAAATGACATGTCATTATGGTGATAAGTACGTGAGCCCAATTAACAAGGCAGAGCACATAATATGATAAATATGATGAGAGAAGGACATAAAAAAGGTAATGAATATGCATGCAACAAACAAATAAACTCTGCGTTGCAATAAGGAAGTCAACTCTCTGAGCTCAAAGGAACACACCAGCCACACGGCAGCCAATAATCCAATCCGCAAATTAGTTATCTCGCAATAGCAGAAGCACCACTGCATACGACGACTTCATACGATTTCATACTTCTCCTCTGCATATGTACGACTAGTGAGCACAACCTCTCATCATCCAATCGAAGCGAATCAATTCAATCGAGAGAGAGAGAGATATTTTTTATTGCGTGGCCCAGCAAAGACATTTTCATCATCATGGGTCTCGTCTAATGATCTAACGGGTCACCCCACCACAATTCCTCCACAGCACTATTTTCTACTCGAGTCCTTTGGTGTGATGTTTGATTGCTCCTCGTATAAATTTTTAAAGGGAAGGAATAATGGACGCCTCAGGCTGAGACATTTTTCTGTTCTCACTCTTCTCGTCCAATCCAGGAATGACCATGTCCAGGTGGACCATTCATTGTGCGCATATGCGTACCTGCACACATCGCATGCACGTATTTCTAGGGTTATATAAATATGATGGTCGTAGTAGCCGTGGAATGGTTTGGCTGGGTCAAGTGGAGCCCCATAACTCATGTGCATATGCGATCCCATGTCTTTTTTGTCTTCCTCTGCTGGCTTTGCTTTACGAGGCTGAGACTTTACGAGAGATTGCTCCCAGATAAGGTCGAGTTACGAGCCAGCCAAGAAACAAAAGGAATCGCTGGCTCGCTGGCTGCCTGGACGCATTACACTCAATAAGCTACGTACACGGATGGACTGATGGTCGGTGCATGGCTGGCCTTTTTGGTAGCGGAAAAGCGAGCGCGTACATTTACTACAAATGGCGAGAGCGGTGTTAGTGGTGGCCGTGGTTGAGTGATGGGACGCCGTGTCCAAACATTTGGGCAGCCCCCCAACACTACGACACGACTCAATACCACCTCGCAGTCACGATCGGTCAGAATCAGTGAGCCTCAGCAGAGTAACAATGACGACCCTCTCTCACACTCTTTCACTCACTCACTCACTCACCTTAACGGTTTGCGACTTGAGGGGCTTCTCCTGGTCCGGGAGAAAGTCGAGCGTGATCCCGTAGAACTGACCCTTGTTGATGTACGTGATACGGTCATCCTCCCGCCGCTGACTCGTCGAGATGGGAGACTCCAAGTAGTAGCGGAAACCGCAGTTGAGGAACCTGCACATGACAATGTCCATCATTTGTTTACCATTCTCATCTCGCCCCACAAAAAATAATTATTCCTCCTTACAGTTTTGGGATCTGGATCTTATCCGTTTCCGAGGTTCTTCCAAACTCATGCCAGGGTCGCGTGGCTTTCTGGTTGGGCGTGGATGCTGGCGTGGAACGACCAGTGGCCGAGCCGGCGTTGCTACTTGCCCCACTCATTTCACCCATCAGCCCTTGCCCCACCATCTCGTTGTAGTCGAAACCCTGTGCCAGAGAGACATTCATAAGTTAAGGTGTGCATCTTGCCCCCGATTTGGGAGCTTTGTGAGGGAGGAGAAGGTCTCATAAGTGGTGTTCAGTTATTACACTCACTGGTTGCGCCGTGGAGTGATCTCTCGGCGTGATGCTCTCCGCCCCGATTCCCGAGTCCGGGGAGTTGACGTCGATGGTGACGGGGTTCTTGTAGGGTCCTCCGACGATGGTGGCCCTGTAGCTCTCCACACCCGTGGGTCCGTCATAGCCTGAAATCACCCGGGTGGCATTGGAGGGGACGTAGTCTGGGGGGAAGTAGTCGCGGTAGTAGGGTTCCGTCGAGTAGCCGCCGACGAGGGAGGAGGCCGTTCTGAGGCTGAACTGCTGCTGTGAGATGACCCCACCACCCCCGGAGTAGTCGTAGTGCGAGGGGTTGAGGGTGGCGAAGGCGGGGTAGCCGTCCGCGTCCGTCGTGGCCACCCCCAGAATCCCGTTGAGTCTGGACGAGGGGGAGGATGGCGAGTGGGGCTGGTGGAGGTCCTCCTGCTTCACCACGATCACTCCGCCGTCCGTGTTGGACGCGTTGTGACCGTTGTTGAGCTTCAGCTTGGGGTTCGACCTCAGCACCGAGGTCAGTTTGGGGTTCAGTGGGGACGACGCCGTCACAAACACTTCCGTCATGTCGGGGGACGAGTTGGACAACTTGGGCTGTTGTTGCACAGGGCTGGAATATTTATCAAAGTCATTAATACAGATACGCATAGTTAGTCATATCGTGGCGTTGCAGATTTTTCAAAGTGACAAATGTGTAGTGGATAGCATGTTACAGGGTGACATGCTTTTTTTGACTGTGAAGGGTGGCGTAACTTATGTGGTGGTGGTGGTGGCGTGGGAACAGTAGTGTTGGCAGTAAATCGACGGTGAGGGTGACAGGGAGGAGAGAGATGCAGATTACCACCGCCCACTCAATCAATCATCTCTCGTAAAAGTACCAATTCCTTCACTCGACTCCATGTTGACACTTTCTCCCTCTCCGTGATAGCAATCCGTGAGCGTAATAGCAGCCGATATTTCCCCCTCAGATCTGACTCTCTGCCTCCATTCTCCGTCCATCTGAGGATTTTTTAGCACCAATAGGCTCGGAGTTTGCATGCCACGGAGCCGTTAGAGAGTGGAGGACGAAAAGAAGCATAGGAGCAGAAGACCCCGTGGTGATCTCTCTTGTTCTCCTCATTTGCATATTATTCATGAGGAGAGATTATTTACGAGTCGGAGTTAGGCCCAACTAAACGACCCTCATAAACAAGTCGCTGCCTCTGCATCCACTGGAGCCGAGTCCAATCAAACGCATCTCTATTTTATTTTTCCTCCCAAAAAACGCTCGCTCGCTGACCAACTCGGTCCAAAGACGATCATCATTCACGGACCGAGCCTGCCCTGTCCCATGCATAAATCCGAGAATGACAACAATAATTGCAACGAGAATGAGGGAGAAGAAGGGAGCATAAATTAGTGTGAGCACAATAATGTAGGTGCTCGGGCAGAGAGGGAGAGCTGAGATTGGGATGAGATGGCCGTTGCTGCATTTTATCCTTCTTGCTAATTCATCCTCTTCTTGCTCGCTAAAACTCATTACTATTCCCAGCCTGCCCCGACGACTAGTGAGACGAACAATGCGATCATGCAATGCAATCTCTGAGGGGAGACCAGCCTTTGACTAAAAGGAGACATTGTTATGCACAAGAAAGGCAGACCTAAAATCTGAAGAGGTTGCTTGCTCGCGTAAAAATGTGATACTAAATGAGTTCTCAAAATGCAAATAATCCGTGTGGCCGTTGGCTTATACTCCATCTTCATTTTTATGCCTCACAGAAAGAAAGGACTAAAATAGAAAGGTGCGTCTCTCCGACCAAGAAGATGATGATGATGACGAGATGCGATGAACAATGAGTGATGATGATGCATGACGGGGCGAAACGAAAGAGCTAAATCCGTCGATAGGACGCTATTTTAGCCGACAGAAGCAGCAGCCAGAATGAAGAAGGGCCATGTCCCAATCCGGCAGAATATGCTGATACAAATCAGACATCCGATATTATTGCAACGTGTTTATGCAATGTTTATTTATTTATTGTGATGGGAGGCAGTTGCTTATTTGTGGTTTATGAGATTGGAAGATGATGAGCTGATGGTGATGATGGAGAAGGAGTGGAAGTGGTCGTCGTCGTCGGCTGGGCTGGTTCTTGTTGTGCCGTGTTGTGTGTGTTATGACTAATTCAGCGTTATTGTTTGGGGTGAATGTTCTTGGATGTGGTTTCCGAACAGGTTTCTTGTCTTTCTCTCTCATTTTAGTGTAGACGACTGAAATGGGTCAAGTTTGCGTGTTTGGGGTTGACCTACTCCGTCTACTCCCACAAACCAAAACTGGATCTCCACAAACTGGAAAGTTGGGTTCTCTCCCACCAAGAAGACTACACACCACGCCAAGGTCGACTCCACTCCAGCCAACCCTGCCTAAAAACCTGTTGGTGGATATGTCACCCACACCGGAACATGTTCTCCTTGCTCTGGGTCAGGATTACCAGCATGATTATGGTCATTATGGGGCAGGAACTACTTCCGTCCGCTCGTCTCAAGACACCCCGTTCACCACTGCACCTCTCCTCTCTCGCCTACTCTACTACATGTCTGCTTCGAACTCGTCATGCCTCCCACGGATGCAGATATATAGAAAATGAGTACTTACGACCAAATGTCCCCTCCGCGGTGGTCGCTCTTGAGCAGCTCTCCGCCCCCGCCTTGCAGATTCTTGCCGTAAATGTCATAAAAGACGTTGAAGCCGCCGCCCGGCGACTCGTCCGAGGCTCCGTTGATGTTGAGCATGGCCGTGGTTGCGGCTGTGAGGGGGTGCTCGAAACTGCCTCCGCCTCCCTCCACGACGAGCAGGCCGGGTGAGGAGGACACTGGGTCGGAGGTCGACTCAAACTCTGTCGACGACGACATGCGCGAATACAGCGGTGAGGAAATCTTGTCCACTCTCTCGCACTCTACGGAGGAGGGGGAGGTAGCATCAAACTCGGTCTCTTCTCTGCTCCCCCTGCAATTAACCAGGTTCACATCTGAGATCATCCAACATGTACAAATCGAGGCAAGCTAGCACCATTTCTTGTCATGTACACATTCGCTGCTGACTGCTGGCCCGGAGGCCGTGCTGGCTGGTCATTAGCTGAAAAAGCCTCACTTTTTGTGCCAGTCACTGAAGAAAGAGAGAGAAGAATTGCAAAAAGAGAGGTCAAGCGCGGGCGACGACGACGACGTGGCAGCAAAAAGATTCTCATGCTGCAAGCACTCAGTTTCTGCATTTTGAGAATGAGGAGAAAAAGTGAGGCTGGCTGCACTTGCTGCTTCGTCGTCGTGGTCGTCGTCGTGGTCGTGGTGGACCCCAGGAGGCTGGGGAGATTTATTCTTTTGGCCTTAATCCCCTCCAAGGACGCTGAGGCTATAACCATCCACTGTCCGCTCTCTTCTCTCTAATTCCAACTCTAATGCCTTCCACTTTTTAATCGGGATTAGACCGCTTTTCACTCTCGACTTCATTCACCAGCTCATAAACATTCCACTTTCTGGCTTAAACAACGCTCGACTTATTAAAAACTACTTTACGCTCATCCCATCCCTTGTTGGGGCAGCATCTGGACCATGACCATAAAATACCACGCCAAAAACCACACCGTCTCAAAGACTCGTGTCATAAATTGTGCTACACATTTAAAAGTAAGTAAATAAATATATCCACTCGCGAATGGAAACACTTTTACTCACCGTCTCGATTCCTGCTCCTATCCTCTTGTCCTTTTTCAACAAAGAAACTCTACAGACATGCAAACATGTGTGTGTGTATAAAACTGTCACAAATCACACAAAATGTTCCAGAATTCAGCAGCCACCCCCAGATTATCACGCACACATTGAGATTGTCTCAACCACCAGTCGTCACTCTGCTATTTTTACTTTAGTACTCTTTTCTCCTGGAACTGTGTGTTGTGTGAGACGGAGGGAGGAATCTGATGGATATGCAGAGCAGCACTATTAATAATTGATGGAGATAACTATTGAGCGATAGTATTTGCGTGGGGTCAAGTGTGGGGCGGCGAGGACGGTGTGTAACGTGGCCGAGTCTGAGTCGAACTGAGGCAGGGGAGCTTAGGCCAGCATGGAGAGAACCAGGGTGGATAAGTTGACTTGGATTGGACAGAGATAGGCGAGATACATTGTGTGTACGAAGGTATAGAGCGAGGAAAGGGTTGAATAAGAAGAAGAAGATGACCACATGAGAAGTAAGTGAGCGAGCAACAGGTAGTTTAACCCCACGACGACGGCGATGATGCAGGAGAGGCCAACCCTCTCCCCTTTCTCACCCCTCTCTTGTCCCGTCTCTCATTCCCTCTCGCTCCCCATCCACTTCTTCCTACGAGATCATTCCCATTGTTCTCCATATTGTGTGTGTGTACCATCTCTTTAATTATCATTATAATTCCTCTCCTCCACCAATTAATGCACAATTAAGCCAATCCTCCACCGTCTCCATTCTCACCGACCCTGGTCATCCAGCCCCTGCCCGCCTCCACCCATCACCCACCGACCCCACTCGCACTTCCAAGCACTACAAATAAAAGGTCACAACCGTAGTCGGATTAGTCCGTAGTCGGATCGACTTACAGATTGCTATGTTGTGGGGAAAGTGAGAGTCGTCGTCGTCGTGAGTCGTCTCATTAGATGCTCCTCCTGGACTGGATTTGTGGAATAAAGTCGGTTGCACATAATGATAAGTGATGCGTTGAGATTGAGCTTGTTACTCTAATAAATGTCCCATTGTTTCCCTCCCAATTGGCACCCACTTAGCCCATTTAGAGCCCATTATCCCTAACCAAGCAGTCACACACGTACACACCCACAACCATCACACATATTTCACTGCTCCTCGGAATATCTATGCAAGCGACCTGCATCCTGTAAATGAGCAGCAGCAGCAGCATCGGCGGCCCTAAGCATCGTAATATCTCTTTTACGAACGACAAACAATGCCATAACAGAGCAGAGTAATAGCCACACATGAAAATACACAACAATAAATGAGCACAATGAGCACCGCTCTCACGTCTCTCCTCAAAATAAGTATCTGATTTTAAGTGTATTGTTGCGTTACAGGGTATTCTTGTCCCTTCAAAGTCAAGGCCCGTTAGTCGAGAGGACTTGGCGAAGGAAACCACAGAAATAACCACAACGGGATAAAAGGACGCGGCGGAGGAGACTCGGTCATAAAATCAAATTCCTTCGCTGTTTTCTTCTTCCTCTTAACCCAGCCCAACGCAACCTCAGATTTTAGGCACACATGACATTTATACGACGCCGATAAGCATGAAAAGAGAAAAAAAGTGTGCAAATCTTATCCTGCCCCACCACGAAAGATGATCAGTTTGACCGTGTCAACAACACGACAACGACTTCACACGGAACATGTACATGTGCACTTATCTATGTCTACATATATGAAATGAGAGCTCTTTTTCGCTGTCTTGGTCTCCTCTTGTTCTTGTGAATGGCAGGATCTGAGAGGGGATGCGATGATAATAGTCCGTCATAACACTTTGGCTCTCGTTTCATTTTTCACGATTAATCCGAACGACAGGTGAGCAAGGCAGGATCGAGATGCTCACTTTGTTTGCCTGAGTGACGAGAGTCCTCTGTCCCATTGCGCAATCAGTGGTGGGGTTCCATTGCTTATTGATGGAGGAGAGCGTGGGGAAGCAAACATCGAGGGACTCAGTTCTTCCACTTCCACAGAGTCCGGAAGAAGAAGAGGAGCAGGAAATGTAGGTAGGGGAAGGGTCCGGCTCATCACCACCGCCACCACCGCCGCAGTCCTCGGAATATTCTCATGCAAATGAGCTCCTCGGACGCTTGGGAATGTAAAAATGACCAATTTTTAAAAAAGTGGATAAAAGTTGTGCTCTTTGTCTGTCCAGTGGTCTCTTCGGAGCGAGGGGTCTCACGGGTGAGGACTGAATGAACGTCTCTTGTATTCCAAAGTGACCCAGCTTCTTCCCAGGCTCGGATTTATTATTGATGCCGGACTTTTGCTAAAAATGCGCATCATTCTCCATTGTCCGAGGGCTGAAGGGTTACAACGAAAATAGATTTTTCCGTCCTCGCTCTTCTTCTCCTGTGTCCGAGTGTGTGTTTTACGAGTTGATGAGATTATGACGACGACGACGACGACGACGATAAAGGAGCATGAATGGCCATCGTATTTAGTTCTTTGTATGGACATTAAGAAGATGGCTTTCACATGCTCTCTCTCTCTGCGCTGCGTATGGATGGATGGATGTTCATGTGTATATGAATGTGTGCAAGTATGTATTGTGGCTGATGGGATTGCATTTTATTCGGTTGGATTTTTTGGCCGGCGATTCATCGGAATGTTGGAAAGAGGAGAAACTGAAGATGAGGCGAATATATTGCATGCATGTTGGGGCGCAGAGGTTGTGGCCTGGTCGGGAGAGTCGATAATTGAGAAGAGCAATGCAACAATCCCACTCCACGTAAGAAGAAGACCAAAACTATGCGTTTATCCAACTTCCATCTAGAGAGAAGGCATTAAAGGGTAAAAAGCGCTTTTTCACATTACCTCGTCTTCCACATTACTTATTACGACGACGTATTCTCTCGAATTACGTATCGTTGTTGCAGTATTATTGTCTTCTCTTATGGCGATGGCGATGGTGGTGGTTGCTTCGTTTTTCTGGAGTTTGTCAGATTTCTTGGTGGTTGGTTTCATGGTGCACATACGTATGCGTATCAAAGTATCTAGCTTGTGGTTGGAAGAAGACCAAGTTTGTTGTGAGGAGAGTGAAATATACGAAGGAGGTAAATAAAATGCAATAAAGGGTTGAGAGGTGAGGTTGGAGGTTGTTGAATAAGGAGAAGAGAGAACTAAATGATGTAAAAAAAAGCTGGACGACCAAAAGACGACTACGATTCATAAGATGGGCTGCATGGATGGGAGGCAGGTATTGCAGACGAGTATTAAAGGTAAAGCAATAAAGCCACCACCAAGTCCACGGCCACATCACTGCTGCTGTTGCTGCTGCTGTTATCCTTATCATCATGATTTCTTCAATTCCACCAAAGTATGCAAATGAGCCAAATAAAAATCAGACATTCCCAAGAAGTAAGCAAAAGGCAGCAGGAGCAGCAGATGACCATTCTTCTTTCTCCCATTATTCTCATCCTCTCAATCTCACAGGGTGCACACAACAATGTATTCCACCGTATGTGGATGGCTGGCTGGCAGTGGTCACCTTATGGCAGGAGGCAATAATAACTAACCCCGACGACGACACGGCTGAGATGATGCTGCTTCATTTCATTCCTCAAAATTGGTCTTCTTTCTTGATGATGTTCAGCTTTCTCAACTTTTTGGGAGCAAATAAATGGTGGTGCAGGCATAGGTCTGCCTGATTTATATGCAGGGAGCGTCGCATCGCGTCTCCTTTACCTCCTTCTTCCTTTATTCTCATCTCGCTCCTGCTCGAAGAAGAGCACGACCATCAATAACATCACCCCTCATTTACCCCCAACACGACCAAGACGACGACGACCACCAAATCTCTTATTAAATGTCAACTGTCCGACATTCCACCATTTTTTCCACCGCTTTTTCTATCCAATTACCAAAAGTACATTATTATCATTTTATCCCAATCCTACATTTGGCCCTTTTAAAATAGGAGAGAAACTTTCAACACGATGCATTCTAGTCACATAGCTCTTGCCACTTTTGCGTTGATCATTTTTGTGGTGAGTTATTCGCACTGAGAGCCATTTTTTGATGCTAGTATCCACTCACTCGCATCTCTCTGGCTGCAATTCCGAAATGGGGGAAAGGTGAGGATTTGATTTTAGAAGGAGTGCTCCCATTTCGCCCAATTTGCAAGGAGATTGCGGTGTTTTGATGGGATTTTAGTGTTTACTGTGTGTGTGCCGTATGTGTGTAACGGTGCCTGCTACTTCACCCATCAATCAACCGCATCCATTATCATCATGAACAACGAGCGGACCATTTTTTAGTGAGGGTCACTCGCTGAGGCTGCCGGGCTCTACCTTCCCCACATCCCATTAAATCATCTCGCTCTCCAAAATGAGCATCTTTTATTTCGAGTGGCCGTGGTGGATGCAGGAAACAACTCCACGCCAACAGATCAACTTGTTGTCGTGCTCATTCACAAATTCTCATCTCATAAAATAATTTGCCATCATCATCACAAGGCGATTACATGTTCGCCATAATATGCCTGCATGGTGGATTATTGGATCATCCAATTTGGATCACAGTCTCGGGTCCTACGTAGTACGTACATAGCTACATGTGCACATCCGACGACTGACCAGTATCACTGTGCTGGGTTCTTCGGGGTCTCGTCACTCGCTCGTACATGCACAAGTTTCGGCTTTATTGCCTCGTCTCATCTTCTCACGGGAAGATTTCCTTCTTGCTCCTCCTAATGAATGTGTGCCAAATTGGGGCAGCTTCATTTACTCCCCTGGTGACTTGGTCCGTCAAGAATTGTATGCCAACATTGCCCTAATTGGCCGCAATTATAAATATTTATGATATGACCAGCATTTTGGATTGATTGGATTGATTAATTATTTAGTCACAACCATGACATTCGGGTTGACGATAGAAGTACGAAATATGTGCAAATCAATCAGCGGGATTAGTCAAATATGACTTTACTTGGACATTGTCGTTCTCTCTTTCATCAATGGTAAATAGGTAGGGGAAGTAGAAAGGAATTTAATTCATTGGGCAGGATGTGACATGTTTCATTTACTCATGTTATCAAAAATCATTCATTAGAATGAAGGAGAGACTTTCACTTGTCTAACTTCCGGTCACTTGTACGCAAATAATGGTCTCCACGTTTCAAATTGGACCCTTTATTGAATTTTCGTTGCGGTCGGCGGACGGAGCCATAATGTCGTTCGTAGGCTGAAAGTCCGCTTTGAGAATGCGAAGTAAGAGAACAGTGCTCATGATGACGATGGAGGCGTTGGTGACACAGCCCAGGACGTGCACTCCCGGCGAGACCTGTGCGTAGAGTTTGCATGGTTTTTTATACTAAATATTGGGTGTGTGGGGGTGGTGGGAGGAGTGGAATCGTTACCTCCTGCGAGTTTGTAGCCAGCCAACGCGCCATCCATCCCAGCGGCACGAGGCGAAAGAGAAGAAAGGTGCACAAATTGAGTGCGGAAATGGTTCTGTAGTACGTCTCAGTCTTGCAGACTTGGGAGAGGAGGAGGAGTTGGCGCCAGTGGAGGAAGACCGAGTTGACCTCGATGACCAGGGCCACCATGACGAACCCCTGATAACGACGGGTCAACATGGACACTCCGAAGCAGGATATCACCTGATGTCAAAATGCCAAGTGACGATCAAAATGACGAGTGTGTAGGTATTTTTAGGTAAACTCACGAATGCATGATGGAGCATGAGCTCGTAGGCGGATCTCTTCCGATGGTTGAGGAACAGGTCGAAAAAATCAAATATGAAATACCCTCCAAAGACCAAACACAATCTCAGAATTAGTGTTAAATGGCATGGAATAGAATTAGTAATTTCTCATATTTATGAGTAAATGGATCCTCGTGCAGGGGTTTTCCAGGGAGTGAGCAGACTTACCAAGTGAGAATGCCGTGAGACGGTGCGCAAGTGGGGAGTAGACGTGGACCACATCGTCCCCCAGTTCTGGACACGTGTACAAACTGCAAGAAATGGAAGTTTGTGTGCTAGTTTAGCATTTTATTTCGTATGGTTGGTGTGACCGCTGACCAGCTCAAGGCACCCACCCCCGTCACGAGCGAGTGGAGGAGCGAGTTGGCCGTATTCCCCCATTTCCACCGTGTGACCTTTCCTCCGAGGAGAACTCCCGGTGGGGCGAACCAGGTCCCGCGACGAAGGGCGTAGAAAAGGGCCAAGGAGCCAACCACCACCTCGAAAAGCTCGCTCATTTGCTCGCTGCGATTCCTGATGATGGTCAGCTGATGTCCCTCCTGAATCCGATTTATTTAACACGTACTTACATAACTTGTGATACTATTTACACACAAGGCTATTACATAATATGCCATAATGAGTGCGGTAAGACATAATATTGGCATAATGTTAGTAGGTATGTGTAACAGGATGTGAGTATAAGTGACGCATTTCCTTCGGAGGGGCATGTTGAGACTCAATCAGGATTTATGCACTTTTTTACTGCGACGACTTGTGTGTCTCACTTGGTTTCGTAATATTCTGCTGGTGACATTTCTAATGCAATGAGCAATAATCTATCTTTGGACTTTTAATTAACTTGATTTTCGAGTGGAGACCTTGCACGGCTGACTATGGGCTACTATCCCAATTTAAAAGACAATAACAACTCGGGCTATTGAATTTTCAGAGGTCAGACAGTCACTCAGCACGTGTCACTTGGATTTGGTACTTGCATGACTATTGATGCATCTCATTACCCAAGGCTGCTTGCGTCAAGGAAAACATTTTAATTGGAACTGAATTGATAATGACGTGTGTGAACATAAATTGTTCCGAAAACGGTTTTCGGACACACGCCAAGCTGTATACCTGAGGAGCACATCCGGACGGAAAGTTGGTCACACAAGAGCTCCAGACTTCTGTTTCCCCCGACCAAGGAGGACCAGTCATGGAAATGGACCAAGGGGATGAGGTCGTCCCCAATTCCACGGCGTTCACAGATTATCAGCGGCGAATGTGGTACTCGTTGAGTCAGGGCGCTGTTTCAAGATTTTACCACGAGAGGGTGGACGGGGGGATATACGTCATCCGCAAGATTGGCTGGATCCCCTTGACCTTCTACTGGACAATGTGGATCAACACGACGGTCAAGGTGAGACAACCTCTGTTTCTCGTCATATTTCTCTCCCTACCCCAACGACCCACTTAATTAGCGACCCAGGGAGTTGACATAATCATGATGTGTGATTGCATGGGCAGGTCAGCTACCTGCTGCTCAGCTACAACGGCTGGCTGGGCGTGGAGGTACACTTCCTGGACCAGATGAGGTAAATATGTATATATATATTATATATATTATTGAATACCCTCATTATATAATGAGGGTATTCGTTATTTCTAAATAGTTTACGAAGAAAAAACAAGGGGTCAGGTTTAGTAAAAATCGTAAGCGTAGTAACGTGATTTTCGATGAGAAAATCTTACGACGCTTACAAAATCTCGTAAGCGTCGTAAGTTATTTTACGATACGAAGAATACTAAGGATACGAAGAAATAATGAATACCCTCAATGAATACCCTCATTATATTATAGCATGTGGGACTGGTACTTGAGTACGACTCACATGGTTCAAGAGCAGATCTTGTGGTACTCAAAGTACCCCATGTACGAAATCCTGCATCGCCAGTGGTCACTCCAGGAGAGCATTTTCTCCAAGATGAGCTGTCCTCCCAGAGTGGCGAGTTCTATTCGGAGGACGGATCTTATCAACTCGGTTTGCTACCCGTAAGCTAACTAAATAAGTATATTTCCTAGTCACCCGCCGGCTGCAGCACACATACCGCCCAATCAATCACATTCCAATATCCTGACTTATGAATTTCCAATTAATGATCCAATTTACAGTAATGGCCAAGTCACACGCAGAGACAGATCAGCACTGACACGACTCGTTAATTAAAATGGTTTGGTCGTTTCACAGGTTCGTCGTGTTTACGGGAACCTTCGCCTTGTCCGTCCAGTTCTTTTACACCCCGAACTATGCCCTCAACACGTATGCGCTCATTCCGCCAGCCTGGGACAGTTGGTGGTTGCAGGTCATATTCTGCGTTCACGAATGCCTCTTCATGTACCATGCCTATGCTTATCAGGTACATTTCTTATGACTTATTGACTTACCAGTTCCTTCAATAATTAATAACTTCTGTCTGGCTCGGAACTGCGTCCGTAATGTGTACGCAATACAAATAGGCTTGCACCATGGTGGTTGCCGAGAGCATGTCAACCTCGTACCAACACTTGCTGGAGGATATGACCAAGACGGTGTACAAGTGAGTGGCGCTATTTATTAGGAAATGTTGCTTGTTCACATTCCGATCACTGCTTCTCGAGATGGTCACACTCATAGGAAGAACATTATGCATCCTGTATTTGTTGCCTTTCGCCAGGCTGATCGAGACTGGGGAGCTGCGCCAGGACGAGACGTTCACAAGACGGGGACGCAAAGAAGTCCCTCCGTCGGCAACATCGCGGCCACCCACGCAGGAGCAGCAGGGCGGGAGGAAGAGTGCCTTCCGTCGTCAAATGATGACGGACGGCGGGGGTGTGGCGAGTGGCGTGTACCGTCGGAAACCCATTCGTCGTTATCTTAATCCCACGTCGAAAGCGCCCGGAACTCGGTACGACATTTTAGGCCTGATTAATGACTACAGAAACATTATGCTCTGCGTGAACGAGCACAACAAATGGATCGGTCGTTTGATGGGAGGTGCGCAAGCGGCAAATTATGCACAGTTTGTGTCCGATGTCTTTATGATGATACAGGTACTTACATAGATATCGAGGGACAACTGGTGACAGTTCCTTACGTGCAATTTACATGGACATATTTTACATACGGATCTCTTGGTCATTTGTTGCAGCTACTGAAAGAGCCAAATTTTGATTTTCTGGGCATTTCATTCTACGTGATGGATGCTTGTTTTGGGATGTGCATGTTGTTTCGCATGCTTATCATTTTGGCACGGTTGGTCCCAGCCTCGGACGAGTTTGTCCAGTCGATCCGCTGTTACGTCATGTACGAGACGCCTCTTCGGGGCTACATTCTCAAAGTTCTGCCCACTCTCAAACGCGTGTCTGCAAAGCTGACTGGCTACTCGGTCCGACCCCAATCTGTCCCCGTAGGTGTCAACGTCCTTATCAATTGGTACATTTGTGCCGCCATGTGGAAACGACCCGACGACCCATCCAGGAGGACTTGAATAATTCTCCAGGTCCCCGTAGTAAATATAGATACGTATTATTGCTTCTTTACTGCATGTTTAAGTACAAGAAATTCAGAACAAATAAAACGATGAATAATAACAGAATGGCATCTATGGCGTAATAATGCGTAACAAATACACAAAATACGACATGTGTGTACATTTACGAATAAAATTTCCGTCAATCACGACTGGGCAGACTACGCCGTCACTCCCGCACGACCACTATTCGTTCCACGTTTGAGGAGAAGCGTCTTGGTTCTGGCCCGGTTGAAGGCATCGATAACTTTTTGCACGCTTTTGAGAATCGTGGCGGAACTCATCTTCTCCAAAAGGTCCAACTTGGAGGCCTGATCGCGCACTGAGGAGGGGGCGTGGTGAGCGAGGTGCAGGCGAACCGTGACCTCACCACTCGGGTCAGTCTGCAACCCAAGTCTGTTCCCCACTAGGCGTTGATTACTACTTTTCTGAAATAATGGAATTCGAACTAATTTAAAAAATGTGCTTGTGGTGAAGACAACAAGGCAAGAGGAATTTGTTGATAAGGTAAAAAAATGGATGCCTCCTCGAGAGAGAGTCAAAACCGATGCTAAATTTGCAACAAATGGAGAGGTTGGCTAGATACCTGTGGGGGGATGTGGACAGCTTTAATGTCCTGGAGAGAGGGTGTGGCATCGAGAAACAAGTCTTGCATCCATTCGACGATGGAACGATGTCTTGGCTTCCAGGTGAGGACGCGGAGGGTGTGGGATCCAGGGGTGGAGGGCAGGTTGGCGTATCCGTATCCCTCGTAGCGGACGCGACCACTGTCCTTCAGGGACACGACCATGAGGAGGAGGACGGGACTTTGGAGCGTGTGGTGAAGCGTGTCCAGCGAGAAGGAGAGGAGGGTGGAAAACTGGTGGGAAAAGTGGGCAACCCCATCCACCGTCGTGTAGCTGCTCTGGGTCGTCCCTGTCCCAAGCTCGGTGTGAATACTCGAGGATGAATTTTGGGTCGTGGTGGTCCATCCGGTGGGTGTTTCGAGGAGATAGTGGACGCAGAGCGGCTCGCTGTCAAAGCCACGAGCGGAAACGATCTCACCCATCAGCCACACGCGGAGCTGGTTATGGTCAACGCTCTAAAGTAGGGTGGAATAGATGTCGTAATAAAACAATAAATAAAGTCAAGGCTAACCTCGAATGAGACGCCTCTGGTATTACTGTTTTTAATAGTTGAGGACAGAACAGGTCGTCCTAGTTGAGGGGAAGCTTGTTTCTGGGGTGGAAGGTGTAGCTCCCAGCTGAGGCGGTACACGTGGGTTCGGGAGGCATGGATGACACGAAATCCAAATGGAGCTTTGACAGTTATCACGCCGGCGGTAGGAAGCGCCTTCAGTCGACAAACTATGACCCGTCTTCATGGAAAGCATATTTAAATGTGAATCATGGCCAGATTAGTTAGGCTAAGGAATAAGTAATTGACCAAACTTTTTGGAGTGGGGAATGGTTGCCACAATAATCATGGCCTGCGACTGGAGCGAGATTTGTCCCCGGTGTCGCAACCTTTCCTCGACTGCTCGAGTCCGGCGTGTGAAGGATGGAACACGTTTGCCATCCGTGGCTCTTGTCCCATCAGCAATGTCCCCAAGGATGGGTTGACCCCTTTAACAATTCAATAATTAAATAAAAGTGTGTGTGTGTTATGATTGGAAAACCGATGCGGAGGATAAACCATATGCGATCATTGATGACGTGGTCTACCTGGACTTTGAGGGACTTGTGGTGGGGAGGATGGACGATGACAGGGACGCTTTAGGTCGCTTTCCTCGCAAGTGCTTCCCCATCATCTCCACCACAGATGCGTCTTCTTGGCGAATAAAATCATCCACGGCGGCATGACGTTGTTCCACTTCTTGGCGTCTCTTTATCACTTTCATCAGCCGTTGCTCCTCCTTCAACTCTGTTTCTTGCTCTGTTTTCGTCTTTTGCTTGGTGGTACTGACCTTCTTTGCGGGGTCACTAATCCCCTCACTTGAAGTGGTGGTGGTGGGGGCCTTGACGGTGGAATCTTCATTACTGGTTGCGTCTGCGTCCTCCCACTCTTCATCTTCCGCCTGCCCTTGTGGAGCTGGGACCTCCTTCCTGCGCGTCTCAACAGCCCCTCTCGCTCCCTGCACGGTCCAATTCAAAGTTGCAATTAATTTCTAACGCATCATCATCATAAATAGTACGCTCACTTGTCTTGCCACAAATATGTCTGTGTCAACGTAGGAGTAGAGCCGAGGAGTATCTCCGACGGACCTAAATTAGTAATATTCTCTCAGTCGCTAAAAATAATGGTGATTTGTTACCTTAATTTGTATTTACGCTCACCCATCCACCTTTTCTTGCCATGAGAAGATGCGATCCTGAACGATGGAGAGGAGGCGCTCCTTGTTTTTGTCTTTCCGGTCTATTGTTACGGAGGAGAGGGACGGGTACTCCAACAGGCGGACCCTATTTCACAATTTAAATCCTGCTGTATTATGTCAGATTTCAATTTGTTAATCTAAAAACTAAAGAGACTTGGATTAATCTACCTCAGCTTGAGACCACTGAGCGGACCGTGGTAGCGGTGCGTGGAGGCGATCGGTTGAGCCTTCTCGATCCGCGGCAAAGGAGGCAGATCCGTCAACTTGACCCAGCCCAGCACGACGTTATCTTGGGGTGACTCCATAATCAGTGAAGGTCGCTCTACGTCTTTGGCACCTGCGGAAATTCCCATTCTTTTAGGGTGGATGAAACTTTGCATGGAGTTGAATTGTTACCTGTTGTGCTACCATGATGACCTTCTCGAGGACCTGAAGAAGGTGGGCGTGATTCTGATTCACTCATTTCTGGGTTGGATAAGTGATGTCGGAAAAGTTGGCTTGATCAGCAGGAGGAACGCTTCTTGTCAGTTGTCATCATTTGTCATGCCTTTGTTGCCATGCCAGTCGCTGTGCAGCTGGGCAAATTGAGACGACGCGGGAGGACCACTGCTGCTGCTGAGCTGATGGAAATAAAAGACCACCGGGTTATCATTTTCTAATTTACTAATTTGGTTGTTGTTCCTTGGAGTGAAGGTAATAATATGAGCTCGTTGCCGAGCAGGATGGGGAGTCAGGCCGTGTTGCAGACGTTGAACAAGGCCACCACTCAGCGACTCTTCCTTGCCTCCTGCTACCCCTGCGAAATCCCCTCCGCACACCGTGTCAACGTCCAAACTATGGACTTTGATGGGTGGCTCAAAATGGTGGGTGTGGTCTTTCTTGGTCTTCTTCATCAACCAACAAGCTTTTACTTGTCTAATTGGATTGTATTCTTTAAATTTACAGTACTTTACAAAATGGATTTCTTACTATGCTCACGACACGACTGGGAAATGCAAAGAGGGAGATATCGTGCTTGTCGAGGAACTTCCACAACGCCTCACCCGAGATATTACGCACCAAATTAAGCGCATCGTCTACCCATTTGGCGATATGGTTGATCCAGTCACGGGCAAGAAGTGTTATCGAACCCAGTATAGAGATGACGTTAAACGGTAAGAAGACGCATACATCAATTATCATTATAAATTATCATTATAATATCTGACTTGGTCACTGGTTATTGTAGAATTAACGAGTTGTGGGGGGTTAATCCTGGGCTGAAATATGACTACGATAAGGCTCCTCCCCGTGGTTGGCAAGAAGGTCGCAAGGATTGGACACACAAGAAAGGTTACCGCAAATTCCACGAGTTCACCGACCGCGACCAGCCTGAGGCTTCTTGGTAGCAAGAGGAAGAGGGTGGTGGTCAGGTGGTCCTCTGTTATTTCGTAGTCAGTCCAGCTCACTTTATTTTATAAGAATATAATTTATGTGGTTATAATAATTCAAAATAGTTAGGCCTGAGATAATAAATTGTTTATTGTGTGGTGACTATATAATTTGTGTATTTGTACAGATCAGATTATTAGAATATTCATGTCTTCACGACCAGATCTGCTTTCTTTTGATTGTCCACCAAACCAATATTGGTGGATGTTTGGTCACTCTTCTCCTTCCTCCTCCTCCGCCGCCTTGAGCTGTTGCGACACTTTTTCTAAATTGGAAAAAGTCTTTCTCATCGCCGCCCAGTATGACATGGAGTGAAAGGGAAGACCGTGCTTTCTCGCCAACACTTCAACCCTGGGTCGCACTTGTGCGTGTCGGAATTGAGGCATAGTTGGAAAAAGGTGGTGTTCAATCTATGTACAAATGACATTACCAATTTCCTATGCATAATTAGATAATTGTAATTGACTTGGCCATGTATGTACATGTACAGATGTAACTCACTTGATAGTTAAGCATCCCCATCCACCAGTCCACGAACCAATTGGGCTCGATATCAGTCGTGTGGGCAAGACTATACTCGACCCAGTGGAGACTTTGAGTGCTGACTTCCATGTGGGTGTGGCTCAGAGCAAAATTGATAAAGATGTAGTTTGACGTCAGCCAGACGGCGACGACATAGTTGACCAGCCCGAATGGGAGAATGAGACAATAGTGAACCGACATGAAGAAGAGGTCGGAGAAGGCCCCTTTCCTCCAGGCGTAACGTGGATGGAGGTACACCTTCCAAAAGATGGCCACCAGAAACGTGTCCACAAGAACAAAGAGTTTGGACTGGTGGCGGAGAAAGAAGTTGGAAGTGGGTCGATCCTCCATCACCTTTTTGTTGAAGGCGAGTAGGGGCAGTGTCTCCAAGTCCACGTCTGCATGGAGACGTTGGGGCATGGCGTGGTGACGATTGTGCTGCGATGACCACCATCGTGCTGACATCCCGTCGCCAAGACCTTGCAATTACCATACACTTCAGAATGCTTAGACTTCAGCACATTTATATCCACCATTTATACCATAAACCATTGATTGGATGAACCGGTCCAGCCGTGGGCGACCCGTGATGGAATGATGTCCTCCTTCATGCATCCACCAGCCACACCTTCCCGCATAGAGGGCCGAGAGGAGGATGCCCCCCACTTGAAGCCAGGCCGACGCGGAGGTCAAACAGCAGATGGCCGTCACTTGGAGAGCAATCAGTTCCAGGAGGCGGAAGAGGGTGTGGCTCCAACTGGGCAGAAAAAACCCCTCCTCTCTCAGCTCACTTTCCAGACGGGCAAAGTCATCACTCAATGCTTTGTGGCGCGAATGCTGGGTGGCTGCACCATGGTTCGCGAGGTCTAAGACCACAGCAGTACATATCAGATACTGGAGGCAACATGAGACAGCTTATCATATAACTAACATGCTATACGTGCATCAAGCCGGTTGTGTGTTGAAATTCACTACTTGTAAAATCATTCACCTTCTGGGGTCGCCTTCCTCCTTGGAAGTCCTCTCATAATGGCCAAGGTCTTCGGGAGGGAGCGGTTGTGAAACTGCTGCACTGCCAGAGTGGCATCTTCCCCTGGAGCCGTGTAAAACTGGATAATCTTGCCTCCCGGGTGGCGATCAATCCAGTTCGTGACGTCGTAAAAGTGACCCTCGTACAGGATTTCATTCCTCTGCTTCGCCACGGCAGACGACGGAATGCATCCCTTCCTCGTCTCTTCCACCCATGATGACGACGAAGACGGATCTTGCTCCTGCTGCTCGAGTGACATGTTCTTATCTCGTCGAAAGAATGCGGCGGACTGATTGCACGAAATCAAAGTCCTGGAACGGAGGTCAGTCCGTGCATGTGTTGAAGTTTTCATGTGACATGATTGGGAAATTTCGACTTGCACTTCTCACAGCACCATCAGCATAAAATATGCAATAAACTGCCACTTTGTCATCCTTTGTACTATTGAATAACTCGTAAAAATGCATGACATTGTCCAGGAGCAGAAACTCGTGTGTGGGTTCTATTGCATAAAATTCGAGTCAAACCAAATCATCGGTCTGCAGCAATTATCGCTTTGCATGCTGATCAGGACGGGTTTAGGAGACGGAAATTTACAACATGCGAACTGTCACCCACTCGATGGGAGAGCATCATTATATAGGCAATTTATGTCATAGGCATGCGATTAATATAGACCACTCGAGAAGAAATGAAATCACAGCTCCCATCGCATCGATTGTCCCATTATCTTATTTCACAAAGGTTTATTAGGCGGATGCCCTGTTTTTTCACGATCCAATAATTAACAGAGTGACTAATATGGGAAAAGTAAAGTGCTTATCATCCCATCCACCTGAGGTTGCTATCGCTGGGGAAGGACGCCACTAGAAAGGACAACGTTATTTTTTGCATACAAGAGCTGGTAGCAACTCGGCTCTTGCCCAATATAGAGACAAGTATGCAAATCATGTAAATGTCAAGCAGCTGGAGTGGTGGGGAATTTTAGGGGGTTGCAGAATAAAAGGGTCGCGAAGGTGGAGAGATGTTGGCACAAGATCAAAGCATCTTCTCCGAGAGCAAGCAAGCATGGATCGTTTATTTGGCAGGTTTCTGGTCATGGTTTGTCTCCTCTGTTTGTTGAGCAGGGCGAGTCAGGCGCAGGGGGAGGAGGACGATGTCATTGTGGATGCCGGAGTCCTGGGCAGAATTCGGGGCACTCGGGCAGTCACCGCCCATGAGTTTGGCGTCACTCGGGAGTACATTCAGTTTCGTGGCATCCCCTATGGCACCATCCCAGAACGGTTTCTCGTGAGTTTCTTACACCCCTTTTTCGACCTGTCAACGTGAAACTCATCCGTGCTTTGCCTTTTACTTAACAGCCATCACGACTCTATGAAGAGCCTTTGACGGAAGGAGGCGACATCTTTAACGCCACTTCTGCCGGACTTTCCTGCTTCCAGCCCATCCTGTACCCCTTCATGATGACGGAGGACTGTCTCACCATCAACATTTACACCCACAAAGTACCCAATCTACTCTCCCACCATAATCTGAGCATGGGAAAAGAGGTCACTTCAAGTTGTCACTGTTGTTTCTTTTACAGAAATTCACTGGGAACGAGAGGGAACTGCGTCCCGTCCTGTTCTTTGTTCACGGAGGCGCTTTCACCGTGGGATCCGGGGCCTCTTTCTCCGGACTCAGGATGATGAACCGGGACGTGGTCTACGTCACTTTCAACTACCGTCTCGGCCTTAATGGCTTCTTTTCCTTGCAGAACGAAAACATTCCAGGCAATGCGGGAATGTACGATGTCGTCAATGCGCTCAAGTGGTATTTACGAACTTGCAATTATTTTGGCATTGGCTTAATTGAATTCGCTCCGAATCTTACTTAAACAAAACTTGTGGTCAGGGTGAACAAGTACATTAAGCAGTTTGGAGGAGACCCCACTCTGGTCACAATCGCAGGCCAGGTGACAATTCAAACACAAAACAAGCAAGCAATTTGCTAAAACAATTACAAGGATCTCATTTTGCCCCTGTTTCGTAGAGTGCAGGAAGCGTGACTGTGACGCAATTAATGGCGTCTCCCATGGCGCAAGGTCTTTTCCACCGTGCCATTGGAGCTTCTGGCTCTGCCCTCAACGCCTGGGGCACGACGACCGACCCAATTCCGGACGCCATCAAGGTTGCACAAATAGCTGGATGTTACGACAATAATTCTGCCCCCAACTTGGACCTGATCGCCTTCTGCATGAGGAATGTGGAGCCCATGACCTTGGTGAACGCCTTGTACGAGTTCCAAGTGTCCGAGAGGCAGCAGGGAAGGCTGGGCTTTGCAGTCGTCTCCCCCGTCGTCCAGTCCTTCACGATGAACGCATACACCAAATTCTTGCCCGAACATCCCCGCCAGGTTTTTGAACAGGGGCGAGAATCCCAAGTCCCCCTCCTCATGGGATCCACCAAGCATGACGGGAGCTACGTGATGGGTGTCTTTTACAACAGATTCCTCAAGGACAACGGCCTCGAGGGGGACGAGGACTTTATTCGCAACGAGTTGACGACCAGGATTCTAGACTCACTGGGTAAATACAATACTTGCAATTACAATATAGATTCTGATGGTGAGCTGCTTAGAATGTAGACAAACTAATACTAATACATGGTTCCTTCAGGCGTGGATGATATTTCAACGGCGGTGCATGACGCCATTTCCCTGCAGTACATGCAGGAGGCGAGGAAGAGTGGGAACTTCTCCACAATGTTCCCCGGTCTGATTGACATCTTTTCAGTCTTCTTCTTCAAAGGGGATTGTTACCAGACGGCGCTCCTCCACTCGAAGAACGCCTCCTCGCCAACGTTCTGGTACAGCTTCGACTTCAAGGGGCACGCGAGTCTGTTTGCCAGTCTGTTCCCGAGTGAGGTGCCGCCCTTTCCAGGAGGAGTGACGCACACGGACGATCTCATCTACTTGTACTCCCTCACCTTCTCAGAGTTCACCCCCATCGAGGCGGAGGTGTCGAGGAGGATGTTGTCCTACTGGGCCAACTTTGCGGAGACGGGGTGAGTGACATGGCAGCCGTTTTGCATGTGAACCAGGTTTTAATTTGTGCACTGTTCCCCCTAAGTGATCCGACGCCTGGAAGTGAGACAAAGTGGCCCCGCTTGAACGACACGAATCATGGATACATGATCCTCGACGAGGTGGCCTTTGCAGACAACAATTATCACGCCAAATGGGTGGGGCCAGGAAATGAACTTGTCGCTCCTTGATCTCTGCAGTTCAAAGCAGTCGTAACAGTGAACTGGATACAAATTTTGTGATACTTTAAAAAATATGTAGGTCTCTATGTCTAACTCCACTTTACTAAATACTTTGTTTAACATACGAAACGAACACGCAACAAGATGGTGTATGATTTGAGCACGCAAAGGATGAGAACTAATAATAAATTCCTCAGAGTTACTACGCATATCAACATTGCATATTTTTATGCACTATCTGCGAAATTTTGCACCATGAATTTGCAGACTTTGAAATGATAAATCCGGTTCCAGCATCGTTTAATTACTTCTTCTTTCACAGTTTTTGCGTAGTGGACATGCAAATTCCCAATCAGTGTGAGAAAGAGCAGACGCTTAAGCTTTTTTTAAGAGAAACCTTTTGCCGAACTTTGTGACATTCCGAATGTATTTGGTCAGAATGGGTTTCACTCCGGAATCCTTTTGTTGTATGTTTTTACCTCATATCCGAATAGAATCAAGTACAATTGATTGCGAGTATGACGACACATAATCTTCTCTGCTACATACTCTTGACTCACCAGCAATTTTATATGCCAGCTGAAATATAAAGTTTAAAAAATTGATGTTTATTTCTCATGCAAATCTAGTACACCTATGTTTTTCGGTAGTCCATTTTGCCCGATATTTGGCGTTTGGTCATTGTGATAGACGAGGGTTAGTCTGAGTCATTGTTGATTCCCGTCACTGGGTTCCGCCCCACCACAGGTTTTTGTCCTAATGTCGTCCACCGTACTCTGCTTGGCTTCTGGTTCCTGTGGGTCTTGGAGGCAGTATCCCCAGTCCTTGCTCACACCTCGGAACCCTCCTCGAGCCTCGTACTGTCTCCAGTAGGCTGCCAAACTCTTGGTCCAGCCCGCCATGTCCGTCTCCGGTGGGGTGCTGTACGTCGGCGTCGCCAACAGCACTCTGGCCACATGAAACACAAGAACTCACTGAGCGAAAGCAACAACGAGGAGCGCATGCGCCTCATTAACGAGATTTTTAACCTACTCGGGCGTGAAAGGGCGTTCGATACGATGTCGAAAAATGGTATTTCGATTTCCTCCAAGCACACATGCATCCAAGTTCCGCATGGCAATCTTGACGTCTGCCGTCTCCAGGACGGAATTGAAGATGGCGGTGCTGATGTTCGTGGGCGTGGTCCTGGTACAGAAAAGAGTGCAAAGCCATTGTTTGGGTCATCGGAAGGCCTGACTTACCATTGGCGTTGGACGGGGTAGGGAGGAAAAAGAGCCTCCATCGCAATCACGTACATGTGGAAGTGAGGAAAGTTGCTGACAAAGAAAGGGGAGCAGTATGAATTCACAAAGGCCACAGCACTCCAAGCGGCTTCAGGCAGCGGGTCTGCGCATAAAATTTAGAAACACAAATTTAACGAGCCAGCGATGAAATTAAGCATAACGCGAAAGTGTGATAGTTGAATTAAATGGTGATGACTAACCATACTTTCCCCACACGAAGGACTGAGCTAAGGGTCGATAAGGGAACGTTTTCCCAGTTCGCAAGTTCTCAATCCGCTCCACCTGAGATCAAAAGCTGCAATACAATTTACTCGTTTGTAGGAATAGAAATTTGATGGTTTTAAGGTATCACCTTTTGAAACGAGTCACAACCGGAGCCGATGCTTTGGAAGTTGAAAAAAAGTGTGCAACTTAATTTTGAAGTTTTTACCTCATCAATAAATACTTAAATAAAGAAAAAGTCATACAGCCGGAACTCCTCGTTTTTCATCTCCTGACACTGGGTCAGAATGGCCGAGATGACTTTGAACTGTAATAAATAGCTATTTATATAAATTAGGTAATATCATGCAGATAAGTTCTCATCACCTTATGATACATAATTAACTAATTAATCATTGTTCTGAGTCAATTAAGGCTGCAGTTTAATTAGTAACTTGATACGAACGTCATAAAAACTTAACTCTTGGACCCCAATGTCCACCAAGGCCTTGTGATGTCTATCCCGCATAAGGATGCTGACTTTGAGGATTTGTCTGAGGAAGGAGTCCTCGATGAAGGGGTGGCAGGCCCCCCACATGATCTGCATCGACTGGGCGAGGAGCTGGACGATGCGCGGCTCCGTCCCGTTGCCATTCCAGAGCGGGTCGTAGGGCTGGATCACGCCTCCCTCGGGGTCGTCCTCCTCGAAGGTCTCCTCGTTGAGCAGGGTGACGAAAAAGTCCTTGGTCAGAGCCAGCGCTTCCTCCACCTCGGTTCGTGGAGTTGAGTGGGAAGTAGTCTTCCAGGTGGGGATCGTCCGCTACGAACGTGGGGTCAACCCATTGGGCCAAACATTCGTCCATGCAGACTCCCTCGGGGGTGACTGCAAAGTGAAAATGCGTACCCCACCAGTTACAAAGCGTCACAGTCAATAAATAGTCGAGGTATTAGTTTTTGCACCCACAGTTTCCTGGTTGTGATGGGGCTGCGGCGGGGTCGACAATGTTGATGCTGAATTCTTGCAGCTACATATTTAATAGTGAATCCTCATCACGTGCGGAAGTAAATGATAGTGAGCACAGGAAAATACGATAAAAAGTTTGATACCATTTTGATCCCCACTTCGCCTCCTTGCGCGGTCAAATCAATGGCGGAGGGGGCGTCGCAGTAGCTCTCAATCACCTGAGGCCTGCATTCATAACCAACAGAAAGCAGGGGTCATCTAATAGCATACTCGAAAAGAGGCCTTACGTGGATCCCTCGGGCACAGAGTCGCTGATTGCATAGAAGGCGCAGGTGAGGTTGATGGGTCTCTTGGCAATAAAGCCCCCAGGACAGTCCGTGTCCTTGATGCGGTGAGGCCCATTGTGGCAGAAGCGGAGTTCCGAGCTAATCCCAGGCACAAAGACCAGGAGGAGGACTCTGATTATCGGCCACGACGCAATTACCAAGCGTTTCCCCATCGTTTCAGTGTATTTTTATCGAATGTGTTATGTATATTTTGCTATCTGGACGAGAAAAGTAACAAGTTGAGCCAAAGCATTAGCACGAAATCTACTCAAATCCAACACTTTCATTTCATACCCATAATTCCGACTCGTATTTACAAACTTTTCGTGAATAAGCCTTTGTTGCTCACACTTTCATTAATTTGTTGAATGTAGTAATGCATAAAGGAGAAAGAATGCCCATTGTTGTCGCTCCTTTATGGCATGTGACACGAGTAATTCCCGACTCATCCATCCAATTTCGCCTGTAATGAACATCCCATGCGCCTCGCCGTGTTGTGTTGTTACGACAGATTGAGACATGTGAGAAGAACGATATGCAGTCATGGTGGAAAAATGTGGCTTCCTTATCCAGCCAGAGTCCATTTCGGAATCCAACCATGACGCAAGAACTAGTCGATTTGCATTGAACAAAGCAAGTGAGTGATCCCAGATTATCCTCGGCTTATCCAATCCACATGATTGATGAGGCTGGTGGCTGTTGCATTGTCAGGGTTAGAGAGCAATATGATCATGACATTGTGTCATAATCGGGCACATGATAAGAACAAATGTGCAGCTTAATCCCCCCTCCATCACCTCCTTTGATCACGTCGGCAGTGTAGTAGTCGTGCCCACACCCACCCCGAACAGAACACACTTTAGCTCGAGACCTCGTCCTGCACACAAATACTTGTGTCCCCCTCGCAATCTCGCAATCGCCTATTTTCAAAAATGCTCGCAATTCAGGTTTTCCTGGTCTCCTGCTTATGTGGGGCGGCCCTGTGTCAGGTGGAGGACGACCCTCAGATCGTGGATGCTGGGCCTTTGGGGAGAATTCGTGGCGGAGGAGGGCTGACCATGGAGGAGAATGGAGTACGACGACCCTATCTGCAGTTTAGAGGCATCCCTTACGCCACAGTTCCACAGCGATTCTCTGTAAGGAGGGCTTAATTAAATATGTAAATGAGGATGTGCAGTCGGACGGGTGTGTCATCTTTCTGTCTAAAATGTCTCCTGCACAGCCGTCAACCCTGCTGGAGGTGGACCACGGGAATGGAGACATATACAACGCCACCTTCACCCCGAACTCCTGCTACCAACCACTCCTCCCAGAAGTCCTGCTCACGGAGGACTGTCTCTTTCTGTCCGTCCACACGCATCAGGTACTCGTGAGGGGAAATTTAATCTATTCTTCGAATTATTACGCAAGTTGCTCACTTTGCATTGGACACTTTCTGACACGTAAAAATTGCAGAAGGACACGGGGAACGACGCGGACCTTCGGCCCGTCCTCTTCTTCATCCATGGAGGGGCATTCACCGGTACGTACGTCTTAACTTATAAACCTATGCCTATGTGCATAATGTAAAAATTGGGATTGATCATTTTTAAATGACAACCAGTTGGGCAAGGATCCTCCTTCTCTGGAATTCGCATCATGAATCGTGACGTAGTCTATGTGAACTTCAATTATCGGTAAGAATGCACTTGCTAGTCTGCAGACAAAAATAACCATACTCGAGAAAATCTCTGGAAAATTTCCACTGCAACTAATTGTCGATTTTTCTTCTTAATATTTTGCAGACTGGGGCTCTTGGGTACGTAATTTTTAATTGCAGCCACCTAAAACTGTAGGCTAACACCTCCGGTTAATTCTTCGTCTTCTCCTTCTTCCAGGCTTCTTCTCCCTGCAGAACGAAATCATTCCGGGCAATGCTGGGATGTACGACGTCGTCAATGCACTCCAGTGGACCAACAAGTACATCAAATACTTTGGCGGAGACCCAAACTCCATCACGATTGTGGGACAGGTATTAAAACACATAGCAAAACGAGAATGACATTTCACAGGAATCTCGGAATGGTCATTTTTGAGACTACTCGTCTGCTCCCCATGATTTCAGAGTGCAGGAGCCGTGAGCGTGACGGAGTTGATGGTGTCTCCGATGGCGCAGGGTCTTTTCCACCGTGCCATCGCTGCCTCGGGTTCTGCCCTCAACTCCTGGGGCACCACCACCGACTCGGCCAAAGTGCTCAAGGGGGCCTTGGACGTGTCTCAGCGGGCGGGATGTTACGATGGGGTTTCCAATCCAAATCTGAGTGCGATTGGACAATGCATGCGAACCGCTCCGGCACTAAGCCTCGTCAACATCTTGTTCGAGTACCAGGTACGGACAGTTAGGGACCTTATCATGAAATAACATGGTATCATTCATCATACTCGTCTCCACTGAATATTCATATGCTCGAGTATTGTGACATGCCCTGGGTGGATCCTTTGACACATAAAAATCCTAAAAAATCATAGATTCCAGATAATTTCTCGAGGATTGTGACATTTGAACGAAGTGACACTGATTGATGGTGACGACTAGCTGCAACAAATTAGCGAGCGAGCGAGAGATCATCCCGAGTGGAGAGATTATAATGTTTGCAGAAGATCAGAGTGCCCACCAGATGTGCATACATTTGCTAATACTCGGTCCGACTCACTCAATCACTTGAAATAATATCGATGAGAGATTTGTGTCACTTGTCTCGGCTGACATGAAAGTCGCGTCATTGTCACTTGTCACGAACCCTGTGGCTTGCTTTACGATGGTTGACGATGATGAATTACCGTGTGACGACAATTGACCACTTGACATCAATAGTTGCAATATGACATTTTCATGATTCATGGTTCATTTTCAGATTGCTGAGCGTAAAGAGGGTCGACTTGGTTTTGACGTCGTGTCCCCCGTCGTCCAGTCCTTCGACATGACGGCACATCCCAAATTCCTTCCTGAGGACCCTGCCGTCGTCTTTGAGGAGGGGCGAGAAGCTGCCGTTCCGCTCATGATGAGCACCACGAAGCACGACGGGTCCTATGCCATGGGTGTCTTTTACAACAGATTCCTCAGAGACAATGACCTCCACAACAACGTCACGTACCTTCGCTATGGTTTGGTGCCCTCTATTCTGACAGCGCTGGGTAAGTCTCCCTCCGTACGATTCCCCTAATGATCGGCTAACCTGACGTGTATGGCGTGGATGTGCTTGGCTCTTGCAGGTGTTCACGATCGTCCAGCTGGGATTCATGAAACGATTGCTCGCACCTATCTCGGGGACGCGCGGCACTCGGGGAGCTTCCAGGACATGTATCCAGGACTCATGGACATCTTTTCCGTCTTCTTCTTCAAAGGAGACTGCTACAAGACGGCTCTTCTTCACGCGAGGAACCCGGCCACGCCCACCTTCTGGTCATCCTTCGAATTCATGGGCAACGTGAGTTTCTGGGGTCAACTTTTCCCAGGCGACGTGCCGCCCCCATTCCCAGGCGGCGTTGCACACACTGATGATCTCATCTACGTCTTTGCCCTCACGTTCCTCCCGTTCAGTGAAGCTGAGAGTGCCGTGTCCTCACAAATGATGTCATATTGGGCAGATTTTGCCACAGAGGGGTAATTTATTAGCAATAATGAATTCTTTCGTGTGCCCCGTAAATTTCGCAAATATATTTTCACCTGTTCCACTCGCGCAGGCGACCGCATCCAGATTGGCCCCAGTTACTGAATGAGAACGAAGCCTTCTGGACAGTGGATCTGGTGTCTTCAAGGTCCATGAACTATCAAACCACGTGGGTTGGTCCGGGCCATGAAGCAGCCAAACCTACACCCGAACCAGAGCCAACAACTGTTGACCCCGTGACCACGGCTGACCCCGACGTTGAATCCACGACTACGTCTAGACCTACAACGCCACCCACTCAGGCATCCACAAGCCCAACAGAAGACACCCCCACAACGCAAGGATCCCTCCGCCACCACGCCTCTTACTTTGTCATCGTCCTCCTGGCGTGCCTCCCACTTATTTTCTCTCAGTAATCCAAACCCTTTCTCCACCCCAAATCAAACATTTTGATATTTTTATCCAAGAATAATCATTGTTGTTATTAATAGTTGATTAAGATGAGACTGCGTACGTAAGTTACAAGTGGGTGTCATATTATTTAATTAGGACATTTGCATCTCGCGTGCGTGGTCATTACTTGGCTTAATTCGTCTCCTCATTATTTGCTGCCCACTCATCAGTGATTAATGGTATGCTGAGATTAGTCACGACTAGTTCAGCCTACTGACAGTTGGTCATCTTCATCGTCTCAAACAGTTTCACGAATAACACTCCAGCACAGCATCACAATGTGGCCTGTGATAATTTCCCCGTCATCCATTGTCTCCGTCCTCATGGTGTGCACCACCTTTGGCGTGGGTGTGGTCACCACCAGTCCAGCCAATTCGACGAATATGACGCAGTTTAAGTCCACCGTCCTCTACTCGTTCGCCAATGTAAGGGACCAGCTGAAATTATTTGTCATCATCGGGTTGGCTAATAATGATACGTATGCAAATCACGTTCGTAGGTGACGTCAACCCCGGAAGGGAGTCACACGACCATTTTGACCATCGCGACTGGGCCCGATGACCAACTACACTATGTTCGGAGTGAGGATGGTAAGAAAAAGCAGGGGATTTGGACTGGACCGCTCCCTTCTGCGCCCAAACTGGAGCTGGACGACCTCCTGCTGACCCCCAAGGAGGGCTCGACGAACCACTCCTCCTCCTCCACCACCTCCTCGATTGCAGGGGGGTTGTCCAATCTGTCTCAAGAGATCGACTTCAGCATCAAGGGCTACCTCAGCGGCATTTTGTGACGTTGAGCAGCTCGCTCAAATTACCATCCTTGCATACGCGAATGACATCAAACTGAATAAATCAAAAATGAGACCAATCTAACGACAAAATACATGATTTTATATGTACTTCGCTCATACCAAAAATTGGCAACTTACAAATAATAGACTCTTAATAGACTTTTAATAGACTTAAGTGCACTTTCTCAGTGCGCTTACCGAATATAAATACCACACTTTTCGCATATAATTACATATGAGGAAATGTAGAGTGAATAGTTCAATAACTTATTTAATCCGTAAATTAGCTTATCAGAAGAACTGAAGAAGTAATAAATACTACGTTTGCACATTAATTCAACAAATAACATAACATGCTGGCGTACTTATCTTACATACAAATGGTTAACGTTCGATTCAACGATATGCACAAGTCCTAGTAAATTACAAACTAATCACAACACACCCTGCACGTCACATTTGGTGTTACTTATTGTTCTAGTAGGAGGTTGGAATAGGCTGGTGGATTAATGGGAAGGTTGTAATTGGGTGGTCCACCAGCAGAAATTGTCTGCAACGCCCCTGCAACGAGTTGGTAGAACTCTGTCCCCAGAGGAGCAATGCAGTTGGTGAGGACTCGCAGTCGCACCTCCGGAACACTGACGGAAGCCAGGACGGTCGCAATTCTGGTCGCAATTCGAACTTTCTCCTCCGTTCCGACGTCCTTCTCCAAGTACTCGCGAGGTTGGCTAAAGTTGTCCTCGTCGCGGGAGTCGATTCGAGCCATGATGCCGTTGATGGGATGTGGGCCCTCGGTCCCCATGTCTCTGTCAATCCTGGGCCCCTTGAAAGAGTTGGGAAAGTAGACGGGACCACCTGCAGAAATATTCAGCTCATCAAGGTTTCTTCGACAAGTGAAGGCTGGGAAACTATTATGTCGCAGTCTCACCGTCGCCATTGTCCTTGGCAGAAATCCGCATGGATCCATCTCTCTCGTACCCATCCGCTCGAGACAGCGGACGATTTACTTCAATCAACTCAAAATTAGGGCCGAGGCGGTAGCGTTGCGCGTCCTATGTGCATACGTACATGCACATCAGTGTAATAATTAATTTACCATTTAGTTAATCAAAATCTCAAAAGGCTATACCTTGTATGCAAATGCTCTGGCTTGTAAGATACGATCAGGACTTGTTCTAATTCCTGGAACGAAGGTAGGGCAGAATGCAGCTTGCTCAATTTGCGTAAAGTAGTCGGTGGGATTTTTGTCGAGGACGAAGACTCCGATGGGGATGAAGGGGAACTGGTCCAGGCGCCACACTTTGGTCACATCGAATGGATTGAAGGACAGGGACTCGGCTTGGTCATAGGTCATCACTTGCAACCCAAATGTCCACTTGGGAAAGTTGCCCTGCGCGATGGAGTTGTATAGTTCCTTGGTGTAAAAGTCAGGCTCCACTCCGGCCAGGGAGACCGTATCAAAGTCCGTCAAGGGTGGGATGGACTGCCAAGTATGCCACACGAACTTACAGTAGGTCACCTGTCCTTGAGCATTGACGCACTCGTACACGTTGACTGCGGACCCGTTCATGCCCCTCGAGGAACCTAGTGCACCCCGGAATTTTAATAATTACTTTGGTAGGTACGTTACATATCTACAAATGCATAACAGCAAGTTAGTAATGCACTCAATTTTTTACTCACCGGCTCGAACGCTGTCCGCAAAGAACTTGACATAATTATGAAGGACTTCTGGTCTTAGGGAGAGAAAGTCATGAAACTGGGTTTGGTCGATAAGATGCGTTTCCGGATTTCGCTTCATGGATCGAATAAGGTCTGGGAAAAGCATGGGATCCCGAAGCGTGAAAGCATCGATCTGCAGGCCTGGAAAGTCCAAGTTCCCGTCCTCGGTATACAAGCGAATTGCAAAACCACGTGGGTCTGGCAACGTCTCCGCCCCTCCAGACTCTCGCACCGTTCCAGAGAAGCGGACCTGTATATTTTTTTAGTTTTATTAACGCCGAGACTTATTGTGTCGCTCATCGTGCAGAAACTGTATGCAGAGTACGGTAAAAAAAAATACAGCTCACCAGAACAGGGGTAATTTTCCCCACCCTGTTGAACACCTTGGCTTTTGTGAACCTTGACACATCGTGAGTCACGACAAAGTGTCCGAATGCCCCGTGACCTTTGGCGTGGACGATGCGTTCGGGGATGCGTTCTCTGTGGAAGGAGGCGAGTTTGTTGGCCAGGACGTTGTCGAAAAGGAGTGGACCTCGATTGGAGATGGCGAGGCTGGCCGTGTTGGACGGGAGAGGATTTCCGGCACCATCCGTCGTGCGGAGAGAATCTCCATTTGGATGGGTGGCAGCGAATTGAGAGAGTTGGAAATCGGCTGGACCGAGGAATGGATTTGTAACTGCTGTAAATAATATGCAACAAATTAGTTGGTTAGCTTAATTAATGTGTGTGGTTCTGTCGATTTTGGAGATAATACGCATGCAGATCGTCGTACCTGGTGTGGAACTTTGTCGAGCCTGAGAGGTGGCAGAAGTGATGGCTAAGACGAGAACAAAAATTAGTGGAAAAGGTCCCATTTTTCTCGCTAAAATTTCAAAAACTATGAGAAATAGAAGCAGTTTCTATTTATGTCCTCTTCCGGAGCGTGAGTGAGTGAGTGGAGAGGGGAGTAAAACTTTTGGGTTCAATAGGGCCGAAATATATAACTAGAAAACGCAACCTACTTACTTTAATTACGATAAGCAAAACGAGTTCAATTTCCCTAATGGTGCATGATATGATAACTGATAAGATGCTTATGCAAAAGTTTTTCAGAGAGACCATCCTTCATATTTGGGGTCGGATGAGAAAACCGGGATCAAAGCACCACCAAGAAGTTGGTTGGATGGACTAATAAACACGAAATAAAGTTCCGTTGGCTTTTCGTTCCTTCCTGTCTCATTTTGTCACTTTGTAGTACCTACTGTATTTGTAGTAATTTTCCCCCTGGGTCAGGAAGATGGGGGACAAGGACCCATCCTACTACTCCTCCTTCGAACCTCCCTCCGTCGTCATCACCCTCAAGGGAAAGAAACGTGCCTTGGTCGACAGGATTTCAGCAAGGTGATTGGATTACATAATACTGCCAAATGGTCTGGTCGATCCTATAACTTTGACTTATTTCCAGCAATTCGATCGCTGACTTACCTAAAAAGCGCTCTCGTGGGGGTGCTCCGCCCTCGCCCAAGTCAACTCGTGCTAAGAAACGCCCCTTCATCGCGGCACCCCCGCCACAGGTAGAGGACATTGCCTCTAACGAACACTCCTTGTCCCTCTTCGACCTCTTCTCTGCCTCCAAACAACAACAGCGACCAGGTTCCCTCTCATCCTCGCAATCCCCTCCTCCATCCTCCTCCCTCTCCTCCAGCCCATCAACCTCCTCTACGCCCAACCACTCCCCCATCAGCAGGTTCTCGTCACTTGCCGCCCTCCCACCTGCACCCACTTCTCAAGCAACGTCCTACCTCGATCTTATCCAAACACCCCCACAACAGCTGCCACAGCAGAAGAGGAGGCAACAGCTCACACCAGCTCCACTCATTGGATCCGCCCGTTCACACAAGGCACATTCTTTTCAGTTTGGGGGTGCGCCAAGGAAGAGGGTTAATCTCAAGGTGAGGAGCTAGCACCAATGAATCCAGGATTAGTTTAAAACTGCTCTAAAGATATTGAGATATGTTTTGTGTGTCTAGGATCGTTTCGCGGACGAGGCCGACTCGTGCACTCCAGAGTCGGAATGGTCGTCACTCATTTGTTTAGACTGGTCCTTAAAGACAAAGCTCACAATTCTGTCTTCCAAGTCGTTTGGTTTCCACTCCTCCACGACGGGACTAAAGAGTTCTGAGGAGTCTTCGGGAACGTCGGCATTTGCACGGTGCATTGACATCGACCCATCCATTAAGGACTCGAGTAGCAGCAGTGGGGGTGGGGATTCCCCGCTCGTCGTCTCCTCTCAGTTGGACACGTCACTAGGAGCACAGTTTCATCAGTGCTGTCTTTACTGGCAACATCCAAACCTTCCGGGCGTAGACCTATTTCCTCGTGACCAGGGCAGCAGTTCGAGTGGTGGGAGCAGCTTTTCTTTCATATCGTCGTCATCAACAGGAGGAGCAGGGACACCTGTGAGCAGTTCTGCGCCCTTGGGAGGCATACGCATGGAGCAGAAAGTGTTTGACACAATGTTTACGGAGTGGTAATTTCTTTTTGTTTTGGTTTTGCGCAGTTGGTTAACGTCATTTAAAAATTTAGTACCGTTATTACCATTTTTTTATTACATATTAATTCAATTTCTCTCAGGACCGACTCTTTTCGTTCAGCGTTTCAACTGCTCCGTACCCGACAGTGTCCTTACTTTTATGTCTGCACCAACCAATTTACTTGCTTGTTCAGCGCGGCCGGTACGCAAGGATTGGAATATCTTCAGGCATATATCTCCCCTTCAAGCAAAGGATTGCGAGACGCCTTCAGTCATGAAGGTCTGTGTGAACGACGGCATGAATAATTTGAATTTCCTGAATACTAGGTTGCCCCCTCCCCTCCCACAAAAAGGACCTTTAATGGCAGCTAATTTTTCTTCCAGGTATTGAATTTACGACACCATGCAGTGCTCCGTCCGAAGCGTCACCCGAGGCCAACAACAATAAAACACTAAAAGTTGTTCGTGCCGCGGATAAAAAAGTAAAAGATATTGACGAGAGTGACGAAGAGCCAGATAAGTGGTTGGACGAAATGGGCATCTCGCAGGACGTCAACATTTCCCATACTACGAAAACGTACGTCATTTAAGTGATTTAATTAGGATTTAATAAGGAAATTATGATTAGTTTCATTTTTCCTTCAAATAATGACACGTTTACCTCATCCCTATAGTTCTCCCACGACGAGTTTTGAGGAGAAGAACAAGTCTTCCCTGGTTGTGATTGTTGGAACCAATACGCTCGCACTTTTCAATTTGCTCATTAACTCGAAGAATTTACTTGTATCTTCCACGGGTGCATTCGCCGGCCTTCCACCCACTATTTTATCCCCAGTTGCCTTCCATGGAGCGACACTAAAGAAACTCAAAGTGAGCTAAATATTATATTAATGATGTGACACGTAATGTACATTATATAGGGCTCAAAACTTTATTCACTTGACCATTTATTGACTGATTCAGATGAAACTATCGACCTCGAAAACATCTTCTCCCGGTAATATTTCCCACAGCATCGAAATGAATGGACCAATCTTACCACATGTAATTCACATGTTGGGCCCAGTTCTTAAGAAAACCGTTGAGAATTTTCGCATCAGGCTGACGCCACATAGCTCCACGGTTAATCTCAACCTCAATTCGTAAGTGAATAAATTGAAAGCAATTTAAATAAAGGTCAAGGCACTTATCCGATAATGTTTCTTGTGATCGCTTTACTAGGCGATACAGCACGCAACAGGTGCAAACAAATGCGTTCGAGTTGCAGAATCTGAGCGATTGTGGACTAACAAAACGCGTACTGGAAGCGTTTTGCAGGTCGGATAATGTGGACACGATCAGTAGCATGTTAGAATGTAAAGATGGACTTTTTCGGTGGTCTTGATACATTCTTGTTTTATGGTTTAAATTTTTAAGTAGTTATTTATTACATAATCGATTGTATTGTTGTACTAAATTTTGCATCTCGGTGTATGTGTTTTTGTGTGGATCTCGTGTACACAGAAACATGGGTTTTATTTATGATTTTAGCATGCAGCAATAATATTTTTTATAATACTTATTATTGTTTGTTGGGTTTGGTACACACGTACGTAGGCACTTGTATTGAAAGTAATTTATTATATTGTGATGCCACAAATTTTTATGGAGCAATGGGTGAAACATTGTTGATGTTGTTAACGTTTAATATATTTTACCACGACGTTTATTATATTGTACATTGAGGGTGACTCCTGGCTGGTTGTTACCTCAATTAGATACCTGTTGCTCATCAATAATAAGTATTCGTGAAAAATCAAAATTATAAATGAAAGAAGAAGCAGGTGTTTTACGATTGTAATTCTAAAATTGAATAAAACGATATTGTTAATAGGAATATTTAGTGAAGAGTGATGATCTGGATCTTATTAGATTATTGGTGTTGCAGGTATGTACAAACGTGCGGTGTGTCATTTTAGTAGCGGGGATAGCCTGGTGGGGGTGGTTGAAAGTATGGCCCTGGTGGGGGTGGCCCAGGCTGGTAGAAGGGCGGTCCTTGTGGTGGACCCCCTTGCATAATTGGCTGCTCAATGATAATGGTTTGTGGCGGGGGTGGTCGAGAACGACGCTCATCTGTGAAGAGACATGTAGTAGGCTCAGTTATCAATGTTATCATTATGCGAGATTGGTTCGAGATTGGAGAGCTCACCTTTACAGCACGTGAAACAAAGAGCGCAGCAAGTTGCGCACAAGGCGCACTCGAGCAGATCGTCGCAGTCGCAGCACATGACTTGGGACCTTGAATGTGAATGTATGTCGTCCGGGAAGGAGGTGAAGATTGGGATTAAGAATTTTTGCTGCTGCTGGAGTCAGAGGTGCGATGACGAGGCTGAGCATTTTATGTACTTTTTCATCCATTCTTCAAGCTACATGTGTACATGCATAATTATTCTTACTCTTATTATGGCGATGCTAATTAAGCAGTCATTAAAGCGTGGATGGTAATGGTGCTATTGCTGTGACTCACTCTCTCCAAAGCTCCTCTGCATACGCAAGTACGTACATGGAGTAAGTAATTAACGGGACGAAGCTAGTAAATTTGTGCCCATGCGAGAAATCATCAACATCATCGTGTCATAATAATTTGTATGCAAACAGAGTCATTTCCTTTGTCATTGAGGTGTTATGTCGTCCGTCATTAAAGCAAAGCTACTAAATAAATCATGGGATATGACGACTCTGAAGAGAACCTCGATAACGTAATGGACGCGGTTATCCAAAAATCCAGAGGTTAGCAGATTTTAAGAATTCAGCACATGTGTCTGTCCCAGGGTCGAGAAGAAAGGCTTGTGGTCAGAGTTTATGGTCCAAGCCACCTGTTTCCCACTCGGAGTCTCAGGCTGCCTCCTTTCCCCTTTCTCCCCCTTGCCCACACTTTCCCCGACTTGGGACATTCGGAGTATGCTCTGCACTAAGGAAGTCACCGTGCTATTTGTGTGGACGAGGTGGGAGAAGGGCAGAGGAGGGAAGGGAGATTGTGTAATGGGTTCGGGGAGTGTGTGCGGGTAGGAAGGGAAGGAAGCGGGTATTAAGGATGCGGGTAGGCAGGAGGAAGAGCGCAGGACTCCCTATTTCACCCGAACTTGGAGCTGGCGTGTGTCGGGACTGGGTTCAGTGTGTTCGGGTGCTCTGGTACGGTTGGGTCACGTCGCTCCGACATCTCCCCTTCTGCCGCAGCGGACGGATCGCCCATCATTCTTATTCTCCACAGTTTTTCTCCAAGCAACATTGGTCCCCCTGCAGCCAGCTATTGTGCAGCGGAGGGAGTCAGGCAGCTTCATCGTGGAGGTCGTGCCACTATTATTCCTTCGCAACCCACCACAACCTCCGCGGACGCCCAGCAGGAGTAGCCTCCCACCAAGTGAGTCCTTTACCTTATCCACCACACCCACAGGTTGCCGTCGTTCCGCCCACCACGCCCACCTGTTTTTGACCTGTTGCTAGTCACACCCTCCACCACGGAGAGAGAGGGAGAGAGAGGGGGGTTGGTGGGGGCAGTGGATTTTGTGGGGGTGGTGGCCATGTCGTTGCCAAGCAGAGTGGAGGTGGTAATAAAACTATCAGATCATAATCCACCCTTTGGCTTTCTCCACCGCCACCACACTCCTCCTGACTCCACCACTCGCTCTCTCCTTCTCTCTCTCTCTCTGATGAGCACTCGTGTTACACAACTGCATTGCAGGGAATGTGCTCCTTCCTTTCTTTCCATTTCCGTCCTTCCTTCGTCATCATCTCACTTTTTATGGGGCTCGAAATGGTTTTACGATGGGGTGGTTGGGGCAGAATTGATGTGGCGTGGTTTCTTCTTTCAGGTGAGGAGATGCCTCGATGCTACCTCGTCAAGAAGCAAATCCGCACATGGGCCAACAACCACCACCACCACACCCACCACGCAGGTAGACTTTGATTACCCTCTCTCTTTTCCCCTCTCCCTTGGCAACGCTCGCATCCTTCAGGACAAGCACGACTAGGCCGCATTTCCATTTACAATTAGCACAATATTAGCTCGAGTTCGAAACAGCAGACAGGTTGTCCCAAATCAGTCACACACCATTATGACAGCAGCCAACATCACTCCTGTCGCCAATGAGCAGCAGCAGCAACAGATGGACCACCCTGTCGCTGAGCCCTTATTCGCCAATGTGCGAGAATCCGTAGAGTTTAACCGGTCCCGTCTTGAAGGGACGTTGCCTCACCACCCTGATCTCCCACTCGTGGAAGAGGGTGAAGCCCTCCCACCCACGGCAGGGGTCACGTCCTCCATTTCCAGAGTTGCCCTCAACCACGCCAACGCCAATGATCGACACGTCGCCTGGTCCGACGCCTCAGCGACAACACCAAGATCCACCGACAACTCCTCGGCCACCCCACCAATCCTGCCATCTCAGCTCCTCCTCTCCACACTGGCCGACCCTGGAGTGCAACACGTCCCATCTGCACCAGCCCCTCCACCCTCTTCCATGTCCAACCTTGTCGATATCCACTGGACGCCAAGAGCCATGTTCAGTCCAACCCCCCAACTCACGACCATGTACGCCTACACGAACGACCACTACCGTTCACCCAAGAGTCATCAAGGTCAACAGACTGGTGGGGGAATTATCCATGAGCGTCACGTGTCCCCCACATGGGCTGGGGAAGGAGGTATGACCCCGATTCCGGGTCAGGAGCAGGTCAAGGAAGGGGAGGAGGAAGGGAAGGAAGGTGTCGTCACGAGCTACGACTACTCGACTGCCACTGCGGATGACACGGACGAGGATCTTGGTGAGGAGGAGCTTCATCTGCATCCGGTCAACGTGGACGACCTGCCCACACCAACGCCATCCTACTTGGCTCAAAAGTTGCCCCCACATCTGCACCCCTTCCTGGCACGGAGTTGCAAGAAGGACTGCAGGATGTGGTTGTGGAAAAACGAGATTGGGCGGAGGGCTCGGGAGGTGTTGGTCAAGGCCAGAGGGATCGTCTCTCAGACGGACTCCACTCTCAGCGGAAATGCCAACACCCTGCTCTCCACCATCAACAACACTGTCGACAAGGCGGAAGACAATAATTTCACTTTGTGACTCATCAATCATGTTCTCCACTTGTCCTTAAGTACCTGTCCAAAATTGAATAAAATAAATTCGGCTTTCCTTGTGTGCTAACCTTGCGTCATATCCTCTCGTCAGTCTTTGTTTTACTTGCTATTTATTTATACTCTTATATTGGGTGCACTACTTGAGTAATACTTTTAAACATTTCTATCGCCATCTACTGCGTACCTTACTTGTGCCGGTCAGGTTATGCTAATAATTGTTTGGTATCCTATTCACTAGTCACATCTGGAAACGACGAGGGCGGGAACGATCCTCCTCACCGCAGCATCACGACGACCACTGTGGACAGCACGAATGCTAACAGGATGACCATCATCAGCCCGCCGAGCAACCTTCTCCCACTCCACCGTCGGTTTAGGTATGTAGTACATACTAGGAAATTAACTGAGTAGTGGAATCATGTTCGATCAGCCTCAGTGTTATCAAGTAAACAAAAATTTAATTAATTTAAACTGGCAAATTTTAGGCACTAAAACGGCAGGTAATAGTAAGTAGTAACTGTTTAATAAATAAATAAAGTAGATGGATAGGGATGGAGACTGGAGAAGAGGTTGTTCAATCGCTGTCAGATCCGCTCCCACCACTTCCGCTCACAACTGATGATTCAGAATCAGTGACGAGACCAACCTCACTATCACTGCAAATAACGTTGGATTAATAAATAGGTTTAATTACAAAATAATAATGCCAAAGTATTTTATAATACCTGCTATCGCTCGGATTGTGCTTATCCTTCTCTGGATTGTAATCTTCATCCTCGGAAGATTCGTCCTCACCTTCACTCCGTTCCTGCGCCTCGTTCTAAGAAGAGGAGGCAAAAACTTCAGTAAATTAAAACGAGATGCCTTCAAATCAGTTTTACCATTGTCACACGATTCTTGACACGAAGCTGCTTCTCGGATCTTCCAAACATGGGCTCCACTCTCCAAAATAACTTAATAAACTCGCATATCTCACTCCAGGCACCAGAATCCACAAGGCTCAGAAGGACACATTTATTGGTCGAGTAACAACGAGCAGAACAATTTTGAGGGCGAAGTGGATTTCGAAGTCCTAGTAAATATGCAATGTAACCTGCAATTATCATTTTCGCCTCAATCGTGTCCTTGTCTTTGACATCACATTTGGCCAGGAGAGTACATGTCATCGTGGGGGCTTTGATCCCTGGTGGGTAAGTCTTGGCCTCTGTGATCCGCTTGTACGCACTAGCACCGTCCCTCCTACTTCTGTCTAGTCGGCTCTTGAAGTCGGGGGTGTCACTCTGACCAAAATACAACATGTCGCGTGAAGTAATGGTGTATAAAAACGCCGTTCCTTTCTCAGGTTGTTGCGTCTCGGCTGCTGGCGTTCCGAGTAAATATTCCCCTTGAAATGGATAGGTCACGTTCTCTTCCGGTTTCAACTTACGAAGGATTTTGAGATGCATGCCCAGTTCCTTAAGACGCGTATCGATCTCGTCCTCCATTCCATAACTGAGTGGAATGACATCGTCCAAATTAGTGAAAGGCATAGTCCCTGGGGCGAGTTGCATCATCATGCCGATCGTCTAATAAATAATAATAATAATGCTCAATTGACAAGTCTCAATAAATACAATATACAGTTTAGAATTAGATTAACTAACCGACTCTAGTGCCAGTCGTTTTAACGCATCCTGTTCGTTGTCGTAGTGGTGCATGGAAATCTCTTTAGGTAATAGGTGGACTTCTTTTGTGGCACAATAGTTGACCCAATTTGGATAATGGGAAACTAAATGAGTCATGCGTAATTTTGCCTCCTGCTTTATCACAAAGTCAGATGAATCCAACGGGACGGAGTTCACGAACTTCATATGCTTCAAAACAAGAGCGTCTTTTCCCCCGTAAGGAGTCAATCCCACCACCATATAGATCACCTTATCCTTGTGTACTGCACACTTAGGGAGTACTTCACTTGATAGTGTGGATTTGTACTGGTAGCAGCCTATAAAAGTAACAAATCAATTTAAATACATAAACTAGGTTATAAAGAAAAAACACATGATTATATGTTTACCACGCTTAGTACAAATTCTCTCAGCTATATAAGTCTGTTCACCGTAACTCCTGTGTTTCTTTTCGAGACATAAATGAATTATTCCCGTTGTTGGTGCCTTGTGGATGATAAGATTCCAGTCCGGCTTACCGACGACGGGAACTCGTCCACCTTTTTCGAAAATCTTAGTAAAGAGCAGCTCTCTCTCTTCATCAGTCAAACCCTCCTCTTCTTGCGTGAAAATTAGTTCGGGGGATCATTCTTCTATATCCAGCTCAGGTGCGGAGGGAGATTCTTTACCAACTAATTGTAGAATCGTCTTCCTAATGAGATCTACACCTTCATCTACATAGCATAATAATAATAGTTTTATTATTATACTGTGTCATTTTAGTTTGATTGGCTAAAGAAATGATTCATCATTTACCTGTCTTTGTTTTTCCAATTCTCGATTCAGACGCTCCTCCCGTATATCTGATTTCGAATTCTTCAGCCAATTCTCCCGTTCGAACGTAGATCCCCCCACTGCCCTCGTCATGTATCTCTTCCTCCACCTTTGGAAAGTAAAACCATGACACTGGTTCGAAATCGTCGTCCTCCCTGGCTAAACTTCCTGTCGTGACCGACTTTCTCTTTTCCTTATCTTTGTCCCGGGAGGGTTGAGATAACCAGTGGGAGCGAGTGGGTGCTTTTTCTTCTCCGCTGGCAACAATTTGGCAGAAATGGGGACTGGTAAGGGAGTAGGGGAAGACTGTCGCTTTGGTCTGCAACGTACATTAATTAAATAATTAATTACTGGAAGGAGGAGGAATAAAAAAACTAACCGCTTGTTAGAAGACGGACCGGCCACTACCTCCTCCCCCTCCATCATTGGAGCAACGGGTGGTCTTCTCACTACAAAATCTTCGCCTGATGAGTGTCCCTCCTCCTCCATAATAATTTAAAAATAGAAATTTTAATTATGAGAAATGAAGATAAAAATAAACTGGAGTGGTGAGAGAAAGTGAAAATGAGGATGAGGTTGCACTAAATTCCCACTTCACTGGGGGAATGTGCCATATACATACATTCATTCATTCTTTCATTACCTTTCCACAGAACAGCGGAGGAGGAGGCCATTGCCCAAGACCTGCTCCAACTTTCACGCTCCCTTCCGCCCTTGCACCACAAGGCCACCACGCCCGTCCTGGTCTCTGCCAGCACTCTGTCCTCACACCCCTTGACCCCGCCAGACACGCCCTCTCATGCCCAGGACATTACCACGCTCACGGCTCTGGAAGTAGACCACTCGCACCACCAACATCACCACGTCAACGTCATCACCCACACCTCCACCCCACTCACCCCTTCTGCCTCGGAATATTCTTCGGACGCGGAAAATGTGTGTCCCGTGGAGGAGGAGGAGGAAAAAATCTCCTCTGATCCCCTGCAGCAAGATGAGGAAGAAGATGACGACGAGGAGGAGGAAGAGGAGGAAGAGGACGACTATGACATGCAAGAAGATGACGACTCGTCATTTCGTGGTCACACACGCAGTCACCGACCAAGGCGGAGTTATGACCAAGACGAAGATTCCTCCTCCTCCTCTTCGCAAAGATGCTACAACTACAAGGATCTCGCTGCTTTGGATGGGCGCCGGTCGTCGCGCCGTGTTTCGAGTCGTCTCCTCAGCAAGAGGCAGTCGACGAATGGGCGAAGGATGAATAGCAATAATAGTAATGCAAGTAATAATAAACGTCCCAGAACCGTGACCCCGCCACCATCAGATTACGAAATGCATTCTTCAGATGAGTTTGAGGACGAGGACGAGGACGACGATTCTGACTACGACCTCGACTATGAGGAGATTGAAGGGAAAGTGCGGCGGGGAAAGTGGCGAGGACCTAAACCCAGGTAAGGCATAGGCTAGGCCTACCTTACTTGTTGGTAACATGTGGTTATGCAAATGTCTATGGTTAGGCTATAGCTTAGTTTTCTGAACAGGTCGCCCTCGTCCCCAACACCATCCATCTCTTCGTGCGACTCGAAGCATCTTCAACGTTTCACGTGTGGCGAATGCGGGAAGCATTACGCCACGTCATCGAATCTATCCCGACACAAACAGGTTTATTCACCTTGGTTAATATTTGACATGCAGCCATCCAGTTACAATAATGCCGTGTTTCTATCATTGCAGACTCACCGGTCGCTCGACTCCCAAAATGCAAAGCGGTGTCCAACCTGTGGCAAAGCGTATGTTTCAATGCCTGCACTTTCAATGCACATTCTCACGTGAGTGAAAATCAATTTCTGCTAAATTATGACTTGCTATGAATTGTGAAACGGCAATGGCAGCGAAATAATTTAAACTGCAGGCACAACTTGACCCACAAGTGCGACATTTGCTCCAAGTCATTCTCACGCCCCTGGCTCCTCCAAGGTCACATGAGATCCCACACGGGAGAAAAACCCTACGGCTGTGCAGACTGTGGGAAGGGTGAGTAGCTAATTTAGTGTCCTTGCCTTATCTGAAATACCAACTTCGTATCGCATTAGTTTAATTGACTCTTTTCAAACTTTTCAGCTTTCGCAGACCGCTCCAACCTGCGGGCGCACATGCAGGTAAGTAAATATGCAATCAGATCGTGTGACTTAATTGGATTATCCCTCTCATGAACTTACTGAAACGGTAAATTTTCGACGTTGCAGACCCACTCGGGCGCTAAGAACTACTCCTGCGACCGTTGTCACAAGTCATTCGCACTCAAGTCCTACCTCAACAAGCACACGGACTCTTCCTGCTTCAAGGACTAGACGAATTGCTGCTGACCATGCAAGGACATTTCCATTCGGTCTTCTGGTCAGGTGGGGTGAGAGGTTTGTGTGAGAGTCCAGTTGTGGGGTGAGGTTGGACTGAATAACCAAAGCAATAAATGTTTCCGTATGTGCATGCATGCCACGACATAATGTCTAAATTTTAATATGATCGTACTACTTTCACTAACTACTGAACTCTGCTCAACGTGTGTGTCTGTTGTCAATTGTCGTCGTCGTCGTCGTACTTACTGTCGCTGTCAATGATTGTTGTTTCGTCAGCTTTCTCTCTGCTTCCAGGGCGTAACTAACTACTTGTAATGTGAGAGTACATCTGGGCGTGGGGTGTGTTTGGCATCGTGGAGTGATGATGATGGGTTTTAGTGTCTTAGTCTCGAGTGAATTAAAACCGAAGCAATACTACTTCTACTACTTACTACTTGTGTATGTACTTACTTACTTACTACTACTTGATTAGGACGGAATAAGGTATCCACAAAATAAAAATCTACTTCTGAGCAATATTTCTGTGCTTCACAAACTATGTAAAAAAACTGTGTATTCAACTCAAGGTCAATTTCTCACTTTCCCTGTTTAAAATACGGCCATCGGCGTCTCCTCGCCAGCCAGCAACTATGTAAACTATGTATCAAACTATATTGTAAATATCCAAGTACCACTGTTCTCTCTTTCTGTCAACTAATAATCGTAGCGTTGGGTGGTAATTATAGAGAGCTGTCTAATGGTCACGCTTTGTCTACCAATCACTGTAATCATACATTTGTATGTATGTAGTCATATAATGCCAACTTTACTCTCTGTGCTCTTGCACTGTGTTTTGAATCTATCGTAAAGTCGTGAATATAATTATTTATGTAACACCATCAAAGTCACCACTACAAACAAACAAAAACAAAATGTCGTTCCATAATAACCAAATTCAGCAGCTGTACTTACTGATCTGTGTGCAGTGTTTCAAGTCATTCTCGTCTATTGTCTTTTTGTAGTGGTTGGTATGTAAATGCGTTGGTCCATGTGGGGTGACCCTTGGCTCACTCCCTTCCTGATATTATAAATGTGTTACTCATTACCTTTGGTTGTACCTAAAAATACTTGATTGCACTCCGCTCTATACTTACGTTCAGTTATTACAAAGAGTCGTGATCTCATCACTCGTCGTTAGTGTATTAAATGCAAACTTATTACTTATGAACTAGTCACAATTTTGAGTCAAGTTTTGATCTCATCTCTCATTGTACAATGAATTCGTGAATAAAAAAGGCTGATTTTACTCGGAAACTTTGAGAGTTTTATTCGTCATTGGATTTGAATGAATACATGTAAATGCTGCATCCACAAGCTGAATATGGAAGGTTATGTAGTTGATGAAGGGTTGGTGGCGGAGGGGTTACGCCTTGCGACGTCTCCGTGTCTCCTTCTTTTCTCTTGGAGGCAGGGGTCGATCAAAGGGCTGGAAGTTTGGAGTCAGTTGGAGTGCATTCGTGGCAAAGGCGGCGAGGCGTTCGTACTGGGAGTCGTAGTCGAAACCTCCGAGAATGAACTGGTCCTCAACCCCACTCGACGTCCTGCAAGCACATGAATTGGACGGTGTCAAATATTCGACATGTACGGCTTCTTAACAATAATTACCAATCGTTGATCACTGGTTTTAGGTAGAGGTCGTTGAAAACATGGACGAAGTTTGCCCAAAAGTTGGTCGAATAATTGAACAAATGGTGACAAACGCCAAGCACGAGATTACTTAGGACCCAAGTTGTGTCGACCACAATGTCCACACCGCGCCAACGGATAAATGCTTCAAACATGGATTTAGGTCCAGGTTGAATCCAGTATTCCAAGTTTTGCTGAGGCATACAAAGTGTTTTCGTTTTACTAATAGTGTTATTTTATCAAGTACAAAAGTGCAGAAAGTTTATGCAAACGGCCGACACCTCGAGAAACACGTCAGCTGAGTCGTCCAAGAGTTGGGCACATTTGTCCAAGTCGGAGGTCACGATGCCGATAAAATATTCCGGAATGTCGAGCGGTTGACCCCCCTTCGTCTTCCACCTTGGGCCGTTGGGTACATAAGCACACGTGAATACGCAGGAAATTATTGTCTTTCTTTTTGAGGTGCGCATACGCACTCACTGTTTCCCCGCATTTTGAGACGACTGAAACGTAATAATTATTAAAAATAATTAAGAGCACATACGCGTTGGACAAATGGTGGACCATAAATTCCCGCATCATCATGAGGTAGAGTGGCGGGACAATGTTGGCGGGCACGACGGTCATGGCGATGTCATAAACCAGGTCGAGCATTTCCGTCCTCCAAATGTGTTCCGGCACCGTCGGCCAGAGCAGTTGCGTCTCTGCCGTGAAGTCGTGGTTGAGACGGATGGAGAGGAGTTGGATGAGCTCAGTGATCCCATCCGCCGGACACGTCTTGTTGTACACGTCCCTGAAGGGCGGCTCGACTATCACAGGTCTCTCGGTGGTCACTCCTGGTTCCGTGTCGTTCTTGTGCTCTTTGTCGAGCAGGTTCTGACTGAGGACGCGAGGGCGATAGGCGTCGGGTTCGTTCAAGTCGGGCCGCCGTTCTCCAAAATATCGACAGTCTTCGAGCAGGTGGATGTTCTCAGGTTTGAGGGCTGCTCCCCGTTTGCACCCCTTCGCAATTGACACGATCTTCTCATTCACTTCCCACTTGCCCAGCGCGACAAGGTCTGGGACAAGGCAGATGGGCAGCTCTTCACGGGGGTCAAAGTTCGTGGCGAAACAAAAGTCTCGCATGGTGCCGTTCTATTTATCCCAGTTTTATACAGATAAATTTTAGATACTTGGAAGAGGCAGAGGGCTTGTTACATATTTGTATGTACATGCAACCGATTTATTATGTCGCGATTTGTCAATTAAGATTTTTGTCACCCACCTTTGACACCTGGATGGTCCACTGGCTTTTCCCAATGAAGACGAATGAGCGTGGGACCCCTCCAAGGGATTCAAAGAATCGAGGCCCCCTCGTTCCGTCCATGGGGACGCCCAGTCCCGCAAAGTAGTTTTCTTTGAAGATGTTGAGGGAGGTTTTGAAGGGTGCTTCGTCCTGACCCAGCGGTTGCATGGACTCGATCTAAACGCAAAAAAGTTGTCCCAACAATTCAAGAGTCTAATCAATTTCACAAGATACATGTGTCCATGTGCTCGTATATCGCATTTACTATAAGTACACAAGTAGCATCATCTCACATTTCCTGGTTCAACACAATGGTTTCCACCAGAAGCAACGTCATAGTCATTTGGCCCAAACGACCCGTACTCGGGTTGTCGGTACATCAACCATCTGTGTGAAATGAAATACCACAAGTCAGAAAAATATCAGTCTCCTCACCACCGAAAATGTCCTGATGGACTTACGCCCCCGTGACGCAGACGGTGCCAATTCCTATGAATCCGTGGTCATGCAGCACTTTCCCCAGATTCGACCAGTCAGAATGGTCCGTGTAGTTTATGGTGATGCCCAATCGACCTGCGGCGGCGTAAATGGAAGCATCTTGGTATTCACTCACACTCACTGTGACCCCGACCACGAGGAGGAGGAAGGATTGCGGCAACATGCTGATAATTTCAATCCCACTGAACTGACTAACAGCGTTGTAATTAAGGTGGCACGTAAAGTTGGGGTTCGCTCATGCGGAAGTTGAATGTTTTGCTTCCAGGAATTGAGGACGCATAATGCATAACGCACCATACATAAGTGTATATAGCTTAGGAGGTATTGTAAACAATAATAATTAATATGCAAAAATAAACGCCAACGATGATGAGCATTGTCAAAATTATGCTGCAATTATAAAAGGGGAACCGGTAACTAAATTAGTTTAGGACCAAAAAAATTGTTTTATTTATTTATTTCGCCTTGAATTATTTTGACCCATCGACTCTTTGTTGGACGAGGGCTTCGTTGATATTGAATATAACGTAATGCCCCCACTCGCTCGTGTCCACCATCCCGTCATCGTTCAAGTCAAGTTCGCTCAGCTTCTGGTTAGCGGAACGCCACATGTCGAACAAGTTGTAGTTTATCCCAAGACTCATGACCTCGTTCTGCAAGCAATAAAATTATCGACCCCACTTTATTTAGGCAAATTCAGTAGGAAAAAATAGTTAATTAATACCCAAAGGAGTTCATAGGCGCTCAAGACGCCGTTTTGATCAGTGTCTTGAATTCGGAGCAGTAAGTCTATCAGCATATCCGGATGGCCGGCCGGTCCCATAAAAAAATTTGCAAATTCTGAAAAAAATACGATATACGTTTACCTGACCTGGCATCACCCAAACTGCCCTTAAGGACTATCTGTGTATGCATATTTCTTCGCGGTGGACAATGGCACACTGAAAAAGTTTTTATATGGCTCTGCACAAACCATTTTTGCTGATTTTGTAGTCATTGTCGGTGTCCATGAAGGAAATTAGTCGAAAGAGATAGAGCGTCGTCTTCCCCTGGGTTTCCCCCATCCGCTCGATTAGCTGAGAAATCGGCACATGGTCGCCCCCAGTTTTGGCGTGGAACTGTTCAAACACCCGGGTCAGAACTTCTTGAGCTAGTTGGAGGGCTGTAAAAACAAACGTTTAAAAAGGCTTATCGTCTAAAAATAAATCTATAAATCTATCGTATAAAAAGTTTATTATCTCGGTTGCTCCATCGTGACGAATAGTGACGATACAATAAATGCGAATTTTTGCTGACTCACAACTGCGCGGATCGTGCTGGTGAATGGCCTCAATTTTGGCTTGCAAGTCGGCAGCCGCCTTCCTGTCTCCGGCAAGATCATCCAGTGAAGATGAGCCCGGGATGGCGTTGGACGTGAAGTCATTCCCAAAGGTGTTGTTTCTTACTGCAGCCTCCGCTATGGAGATGGTGGCGAGGAACAAGATGACATAAAATGCTTGCTCCGCCATTTTGGTAAGGAGTTATCACAAATAAATGCAAAATGAAAAAAACTTATCTGACGTGGGTAACTACAATACGGCCGACTTCTCTCATACATATATATATAATTGTTGTGTATAAAAAAAGCTGGTATGCAAAACAATAAACAAAGTCAGCCTTCTTCTCAGAAATGTGCAAGTCCAACAACAACAAACAATAACTTGACAAAACACGTCGGGTATTATTATGTAGATCAGATCATGAGAAATGAAGCGAGTGATTGCATTGCGTTGCATTCTTGAACGGGTTCAACTATAATTTTTATTATCAGGTTATTGTTTGATTTCCTATAAAAGTGCATGATGATTTGACTAAGTTGACGCAGGGGTTGCGGCTTGTGGTGGAGGGGTTCCTTTCTCTTCGGGACGAGCCTTGTTCCACTCCTTGAGGCCTTCGGGGAGTTCTGTATTCTCTTCAAATGAACCCGTCCCTTCTACAAATTCCTCGTATGTCGATTTTTCTGGGAAGGGTCGTTTTCCTAGCAGCTCAATCATGTCATCTCGACTTAGAATCTCTTGCTTCAACAAACGTTCAGCCACCTGTTAAACAACAATCCACAGTAGTAAAAATTTATTACAATTTAATTAAGTGACTGACTACATGAAAAAGGTATTTATATAAAAACAGAGTTGAGAAAATACACTGAAAAGGATTAACCAACTTTTTTGCATATGATTAACCTAATCCGTTAAAAGCCACCGTGGGAAAGTAGCCACACCATGCAGCTACCCAGCCATTATTTAGCAAGCACTCGTGTTTTTATAGTTGATGTAACATTTCACTACATGCTTAATCATAATCATTTTTGTGAATTCACTACCTTAAGAACATCTTGCTTGTGTTCTGTGAGGAGTTTGTGAGTGTATTCGTAAGCGGTCGAGATCAGTACGCGAACTTCAGTGTCGATAAGCTGTGCAGTCTCTTCCGAGTATGGCTTGTCCATCACCATTTCACCAGGTTGTGGCATGTCAAAACTCACATTGCCCACTTTGTCATTCATTCCATAGTGAACAATCTACATATTCAGTAAAATTGTCAGGTTATGAGTTTGATGAATTTCATCACGCATCACACAAACAGCAAACCAACCTGAGCATACGCACTCTGCGTCACTTTCTTCAAATCATCTTGAGCTGGAATTATCAGTATGTTATTTATTAGCAAAATATAAACCTGCACCACACACATTATACACCTGCACATCTAGGTACCGACGCTAATTATTTATGTATGCATATTACTTCTTGGGAATTAAAAAATCCATAAATGTGAGGATGTTCTATGTTAGACAGCTTACCTCCCGTGGTGATCCTGCCAAAAAATATCTGCTCACTCACTCTTCCTCCGAGCTGTAAAAATATCGTATGCAAACAAGTCAATCGTATTTAAATCCAACTCCCCAATAAACGACTCGCTTACCGTCATACACATTCGGTCAAATAACTGTTCTTTAGTATATAAATATTGCTCCTTAGGAAGATACTGGGCGTAACCTAAACCTTTTCCTCTCGGAATTATGGACACCTGCACAGCAGATAATTTTAAGGCATTATATATTAAGTATTATATATTAGTCATGTAATTGTAAACCCACTTTAAGGAGAGGATCCGCATGTTTCAGGAACCATCCGGCTACGGCATGCCCCGCTTCATGATATGCCACAGTCTTCTTCTCATCCGGTTGAAGGACATTTGTTTTCTTCTCCATCCCAGCAACGACACGTTCAATGGCTTGTTCAAAATGTTTCAAACTTATCGTTGTGTTCATGTCACGTGCAGCAATCAGCGCCGCCTCGTTGCAGACGTTGGATATGTCCGCACCTACGTCAATACATTTCATCATAGTGCACAGCAGCAAATTAATAATAACTGGTTTCGGAAATATAATCAGCGATTTATTTAATGACATCAACTAACCCGTGAATCCTGGAGTTAGCGCAGCCATCTTTCTTGACAAATCATTTTTATCCAACTCGGATTTTAAAGGTTTGAGATGAACTTTGAATATACTGGCGCGACCCTTGATATCTGGGGCTGGAACGAAAATCTGTCTATCAAACCGACCTGGCCGAAGCAATGCGCTGTCCAGGATATCAATTCGATTAGTTGCTGCCATCACCACCACGTTTGTTGTCGTATTGAAACCTATATATAAAATCAATTTATATTTGGTAACTCAGTATTCATATGGCAGGACAAAATAAATTGGGATTGCACTGTCTACGCACCGTCCATTTCGACTAGGAGTTGATTGAGGGTATTTTCCTGCTCTGAATGACCTCCAAAACTACGACCCCCTCGCTTCCTTCCCACTGCATCAATCTCGTCAATAAAGAGGATACACGGGGCGTGTTTTCTGGCCATGGCGAACATGTCCCGAACCTGCAATCATTAGTTACAATTAATACTGCTTTTTACCAAATTCTAGGTGTAAATTCTAAGGAATTTTTACCCGGGAAGGACCCACGCCAACAAACATTTCTAAAAACTCTGATCCTGAAACCGTGATGAAAGGCACGTTTGCTTCTCCGGCAGTTGCTTTGGCCAACAGTGTTTTACCCGTTCCAGGTGGGCCTGAATAGTCATGTAACAACATCACAAATCACTTTAATAGTATTTCAGAAAATACACTTTCAGTCTCACTCAAAATTCAAATAGTATAATCTGTAGTTCAACAAAACAATGACTTATTTCTAAGAAATAAGTCATTGTCATTTAAGAAATAATTTCTTAAAGACAAATGCTATATACCGGTGAGGATGGCACCCTTTGGGATCTTTGCACCAAGTTCATAGTATTGATTCGGATTCTTGAGAAAGTTTACAAATTCCATGATTTCCACTTTAGCTTCTTCACACCCGGCGACGTCCCTACGAGTTAGTGAACATTAATACATTTGTTAGTGCTATTTCGTCACATATTATACACCGCTTACTTGAATCTGACCCCTATGTCACTTGAGTTAATTAGTTTGGCCGTGGACTCCATAACAGATCCAAAAATTCCACCCCTTCTCCCACCTCGACCAGCACCACCCATCATTTCTGCTGACCGTCTCATCATGTAGAGGAGAAATCCAATAATGAGGATGGTTGGAAGAACACCGGTCAAACTGGCAGCTTCAATTTCTGTTTTGTAAATGACTGGGATAAAATTGGAGCCCTCAATGCCCATTTCCATTTGAGCGTTCTCCAAATTCCGCTCGAAAGAGTCCACCGATCCGATATTAAACCAGAGAATGCTCTGCCAAAACACCAATCAACATCCGTTAACCAAAACGACAAATGTTCCAATTTCTATCCAGGACACAACTTACAGAACCATCTACATTTTGTCCAGGGTTGAGACGCACACGAACCCATTTCTTATTCACGACTTCTAATTTTTCCACAATATTTCGAGCCATAAAACTGGGTAAATACAAAGAACATATTAAATAATTAATTACATAAAATATTGCATGATTGATATGACCACAAGTATATTCTCATGAACTTCTCACTTATTAACAAAATCCTTCCATGTGATTTCCTTATAACTCATCTCGTAGTAGGCAAAAGTGCCAAGCAGTCCAATTGTGGCCACCACGGAGAGGAAGATCATCTTGTCCCCTCCCTCCGATCCCAGTCCTCCCTGTTTACCACCACCGGTACTTCCGCCACGGGGTCCACCACCCCCTAGAAAAGAAGACCATGGATCGCCAGGCGGTCTGGCCGATGAAGGCGGCGGTGTGTTTGTTGGTCCTGAAGATGAAGCCGCTCGTGAGGGTGGCGGTGGTGGGGCATTTTCTCCTGATTTCTTTGTCCCGGCTTCCTTTCCATCCCCCGATTTTGAAGGGGGTGCCTTGTCCCCAGATTTAGAAGGACGGAAGAACTTTTCAAACCCCTTGGGTGGTGGCTTATCTCCAAAGTAGACTCGAACCTGGGATAGAATGCGATGAATTTCGGGGAATCTTCGATATATCTGAAATGATAAAGAGCAAACTAATTAGATAACTATACATAATTCATCTTAAATTAATGAAGTAGGTGTACGTACATGTGAAGCATCACCGGTGATAAGACTACGCCGGAGGACTCGATCCAATTGGCGACAAGGGGTGAGGACGAATCTATGAGCCATCATAGTTTTAGTTTTGAGTGAAAAGATGGCTTCAACAATTATGACGTGAGGACTTTGATAACCAAAAGACACCCATCCGCCGCTGCTAATTAAGTTTAAGTGAGTGATAAAGTATATAAACAAAAATTATGCCGATGACCAGGATTTTTCGGTTTTTCTAGATGATGAAATGAAACCGAGTATTGAGACTGAACGAGTTGAATTTGGAGGTGATATTTGCTCACGGCTGAGGCCCTGAAGCTCTATGCTCATGATTTGGTACCATCACTGCATAACAACTCTGCTAATTGATGATAGTAATGGATTTCACTAAAGTCACGATGCTTATCCTTGACAATTAGGCCTGTTTGTCCGTATGGAAAAATACCTGTCATTTGTATCAATTGTATCCAGAGTTGGTTTTTGTTGGCGACAAGGGAGGCTAAAAAGGGAAGCATAATGCACTACTGGCAATTTCCATCTTCGCCCCGTGTTTCTTATTATTAGTCAGCTGCACACTTGCCTGCACATCTCGTGGCTCTCGTCAATTCCTCAAACCCTTCCTTCTCCATCAATCAAGTGTCAATTGTCTTTCCTCCATTGACGACGAGATGTCGAATCGTGTCTTTAAAAAGGTATTTGGTGGAGGGGACGAGCTGGGGGCGGTTTCACCCACGTCGGAAGATGAAGCCCCCGTCGCATTGTTCACCAAGAGTAAAAAAGCACTGACAATTAACCCATACCAGCTGGTTAGTAATTTTAGTTTTAAGATTATGTACTTGGTTGTAAGATTGGTTTTCTTGTACTTTTGAAGTGCTTCATATTATTACTGCCTTCATTTCAGCTGAACGATGACCTGTCCGAGTCTGAGGAGAAAGGTGGTGACGATGAAGATGCTGCTGCGGCTGGTGCAGAAGAAGATTCGTCCAAACCAGATGACGATAACTCCCAGGCCACCACGACCAAGAAGAAACGGCGAAAGAAACGTCCAGGCAAAAAGAAGAATGATAACAATGACCGGGTGGGTGGAGGGAGTAGCGCAGTGGACACGGAATTAGTAAGTGATGATGACTGTTGACAGTTTTTTTTACTTATAAATATAAATGCTGAGTGCAAGAAAACTATACTCTTTCTTTTATAGTGCACAATTATACATTGCATATTTAATTGCTTATCAGGAGGACGCTGAAGAAAGTCAAAGACAAAAACAGCAAAAGGCAACCACACGACCAACTCGAAAGAATGAATCAGACGCAGTGAGTAGCAGCAGTGGGAAAACAGCATTCGAAGAGCTGTTTAAGATCGACTCAAAATATCTGAATTCTGAATTTGAGCTCAAAAGGATTTTTGGATCGAAAGTTATCAATTATGAACGAAGGTATTTTTTAAATTATTATGTATGTGTACAAACACTAGCCACTATCCTTATCCTGTGCAAGAGCTGAAAAATGAAATTACTCTAATAATTCCACTGGAATTATTCCAGCAAAGCGGGCCAACGCCGCATCTATCGACACAGTAAACTAGTCATGCCGAAAGAGCAGTGGCCTTCCGTATCCGGCTCTGGTAAGCCTTTGTTTTAGGTGGAGCTTGATTTAATAAAAATACATTTGGTAATTCTTGATATGCACAATCAATAGGAATATCCATGTCGTACTTGAATACGGTGGACGGCTATCCCTACTTCAAATTTGATCACAACCTTCATTATCAAGACGTCCAAAAAGAATTCATGCGTGCTGTAGATACGCTGAATCCTGACAATATTGTCAGCATTCTACGACTCCATCCGTACCACATTGATTCCCACATTCAGCTTTCTGACATGGCGAAATCAGCGGAGGATATGTCAGTCGGTAAGTGTACACCTGCATGCATTACAACTCATCATTGATATATGTTCCTGGAAAAGGTTATCGTTGATCGTCGATAGTGGCAGCATCCATGTACGGGATGTGTGAGAATGCATGTAGATTTATTTTGAATACGCAAACTGTTCCTAATAGTACAACTAGTGATAGTAATATCCAATTCGTATTAGAGTTGAGTAGGTAAGGTTTAAGTTATACATTTATTTTTTACAGCTGCGGATCTCGTCGAAGGTGCGATACATTGCTTGGAAAATGCATTTCATGTTCGGTTTTGTCTTAATAACCCGGCTTGTCGACTGGATTACAAGTTCCAAGAGAATCGGTGAGCAATTTATGAATATATTGACGCTTGTGGTCAATATATTCGGACGGACTCTCACTAAAAGTATACATGACCTGTCCCTCTATTTTTTGATTTAAACCTAAATACCCGAAACGGAGTCACATTCCGCCAAAAAAAATCCCGAAAATAATTTTTACGATTTTTTCCTGTTTCGGGTACTTAGTTTTAAATCAAGAAATAGAGGGGCAGGTCATGTTTACCTTTAGTGAGAGTCCGTCTATACTTTTACTTAATGTGTTATATTATGGGTTGGCGTGATATTGGTTCCTGATAAATAATCGCCCAACTTTATCCGTCTGTCTGTTTCAGCCCCTTCTTCATCCTGCTCTTCAAACATTTAGTATTCGTGGGACAACGAGCTTGTCACCGGACTGCGTTGGAGCTGTGCAAACGTCTTTTGTGCCTCGACCCGGTGTCAGATCCACTATGTGCGACGTTAATGATTGATTTTTACGCTCTCAAGGGAAATGAAGCTCAATGGTTCGTCGATCTGTATCGCTTTTGGGAAAAACCAAAAAATCTTGACCAACTTCCAAACTTTTCCTATTCCATTGCACTTGCTCATCATCTACTTTCTCTCAAAGTGAGCCAACGATTTGACTTACTTCTTACATGGCTTCCTAAATAAATATGTCCAGCTATATGTTGGCAAATTCATTTGGTAGTTCAAAGCTAAGAATTTCCATTTGTATCTCTGTCTATAGGAGAATCCTGAAATCGAGTTGTCTCAAAAAGCCGACGCTCTTATCCAATATGCTGTGCTCATGTTTCCTTCCGTGCTACTACCACTTTTGGAGAAAGTAGGCGTCCAGATTGATAACCGTGCCAAACATCACAATTATTTAAATAGCTTCGCTCAATCCAGGTACCTATTAGCAATTAGCAATTGGCAAATCCGCTTGAAGTTTATATACCTAATTGTTGTTTTATTCGTAATTACTATGTGTAGTCAGTCTCGATCCCTTCGTCTCCTTTGCGAACTCTACGTATGGAGAACTCACCATGTGTGGAAGGAACCTAGCGTGCTAGGCTGGTTGGAGAAAAATGTGACAATCATCCTGGACCGGGTCGATGCGTCAGATCCAGTTGTCAAGGACTATGAAGGGAAAAGGAAACGACGTTATCTGGCCACAACGCCCAGAAATATTTTACGCCACGTCCTTCTCACAGATAACAAAGACCTTACATTTAACTTTCCGCCCGTGAGCAATAGATTTTGTTTTAATTGTGCAAAACAAAGAGAGAAAATGCACTGAATTGGCATTATCTTGTGCCTACAGGAATTGAGTAAAGAGCCAATTTTAAACTACGATCCACTGCCACCCCCTGACGCTGTTGACATTTACAACATGAAGGAATTTCAGACCAGACGGACCAGGACGGGGACTGGTCGAGGGGGAATTCTCAACATGTTATTGGACTCACTTTGGAACGACCTAAATGCAGTTCCACCCAATGACCAACCACCACAACTGTGCGTGACGAAATCAGTAAACATAAATATATTTAGTCTAGCTTTATTTGCTCTGATTGTTTTTGTGTTGGTTTTAATTTTGGCAGGGGGGCAGCTGAGCGTCCTCCTGCACGACTTGCAGCCGCCGACGGTGAGAATCCACCCATAGCCTTGGGAGCAGGTCTACAACAAAGTGTGACCGCTCTCCTCGACGCCATGCGAGATTTGCTAACCAACGCAAATGGACGACCGGAGGGTGAAGCAGCGGATGGAGAAGACTCTGCCACAGATGCTGATGCTCGTGAAGATTAGCCGACAAAAATTCTACATCGCTCAATAAGTATGCAATTTCTTCTTTTGGTATGTAAATAAATTAAGCAGGGATGCTGCAACTTGTATTCTGGTGTATTTATTTTATTTATTCCACTTTTTGGTAAATAGCTGTGCATAATACATATCATGCACATATATGGAGGGTTAGTTTACAAAAAACGATCAGTGATTTAGTAACAATAATAAGCATTACTTATGATATATCGTACAACTCGAGTAAAATTGATAAACATATAATCCATAATCCATCATTACTTTATTGCGAGATTTGGGGCTAATTGTCGAGTTAGATAGAAATTCTGTGTCTCTTTCTCAAGACGTGTTAGCTGCTGAAGGGATGACGCTGTCTCCGTGAGGTGGTACTTCCCACAGGCATCTAGTGATCAAAATAGAAAAATAACGTAGTTTAAAAAATAATTAGATTGCGTGTATCCAAAGTAAGCGGAATATTTACTTCATTTACATATGTACGTACCTTGTAAAGATCGCTTTTGACCATAAACCACTTTGCCGTCAAATTCATCACACGGAATGTTCATGTCTGGTTCTACTTGTGGAATCGTAACAATCAAATGTTCTTCAATGTCGGCCAAGTACTAGGAAAGATTGGCGATCTATTAATTTAGCTAGAAATTACAACGATAAAAGCTCCCTCAAAGTTGGAACTCACTTGTTGCTCATTGTACCAGACGCAGCAGCCCTTGCGATCAGTGAGGTTCGTGTTCCAACAGTTCTTTCCACGACTCGAGCACCACTGCCCATGATACCACACCTTTTCCGGAACTGTGGCCACCAACGAAATTGCCAAGCCCATCCGCTCTGCACGACCTACTCGCCCAATCCGGTGAACGTAGTTGGACTTCTCATCGGGCAGAGTTATGTTTATCACTGGGAAAATGTTGTGGTTACAAAATGTCACTATCGTCAACATTCGCCTATTACTTTTATTGTATAAGATTATCTATTACTGAAAGGAAGTCCAGAAATGTCGAGTCCTCTGGCAGCAACATCCGTGCAAATGAGAAATTTCACGTCTTTTTTCTTGAACCGTTCCAAGTTTTCTTTTCGCTCTGCTGGTTTTCGGTCCCCGTGCAGACAGACACAAGTGTACGGATTGCTCACACTTCGTGGGCCACCACCTCTCGTCACGAGATACTCTTCCAAATTATCACAGTCAATCTTGGTCCGGCAAAAGATGAGTGCTTGGTCCATTTTCATTTTGTCAATGGCTCTCACACAGTACTCTCCCTTTAGGAGCTTCACAGCCTCGGAAAATGTTTCGGCCGTGTTTGATCCGGGACGGACATTGTCTTTGGCGTGAACCCCGTCTGTGGTCACATGTTGGCGGAGGGAGTGCCAGGACAAATCCTTCCTAGGGTCCACGGGAACCACAACATGGTGCACAGTTTCCGGTACGGCGTCTTCACCTTTCAGGTCAACCCAGGTAGGAAAGTACATGAGCTTTTCCTAACGGATTCAATATTATTGTTTCATTTATTAGACCTGAGCCGATGTCTTGCATTGTAACAAGTTAAATCTTTAAATATATTATAATAAATAACTTACAGCCAGTTTCTTCACTTCAAAATCGTGTAACGTGGCGGAACACACAATCATTTGAAGTCGTTTCATATCTGCAGTGACTTTGGGAATTTGACCGTGCATTTTGTGAATGAGTTGGGTGTACCCTGCTTTCAGGAGACCGTCAGCCTCGTCGAGGATGAAGAATCGGGTGTGAGCGAGTGAGATGTGGCCTGAACCGATGAGCTCTTCCAACCGTCCTGGAGTCCCCACAACAATGTCGACGCCTCGACTGAGAGCTTCAATCTGATCACGCACAGCAACTCCTCCAATGACCAACAATTCTCGGATGGGGGGAGCGTCCAAGTACTTTTTAAATTTTTGAATTTGTGTAAAAGTTTGTTCGGCCAGTTCACGGGAAGGCTACATTTCATAAAAAGAAATATTTAATATTAATTCAACGATTCAAGTTATTTGTTAATTATATAGCTAAGCTATTTAATAAATCTTTCACCTCCATGATGATAGCTTGAGGCGCATTTGACACGTTTTTTAGAGGCTGTTGAGCTCCTTTGTTGGCTCCATGGTTCGGATTACTCTTGACCTGCACGAGCTGGTCCTCTTGAACTTGTGCCAAGCCAATGAATCCCTTGGGAGGCTCGTGCTTCCATGCTTGGTCGCCAAAATTGAATAGTATTTCGGCATTTTTTAGAACCACTGCAGGGTAAATGATTTCACCTCGAAGGCTCGCAGGAATTTGGAATGCTACGCCAAAGTCTTTTCCATTTTTAGTGAATCGTACTTCACTCCGGTCCAGGTCGAGACAACATCCAATAACATCCGATTTTCCAAATGGCTCTCCGTAATCGTCAAACTGTTTGCAATGCGATTTCTTCCCAGTTCCACCAAAACCGAAACTGTAACGATCCGTGCCCAGCTCATGACTGGCCTGATAATAGGGAATCAATCAATGCATAATTCGTCTAATATTGGAGTACTATTGGTATACATATATTTAAATTACCTGGTGTGTAGACCAACCCACTCTGCACAACCCTTCATCTTGGACAATTGTTTCAAAATAGTAGGCCCCCTTTCCCACCACACCCTTCGTCCCACGACACCCATGCCAATCCTTAAACTCACGTGACTGGCAACGTAGTCCATCCGGACTTATTGCAAATGCCGAGCCACGATCGTACACAGACAATGCCCATTTGGATGATGAGGAGGATGAACTGCTAGTATTGCCCCCTCCGCTTCTCCCCTCGCGAATCTCCTTCAGCGTCTCCCAAACAGATTGAAGGACTGGAAGACAAAAGGCTCCTGTTTTGCCGGACCCCGTTTCCGCAGCCATAAGAACGTCACCGCCGCCAAGGATGAGGGGAATTGCTTCAGCTTGAACATCAGTGGGGAGGCTGAAAGGGGTCACGATTAGTCACAAACATTGAAATGCTAATATTAATCTTAACTCTTACGTCCAGTCCATGTCTTCGGTGGCTCTGGCCAACTCCCCCATCATTCCCATCTCTGTGTAAAAAGCACACAAGGTTAAGGTGGAAGAAAACCGTCATGAAAACACACATTTTTGTCAACTTACCCTCAAACGCGGTCATGGATAACTGCCTAAAAGATAAGCTCTCTGTTGATAAATAATATAAGCGATGGTAGGGCCGGCGCTGATATATTTTTGTCTGCTACACACAGCAACTGATTACTGTTTGGCTGGCGGCTGAGGAGGCAGATTGAGACAAACATGAGACACTTGTTTATTTTCACATGCATGGTGTGTTCGTCTCAACCTGCCTCTCTTTCCAATTGTTAGCTTTTTATGTCCCTTTTAGCCGATAATCCGAAGTTAGGATAGTTTCGGCATTTTTACGGAGCCACTTGACCAGGGCCACAAATATTTATAGATGGGTATGTAAAACCTTATGGTTTCGAGTGAGCAGTAAAATTCTATTCTTGGATTGTTTCATAACATAGAAAATCTTTCATATTTTATTATTTTGTTCTTTGTTTCATTTTAAATGCACATTGTTATCAGTGATTATTTAATGACACTTATAATACAGATAATAACACAATTGTTTTGTTGATTCCAAAATCTTTATCGTAATATGTAACACCATACAAGTTGATGATGATATTGATGATCATAAGAACTAAGGAAATTAATTAAGGTACATATCGTTCCGACTTCATTCCATGCACTGGAATCTAATCTCTTTCCTATACAAGCTTGATTAATTTGCATTCATGCACTCGAGCCTTCTTGCGATGATGAATTGATAAGAATAACCGAGGTGAATTTAATCAGGTAGAAAAATGTTAAAGACTACAAAACATTATTACAATAGCTAAACTACTGTTAATATTAATATAATTATGTTTTTTTGGCTTTCGTGACTTTTGAGACCGTCCTGGACAGGATTACTGGGATTATTTGGTCCTCTTCTGGACTAGAGGACGAGTAAGTGGCTGGCTTTATATATATATAATATTTTTCTACCGTCCTTAAGTAAGCTTTTTTTGGGGGAGGGGTATTTAATTTGATATTGATGAGATCGGAGAGAAGAGAATATGTATAATAATAATAATAACAATTGATATAAATAATGACACGTCGCTCAGAAGATCCAGAAGAGGGGCGGAGAACGAAGACATTTTTCAAGGACTTTCGTTTCCTAATTCTTTTCATATAATACTAGAGGACGACTTTTTTTTACAGAAAACGATGCGCCTTGTTTTGTGTGCTTGTGGTATACATATTGTATTGCTGAGGATGACGGTATGTATGCATGTAGTAGAACGAAGGTGGGTAATTGGCTATTTGGTTGTGGTGATGCTTTGGTGGGTGGTGGTGGTGGTCATGTCAGTGGGAGGAGGAGGACGAGGAGGAGCGGTAGAGCTTCCTTTTCGCGAGGGTGTAACCCTCTCCGACGACAATGGTCCGACCCTTTGTCCAGCTTCTGTAACAAGAATATTTGTTCATTAGCTCCATGTCCGAATGGTCACCCGCATACGTTGTGAGTGAGCGAGATAAGCACATACCTGATGAATTGGGGCAGTCTTTTTTCGTACCAAGGAGCTTCCTCCTCCTTGAGGGTGAGATGCAATTGGAAAGTGGGTGGAAGATGCTGGTCTCCACGAAGTTGACCAATCTCGCTGGAGGCCGCAGGAGCAGATCCTTGGAAGTGAAGAATTATGAGAGCCCCCCGCAGCCCACATGGCTCAGTTTCTGCCATCCCCACGATGTCAGACGCAATGTGAACGAGGAGCGAAGGTGGGAGGAGAACCTGAGACGTTTAAAATTAGTCTAAGTTAGTTTAAGTCTTAATGGTGGATAAAATTCTTGGTTGAAATAAAAGCATGTGTCACATACTTGTCCGCAGTCGAGGTGGGCCTTTTTTGCCAGTCGGAGAGCTGTCTCCAGACGACCGGTCAACCACCGAAGAGTCATCACAGCCCCACCATCATCATCGATCTCGGCTGCTTCCACAAAATCCACATGTTGAACCGCGGAGCGAGTTTCTCCTATACAAACAAGAACAACAACGTTCATCAAGTTTTCCTTATCATACACGAGTCATAGTCATGTAAGCTCTTATCATTGCACGGTGTCAGAAAAGAGATAAAATGTGACAGATGAGCAAAAAAATACGTGTGGTAATTTGTGTGGCCGGCTTGTCTACTCATCTCTCTCTCTCTCTTCAACGTTGGTGAATGACGATAAAGTAGAAACAGGAAGAGATTCGCGAGGTGAACTGATCATGGCATGACGAGCAGTGTGGTGTTGATTGCAACATTAATTTCGAATGCCTGACTCAACTCGAACCGGCGAGATTGCAGAGGAAAGTATAACAGTCATCTAACAATGAACGAATTGATGCTGATGTGGGGGACCGGTCTCCATTTCAAAAACCAAGTTCCTCTTAAATAGGAATGCTCATGGTGACTTCACCACACCCACTCCTGCCCCACCACCAACCAACCAACTAACATTCGCAATTCGCAAAACTACTCTCAGAAAGTTCTAGAGTGAAGTATATATTTGGGAACAATGTGCAGTGATTTTAAAAGTCTTACCAGGCAGGTCTCGGTGGAATGGGTGGAGGGCGACAGGCTTGGCGATGACTTCCATTCTTCTTGTGGGGTATCACAGGTGAGGTCAGATCAGGTCAGGGGACGAGAGGTGAGAAGAGTAGAAGAAGTGAGAGGCGAGTTGAGACGATGTTCTTCTGATGCGCTGGTTGGTGGACGCTCTGCTTCTCTCGAGAACTCTTTGCCTACTAAACCAACTTTTAACTCGGCAGCTCAGCTCTCTCTCTCCTCTGCTGTTGCTAGCCCAACTCGCTCTCCTTTGTCCTCTCTTCCGGGGGACGTCCACGACAACCACACCCACTCCAGGTCGCCGTCCTCCTCCCCCTCGGCGTCGTCCCCCTCGTCGAGGAGGACGTGGGGTGGGGGGCGACATGGGTGGGTGTACCCCCATTGGAGTGGCATCACCATCCTTCCACCCTCCGAGCGAGGAGGACGCCTCATTGAGTGGTGCGCGAGGTTGGCGTCATGTCGCGAGGTTTGAGGGGTGGCAGGGTGGCTCTGGTGAAAAAAAAGTGTTGTTGTTGTTGTCAAGCTCTCTTATTACTTACTTTATGTACATCTATCGCTGCTCTCTACCACTGATTCTGTTTTTTATGGGGCATGTTCTTCTGCTGTGTGCTGCATGATGTTTGTTCATCTGGAGAAGAAGGGTATTCATATACAGCAGATTATGTGTGTGCCTATCCTTGCCTTTTTATTCTCGGCCCAGTGTGTGAGAACTTTACAAATAACTTGTTTTTCTACTTTTATTATGCAGCGCCCCACTGCAAAACAAGCTATATATAAGTATATATACACACACATACAAATATTTATTACCAACAGAACAATAAACTAATTGCGCAATTATACAATATGCATGGACTAGAACAACTATAAATATAAGCGATTAGTAATTCATAAATTAACAAGTGGGAGGTTTATTAGCATTTCATGAAACTTTTGTATGCAAACTTTTCAAAGTCATGGAATTGGAAGGTATTCTGGGGACTTGATGAAAGAGAATGAGAACGCTAAACTGGTTGAAACTTGGCATTACGAATTTTGCCAGCTAAATATCGAAGGATAGAGGGTGGTTAATTAGGCCTGCATATTGACACCACTTATGTTATTAAGCATATTAAAGTAAAATCATAAAGTCCTCGAGTCCATCAACCTTGGAACCATGCACTGATCTGCAAGTGCTACAAGCTGTCAAAGGAGAACATTTTGCCAAGAAAAGACGCCATGAGCACATTTATCCGAATTTTTAACTGTACTGGGCAAGGTCGGGGTTCTGCCACGAATGGGAAAACAGAGGTTCTGTACTTGACGCGAGTATGAAAGCTTTCTACGGTATTGTTGTTGACGATTCTTAAACTCTGATTTTTTCGCCAATGACGTTGTTTGGTTTTGGCAACTGGCCCTAACCCTCGGAGGTGCCATCCATTTCATTTTTTTTATGATCCAAGTTCAAAATAATACCATGGCGTAGGTGACCTTTCAAGTGGGAGGTCAGCATAGCTGCAGTTGACAAATGGGCATGTGGTCCAAAAATATTCTCATGCATGCATATTGGATTCTGTTCTGAGCTGAGCTATACGCCACACACTTGAGGCATATTTTAGTAATTACTTTGATAAGTTAAGTTCTGCTGTGCATAATCATAATACTCGTCTCTCCGAAGATGGACACAACAGGTTCAATACAATGGCTAAGCCATTTTCTGGTTGGTCAACATTTAATTTTAGGGGTGTGCAACTTTGGAATTACTGCATCCATTGAGGCCTTTGATATTCATATTATTGTTGGGGCTTAGGGGCTACTTAGGACAGTTTTGAATTTGAATGATATTTTTGGGCTTTATGCAGATTCGAATTATGCAAAATATCTTGAGGAAATATTTGAAGATTGCAGAGTCTGGTTAATCCGGGATTACGGATTGAGATTGGGATTGGGGATTAATTAATCCTTAATCCCAATCCTCAATCCGTAATGTTTGACTTTTAATCCCTAATCCTCAATCCCAAGTAGTTTGGAAAAAATAATTAATCCTCAATCCTAATCCCGAAAGCCATTGATTAATTTTAATCCAAGATGGGATTAAAATGGGATTAAATCAGCTCCACCTGTTGAAAATTCTCAGAGACCTTGCCAATTCTCCTTTTATTTCAATGAAAAATATGTTTCCCATACCTACCAACTATGTATTTACGGCAATTCTATCATTGTATTTCACAAACAACAATTCGATATTATAAAACAAATGCTCATGTATTTAAAAACATTTGATAAAACTTTATCTGTTCAAGTTGATTTTAGTTAAGTGCTGACTTAATAAGTAAACTTACTTTATGTGGCTAATGTGCAGAGTACATATTCTTATGGCCGTATAATAATAACCTATAGTGGCCAGTGGGAGTGCCCACTCACTCTCAAATACTCTCAATGATAATCAAAAGGAGGCTTGTCACTTAAGCGACAACTCGCACTTTAGGTCATTATTTATACGGTCATTAGGTTACGGTAGGATTCATATTCAATCACACTGTTTAGGGCTTATCAAAAAATTTAATTAAAACATTGGAAACATTAACTAGATACAAATGTGATCGACGATAAATACGATTTTAATCCCAATCCGGGATTAAAATTGGACTAAATTAATCCTAATCCCTAATCCGATTGAATGCCTCGAGAGATTTAATCCCAAATTAATTTTAATCCCGAGTTAATTTAATCCCTAATCTCAATCCTCAATCCCGAATTTTTTAAAATCAATCCCTAATCCTAATCATTAATCCCATTTTCGTTAATCCCAAGACTCTGGAAGATTGTGGGAGCCGTGAAGAGAGATAGGGAATCCTGTTGCAGATCTGCAATGAGACGTGCACTATCAACTATGCTATGCAGTCAGATTCATCTGTTGCGAACATGTTGCGAAATGCCTGAGCAGAGAAAGCTCTTCGCCCGCTTTCTACTCTGCCTGCGCTCCATTCTCTCCTGTCAACTTGCAACCAGATGAGTCAGCGAGCCACCGCTCGCACCTTCAACCGCGTTAGTACTGAAATAATAATAATTGACCAATTAGTCCCTGTGAAACATCATGAGCAACTCCACAGTGCAGGCATGGCTCAAAGACTCTATCAACATTAAACTTGACAAAAACTCAGACATCAGGTAAACATCTGAATTTAAATACTCATCTCTACATTTTCGCACATGATTTTTGCTGGTAATATATATTTTTTATTTCGATTAATCTAGTGTATAATTCTCTTCTTGTCATTGTAGCCTCCTACTTCGTGGTCCGCTTAGAAATATTTTGCTCTCTTTTCTCATACCACGGTGCCGTTCGGAGGACGAAGTTGATGTTATCCGATCAAACCTCTATGTTCATGGGCTTACCAAGTCAGAACCCCTCCTCAATCTCAATTACAACACGAATGCAGAGTTGACCAGAAGACTGGCAGAGTTGGAACATCGGAAACGTATCGAACTCAACGCTGCGATGCCGAAAAACAATACGGACAATGATGATTTTGATCCTACTGAAGAGTGGAATGTTCCCACAGATAAAAAACAACTCAAGAAACTTAACAATATAATTGGCTTTCTTGATGGGACTACCAGCGATCTCAAAGTATTGCTGGAAACACAAAATATGGTAAGCACAAGAAGTTTTACTCAATAGTTGCAAGGAAATAAGTACTGTATTGATTGGTCATGGTCTTATAGGTAGTCCTTGAACAAGAGGAAGTACTTTCTCCTCCTGAAAAACTTTACCAACTTCAAGAGGAAGGTATCAAGCTTTTCCATTCCATATTTTTTGAAACAACGGCAACCCCTCAGGATTTAGAAGACCTTAACCAGAGACTAGACTATTTGTGCGATCACTTTGTTGGGCGATGGGATAAGAATAATAAAGGCTTAAGTCAGAAACAATTAGTGGTGTGGCAAAAGTCTGAGATCAAGAAGGCAAAGGATCTTATGGACAAATTTAAGGTGAAACTCGCACCCAAGGCGAGTCCCACTTTTGCTGAAGATCTTCTCTCCGAGCTTTATAAGAATTTGTGCCGGGAACATATCGATATGTATTCTCGTAATGAACACCAGAAATCCCACATAGAATCAATCGAAACTAGTAGACTTGCAAAATTGTCAGCATTAGTAAGTCCTACAAACTAAAACTATGTGCTTTTTTAAATTGCATACATATGTAGCACCTAAATATTTTTTGCCCTGGTTTAGACGGCGTCTGGTCAATATGAAGGAGATATATCCCATCCAATGAAATTGATTTATGAAAAACAGTTGAAGTGTCAGATTAAGTTGCATGCTGAGAGTAAGGCAGCTTCAGAAATGACGCCCCAGGAAAATAATGGTGCTGCTGGCCCTGAGGTGAAAAATTACTTGGGTTCTCAGGTACTCGTCTACTACTAATAATGCAAGAATACATAATACTTGTGTGTATCAATTAATTGTTCATTAATTTTTCCTTTTCGTTCTGCCACAGGAAAGTGAAGTCCGTGAAAATTTAATTAACTGCCTACTTTGTAATTATCCCAATAAAAGCACGAAGTTGGTGTCTACTATCTGCCAAGCTGGACGGTATTCAGAGTTTGTACAAGCACTCCGATCACCAGCAGATCGGCGATCTGATAACCCGGAAGCTAATAGGACAACAACGACTACCAATAATAATCCGGAAACCAATAGAAATTTTGAGAACATGTTGCATGCCTTGAATCCAAACAGAGAAACAATCTCGACCAATTTTGCCCTTCGGTTTGCAAGTGACAAATAATTGTCATCAAGAAACGAAAATTATACTAAATAATTGGCACTTCTTCTTAGCTTATTATTTATGCATAAACTATTATATACAATTATTACTTTTATATAAATTTTGTAATTAAATTCTCAATCGCATATAAAAATACCATTTATTCAACAGCTAATTCCCAATAATAGTTTTTGTACACACAATTTTACTACCAAATAACTTATTATATGTGTAGATATAAACGAGGTTATTATGCAACAATAATAATACTGTTACATTGCTAAACTGGAGATTCCTTTCCTAAACTGTTTAAGAATTTGTTCGTGTTCCGCCACACTACTTTGTGAGAGTTTGGTGATGAGCTGACAGACCAAGATGGTAAGGACAGCGTTCTTTGCTTTCACCCAAATCAACCCGTTCACACCCACGGCTGTCTCACAGGGTACGATCCTCCCGATTTTTCTGAGCACATTAACAGAGTCCGAGGCGCTTCTAAGAAGTCGGGTAAAATGAACTGGGATCTAATGTTGAAAAAGCGCATAATTAATAAATAAATAAGAATTACGTATTCGGTTATGATTGAATTTACTGCTTTAATAGGAGTATACAATTGTACCCTAATTTATTCACCTGAAAAACGTGACCACTTTCCAACACACCAAGACCCAGCGACTTTCCCGTCCCATGAACACAAGTGAGTTCCATTGGGAAATCGGGAGGTAACTCGACAACTTTTCCGTAAATGACATCACCCACCTGTATAAAGCAGTGGAACATTTAATTACATTTATTAAGAAATAAATGCCACGACTCTTAATTAATATCTCATGCATAACAACCTGTAAGTCTGGCCTGAATCTTTTCGTGGCTCCTTCAAAAGCAAACTTTGAAAGATGTGCTCGTTCCTTTGTCCCAACATCGCAGGTGTACTGGTCTCCTTTTCCCTTTTGTTTTATCACACCTAGAACATCATCCTTCTTGTACGAGTCATACTAAATAACAGAAATAAAACAATGAGCAAGGGTGTGGGAATAAATGCACAAACAACACATTCGTCAACAAGTTAATGTACCTGCTTGGATTTGACCTCGACGAAAAAGGTGTTCCCCTTGACCTTGGCAAGGACACCGGGTTTGCAGGCCAGGATTGTGCCAACCCCTCCCTCCTCCCAAGTGCTGCGTCGATCCGTGATTAGTTTGAGTCCAGGACCGAGGATGAGTTTTGACAGATCCTGCGGCATAGAAAACTCATCCCCCGGCATGACCAACTGACCAACATGCTCCACCAAATTCAGACCCTGCTGCTTCATCCCTTCGTCCATTCCAATTTAATTTATGCTACGACACGATATTATTTTATTTTATGAACGCTTTTCAAAGTCTGACAACCCAACCAACGTGTTCTCCTCGCAAAAGTTGTAGTGTGAAATCTCTTCCCACGAAATAAGAGACTGGTGCACACCGCCCCCATGTTTACTGTTTACTGTTTACTGGAGTTTATTAAAATGTCGCAAATCATCAGAAAAAATCTGCTTTTCAGATCAAGACACATACAATAATGAATTCATCTAAACTACACTAATAACTACAACAAAATCATGGTTGCACATCTTGGTCACAATTCTGACCAGTGACAAAGTCACGTGCTTTTGATTGAAACAAACCATAAGACATATTACGTAATTCCCAGTCCTTCGGTAACGTATTCCAAATACGGTATCTTCTATACGTCAACGAGCGTTTAAAAGCTTCTGTCCTATGAATAGGCGCACACATATTAGGTCGGTTATAACTAATAGATCTCTCGGAAAAGGTTAACTTATCGAGTTTATAAAGTTTATACGCGTTCTTAAGTAATACATAATTAGACCTTTCCTCAACAGTAAGTAAATTATTATCTGTTCTGAATTTTTTAACATCAATTCCTTTTTTAACATTAATAAGTGAACGCTTTCTTGTAGAGTATGATTTCGCAAGCTTTGGGAAGTAGTAACTTAACAAAAAATTATCAATAATATCTTGTACTTTCTTGAGAGAAAGAGAAGTTTGTACAGTCCAGATGTCAATACAATAATCAATAACAGAGTGGACTTGAGTATTAATCAAAACCTTCATAGCCTGTTCATTTATGGAACGCTTCAGACCATGCAGCAATTTTATGCGTTGACACACTTTAGCATAGACATGATCATAGTGTAACTTAAAGTTAAGACTAGGATCTAATACAAGGCCAAGATATTTGAAAGAGAACACACGCTCGATTAACTTATCATTATCAACAATAATTGAATTTACAGTTGATTTTAAAGGAACTCTCTCATTATGAAAATACATACATTTTGTCTTGTCAAAATTTACATTAAGATCATTAAGTAAACACCAATCACAAAAGGATTGCAAACATTGTTGTAATTTCAAAGCAATTAAGTTAATATCGTCAGAACCAAAATAAATAATAATATCATCAGCATAACATAAAAATTGTAGCTCCAGTGAGGGTTTCACGTCGTCGAGGAATGCAGAAAAAAGAATTGAACCCAAAATTGAACCTTGACCTACGCCCGTATTAATACAATAAACATCATCACCAGATACAAATTTGTAAGTTCTATTCTCAAGAGTACAATAAATCAGTTTAACTAGTCGTTTGCTTAATTTAAAATTGGATAACAATTTTCGAACCAGTTTGTCATGTGAAATACTAGAGAAAGCATCCTTAAGATCAATGAAAACTGCTCCCACAATACCGTTCTTCTTGTTAAGTTCAGAGTAGGTGAAAGTGGTGAAAGCACTAATCGCAGAGTGACACGATTTGTTGCTACGATAGGCATGCTGTTCATCTATTAATTTAGCATCTATTCTATCTTTTATCCTATGATATAGGTACCTCTCAAATAATTTACAGTAGGAATTAAGGATAACAATCGGTCTGTAATTCTTGGGCACATTACGCGGTCCCTTGCCCTTATACAATGGTAAGATAATAGAATGTTTAAAAAGAGTAGGTACATACAAAATATGTAAAAGGTGGCTAAACAGGACAGCAAGTTGGATACTAAACGAATTAACACATCTCTTCATTAACCACAAAGGAATATTAACATTGTCGTTTTTGTTCTTATTTTTAGTGTCTGAAATCAGTTGTGAAATATCATCAGGATTAATTGACAATTCAACATCATCATCATCATTATTAATATGATTATTAATTAAGTTACGTGTTACAGAGTGATCAAGGTCAGAGTCAGGCTTGAAAAGTTTTTTAGATAACAAGGTATTAATCTGTGATACTTCAGTAACAATAGTGGCATCATCATCTACAAGAGAAGTTATTTTAGTACATTGTTTACGTCTAAAATTAGTTAATTCATCAATAGTATTCCACAAAGATTCAGACTCTAGTTTAGTACCAAACTTTTCTTTAAAATACGTATTTTTTTCAGTATTCAACATTCGTGCTGCCTCATTACGAGCAATTCTGTAAGATTTCCAATCACCATTACTTTTGGCCTCCTCGCGAAGGTAATTGCGAAGTTTGCATGCTTTTTTTACTTCATCACTAAACCATTTGCATTTTTTCATTTTGACAAGTCTACGTTTAAGAGGAGAAATTTTGTCTAAATGAGACATTACATGATTATTGAATCTTATTACTTCAAGGTCACAAGTAGACAGATTGTTTTCAAAATTAAAGTTAAAATTCATAAGGTGTTTTTCAAAATCAGACCAATCAACGTCTTTCAAGGATCTAGCTAAACATTGAATAGGGGGCAGGCAAACTCTACCTAAATTTCGTACCACGAAACAAAGATCATGATCCGAACCAGCGAAAGAGAAATGACCAGAAAAAGGATAGTTCGATTTATCAGTTACGTACAAGAGATTTTCCTTGAAAGGTCGGACATGCCATATTAATTCACTGAATGGCAAGTAAAAACCATCTGAAATTCAGATTCTGAGTAGCTGTCTGTCTGTCCGTCTCCGTGCGTATCCACGATAACTTTCGAACGGATGTGAATTTCAACATGCGGTCATCGCTAACGTGTTCCTAGTTTTTGGGGAGGAGTACGATTCGTACTGTTCGAATATGGGCGTTGTATGTAGGGCCCCTCGTCGCTACTGACAATGGGCCTGTGGTCAGTCACGCACGAAATTTCAATTTTTTTAAAATTTTGAGTATGATATTCGTTTGGGTGCTCCATAATTAATAAGACAATTTTGGCCTCAGGGGTGTGCCCATGATCCCTCTGCCCCCAATGGGGAATGTGAATTTATTAAAATTTGAGAATGAAAGTACCATGTGAAGAAAATTAAGGGAAGAATGCGGATGGGGTGTGACTACCCCCACTTGGGTGTGAGTAAGGGTTTGCAGAAGATGGTCCGCAATGATGGATGGGTTTCACCGCATTTCGCTTTATTTTTCGCCGAATGTTTGTTTCATAAGATTAATGAGTTGTAATCATGAGTTTCTTTTTAATTGGTTTTTTGGCCTTCTTTCCCCCCTTCTTGTCCTTCTTATTCTTTTTGCAAGACTTTTTTGATGGCTTGGTATTGTCATCTTCTCCACCGTTATCTGCGGGATCCGCATCTGCAGCAGATGTGGTTGCAGATGCGTCCGTACTTGTTTCAATCTGCCCCCCGGTCGCCGTTCGGATTAGGATCGTCCGGTTAAATGGTTTCTGTGCACAGGGTGGTGACATACTAAAAGGCTACCCAGAGATATGTGTTCTTAATCGCAGTGTGTGTACCTGTACTGGGCGGTGGTTCTCAGAAATTCGACCCATTTCCCCGTCCATGATGTCACGGAAGGCTTTCACGTCGGAGGGTGAAATCGAGACGGGGTCCTTGAAGACGTACCTAGGGCGAAAGAGATGAAAAATGTACCCTTTGTCTGTCGTCCTGCTTCCTACACTCACCAGTTGACCTGCTCGTTGCAGCCTGGAGTGGTGAGGGAGCCCTGGTAGGAAAACACCGTGGCTCCAGCTTTCGGCATCAGACTCGAGAGGTCCAGCGCTTCGTCAACTCTGACCCAGTACGAGTGCACGTCTTCAATGTTCTTAAGGCTGGCGACGACGGGGGTGAGGGCCGGATTGGGCGCGGCGGACGCGTCCACATCGAGAAATATCCCCACCACGGAGAGCGCATTCTTGTCGCCCGATCCCACGGCTGAGGCAGAGTTCAGATAGTCTGCGTTGTAGTGAACCTATGTCAACCATATTATTTTTACTCTGACTGAATCATCTGGCCAAAATAAGCGCTATTTCGGTCACCAAATGCATCTCCATTGAATACGATTTGCCGTCTACTGTGTGCTCCGATCCTTCCTCGTCTTTGCTGCCCCAATGGAAATGGACATTTGACAAACGGAAGAGCCGATCGCTCAACCTTCATACAAAATCCAAATCATGTATGGATACGAAGAGGTTTTGTACATATGAAGAGTGGTCTGATCTCCAGCACTAATTGTGTACTTACCCGTAAGAAGGGAAGAAATACGAATCCCCAAATTCATTTTCGTTGGGGAAGTCGAGATTGACCGTATGTCCATTATTCTATTTGTATCAGATCCATTGCATTTACAGATAGAAACAATACAAGTATGTACAATGAGTTATTTGCAAAGTATCAAATACGTTCGTCATGCACATGCGCGTTTCAATATCCATTTTTTACGCAAAGTTAAATGATCATTTTCTTATTGGCTCGAGTTACCTGAATAAAAAAGTGGTCGGTCTTCAAGTGACGAAGCGGCACCTCGACCTCCTCGTCAGCAGGACCGTCCACGAGGTCAATGGGGGACTGGGACTCGCCAGATTGGCAAGCTCCAGGCCAGACCTCAGCATTGTTAGGGGCGCAGGACTCCTCGCTGTAGCAAAAGTGGTGGGGATGGTCTACAATATCCGTGGAGGAGACGGGGTTGAGGTTCGTAGCAATCAATATGATGACGACGACCACGAGTGACGATCTCATTTTTGTGAACATCCTGCTCCACTGACGGTCAATAATAGCTTTGGTACTATCCACACATTGTCGTCAATCGCAAATTCCAATGCTGTACAGCGACCTTGCACTTAACAATTAACATGATTATTTTGCATTCATGCAATCAAAACTTTGTAGTTTCAGCCATTGTTGATTGTTTTAAACCAAATGGAACACAAAGAAAACCGATAATTAATTAATTGCCCGAAAAAAACTCGAAATTTCCTAATGCGCACATGCTTCACCAAATAAATGCTCATCTAATAAATTGACCAAATTAATTGCATAATAATTTTTGGAACAACATTGGATAAAATTTAATAAAAAGTATATCTGCAATAAGATCATTACAAAGCAAACATATTAGTCAGTAAAGCGAGTACAAAAATCATAATCATGGTACAAGACGTTAATTTTACTGTAAAATTGTGAATGAAAACTTTTCCTATTTTTATAATCTGGGAATAATAAGACTTACGTAAAACAATCTGGTGAAATAAAGTACATCAATAATAGTTTGCAATAAAAATGTGCCGATCAAAAGAAAGGTCGAGTAATTAAAAAATAATAATAATTGTCATTGTCATTGGCGAGAGTAAAAGGAGTTGATTTCTTCGTCTAACCTGACGTGACGATCGACTCATCCATATAGCACAACTGTCATATATTCCAAATAGTATAGTAAATAAATTAAAACCCACATAAAAATTAACATAATTTGGGCCAGTGTCCATGCATTCTTCCGAGTAATTCATTTCTCAGAGTAATAATTTGCATGCATGTAATGGCCTTCTTGGTTTTTAGTCATCCCAACATTCTTCAGCTGCAGCCCTGATTTGAGCAGGGGTAGGAAACTCCGGAAATCCAAGCAATGACAAGTCGGCGCAGATACCAGACAAGGGCGTGAGTGCCGGAGTACGACCGCGACGCCCAGAAACATAGTTGCGTCCCTCTGAGTACAAATCAAAATTATGAAGAAGGTTTTACGGCTTATTTTAATTGGGTTCATTTTATGAAATGTCTTCCGACCTGGGGTTGTTGGGGAGGCCCATGCTGAAGAGACTGGGGTGGGCCACTCGGTGGGCGTAACTCCGCTGTCCACCTCCATTCCCGCGATCAGCCAGTCTTGCTCCGACGGGGGGCTGTTTTGTCCTCCTTCTTCTTGCTCGTTGAGGATTGTGTTGCTCAAAAATGGTTTTCGCCCATGCTGCTGGAACTCAGAGTCGTCCATCCACTCGTCCTCCTCGGCCGGGTTAAAGTCTGGAATTGTCTCAGGACTGTCATCCCCCCAAAAGTAGCCATCTTTCTCCACGAGCCAGCAGTCTTTCTCCTCGAGGACTTGATTGTCAAGTTTCCGGAATTTGTTGACCAAGTCGTGTTTTCGATACTCCCGATAACTACCAAACCAACACACAAGAGTCGCACGTAACGTATTACTTTAGCACACGCTTCATTCACGCCAAGTGTAAGAAATTGTGGCTCACCCCTTAACGTTCAGCTCAAAGTCTTCCATTTCTGAGAACGACACGTGATGTGTGTTCCTTTTGACTCGAGTTGCCCCCGCCGTGCTGAGGGGGCTGAGCTTGTCGACGGAGACAGCGTAGCAGCTTTTGACGCCGAAGTTGAGGGGTCTCTTGGTGGTGAAGCTGGGACATGTCGCCGATTGGGGTGATCCGACGACTACGACGCTCGGCTGGCGGAGGGGAGGAGGTCCTAACTGCAGAAAATTGGGTCGTCCTTGCTGTGGAACGTGGAGGCGTGGGATAGAATAAAATGTGGATCCGGGAAAACTCATGATTTCTGATAAGAAAAAACGACAAGATTAGTACGGAACTTGTCCTTTGCTTGTTTGTTACCTTTGTTTCAATGTTGGCGATAATTGGCAGCAGCGCTAGGCAGTCGTGACTTCCTTCTCTGGCGTCCTCGCTCGACTCGATCCTGGCTGGCTTGTTCTCCCGGATGGAACAATGGTTCAATTCGCAGTAATAATACTGCCTGATGCAAACCAAATTTTTGCTGTGGAATCTGTCGCATTTAGTGGTATCTTTTCTACGATATAAGGTGCAGCCAAGTTCAGTAGCATTTGCATGCTGCCTATTCATTGACTTTACATAATTTCTCCTTGAACCTATCTGAATCTATGTTGGAGAATCCAGACATTTAGACAAAAATGTCACATAGGTCCTCTGGCACTGCACTGATTGGGAATAAGCTAGGATCAGTGCCCTCATTTCCTTATCTCACAATCGCCCAAAGAAATTTAACCGTGCATGTGCATACTCATAGTAGCATACAAATGGGAAATGTGATGGTAATGACGTTTTTGAGGTAAATATCATCTCGTCTCAACATTTGCATCGACTCCTTAATGTGCCCTCCAATATGTAGATCAGATCAATCGGACATCATGCACTCCCAACCTTTCCGTCAAAAAGTATTTAGCATAAAATGTGTGTGGTGAAGTAGATGTGAATATTAGTTGGAATATTACTTGGAATGGTTGCACGAAATTAAATATTTTGAACACAAATCTGCATGCAAATGTCGTTTCATAAAATTCTATACGAAATCTTGAGAGCAGTGGTGGTCACAACACTCGAGAAAATGGGATAATTCAGCATTCATCATGACATGGCCATCACTTTATTACTTCCCAATATAAAATATGCTCAATCAATCAATATAAAATATGTACTATCCCGTAATGTGCAAGCTTTTGCCAACAATGACACACGTGTGATTCCCCGGACATGGGACGTCGTCTGGAATTCTTTCTGGCTCGAGATGAGCAATAAACCGATTTCCAGGTTTGTACATGGATTCGCTAGTTTTGGCACATATGCAGAATTTCCGTCGGGCAGCAACGTCCAGCTCGAGCGAGTCTAACTGGATGGACATCACCCCAGCCTTCTCAGGCCTCCAGGGACTGGTGTCCACCTTTGGACAGGGTGGCGAATCCGATGACGACGAATCAGTGGAGCAGGATCCTGACCAACAAAGACTTGAATTATTTTTTCCATGCATACTTTGTGCGAATGGCATGAAGCTCTGCCTCAAAATTACAAGTCGAACCCACCCAACGCTTCGTCGTAGATGAAGGGGCGATTGTCCAAATCTTCCGTCATGGGCCAGAGCCAAGAGTGACACTTTTCCCCACACTCGTCCGCCTCCTTCCCATTCCCGAGACGGATAAGGGGGGACAGCGACATGGGTCCAAACGGAACGACGCCACAGTGGCAGTATTTTTCCCTACATAGACCCATATTTATTTATTTATGTGCACGATATTGAGCAAGCAAGAGTAAATAAATTCCCCGTTGAACCTGGTACAGTAAGCTTTCCCGATTCCCCCGCAGTATTTAGGGCACTCGTCCTGGATGGGGTCGCAGTGTGAGAGACCGGCCGGAGTTTGGGTTTGGATGCAGCTGCAGTACTTTGAGATCTTGACGCCCCATGAGTCAACCCCCACCTCCCACTTCATGTCCAGTATTTTGGCATCGTAGAGGCCGTATCGACAGGAGATGTCACAGTTCACCTCGCCCGGGTCGGCATTACGCCCCAGGTCGTGCGACAGTTGGTGCGTGTTGCAAAAGCAGGTCCGCCGAGTGCGCTTGTCGCACTCTGCATCGTAGTGGCCACAAATGAGACGACATAACTCGTCAGTACAGGGACGATATTGGTGCATGTCGATTTGCTACAGATTATATACGATCTTTGCATGATTGAACCAAATTGACACGTCGCGTGCAATAGAATGAACATGTTTTGAATACCGCCTTGATACAGTGGCAAGACTTGCCGTCATAGAGGAATTGGTAGGTTGACTTACGGTAGTGAGGCTCAAATTTGAGATCTTGTGGAACCAGGAATGGGTTCCATTCTATTACGCGTGCGTCTAAATAAAACAACATGTTGACCTACCCGATGATTGTATGTTCAGAATGGAGAATAATTTGAACGCACCGAACCCAAAGGCAGAGCACGTCTCGTAGCACTTGGTCTCCTTCGGCGTGGGCAGTCTGGCCCACAAATGTTTTCCAATGATGATATTCTCCCTTGGGCAGAGACATCCCCTGCGGAAGTGGGGCTCGCACACGGCCTCGTCCATCCCACACCGCTGTTTACACTTCAGGCCTGTGCACAAGTCATACCGACGATTACTTGTATTTAATGCAGACTAAAAATAAGAATGTGCCTTGCATGGAATTTGATTCCTCTACTTTGCTTGTTTCATATATCACATGATTTGTGCAGAGTAACTAAATAACAGTAAGAGATAAATGAACAGTTAACTTGGCTAACACCTGTGCATAACTGGAAGCCCTGGTTGAGAAGGGCCGTCGTTTGTGGGAGCTTGGCAATGTCCAGCCAGTCTCCACACACGCAGTACTTTTCCCGTAACGCGTACCCCGTACCGTTTTCCATAGCCCCCATCTTCGAGTCGTAGATGCGACCCACGTAGTCGTGATGATAGCTCGTGCAGATGGTGGAACATTCCGACTGGTCTTGCGGAATCTGTAGCGGAAATGGTGCCAAGGTTAGTTTTGTACATGCATGGCGTGGTTGAGAGCATCACTTATATTTTAGGGCTGGCATTGTTTTAAAATTTTTGGTTTGTCTTGTTTATCTCCAAAAAGCAAACGAAACATTTTTATGTTTGATCTTTGGGTTATTAATAAGCTGTCACCTCTTTCCGAACATTTGAGACGGACATGTTGAAAAAAATATCCCAAGTTTTGCGACAGACGCAGGCCCCATTGAATGAACACGAGGCCGTGTCCGTTTGGCAAACAGCACGACAAACTTCCATCTTGGGCTTGGCGAGTGGGTCGCAGAGTGTAATTCCCGTTGGGGTGAGCTATACAGTTAGTTAATAAAGTAGAAAATCCTTAATGATATTATTCTTAGATGCTCTAAGAAAAAATCTGTATGCAAATAAAATCATGTCTTTCAAATCACTCAATTGGAAGTGGAATATTAATTTGGAATAATTAATTAAATACAAATTATCCCATTAGACCCAGAAATGAGTGGGGCTTGTACCTGACGCAGAAGGCAAAGGCAGGACCACAAAGATTTTTCTTCCTTCATCCAGATCCGACCATATGAATTTCTCTTGTTGCACGCCACGGAACAATTCTTTTGAGGGGGGATTTCCCTATTCACGGCGTCAATTGTCCCCACCATGTCACTGGGGTGGAAGTTTTGTGGATCGCACATGCACAGCTGTCAAAATCGGAATACAAATGAGAGGAAAAGTAGTGTGGTGGTTGTATCAGTATATTTAGTTAAATTTAGTTGTATTATGACACTTTCGGCTAACCTTTTTATTGTACGGGTCACAATACGCTTTCTTTGAATCCTTTGTCCCGCAGACGTTGGAACATTCTGAAATGTCACAATTCTTAAAGGATGTCATGTCCACCACGATGTTTAAGCTTCGAATATGTTCTTCTACTGTGGGCTGGAGTGAAAGAAAAACTATTAAAATCTATTAAAATGTATAGAATCACGACGTATGTATGCATAGCAAAACTTTCCAGTTACGAACAATAGAATACGAGACGCTAATTTCATCGTGAGCCGACGAAGGATTCTTATTCCCCTCTGGGTCAACTGCTGCTCCCACTTCCGGAACAGCCCCCCAACAGCAGCCCAGGGCGAGGAAGACGAAGAACACGCCCATCTTTATTATCAATGACACCGAGTGCCTACGCAAATACTCAAAACAAAAAAGCCTGTAGTATTTTTCCATACGTCCATTTCACTTTATTAATTGCGGTAAACCCCGTTCATTGATTGACTAATTTGACAAAAAAATAATGTCATTGTTTCAATCAGATTTACGACCAATAAAAGTTTCTCAAGCATCCGACTTATTTACGTTAATTGAATAATAATATTGGTTCCGTCCGTCCACTCTCTGGGTGACCTTCTACAGTTGTTGCTAAACTAAGATGGCAATATGATGACAGGCCTAAACGTTTCGAAGAGATGGTTATCATATTGCATAGAATTCTGTAGTAAAAGCCGGAGATGATTTGCATAAAAAGACGCTGCCGACAGCGCCACCTGGTCTTACTCCCAAAGCAGCTGATTCATTCATCTCGTAAAAACGTCGTCATTATATTATTTAGTTTGGACAACAATGGGCAAAGGGACGACTCACCAACAATCAGTCAGTCAGTACCACACAGAATGCAGCACAAATAAAGAAACGTGTGATTAACAACAATCACTTATTCTTCTCCCTCAAATATTTCGTCGTAGACCTTTAATGCAACTCCACTCGCAATTGCCTTCTTCTTCAGTTCACATTCACAATAATTAAATCCAAAGTTTGTATTAAAACATAACAAATTAAATATATTCAATTCGAAACTTAAGGCAAATCAAAACTTTTAATTGTCAAGAAATTTGTACATGGTAAGTACAATCTGAATTACTTTTGTAAATCGGAACCGAGCAATAATCACTAATCAGGCCAATTTTATTGTGGTTACTTTCGTAATTATTTGGTCATTAGTAATGACTCATTACATCTTACATTATATTTTTGTATTGAGAATCTGATTTATTCATAAAATATAAAGCTTATAAATTACAAACGACAAGAGATCATCAATTATTATTATTATTAAATTATACTATTATGATATGATGATTATAAATTACGTTCAGGTTTCAGGCTTTAAAGTCCAGGAGACATGAAAGTTTTGGACGGAGCAACATAAATTGGAAGGATAGTAGGAAGCTATTTATTGGAATAGTTCTTGCGCTATAGTTCTGTGCAACCAGGTGAGTTGATAAAAGGCCTCCTCTTTCTTTTGAGCTTTGGCAACCAAATTAGGATTTAATTTTATCCTAACAAATATATTCCTCGTCATCCATTGTGGATAATTGTTGTTGTGTTGCAGTGTGGTAGGCCGATTGAAGATTATTTTTGTCAGGACCAGAATGGGAAGACCACCTCAAGAACCTATCGCAGTTGCATGTTCCTCATCACACATTCAGGAGCAACACAGATTCACAAACTTATTGTACGTATGAAAGTGCAACACTTAAAAGTTCCCAGCCAGCAATGATTATGATTAAATTAAATTACATTTTTAACGGATTATAGCACTCCTGGAAAACGCAACCAAGACTTTCTCTCCCACAAAACAACGACGACAACCACCACCACACCGGAAGCCATGATCCAGTCACTTTCTCTCGGAGAGAATTATTGCTCTTCATGCGGTCTGCCCACCGCTTGTAATTGTTCGTCGTCGTCGTCGTCCTCCTCCTTATCATCAAGTTCTGCTAGGACTCAGCAGTCTAGAAGAAAAAGTTCATCGCCATCCTCTCCAGCTACTCCACCTTCACCCTATTTTTGGAAACGCACACTCAACAATCCAATTGCCAAACGTCCCCTCAAACCTCGTGGAAGTATTCTTACCCCACCAAAATTGAAACTGCTTTCGGCACATTTGGAGGCATCGACCCCTTCGCCACCATCTAACCTCTCCTCGGACGTGTTCATACCAGACCTGAGCAATTTGTCGCTTGGTTGTAGCAGTTCTGGCAGCTCCGACCTTAACTTGAGACTTCAGCAATCTTTACAAATTCAAAGTAAAGGGTCGCTCCCAACCCAAAGTGCACTTCGCTCTTACAACCGTCGTTTTCGAACGTTGAAATGGAAGACGAGGATCAAGTGCTCTCTTCTCGATCATCCCTCATCATCATCGTCGTCATCATCACAGCTGCCTACAATTCGAGAAGTTCGAGAGGAGGATGAGGAAGAGGAGGATTATGGCGTCGGCCGTAGCGGAGAGATAGCAGAGACTGTCGAAAGTAATAAGGTTCAAACTCATCATCAGAGTTGCAGTCAGCAAATATCATCCTCAGAGGATGATGAATCTGTTGTGAACGATGTCATGATTGACGAGTTAGCCTCATATTTAGAAAATGGAGTATACATCCCGAAAAACTATCACTATGTTCCATATTTTCTGTAAAAATAATACGTATATTCATAATGAACGAGGTATCTTATTTTCCCTGTCACATCACAGTCGTCGTCTAATCCAGTAAACCACCCGAACTTTTATTCTATATGTCTGTAACATTATTTATAGTACTTTATACTTAAATGCAATACAATATTGTTACATTATACAGTTTAGTTGATTAACAGTCGGGTACACTACGGAGATTTCAAACGAGTTAAGACATGTGCATAGACTTTTGAGGCAAATTGAAGAAATTCCTTGTAAAAAATCACTTTTTTGGTCAAGTTAAGATGGAAAATTTTCCTGATCTTTGCCCATAAGTTTGTTCACTTTGTTTAAACGACATTTCTGATTTCTGTGCATACTCAACTCGTTTGACACCTCGGTAATATATATTTCTATTTTCTAGTTAGTTGTCGGGTCCAACTAGTGTGAAAAATAATCTTAATTTGACGAGGTATCGCTGTAATGACCTCACACTTATTACTTTTTCAAATGTGGTGATCATTAGCCAAAGTTAATGCCCCTTCTCCACCACACGATACAAGAACTAACAAATGAGTGAAAGACGATTTATTAATAATGTTATCATTATCCTCGATACGCATTTCTCTATCTATCCTTTTTCATCTCTCTTCCTTCATCGTTACCTCTTCTTGTTACAACTCAATGGAATAAAACTAATTTTTTAAAGACGTGAAATTGGCAGGTGATTCTATGAATTAGTTCTAGTGCCATGAAAAGCCCAGCCTCACCACCCAGAGAGGCACATATTTATAGCTTCCCTCCCTCCATTATGCATGCAATATTATCTAAAAGTCGTAGCAGTCGTCGGTTGAGTTGGGTTATGCATGGGGCGTTCGACGCTCGAGGAATAAAAGAGCGGAATTGGGTGAGCTTATGGATCTTGCGGCATGAAAATCATTCCAATTGTCGTGTAACAACAAGAGAAACAGAAATCAGTCGACTACAAGTAAGTAACAGCCACAAGTGACGACGATCACTGCACTATGATTGCCGTAGTCTTCTAGTGGTTGGTGCGGTGCATGTGGGAAAAGGTGGTTAGTGGTGCTACCAAACTTACTGCTACTTTTTACTACACGAATCAACTAGTTCACCAAAAGCAAGCTGCTACTAGCTATTCACACTTCGCCCTCCTTTCACAACGACTCTACCCCCAAGCGCATCAACGAGTACAGACTTGGCGTTGTTTTTGTTGGGGGAAGTTTGGCCCTCCTCATCATTTTGCCCCCTCGAGAGAGGTGCACTTGGCCTTCTTGTCGCCGTATCTACTTGGCAGACTGTGATACTCACTTGGTGCGGCAGATATCCCCTGCTTCCCCCTCAAGACAGGGGATCACTCAAGAAGAAGAAGAAGTAGAAAGTGTGCCACCAGCCCAACAACAATCGACCACGGCTCTCTGTACTCCTATGTGTTTGCAAATCTACAGTGTGTTTATTTGCCATCCTTCCTTATGGGGCTCGCGTATTCTCACCATCACTTTATTCACATTTATTAGTATTCACTGCATTGTTGCAGCACTGCATTGTTGTTACTGCTTGGATGTGCAGTGCATTGTTGTTGGGTTGGTCCACTCTCCTAATATCTCAAAAAAGTTCTCCTCCCTGCATGTCACCTCACTCACTCACCACTGCGGCGAGAGAGAGAGAGAGAAATCATCGCACGGCGTCGTCAAAGATATTGTCACTCGTTCGCATGGAAGTCCACTCCACTAAATTGTATCACCATACACTGTGTCGCCGTCGTTGCTGCTGCTAACTAGTAGTGCTAACCAACTACTAACTAACCAACCCTTGTGTTTGTATGTCCATTAACACACGTGCCGACACCACTCTTCTGAGACTGAATTACGGGTTAATTAAAAAGCACAAAACCTTGTTTCGGAGGTGCCATGATCGCCTGGTGAGAAGCGTAGAGTGAGATATGAGACGATCAAGAAGATTTCAAAGCCCGAATCATCAAGAGTGTTTAGTCGTCCTCCCCATCCTTCTCCTTCTCGTCTCTGTCTCGGGTAATGAGAATTTATGACCTAACACGACCATATTTCCTCCTGTTGGAGGCATATCTGTTGGAGGCAGCCTGAGACTACAATAATCAGATTAAAACTATGATTTCATTTTGTCCTGTGGTTCCAGGAGCTTGGGGGAATTCTTCCAAGGCTTCATTGGAGGAATCGTCTGACTGGGACGACGAGGGAGGGAGAACGACGCTAGCCACCCTCCTCCACACTCGGAGCAGTGGTGGCAGCAGTGAGGAGGAGGAGAGTCAGGAACAACCTTCGTCGTCACCCCATGACTACAAAACCGTGGGTCCTGAGGATGACGAGGTTCATGACGACGAAATCATCCAGGCTGTCCGAAATTCCTTGAGGTTGTGGCAGCAGGGGAAACTGAACAAGTCGCAGCACCACTCCAGCCGAAACAGGTCAGCCGTGTTTTCGTGTGCGAAGGAAATGGTCGCCTGTGACATGTGTCCATTTCTCCTTCCTTGGGGTTGCTTGTACATACGTGCAACATATAATCTCACGTGAATAATGGCTGTAGCATGCGCCATGATTTTTGAAAGCTAGCCAAACTAACCATTATTTGTTACACTTGATGGCGTCATTTAATTTCATTTCACGCTGCAAACAAATCCAAGATCATCTTTCTTTCGATGTTGTTATTTTATTATCTCACACACACTCGCTAAAGCTGCATTTCGCTCCTCGGTGGAGCAGCGTACACAGGCAAAAGTGCTTAATTCTTGTAGTAAGTTTTTTTAGAGATAGATTGCAACTTTTTTATCGCTAAATTACGGCAATCACACAGTTGAGGCGTTTACTACTTACCAAGCAAGCAGCCAAAGATGTTATGTGTGTGGAGTAACAATATTATTGTGTCGATGATAGCTGTGCCAGTTTTATGCTGCTGCCATTACATATTTATTACGTGTTCCGGAAAAGGAATAAGCTTAATTATGACTAAACTTGTCCCTGACTGAACTGTAGAGTGAAGCGGGATGAGGAGGTGGTCTGTTATGGGGCTGAGTTGGGGTGTTTCCGGGACGAGGGTCCGTTCGACTACTTGGACATGTTGCCCTCACCGCCAGAGGAGATCGGGACCAAGTTCCTCCTCTACGACAAGGATCTCGAGCCAGAAGTCTTCTCATTCTTCAACCACAGCAAAATCTCGTCCTCCTCCGGAGCCTGGAACGCCTCCCGCCCCACAAAGGTCACTAACTATTTAGCAAAGAAATTCGGCCTACAAAGTCAAGTACGATGGAAGAGTTGTCCAAAAACTGACTTGGTGTTTGTTTAGGTCATCGTCCACGGTTTCGGCTCCACCTGTCTCAGAATGTGGGCGAACGAGATGCGTGCCGCGCTGCTGTCCGTCGTAAGTACGAATCTTATCCCAGTGTCGCATCCTCTTCTCCTTCCATTTCTTTTCGTCCTTCGAGGGTAATTCTTTCTTGGGTGGAAAAGTGGTTTCGCTTAAATAGTAAAAAAGTTAGTTAATAATTTGGCGTAAAAGCGGTTTTGAAAGTGGGTAAGTGGTCCAGACGAGATTGTTATAACATGTGCATATAGCACACGCAGGTGGTCCTACTTGTTGGATTATCATCACCTCACCCTCAGAGTGACGCGACCACTCTCAATAACTATCTATAATTTGAGTGAAATAATAGAAAAACGGCTTTTTCAACCTTCATAGGTGGACTGCAATGTGATATGCGTGGACTGGGAGAATGGGGCAGCCTTGCCAAACTATGTCCGTGCTGCGGTGAACACGCGACTCGTCGGAAAACAGGTGGGTGGTGCGACAGAATTAGAATCGATGGAAAATAAATCGTCAATCCCGTTTGGGTTTTTATTGCCAGTTGTCACTGTTGATCCGTAAATTGGTGGCGGACAACCCAGGCTTGTCGTCCTATCAAGACTTTCATCTGATTGGCTTCAGTTTGGGGGCGCACGTGGCGGGATTTACGGGACAGGAACTTAGAAACATTTCCAGGATCACTGGGTTGGATCCGGCAGGCCCTCTCTTCGAGGTTAGGATACAGACTTAATCGCAGTACTGGCTGTTGCAGGAATTTTTATTTTTGCATAAAAAACTCCATAATTTAATCAAATGGAAATGTTTTGCTTCATGATTTGCGTTGAGCCTTTTGAGTTCATTTTCAGCATTGGGGGTGATTTTAATATTTCAGAACTATGACAAACGTGTCCGGCTAGACTTGACGGATGCCATCTTTGTGGATGTAATTCATTCCAATGGTAGGTCAAGGAAATCATAGCGATTATTAATCCCAGCACAGCATGATCACTGACCACGGTTATGGTGCAATTCCTTGCAGGAGATTCACTTTTGATGGGGGGACTTGGCTCCTGGGAACCCATTGGACATCTGGGTTAGACATTTCGACAAATATAACAATTCTCAAGTAAGATTGATTATTTTACTACGTTTGCCTTTTGGTTTTTGGTAGATTTTTTTCCGAACGGTGGAAAAGTACAGAGGGGCTGCTCAAACTTGTTCCTGGGTGCATTCAGGGACTTCATTTGGTGTAAGAAATGCCCCAGTTTTTACCGACCTTAACCTCTCGTAGGCAATTCAAGCATTGTGTGTGCGTGTTAAACAGCCTCGTCGCCACCCAAGGAGACGTCCACCCTTGGCGAATCTCACCGGAACGGAAAGTCCTTGTCAACGCTGGCTGAAAACGACGGTCGGTCCCTGTGCAACCACCGACGAGCCTACCGTTTCTTCACAGAGAGCGTCTCACCCCGCTGCCCATATCCAGCCTTCTCCTGCGACTCGTACGAGAAGTTTATGACGGGGGCTTGCTTTCAGGTCAGCCATCGACTATTTTTTTACTGTCTTAAGATGAACAAGGGCTTGGTCAATACAATAAGTCACGTGCAATGGTCGATTTATTCGTACTATTCAAGTATTTGATATTGCAATAGTGGGACAACCTCCTCGTCCACTCTGCGCATATGGGATACTACGCTGACCAGCACCAGAACAATCCGCGGGTGGCAAGACAGCTGCAGAACAGTAATGTTCAGTCCTCAGCGTCGGTTGGCCCGGTGGGATCGTCAGCGCAACTGCCCCTCCAACCCATCAAATCGTCCTCTGGTGTTGGAGGCAAGAACTTTTATCTCATGACACGAGACGATGAGCCCTTTTGTGGTGAGGAGAGGACCCTGTTTTTTCATGACAAGTTTATGATAAATAATAAAAGTGTACTATTCTGTGTTGCGTCTAGCGAATCAATACAAATTGACGCTGGAGTCAAGCCCTCCCCTCGGCGTGCCCATTTCCACGTATGTTCAATAACACTGAATTATTAACACCAGACAGTTGATTGTTTTGGATGGTCACTCATTTTCATGCGCAAAAAAGGAATACACCTAGAATCATAAGACTTATGCCCAAGAACTTGTTGTTTGAGTCACAATCGTAGCCAAAATGCTGCATATTGAAACGAGTTCATATAATTTTTTAGATATGGCGGAATGGAGGCCGTCCTCATCAATGGGAACGATGACTTCAATGAGACGTTTCTTATCACGCAGTACAAATATCATCATTTTATGAACTTAGTTTGTAGGGACCATGTATGGTGATAACATTCTGACCATGCCTTGTGTTGCGCAGGACTCACAAGGACAACATGATATCGGGAAGTGTGCTTCAGAAGCTGGTCGTCGCCCACCCTGCTCTTTCTGACCCCACGAAGCTCGTTCTGAAATACTCGGCGTACAAAGGCTGGATTTATTCGGGAATTTCCAGATGGAGTTTGGATAGGCTCATTGTGACCAATGCCTTTGGAGTTAGGTACGACCTGAAAAGTTACCGAAACTATAGGTAGGGGCGATAAAGAGTTTAATTTGGCTTGAAAATCCAGTTACAGTTTCTGCGCCCGTGGTCTTCTCCTGCCCAGTGGGATCAGTGTCACGGTCACTTTGAGCAAGGGGATCTGCACCGTGACCAACTTCCCCTTCCGCTACCCCCACATACATCCCTATCTCCCCCATTACCCGACCCCCACTCACCCACAACACCCGCTCATCGGCCCCGGAGGAGGTCCTCCTCCACCACTCTCGGCCGTATTTAGGAACGAGATAAATGAGACTATTACGCACCTGGGAGGAGGTGGCAGTCCTCCCCCTGCAACTGCAATCACTTCCAGTCTGGTCACCTTTCCTGGCTCAAACCATGACATTTCCACCGGGCATTATCAAAATAATAACTCGGACGGAGGACAGCAGCAGCATAGCACCGTCTTAGACTGGTCCAACGACTGGCATCCTATCATAATGAACAGTACCATGAGCAGTAGTCGGGGGAGTAGTCCTCCTCCTCCTCCTCTCGTGAAGGACGACGATGGACGAGACATGGGGACACAACTGTCGCAGCAACATTCATGTCCGAACTGCACGTCCTCCCTCCCTGAGGATCACGTCAACAATGAGATTGACTCTGGTGAACGCCGTCAGAGTCGCCAACTGGGTCCAATCATGCTCCTCCCACTCAGCAGGGCCATCCAACCGAGACCTGTCGTGCTCCGAACTTCGCGACACATGGTGCTTAGTAGTGGAGGGGACACGCACCCACCGCACTCCTCCCAGCAGCAGCAGCAGCAGCAGCAGAGCATTGTTCAACACCATCACCACCACCACCACCCCCAACTGTACTCATCCCAAGTGGGGGAACAAGGGTCGAGTGGTGTCATCCTACCAATTCACTCGAATCTTCCGCGTGACCTCCTACCGAGACGGGGATCACCACCGATTCAACAAAAATCAGACCTCATTCATTAGGAGCAGTTCAAGTCCAGAGTGGAATAAAATTGAACCTTAAATTTTGAACAAGTGATCAATGCCACAGGAGAGGGGTCCACGGAGTCTCACAATTCCGTGCTAAAACTATTATAATTTCATTAATTTATTGTGTCTCCAATTTTGCCAAGTTTTATTAATCTTATTTTGTAGTGACGCTCGCGGACAGACAAACGCAAAGAAAGTATGCATAATAAGCTAAGGAGAAATTATTATGTAAAGAATGGTGCTCTTGTTATTCGCATTTATTGTTATCGTTGTTTTTGTTTACACATTATATTACATATTTTATTAAAAGACTATTTTACTAAGATTTACTCGAATTGTTGCTCTTTGCTTAAACACAAACGACGACATTTATGGCGTTATTTTTAACAATTTTTCATAATTCTCCTAAAAAAACTCTTGATTTTTTTTTCATGCGGGGTATCCTGAGACTCGGTCTTCTTGTGAGACGCGCTTGGTTTCAAATCCGCTCTAAAATGTCAACAATAATATGGAGCTCTTTCTAAATCTTTTTAACTAATTGTATTTAACATTAATGCCAATTTGAACCTGTCATCCTAGTATCCTCGTGACCGAACAGATAGTTTTGCTGTGCTCGACAGTATTCAAAATGCCGGTGAAGGATGAGAGCGACAAGGGTGTGGTCGCGGGAGAGGGCAGCTCATCCAGTTCGGGGTCGTCATCTAACGACTCTTCGTCCAGTGGGAGCGACTCCTCCTCCAACGACTCCTCTTCCTCAAGTAATGACGATTCTTCTTCGGACGACGACAGCTCAGCGTCTTCATCCCCTTCTCGCAACGGGATGGGCGACAAGGAGGCCGTTGCCTCGACGTCTACCATTAACACAAAGTATGTAAAGGCTAACGCATCTTTTCATTATATTGCAGAACATCTTAACGTGTGCATAACTGTAATTAATTCCATTACCAGACCACCTTCAGCATCTCCGAGCGGGCCAACCATTCGATCTCGTAGTTGCAGTGCTAACAGTGGACGAAGTCGTCGAGCAGCCTCTGCATCCTCCATCTCGTCTCTCGCATCGTCCACCAAATCTTCCAAATCGCTCAAAAAGGTTAAAGGGTCCACCACTAAAAAGGTGACATCAACCACAGAAAGCCCGAAACGGTCACAATCTGCGAGCAGTGCTGGTGGTGGGAGCAACCATAGCAAAGCTGTGGCTTCTAGTTCGTCCTCCGGGAAGAAGAAAGTTCCTGTTCCCAAGAAGGAAGACAACATTTCAAGCAACATGAGCAAAGGTTCGTCTAACAAGCCAAAGAAGACGACGACGACGACGATGGGAGCAAATGGTAATAATAACCACCACCACGGGTCTACCAGCAAATCAGATGACAAGAAACCATCAACCACTTCTTCAAAGTCCAAAGTAGTAAAATCGGGGACGGTTACAAACACGAGGACGATTAAACCGCTGCATTCCGCGTACGAATTTAACATTATTACACAGTTCTAAATGTTCTAACGAGCTCTAGCATAAATGAGCCAAATTATAGTTTATTATTGCATTTGTTTAATTCTTGGTATTATTTTCTAGTTCCGGTCCAAAATCTAAAGCACCGCCATCATCTTCGTCTGGGAAAGCACCTCCAACCTCCGCACAGAAGAAGGTGGGAGGAGGTGGAGGAGGAAACAGCAAAGTTAAGACGGAAGTAACGGTTGTTTCACAATCGGAGAGAAAAGTTGCTCCTGGGATGATATCATCTGGTGCCAAGAAAAAGCCTATACCACACAAAGTGATGCCCTCCGCTGTGCATAACAAAAAGGAAACGCCCAGCTCGCAATCCCGTTCAACGAACAAAAAACAAGAGCAGGTTGTTGTCTCTTCGACAAAAGGTATGTGTGACGCCACTACTGATCTACGGCTATCTACTCTTATTGTTGGTGGTGTGCACTCTGGTCCTTAGGAAAATATCTTTTGAAATTTATTAATATGATTATGATTAATATTAATTTATTGGTTTTTTACGCTCAGACGGAGTAAGAACTCGGGCTAGTTCATGTTCATCTGCTGCATCCGCCTCCACAGCGTCCTCCTCAATGGATTCTTCTTCCAGTGGAGAAGACGAGCCTGAAGACTCCTCACTCGCTGAGAGCAGCCCAACCAAGCAGAAAAAGAAGAAGGAAAAAGTGTCTGCCCGACTTCCAGCCAGCAAAAAGATGACTTCCACCGCCACTACCAAACAGCTCTTGATGGCTTCTTCAGCTAAATCCAACAAGAAAGCTCTGCTATCTTCTTCCGTTGTCCGGAATCTAGCTGCAGAACTCCTGTCCTCCGCGGACGACGAAGATGACCAAGTTGGGAAAACGAAAAAGAAGATGCCCCACCAACGGCGTCCACTAACTCGTAGACAGAAATCCGGTGTTAAGAAAACCATTCCAACCACGACTATATTTAACCAAAGGTTCAATTGTAAATCATTATCTACTGGATTTTTTAAAAAAACGGAAGCAGTTGAATGTGCTTACTTTGTAAAACAAGTGCGCACACAACTGATTGTGATTTACTATTATTCTTTACAGTCTTCTCCTTGCTGCTGCATCCAGTTCATCCTCTGCTGCTGCCGCTGCTGCTGCAAGTCCGACCAATTCTAGCAGTCCTCGAAAATCTTCTGTGGTCGCGTTAGCTTCGTCTTCTTCTGATCTCGTGCCACTGACTCGATTGCCCTCTTCCATCATTAGTCGGAGATCGACTTCGAATTCCTCGGCAAATTCGTCAGAGAATGAGTCCATGGGCGGCGGACGAGGCAGTGGTCGAAGGAGATTTCCATTTGCTTCATCATTAACCACAGGATTCTCCGCTAGCAATAAGAATAAATACATGTCGACTTGGGACTCGGACTTTTCGGATGACAATTTCGCCCAACATATTACAAATTCGGGTGCTAATAACTTCATTCGAGTTCCAGCCAAAACATCGACTCGCCCAAGAACATTTGATTTTAGGTAAGTCATAAATAATAATATGTATGTGTAATATGTATGTGATACACTGTGTGTGTTGATGGATTTTTGATAACCGGTCTGTCTGTGGGTAACTAACTTTTTAATTACTTAACTTTGTGAGTACAGCTTGATGGATCCTGATGCTTTTGAGCAGCCTCGATGTCCTTTTCCATCTTGTGACTCTAGCGGACATCTTTCTGGAAAGTATCCTGGACACAATTTCCTATCCTGCTGTCCCCGTTATCATGGATTCGAAGCAACGGAGTGCGTTGAAAATGAGGAAGAGCGATCATCACGAGAAGTGGAACGGGGCAGATATCGAAATGTTTTATCTACTCCAGGGAAAAAGACTCCCAAACAAACCTCGGAAACTAAATCGTGGTTGGCAAATATGAAACAGTTGAAGGAAACGGAAACACGGGATGGACTCGTTTCTCAGTATGACAGCCTCCTCTGGAAAGACTCCTTAGCTATTGCGGCCGACAGGATTGAAAAGGAGCAGAATGATGGTGTTACGACTCAAGGGATTTACTACAGGTAAAAAATAAAAATGAAATATTAAAATATTTCATAGAGCTGAAATCATAAAGTTAAAAAGTCAAAGTTTAATTAATCTCGATTTGACAAAGCTGACTTTTACTTGCTGGTTAGGTACTCCATGGCTGTGGCAATGGGTCGGTTTGAAATGAAATGTTGGTGTGAAAGCCCATACCCCGAACCTCTCAGTCAGAATCGGAGACTTTTTGTCTGCGAATTTTGCTTGAAACCTGTCGGTTCTGGCACAGTTCTTAGAAGGCACTGTGCAAAATGTGTATGGAGACATCCTCCTGGAGATGAGATCTACAGGTATGAGACGACAAGACTTGGTTATGTACTAGCTTGAATGGTTTTATTATAGATTAGCAATTAATTTATATGTATCTTGAATTTCAGAAAAGATCGGCTGTCGGTGTGGGAAGTGGATGGCAAGAAACAAAAAACCTATTGCCAAAATTTATGTCTGGTAATAATGACAATATTATTGATCATTACTCATAAGACTCATAGAGTATAAACCCGACTGAAGAGTGATATCCTTTGTGCCCTCGTCACCACTGCATCCATAATAATAAGCTAATAAATATTTGTGTAATTTCAGCTCGCCAAATGTTTTCTTGACCATAAAACTTTATACTTGGACGTGGACCCCTTTCTATTCTATGTTATGACTCTAGCAGACTCTCAGGGATGTCATTTAGTGGGATATTTCAGTAAAGAGAAGAATTCATTTCTCAACTATAACGTGAGCTGCATTTTAACCCTGCCACCTTACATGAGGCAAGGATTTGGGAGGCTCTTGATAGATTTTAGTAAGTCCACTAACTAATTTGACAAAAGCATGAGACCTACTTATGCCCTCGTGTTAGAATTGGAAAATATTTGTATTCATGGATTGCTCTACTAACAGGTTACTTGCTGACCAGAGTGGAAGGGAAAGTGGGATCACCCGAAAAACCACTTTCGGATTTGGGACTTATAAGCTACCGGTCGTATTGGAAGGATGCTGTCCTTAGAAGATTATGTGCATGCGCTAGCCGTGAAATTAACATTAAAGGTATTTAAATGAGAATGTCTGCTGTCTTGCTCTCAGCGGGTTTTCATGTATGAATAGAATTCAGTTACGTATTTTATGCTCGCAGATTTAAGCATTGAGCTTGGGGTCTCCACAGCCGACTTGATATCTACCCTTCAGTTCCTCGGAATGTTGAAATATTGGAAGGGGAAGCATCTAGTTTTGAAAAAACAGGACGTTTTGGAGGAATACCTGGAACGCGTAAGACGGCGTGGAAACGAGCGTCAAATTGATTCGTGTTGTTTAAGATGGAGACCCTACCAGCCACCATCAGATGAACATTCTAGCTCAGAAAAATCCTAACCATAATAATTAACCTAATTACGTTGATACAATAGTTAGTAACACATCAATTGAAATGTTTGTTCTCAGCTTTTTATAATCTCATCCAAACATGTTCATTGTACGTCATGGCATAAGTAATTTTGCATTTATTTACGATTAATATATTTTGCTGTCAAATATAATTTTTGTTACGTACTAAACAATAAAGTCATCTGTTAAATTCAAAGTCTGAAGATCATATCACTTAAGTCTTATAAATATTTCGAAAATGATTTACAAAATTTTTGTTATACATCAAGTATATAGCGAGGTCGTTCATACTAGTTTTCACTTTGTCGGGTTTTATAAGTAATTTAAAATTTTAATATCAATGACGGAATTATATTGTCATACACAAAAGCTTATAAAAATGTCACATACATATATCATAGTGCTAGTTTTTTAGCAGGAATAAATGAAAAATATAGAAAATGGGACACAAAACAATTTAGATTAATTCTTGTGATGATCGACGGTCGAAGTTTCATTTTACTTTAAGTACGGGTAGATTATGGGATAATCAGTCTCCTATCAGGATTTCGACGTATTACATTGTGTCACCATCAGCTGCAGTAGCATCAGTTTCATGTTCTTCCAGCGGACCTGTGGCTGTTGACATTGGAGCACATTTTTTAGCACGACGACTACGAAGGGGTTTATCCTCTTTGTTCAGTTTGGACTTTGACATTCCTGATGTCACTTTTCGCTTTTTCTACGCAACCAGAGAAAATAGCGATAACTAACAATAAAGAATTTTTGATAAACTTGGGATAAAATGTGTACCGGAAGTGGACCATCATACTGTGGGCCATAGCGCATCTCCTTTTCGGCATGTTCAAAATCAACACCATTCACCAATGAATAGATCTGGATGAGAGCTTCCGGAATGAGGACAAGTTGAGCGTACTCCAAATACTGGGTAAATTTTAACAAGACAATAAAGTGTACCGTGGTGGTTAGCTGCCAAGTATACTACAAGTAAGTGTCAAAAAGTGACTGGTGCCGACTTACCCGTTCCCTACTTTTTCTGGTAGGCAGGATAAAGTCCAACACTAAGTTTGCTAATAACATGTACGCTTGATTGCTAAAAGGAGCCGAGACGACGGCTTCTTTCAATGTAAAGAGGTCTGACTTATTTCGACTCAGATACAGCTGCAAAAAAGTAATGTACCAATTTATAGCAAGAAATATCAAGCAGTGCGGAAATTGAACACGAACGAATTTGAAAGCACTCACGTCAGTTCGAATTGAGTCTTTTCGTCCTTCAAATACGTCCAAAATGGCTGGTTGAACATGAGCAAAGTATTCCTGCACCTTTTCATCGGTAAGCTTTTGAATATTCTGAGTATGTTCCTCGCACATTTTTTCTTTTTCGTCATATTGTGAAAACACGGTTCGAAAGAAAATTCCCTTTGCTTCGAGATCGAATTCCTCTACAGAGACAGAGTGGAAGGTATCATATTAAATACACAAGTACAATTAATTAATAATAATAAGTCAAACAAGTGGTAGTACCCAATTTCTTGGAAGGCGACGCCGCCGTCTCAGGTAGAGTAAATCGTCGATAAAGCTCGTCAAACTGGGAAGCCCCATTTCCACTTGAAGAACTTTCGTTATTTGAACTATCATCTGACGATAATGATGATGAGGTTACACGACTAATAAATTTTGACCTAATATTGGGATCAGAGCCCGAACCATCATTATTAGCTTTGGATTCTGCCACAGGTGGATGCCTTTTTCGACGCAAACCACGTCGTCCGTCTGCATCACTGCGTTCGTCAGTTGAAGACGATGTTGGCTGGCTCGGCTTCAATGCGGTAATTATGCGTTGTGAAAGAAGGGAAATACCAGCTTGAAGGGTTGACGGATTGTTGATGAGGTCATGTGTGCTCATCTCCTGTACTGCAACCCCTCCTATATCGACGTAAGAAGGAGAATTTAAAGATTCAAATTGTTAGTCTAGGTCTACCAAATTTGTTACCTTTCCTCTTGTTGTCCATTCCTTCGTTCTCTGTCTTCTTACTTTCTGAAAAAATAACAAACAAATTCTTAAAAAATGAGGAGCAGGATTAAAGGGAACTTCATTCATAATTCATTACAAATTCGTACTTTCAACGGCCTAATGAAGCGAATTACATATTTTATTATGATGTCGATTGATGACAATGGTTCGATAGATATGAATTTGTAGTACAAATTTTGTACATGTTGAATATCGTAAGTGCTGATAAGGAAAACTCTCACCCTTCTTAGAAAACATTTTGACAAAGAGGTCGTTCTTCAGTTCGCCTGCTTCTTGCGCTACCGGAATAATTACGGAGAATGACTAGAGGGATAAATTACCGAGTGGAACTAGAATTCGTTAAAGATATTCACGTTTTTGATTTAAAATATGTATATTTGTAAACAGCAATTTGTACAAATTCAATCCCAGTCACAAGTTTTATAAGTTTTAGCTGGCTGCTCATCCCGGGCTAGTTGACAAGCCAACGTTTTCAATGTGCTCCAGCATTCGTCCGGGCAGAAGAGTGTCTCAAATTGTTCCAGTGTCAATTTGTTATCATTCAGCGTAGAGTATGCAAATGAAATGAAAGTCTTGTACAAAACCCTTCAAAAAACATCCAATCGAAATTGAAAATATATGCGTGGCTTTCCAAAAATTCGTCTCATCTGATATGTGTGTTAGGAAATCTCGTTTAATTAAATATCTGTAGTTCGATCGATGTACGCGTTCATTGTAAAACGTTTGAGACAAAATATGAAATGTCATTTGATGTCTTTATGTCTTGGGTTAGTTTGGCAAAGTCACAGCGGTATCATTGATCATGAAGGTTAATTTTGATTTAATGATGACATTCTTTTAGTCCTCAATAAGACATGGACATGAATGAGCCCGATACATATATACACGCGTGTAAGCAAATATCATCCCGTCACCAGGTCGTCAGTCCATTTTTCAGATTGTGTTTGACTTTAATACATGCGTACTCTTCCAGAAACTAAAAATACCGTCCGTATTTGTTCAGCGTATATAGAACTCTATACAGCTTATTAAATTACGTGACATGACACTTGCTGATTTCAAGTGTGTGTCTGATAACAATCTGCAAAATTGGCACTTGCACATAGCCCGACCCAAGATTGGGTTGAGTGAGTATGTATGCATCAACTCTGAATAATCAGACAGAGAATAATCAGACAGGGTGCATAAGCCCTGGTTCGGACTAAACACGAGTGTCACTTTGTCTTATCAAGCTTTTGATATTGTGCAAGAAAGGTGTGTATAGAACATTTTGCTGTATCATCCACCCGGATCTGCTTCTTCAGTAGTAAATTGAGTGAGTGACATTTAATTCCCAGCTCAATAATTGGGAGTAACAAGGTGTGTGACACGAAGGGAAGCAGAAAGGATGGAGATTTCATGGTTCCAGAGGCAATGGGATGCAGTGTCAGACTTTTGGGGTGGTGACGAATTCAGCATCCATGTCTATGGCACCTTTGGCGTCACTGCCTTGGCGTACTGGGGACTTGGGGGCATTTTCTTGATCCTGGACTATCTGGGACCACCACCCTTCCTCATGCGCTACAAGGTTCAGGAGAACGTCAAAACTTATCCGGTAGCAGAAATGAATCAACTAAACTACACACCACATTTATTTAGTCCGTAAATAACTAAACTAATTACTCCAGATATCCCGGGAACAGTTGGTGGACCTGTTGAAGGTTGTGGGTTTCAACCAGCTGCTCATCCTGCCCTTTGCGGCTGTGAAGTATTGGTGGGAGGAGTGGAGGGGTGTGGTCCGTCCTCAAGAGCTGCCCAGCCTGACGAGCGCCATCCTCCACCTCGCCGTCTTCGCCCTGGCCACCGAGGTCTTTTTCTACTACTCCCACCGCCTCCTCCACCACCCGCTCATTTACAAGTCCATCCACAAGAAACACCACACGTGGTGCGGTACCACACACATTAGTCAACATGTCGCAATAAGTGTCCACATGTCATCATTCAGATGCATGCGTCCCGAAGAACTCACTGAGCTCTAGAAATTGAATGGTCCATGTTTTTACAGGATCTCTCCAATCGCGTTTGCAGCCGCGTACTGTCACCCCGTGGAGCACATCGTTTCCAACGTATTTCCACTCGCAGTGGGTAAGAGAGTGATTCGATAAGCCCATTCCTCTCAAATGTTTACTCAGGACCGTGAACTCCACGAATGAGTGAAGCTTTGAACTGAAATGCATACACACATTGCTGCTAAATCCATATATAAATACGTAATCTCATGTATGCTCGAATGCACAGGGGCTCTGCTGCTCAATTCGCACATTGCACTCCTGTGGTGAGTAAAAACCTATGACCGATGTAATACTGCACAATTAGGATTATTTGAAACTAATCTCCATCTCGATTGTGTATGAACTTTCAGGGTTTACGCAGTTATTGGGACATTTGAAACATTGACGGTCCACTCTGGCTTTCACCTTCCGTTTTTGAAGTCGCCCGAGTTCCACGACTTTCACCACCTCAAGTACGTTCCTGCAACACGCAGCCACGCAGGGAAATTATTAAACTTAGGGTTCCGTTGTTTCAGTTTTGTTGATAATTGACCCATTATTGGATGAAAGGTTCAACTATAACTACGGCGTGGTTGGGCTAATGGACTGGATACATGGGACGGACTCGCTCTTCCGGACATCCAAGCAGTTTCTCCGTGATAAGCGCTTGTGGTCGATGACACCAATCAAGGCGGTTGTGCCTTGAACAAATCAATTACTAGCTCCACCGTTCACGCCATCAGCATCTTTGTGTGCTTTACAAGCGAAACATTTATTTGCAAATACATTATTATCTCTTGATTGATTGATTGTGGATTAGTCGTGTCTCCACAGAGCAGGGAATAAATAAACCCATAATAAAGCAGTTTTGAACTGATAAGATCGTTATTATTCAAAATCACGTTGCGTCAACACAAATTACTGACTACACCAAAAGTAAGTATTTACGTGTGCAGCTCATTACGAAGCCTTGACTTGACTTGCATCGAACGAAAGCGAGAGTTAAACATGAGTAGCAAAATCAACGAGTTTTTGGAGATTTGGTGGGTGTTAGTTTCTCTGGTTTTTTGGGGCCCAAGGGTTCAGGGTGCATTTTATAATTGCACACAACCTGGATTGGTAGCCCTCACGTTTGGTGAGTCATACATTCATATTCTTAAATACAAGTCGTTAGTATTAGTTAAGTGCCTAGTTAGTTAGTCAGTCACTATTTATTTATTCAGATGACGGTCCCGGCGTGCCAGAAACCAACCAAGTGCTCGATGTCCTGAAAAACTTCAATGTGACCGCGTCGTTCTTCGTGAACGGGCTCTACAACTATGAGACTGACCTTGCCCGCTACAAAAGTACCATTACTCGGATTTACAACGAGGTTCGTCGAGCGAAATGTATATCACTTTTGAACAATCCCAGTGATATATGCAAAAAATTAGTTGTCCACCCGTGTGTAATTTCCACATTCAACGCAGGGCCATCAACTGGGGTCCCACTCGTGGAACCACACCGACCTCATCAACCTCACGAGGACAGAGTTGAAGAACGAGCTGGAACACTTGGCTCAGGTTGTGAGAGAAACGATTGGGGTGAGATTTTAAGGATTGCGACAAAAAGAAAAGAGATTTATAAAACTCATGTTTTATTTCTGAGGTGAACCTGACCGTGTTCCGACCTCCACTAGGAATCTTCACGGAGGAAATGGAAACCTTTGTCCAGTCGGAGTTCGGCTACACCGTCGCCATGTGGAACGTGGACACGCGTGACTGGGCAACCCCGCCCGATGGGGTAGATGCCTACAAGGCCTTCTACGCCACCACGGACAATCATCACACGGCTGCCAACTTGAGCTGCATTGGGCTTCATCACGACCCTCTGCCTATGTCGGCCCCTCTGGCGGAGGAGACGCTGACCTATCTCACGCAGGTCGTCGGACTCCGCGTCGTCACGCTCGCAGAGTGCTTGGAGCAGGAAATGTATGTCCCAGTCGTGGGTGGAGGGGGGAGGGTCTCCGTGGAGGGAGACCATCTCCACTTTCTCGTCCTTGTAAATTTTGTTCTTATTTCTGTACTCACTTTGAATCCCAACTTGAGATGATATTTTGTGCCTTGAATAAATCTTGTCCTTGTTCTCTCTCCGTCACTTAAAACTAAATAGCTGTTTTTGATGGGAACCTTATTTCGTGGTTTCTTCTCTCTTCTCCGTCCGTCCACATGGCGAGAATGATGTGCAGATGTTCATAAAGGAGCGTCAATGGAAGCGAATGTTATCCGTGACGGCATGGCTGCTGTTCTGAGAGCGGGTCTCAGTACGAAGAATAATCGCTGCCGGTTGTGTGTTTGGATTGTATGAGGTCAAGAAGTGAAGTGCATGCGCCTGCTGCTCACACATTGGCGAATAATGAGGAGCAGAGGAGAGGACGCTGAATGAGACGGCGAGCGAGGAGAGTGAGATGAAGATGAGAGTGGAGCAGTGTCTCAGTGCCAGTGGACGTGTTCACAACCTCGACCATAATCTGCTTGAAACGGATCACCATGCCCCACGGGAGACGGATAAGATAACCTTCTCACAGCCTCTTCGTGCCAAGTGACCGTGACCTTCTTCTCCTTCTCCTTCTCGTCCGCAGGCAGCAGGTCGGAAAAAGTAGCAACGGTGCTTCCTTCCCTCGAAACAAGTATGGTCCTGTTGCTCCCATAAGGTTTCAGTGCTGCATGTGTAGATAGTTTGTGGTCCATGGTGTGAGTACGACCATCATCGAGCGAGAGTGAGTAATGGCAACGGCATTGTTCGCGTTTATCGGCGTATAGAAGGCGAATAGTTTGGTGAATGGCTGACCTTTGCCCCCTCCTTCAGGGTGCTAACATCTCTTACGCCCAGTAACTATGGTGCATGGGGGTGGAAGTCGAAGCGTGGACACCGGTATGAAGCTGCTCTGTGCCACGACGTGATCCAGATGAATGTGATGACTGGGGGCGAGGGGGGTTGTCGTGGCCGTGGGGGGAAGGTGACGGTGCTTCTCTCTCTCCTCCTCCTGCCGCTGCTCCCTCACGAGGCGAGTCCACAAGGGGACACTCCGGTCCCCACCGTGACCACGTCCCTGGGAACGGCTCGCGGAAAGGTCTTCACCATCCCCAAAACACACGCCCAGGTTGTTGGCTATCTGGGTGCGTACATCCACAATTTGGCTCGTCCTTGTAATTTCGATTATTTGCATGTGTGTGTGTGTCGTATGTAGGTCTCCCGTACGCCCAAGCGCCCATTAACGACCTACGGTTCAGGGTAAGAATCTCTCTGCTCCTTTCCCTTGACCCCGCCTCAAATTAGACCAATTTCATGCCAACGCTGGGGTTTGGTTGCATATGCACACGTTACATGCATGTGATGCTCATGAGTGTGTGGGGTATTAATGTCATGACACACTCAGTGAGCCGATCATTAAGAATTTATCACCTGAGCGAGGATATTCTGTTGGTGTGTCGAGCGGAATTGTGTGGCAACCAAGCCCTTCTTGGCGTCATTAGACATTGAGATTTGAAGAAAGTGAGGCTGACATTCGTCGTCATAATTTAAATGCTGCCCCTCGTCTCCCATTACGATTTGGAGGGTCCAATCATCTGGTCTCGCCGCCGCCCACTTGCCTCATCCCCGACTTTCCGATTATGTGACCTGTTTATCTAAAAAGTTAGTTTGACGTACTTTTCCCTTCTCTCGAGGTAGGATCGACTTGTTCATTTATTAAGAACTCGCATAAAGCGCGAGGAGAGAGACGTTCTTCACGTTCTTCATGCGGAATGATTTATTCCATCGCTTTTTTATGCTCTAAACTCTGCGGATGGAAAGTTTATTAAACAAAAAAATGACGACGAGGAGGACGTGGAGTAAGTTTTTCCCTGGGTTAGAAAGAACATTTATAAGGAAGACGGAAGGCAGAATGGGAGTGTAAAGTAAAGCTTGCGTGGCCCTCACTCTCGTCGGTCGGAAACTTATTAATTTTTTGATGCCCATTCTCCCTCGAATAAAAAGCAAGTGCGAGTAGTCTCTCCTTTAATTGCACTCTCACTCACTCACTCGCTCGGCGGCGGCGGCGGCGGCGGCGGAGGAGGAGGAGCAGTGCAGATGATGCCACGTAGACCACACGAGGACCACATCACAAGGACGACACTTTTACCACACGACCACAACTCAGTTTCAGGAGTCGTCGCTCCGGCTGGTCTGCAAGTGCGGGGAGGAGGTAAGGCCAGAGAAGTGGATGCGAAAAGATGAGACTGAGACGGATCAAGAAGAAATTGAGTCTTTTAATTCCGTGTTCCGGGAAGGATAGCGGCGTGGTGATGTCTTCTCATGTATATTCCACGCCTAATTGGGATCCTGCCACATTTGCATCTCAAAGAGAGAGCGAGAGAGAGAGCGGAGAAATAAAAGACGAGCTAACTATGCATATGTACGTACCCAAGTGGGCTTACAGGAAGCCAAGTGTTGCATATTATTTAGAAGACGCAAGACGGGAAGGAATTCTGTCAAATGCTCACAATTTACGTCCCAAACCACTCACACACTTTTCCTAGAGATTGATTTTATGATAATGGACCCGACCAAACGCCACCAAAAACTCATCCATCGCAGCCATGCATGAGCGCAGAGCAGTAAAAGTTGTTTTCGAGCAACATGGCAGTAAATCACTGTGTTTGGAATGTTTGCTAGCCCCCGATGGAGCTGGAGTCCTGGGGGGACGGCCCCCTCGATGCCACCAACTTCAGAGCCATTTGCTTCCAACCGGGCGAGCAGAAGATTTGGGACGTGGTTCCGCATGGGGGGAAGGGCGGCACTGGGGGTCGAGGCGCCGTGAGGAAAAAGAAGCTCGAGTCCTACGCCATGAGTGAAGACTGTCTCACACTCAACATCTACGTGCCTTTGGTGAGCCATTTGCCTTATTGTCCCTCTGACCCTCAAAGCCTCCCCATTTGTCTTCCCTGACGCCCAAGCACCCTCAGGGGGAACTAATTACACTCCCAGCCAAAGAGACGACAAATGGGCACACCAAAACCAACTGCTCCTCTGGGGGCAGGATGAGATATCGTTCGTCAGAACCCTTGTCTCACAATCTCCTCTTGCCCCCTTCCTTCCTTGCCTGCCTCCTGCTACACATGTAAATATTTAGATCTAGCCTAGCTCGAGCAGTCCCCACCCACTAAATCCAGACTCCTTAGTTAACAACTTTTCCCCGAGCGTGCAAGATGAAATGTTCCTTTTGAATGCATATTAATGAGCATGCATTTTGCGAGAGATTGGCAATTAGTGTTGATCAAGGAAGGATGAGAAGGAAGAAGTTGGCACAATTTCCTGTGTGTCGAGGAGACGAGATGTTCGCTAATTTGGTACAGAGCGTCGTAATTGGTTTATCCTCAGAACCAGCAGAAGGAGAATAATAGCAGCAGCAGCAGCAGCGGTGGTGGCGATGGTGGTGGTGGTGCTGGCGGCAACGGTGGCGTCGACGACTCAGCGTCGCAACCACTCCTTCCCGTTCTTTTCTTCATCCATGGGGGTGAGCCGGCCTTCGTGGCCAATTCAGAAAATACAGTTTATCAAAAGACTATTTATTTGTGGGTTAATGATAAAAGCCGTAAATTCACAGGGTCCTACTACATGAATGCGGGGCGGCTGTACCCCGGACAAGTCATCGCCTCCAGCCAGCACCTCGTCGTCGTCACCTTCAACTATCGACTCGGACCGTTAGGATTTCTCAGCACGGGGGACGCGGCCGCCTCTGGAAATTATGGGCTGCTAGATCAAGGTTTGTAGGCTGACCGACCCCCAAGTTCTTCTACACTCTGGTCAGCAAAATTAAGGTCATGTTTACTTTTGCAGCGATCGCCTTGGACTGGGTGCACCAACATATCCATCACTTTAGAGGAGACCCGGGACGTGTAACGTTGGTGGGCAACAGTGCCGGCGCCGCGTCCGTCATGTTCCACATGTTTTCAGGGCTTTCGAAAGGCAAGTAAAGTTTTTTCCCAAGTTTTGACTCTCTTCTTGAGTCGAGTTTTTGAAGTTGATGTCAAAGTGTCGTCGTCGTCGTCTCCCTTGGTTCGAATGATAATGTGAAGAGAAGTAAGTACGTCTCGGCTCATGGGCTGGCTGCTTGGTTGGACACGACGTAATGGGATTATGTTGCCATTAGTGGTGTCAAATGACCGTGTAATTATCCAGCTCACTAATGAGAGCGAGAGAGAGAAAGTCTGAGCTGGATGACGTTAATCTCATTTCTTATCCTGAGCTCTCTCTCGTCTCCAGTAATCCAACTCTCCTTTCTCCCCTACTCCAACCACGCTGCTGCTGCTGCTAAACTAAATGAGCCCCTTGTCCTGCCCATCATTCCGTCGGTGCGGACTCCACGGGTATAAAAATCTATATAAATAGGACACATTCCACTCTGTCCAGTTTATTACGTAAAGCTCGCTCGCCCGTTGTCCAGCAGCAGCAGTGGATTAGTGATCTTCTCTGTGTGTGTGAGGATAATAAATGGAGAGGAGGAGGCGGAAGAGGAATGCGGATGAGTCTCATAAAATGAAAGCTGCCTTTGGAATTTCATACCTTTCCTTCCTCGTGGGTGCTTGGTGGCCATTCTGCCCTGTTTACAGGTCTTGTTTCCTTTCCTTGCAGGGAAGTTTGTGGGCGTCACGGTGCAGTCGGGCTGCTCGGGGTAAGGATTGTCTTGCAGTTGGACTTGTGCAGGTCGAGGCCTTGGGGCCAATTTATTGTTGGGTGCTTTAATTGTGGGTGGTTATTATTCTCTGTCCCTTCAGAGCACCTTGGGCCATCCAGGCGAATCCCAGAAAACACGCGGAGGCTCTGGCGACCAAACTTGGGTGCCCCACCAGCCCCACCCATGACTTGGTCGACTGCGTCCGAAACTTTTCTCCACAACTGATCATGAAGGTGAGAAAGGACGTGACAGTGTTTGTTATTTAGTACACCCTGCCTGCGATCCTAATCAACCCACTTTTCTCGTGTCACCCAACAGCACGCTAAACTGGAGGACGGGCTCAGGTACAGACGCACGTAGCTGGACAACAAAGCTATAAATTTGTGCATGCATATTTAGCTATGACATCATGAAAGTCACACCGTTGACTAATTGACTCTCTCCAGTCTGGCCTTTGCCACCGTGGTCGACGGGCCTTATGGAGGCAAATTCCTGAAGGATCATCCCGAGCAGCTTATCCGAACCAAGGACTTTCAACCCGTGCCCATACTCACCGGCTTCACGAGGGACGAAGTTACCATTTGGTTCACCAAATGTGAGTTCACGGACGATTTGAACGGCTTTGATGAGCATACTTTCCGACTAATTAGTGCTCTTTCCTTGTTTTGTTTTGAAGTTGGTCCGACGACAAAGACGAAAGACCTCCGCTCATTTGTGCAGGTTGATGTGGTTAGCCTGCTCGAGAATCTGCCCACCGTCACCCAAGCAAACATGGTATCACATTTTCCCACCACTTGGAATTGTCATTCTGCTTAGAGTTGGCTGATGTGTCTATAATGTCATCTTTCCTCTGTGTCAGGCTGCCATGATCCACTCGGTGACAGTGCAGTACGTAAGTAACAAGTAGAGTTCTTCATTCGCTGGCTGACAATTTCTCAAGTTCCACGTGCAGATGGCTTAATTGCAGTTTCATACACGTACAGTAACTTATTTTGCCAAAAACACTTGTGTGATACATTTTGCTAAATACTAATTTAAAAGCTAAACCAAACTTGAATTCCATTCAACTCACAACCCTAACATTTTCTACAAAGAAATCCGAGAGTGGAGAAAGCCATGTCACTTGGATTTGCTGTAATGTACCCTTTTTCTCGGCATTTTTATAAAGTCACTCTTGAATCACAGAGGTTTCCAAAACTTGAAGTAATTCCTGACTTTTGTCGTAAAGGTATTTTCCCAAATTCTTGAATAAGCCGTGTCAATTTGTCACTCGTTTGTGATTGTCACTAGCCCACAATAAATAAATAAAAGTGTCTCGTAGCATCCCTCGTAACCAGATAAACGGACGAGGCGTATGCAAATTAGGTGATGTGATAGGGCCAAATCAAGCTCGGGAATGTGCAAATGTGTTGTTGGAGTGCAGTATTTTTTCTTTTTTGCAGATGTACCGTGCAGGGATTGGAGAGAACGACACTTTGGGAAAGACCTCGTCCATCTCCGACGTACGTTTCCCTTTCTTTCCTTTTCTTGCAGACAATGAGTGACAGCTATTGAGAACTCATCGGGTGCATGTGCCACGGATTCGTCGAGGGGGAAATAAGCACACCTCTCGAAACCTGGAGGAGTAAAGTATAAGCGTCACTCTGGGCGGCTGGAGTGAGTGGCTGGAATGCATGGGCTTAAGAAGGAGGTTTCCCTTCAGTGATGGAGGACTAGCTAAGCGTCCCCAGAGACGACGAGGACGGAAGGAAGGAGCGAAAGTGTGGCTCCTGCTTTCTCTCAGCCCTTGGTAACAGGGAGCTTTTTTAATGATGACGGAAGCAGCAGAGCTCTTGCCTCCTCTTTGTACTCACTCACTTTGTTAGCAGTGGCTTAATAGCCTCCTGGCTTAGTTTTTTGTCGGGTGGCTTATGATGCTCTCCTCCCCACAAAGGCAGGAGTGCGGACTTGCAAATCTGCATTATTTGCGGTGGACGTGAAGGAGGAGGAGAGGCGAGAGAGAAGATTGAAAGGATTACATTATGAGACAATCCATCATTCAGTTCATTCTGTTGCCCATTGTTGTTCCTCCTCCTGCTTATTTCGTCGCAAGTCTCGTGTAGTCGTCCCTGGCAGGCTCTCACTTTTACGTGGTGGTGAACAATGTGTCCGTTTTTCAGACAGGGCAGCTCTGATTAAATGAAGGATGAGGATGTAGTGCTCTCTTTCGCTGGTCGTGGGGTTTCCCATGTCGACTGATGCATGTATGTCTGCCCGATTGTGCACCATCCGTCCGCTGAGTTCAACTCCTTATATTCCTTCACCCACATAAAGATCATTAAAAGCAGATGGGCCGCATAAAAATAAATACGCGAGTCTGAAAGACCAATAAACAACAGCACAATCAGAATTATGCATATTGTAAAAGTAATTCATTAATATAAATGTGTGGTCTGCACCTCGTGGCGTTATCTCCGAATTTCAAATTTTTCTGATGAAACAGTTCAAGCTGTTCTCAAACCGGTTTTCATGTCTCATCTGCTTAAGGGGTAATTCCAGATAACCGGAATTATGTTCCGAGTACAAAGACATTTTTAGACAAGTAAATTTTGAAGTTGTCCGACTGTTGACCTGACCTTTTTTCAGTTCATCTCTGACGTGGGGCTGAAGGCGCCTTGCGTGAAGGAAATGAATCTGCTCTCTCACCACACCTCGGCGCCCATCTATCTCTACGAGTTCCACTACTTTTCCGTGGATGACTTCAAAATGGGGAGGCAGGAGTGGATAGGTGAGTCACTCACGGGCTGGTGCTTGGGAAATGTCAGGCCCCGTGAAAGCCGCTTTCTCCGGAAGAAATCTCCATCCGCCCAAGAAGCGAAATAACTTTCTCCTCTGCTCCATAGGTGCGTATCATGAGAGTGAAATTCAGTACATTTTTGGAGAACCCTACCTCAACTACAGCAACCACTTGCGGTGAGTTCCTCCAATAACGAGTACGACCGCTTTTCGTGTCACTTGAAGTTACCCTCTTTTCCACTACCTCTCTTACTCCTTGTTCTCCCCTCTTCTCATCTGCATGTGTACAAAGAGAACCGTCAGGGCCTCATGCATAGCGATGGCTGTGCGATGTGCTTGTGTGTACCTTTGCATTTGTCCATCCAGCCACTCCCGGTCGGCCCTTTGTAGAAGGTCGTTCGTGCTTATGCAATCCTGCCTCTTTCCGTCACTGACGTAAATCCCAAGTGCACGAGGGTGAAAAGTGGAGGCTTTTTTTTGCAGATCTTACGACGACAAGAAAATGTCGGACCTCATGATGAAGGTGTGGGGCAACTTTATAAAACACGGGAGCCCCAGCCCTCACCCCAAAGGCGAGAAAGGGGGCCTCAAATTCACATGGACAAACTACACCGAGTTCAACCAGGAGTTTGCCGTCCTCAGCCTGAAGCCCCACATGGACAAGTTCTTCCTCACGGACAGGTGGGTCGGACTCGTCCCCATGAGCGTTTCAACTGACAATAAAATACTTTATTTTTGTGTACAGGATGTTGTTTTGGAACTTTTTCTTCCCCATTTTCCGGGACTACCCGTTCCGTTTCGAGGGCATCCGTGATTGTGGGGGGTGGGAGGAGCTGCGCGAGTTGTGGGTGTTCTGGCTGCTGCTCTCCCTCACCTTCGCCCTCTCCCTCCTCATCCTCCTCCTCCTCAGCTGTCTCCTCAGGTGTCGCAAGAACAAGAGCCCACGGTCACCCCCTCAGCTCACCAACTCCAACAACCTCCCACTCGTCCCCAGATAACTCGTCCCTCGCATCCAAACATCTAATGATGGAGAGACGAGGGATTTGCACCATTTTATAATTCCCCCTATTGCCAAGTTACTCTTATCATGCACATGTGCTTACCCAGCCCCACGACAAGTCCAACTTTTATCATGTGAGTGAATGAATGAACGAATGAAGAATGTACCCCAAAATCCTACACCTTCTGCTCCGCTGTGAAATAAATACACTTTTTCGTAACTTAAAAAACTTGGATTTGTTTGCATTACAATTGGTATTGATTCGGCTTATTTTAGGCCGAGCATGTTCTCTCCGTTATCTCTCTGATTGGGGTTGAGTGGTTTAAAAGGCTGCGTTAATCGGGAGTTATACTGCACCTCACATCATACCATTCGCATCGCAAGCCTGTTTGTTTTTCACACGGTATTCCCTTTTCCCACATCGTTAACCAGACACATTTGCACTTAAGTACTGCATAACTACTGGTGCACTATATATTCTGTCGATTAACTTGAGCCTGGGGAGGTGAGGGCATTTTGGACATTTAAATGGTTTTATCATGTAGCATCACTCTGGCTCGTCAATTATCGCGGTGTCGGAATCTGCCTCCCGACCCAGGATTGCATTGTTCAGTGGAGCAAATGATTGACCGCGTGATTGTGATCTGCACTTTAAAGCGTTGGCCCTTATGTGATGAGGAGAGCACATATGTAACCTAACCCTATTGCTGTGAGGATGATGGCGGGTTACATAATACGGATAAGTCCTTTCACTTATCCATCCTCGTCGTGTCATCAGATCCCATTGATGAAAACATAACATGATGTTGACCACGCTACTTGGACGGATAACGAAAATACAAAACAAAATCACCATCACGGCGGAGATGTGTATATGTCCAGCAGGAGTGGGCCAAGAAAGCCCCTTTGTGTTGTGCACCTCTGAGCTTATCGTGGCGTGTGAATGACGGGTGGACAATGGGAATACGCGATAAGCTTGTCACCTGGTTCAGTCGCAATACACACGCTTCAAGCAGTAGCCAAGCTATCCCATGCCATATACACATACATATTTACATGCATACGTATTATCCATAGCACTCCTTGATTGTAGCCATTGACCAGAGAGAGAGACGCTCAATTCATTTGATAGCACTTCTTGCGTACTTATTACTAAAGGAAGAAATAAGCCATTCACGTGACCAAGAGTTGAGAATAAGACGAGGAGGACGACAAAGATAAATATCCATTCATTGTTTTACATGAGCAATAAGTTTTAAACATGAATTTTAAGCAAGTATCAACGTCGTGTTGAAATAAGTCAATTTTGAGAAGTTACATACTTAATAGTGCAAAGAAAGGGGAACGATTTCTACGAGTTATTTCGCAATGAATGTCCGAGAGAAAATAGCAGCTCGGAGCGAGCATCATCAGCCCAATGGTGTTGACGGTGAGGGTGAGAACGGTCACATGACCTACTTTGACCAGGACGGGAACAGACAAGAGGACGTGAATCTGGGGGAGGAGAACCGATGTGGGTTTGGGTGTTGCAGCCCCGACTGGATCCAAGGGCTGGCCTCCAAGAAGGCCTTCCTCGTAGTCTTCTCCTTCCTCTCGGTGATCCAAGGAATGACGTGGGCTTACTTCACGGCCACCATCACCACGCTCGAAAAACGCTTCAAAATCAGCTCACAAACGGCGGGTACACACTTTTACACAATTCGCCACTGACCGCATGCGCCAGACTAACCACAGAATCTGTTTGCTTCTGCTGTTTTCAGGAATTATAATGACAGGGAACGAAATTAGTCAAATTATGTTTGCCATTCTGCTGTCGTACTACGGTGGGCGAGGACATCGGCCAAGATGGATTGCGGTTGGAAGTAAGCATGCGTTATGATCACTAGCTCACAGGACTCTGACACCTTGTTGCGTCACTATTCTTACTAATCTTTCCCACTTTTCCGCAGTACTTTTCTCTGCCCTGAGCGCCTTCGTGCTCGCATCTCCCCACGCTTTCTACGGCCCGGGGTCCGATGCTCTGAGTTTGACGATGGAGTACGCCAAGGACTACGATCCCACGTGGGAGCCTCCCACCACCACCACCACCACGCCTTCCTCCCTCCTCCAAACCTTCACCAATGGCAGCGAGGTCCCGAAAGGGGGAGGAATGCTGACCAAGATTCAAGTTTGTCAGCTGGATGGTCGTGGAAATGGAAGGTCAGACTGTGACGCGGCAGACTCATCAAAAGTCCCCTTAGTGCTCATCTTCATTTCTCAGTTTATCATGGGGATTGGAGTCCTCCTGTTTTTCACTCTAGGCGGTGAGTTACCTAACCAAATTCAGCGTTTCCCATCATCAGTATGCTAAGTATGGGAGTAAGATACCGGAAAGATAGATTGAGCTGTGTGTGGTGTGCGCAGGGCCTTATTTGGACGACAACGTGGAAAAAACTCAAAGCCCAATGCTTTTCGGTGAGCGAGAGTGAAATATATTTTCCGACGAGGATTTTGCCATGTTGTGTGGGCGGTGTTATATACTTTCATATCATAAAATTACTCAACTGAATTTGCAACTTATGCAGGTGTGACGATGAGTTTGCGTCTCATCGGCCCCACGTTCGGTTTTTTGTTTGCTGGGATGTGTCTCAAGATCTACATCAGTCCCACGCTGACACCGATCGTGCAGTTGGGAGACCCTCGCTGGCTGGGGGCGTGGTGGTTGGGCTGGGTCGTTCTGGGCTCCATCATGACCTTGACGTCCTTCACGATTGCCATGTTTCCCCGTGAGCTGCCCAGTGCCGTGTTGAGAAGGAAACTGAAGGATAACATGAGAGGGAGTCAAGCCTCGCTGGCCAGAATTGGCTCACAAGTCGCGGTCTCCTCCACGGCGGAGGCAACGACAGAAAACGCAATACCAAAGTTTTCCGGTGAGTGGAAATTGGAAAATAAGGAATGATTAACACCTCAACTAATGCTTGTTCTTCTTCTGGCCTCCTCCGATGCAGAGATTCCGCACGCTGTCACTGTCCTGATGAAGAACAAGGTGAATCTCTTCAACAACTGCGCCGCTATATTTTACCTCTTCTCCGCCATCGGGTATGCAACGTATATCTCATCGCACGCATATCACTCCCTCATAAATAATTGCAACTACTCGGCATCAACAAAAACGGGACACTGCTCGCTCGATCTCTACATTCTTTATTACCAGACTTATTATGAGTTAAGCGTAATGACGACGTATAAATTGTGGCAAGAATTGACTTTGGACAACTAACGAGACAACACAACTAACGAGATTTTCCTATGCGCTCGACTTTCACAGTAGCACGACGTACTCATGCAAAATATGATGACGTGATCTGTATGAAAAATCTATATGATGGAAATATCTAATAAGTACGAATCCCTCCTATTCTAGATATTGGACCTTCATGCCGAAAGTACGATTTTGATCCATGCAATGATGACCTTCCCCACGGGCCATGACCCATGTTGTATGCATGTAGACTCACGTGCAATCAAGACCCAATTACACCAACACAACGTCAGAGGAACGCTGTAAAAATGTTCCGTTGCGTTTTGGTGGGCTGGTACGAAAGGTTGAGAACATGGGTCATGCTCGGCTGGATGGTCACCATTGCATGGGTCATGCTAACTTATCATCATGCCTTCAAAGTATCTGGAAACGGTGTTTATGCAAAATGTGGTCAACGCGTCCATCATTTCTGGTATGCACTTATCAAAGAGTGAGCGTGTGGCCAAGTGAGAATGTCCGTCCTTACCGTTCTGTTTTTTCTTCCTGGTGCGCAGGTATGATCAGTATCGCTTTCCAATCGATTGGCCTTCTCCTGAGCGGGTGGCTTATCTCCAAGTATCAACCCAGAGCGAGGTTGCTTGCCGGTAAGTCTGCATCACCATTTGCGGGTCTCCACACAGTGACAATTGTAATTTTCTTTTTCTGTGCGATCAGCAACTCGTAATGATAACCAGGTTATCATAACCTACCAAATGGTAATAACCAAATATATATAAATTAATGTCTCTACTCCAGGATGGAACGTCATCATTTCGCTCCTCTACGTCCTCGTCAAGATCTCCTTCACGCAAATGGGGTGTCACCAAGGGGCTCCGAATTTCGGGAGTCACAATGAGGAGACGGGCACCTGGAACTTGACCGTCGCATGCAACGCGGACTGCAACTGCAAGGCCAACAAGATTTCCCCCGTCTGTTGGAAGGAGAAGCAGACCATCTTCTATTCTGCTTGTCACGCGGGCTGCACCACGTTTCAGGATGGCGGCGTCTCCAACTGTTCTTGCATTGACGGTACGCACACGCATATGTAACAGGAAGCCTTAAATTGAAAGCCTATTCAGTAATGGTAAAATAATTACTTGGGTGAGCAGACCCCACGGCGATCCTAACACCCGGCACTTGCAACGAGGGATGTCTCACCATGTTCCTCATTTTCCTCGGAGTGAACGCTTTCATCAAGTTGATCGACTCTTCAGGTCGGATCGGAAACATGCTGGTCTCATACAGGTAATCAAACATGGGGTTTAAGAAGAGAACAGTAGTTTCTCGTCCACTTCACTGCTGAGCCTCTGCTTAAATAATTCAAGTGGAGTATGTGTAATAATACGGCGTTAAAAACTAATTTAGATGTGTGGAACCCAAGGACAAATCTCTGGCAATTGGGCTGAGCATTTTCCTCATCAGCGTGTTTGCCATGCTGCCGTCGCCGATCGTGTTTGGGAAACTGTTCGACTCGGTGTGCTTGGTGTGGGGGACGAAATGTGGGGCGCGGGGGAACTGCTGGTTGTACGACGGGGCGACGTTGCAGTATTGGTTCAACCTCACCGCAGCAGGTATGCATGCAACGACATGACGACGCCCATCGGAGAGTAATCCCACCTTTCTCATTACCATTTCACATCTTTTACAGCTTTCACGGGGATTGGAGCATTTTTCGACAGTCTGGTCTGGATATACGTCAAGGACCTGGATCTCTATGATGAAGATAAAAACCAACGCATCAGAGCAGAAAGTGCCAGAATTAAAGCGAATAAAAAATAAAATTTATCCTCCAATTACGTAATTATTAGTGAGTCCTAACGTTGCTCATGTAATATTTTGTAATAATAATAAAGTCCTAAATCGGAAATACTTTTGTTTTGTACTTTGGTGAATGAATGAATGAATTGCGTACACCACGTTGTGAGGTCATTTGTACAATATTAAGTACGGAGAGGATTGTTCTGAATGGCTAATATTTCAACATGAATGAAGTAAATAATGGCATGTCCTCTCCTTACGTCCGCATTTTGGCAAATAATGGGTCGTTAAAAGTAGCACATTAAATTAGTACAAAGAGAACCAAGGGTAGAATTTAACGCAAGTTATTGTTATGACTAACCGACCTACCAAATCGATTGATACTCAAGGTCTCACGGCCAACCGTCTCATTCTTCACACGTATCATACAGTAGCATTAAATTTGGCAAAAATTTAGTTAATCTATCGCGTCGAGGAGTTTTAAGAAAATTACGATCACGAAATCATACATATTCTAGAGAATAATGAACTGGTTACCACTTTTGCTGTCCTCTGTACTCTTGCTCCTCGTCGCAGCCAGCAGTGTCGTCCAGGTAAGTCAACTCCATGCAAATGACTATTCATTCTTGTAGCCACCACTGTGTGACCACGACGGGCATATTTTAGGTGAGGGCGGATGATGACGACGGGGCCATGGGGGCCAATGACATCAAATCCTGGTTCGACAAGTTCTTCAAGCCACAAAGCGCAGCGAATGCCTTCAAAGCATTTTTGAAAGAGAGCAGTAAAAAAATGGGCATGAACATCCCGGATGCTGACGAGGCGGAACAGGACAAAGGTGACGATGACAAGGCCAAGAAGGATGACGACAAGGATGACGACAAGAAAAAATCGTCGGAAGAGGTGCCCCTGCCCGCAAAGGTTTTCGTATTTTACGGCAAAACGTTTGGTTGCGCCAAATCGAAAATCTATCAAGAATTTGCCAAGAATTACAAGGCAGACTCGCTCCCCACCTCGGACGTGGAGGAGGAAGCAGATGACAAATGGTTGAGGAAGTTGACCAACAAACCAGTCGACGTGGACGACCCGAAGAAACCCTCAGGTGAGTAGCACAGTGACAGTGGGTGAGGGGGAGGGGGCACTATTTTCATGCTTGTGGTAAAATTAGAGGACTAATTTTTATGAACCATTATACGGCGACCCACAGTTGAAATTGAGGACGCAAAGAAAAAGCTGGCCAAATTGGGAAAGGATCAGATTGCCAAGCTAAACGAAGGGGAGTCGCAGATGCCGCTGGAGGGTCAAATATTTCTCCATTTCATTAAGTCCATGGGGTGCCAGGATGCCAAGTTTGAAGACTACAAGAAATTCAACGACCTGATGAAGGACCACATTGACAAGGCGAAGAAGAAGAACAAAAAGGTCACCCCTGCCTACGCTCTGGCAAAGGCCGACACCATTCTGCATGATGAATTTGAATAAAATTATTACTAAATTGGTGAACTTATTAATTCTCATCATCACGGTCAACTTTTATTCAGAAATTTTGTTAATTTGGTAATATTATGGTTTGGACTTTCTGATATTCGATTTTCTTTTTGATAGCTTTAGTGTTTGGGATGGTTTGTGCATGGAGGGTCGAGAGGGAGGGGGTGGAGATGGCAGGTTAGATGGAGGGGGTGGAGGTGGCAGTTTGGGTGGCAAACGTGGCGGGGGTAGATGTGGTGGCTCGGGCTCGGCGTGGCGTGTGGGTGGCGACGGTGGTGGTGGCTCTGGGGCTTCCTTAATTATCAGCCGTCCTTTCTCATCCACATCAATTTCGACAACTTGAGACGACGCCGTGGAGATTGTGGATGGGCGTTGGAGGGGAAGGTGGTGGTGTTTCTGGACGCTTTGGAGCGATATTTTGGGTTTGGCCCTGGCGTCCGTCTTTGTGCTGGCAACTTCTGAGTGTCTCCACGTGGATGAGGAAGCACTGGAGGGGGTCGTGCTCCTATAAGTTCAGAAAAAAAGAGCATAATGCATATTTATTAATGTGGGGGAGGTGTTGCAGCAGTTGCATGTCCGAAAATGTCAAGGTCAGATGAGAGACGCACGAGGACGACATTGAGACGGTGGACATGGTGCTAGTTGTCAGCTGGGAGGGTTTGGCATGTTCATGAACTAAATTAAAATTAGTCAGATTAGTCAAATAAACTGAAATGCATGGCTCTTCAGCGTATGCAAAGTGGCTGAACCTTCGGCGAAGGATCCAGATTTGGAGGGTGGGTGGGTTGCCTGGCGAGAACTGAAACAGCGTGGTAAGCTCCGCTGGAGCTTGGTTTTGAAGTCGTCTTGCCCCCATTCTGGGCCCCCGTCAGCATCATGCAGCAATTTGTAGCAGGCGTAGTAGCTACGGATTTTTAAGATGCAAACATTGTGCGAATCGTGATATGCTATGCATAAGCATGATTAAAATACTTTTAGCATAATAAAATCATCGACCCAAGTACCTGAACGTGACAGTGATGCCACTGAGTAGCGCTAAGCTGACCCAGCTGCCGTACAAAGTGTAGCTCAGATCTCGATATGCCAGCGGAGATTCCTTCTTCAGATCGGCAAATGTAGAATTGTGGAAACACCCCTGACACACAAATCGAGAACCTCCGCATTAAGTTCAGCATCACATTTTAACTTTATGCATGACCAGTCCCCACCCACCTTGATGTAGAAATGAAGAGTGTCGACCCTCACGTCCTCCACCAGTCGCGACTCGTTTATAAAAAATCCTCTGAAATTCCCACAGTCGACCTTCGCAAATTTAGTATTACCAACACAACACGAGTCCGGAATCCGCTCAACTCGGCCCGCCCTCCTCTTGTCTTTGGGAATATAGTCTTCAAAGCCATTGACTCCACAACAGGCCTGCGTAATCCAACAACAAGGAGCAATGTGAACATTCTGGTGACCAAATAAATATTGGCAATTGAAGTAAGTAGGATTGCCCTATTCGTGGGTATACACTGTCTTGCTGGAGTCTAGAGTAGATTCTGGGCACTCTGTTGGTGGCGTGGAAAAAGTTGGTGACATATTCCTCCATCTGGGCGTTGGTGGGGGCTTGATACCACTGGACCACGGCGGTGATGGAGAGGACAAACGAGACTGTGATGCCCGTGTAGATTAGGCCACAGCGGAAGCAGGTGAGCTGGTTTGGTGGGACAGTGAGGAAGTGGAGGATCAGAATCCCAGTGATGAGGTGAACCACGTTGGAGAAGAACATGATCAAATAGGCGTCAGCATGAGCCTTTGACACAGCTTCGTAATAGAGGGCGAGGAGGATAAAGCAGAGCGTGAATCCCAGCACGAGCAGGGTTATCAACAGGACAACAAATATCCCCTTTTGCCTCGGGTGGAAAAAATTATTCCAGAATTTGTCCCCCCAAATTGAACAGGATGTGCATTTCTTACAAAATTTTGGCCGCATTATTTTATAAATAATTAGTGTGAAAATTAAACTAATTAAACTAATTGTCGAATCCTTAAATCGAATCGTAGGTTCCGCGCCTGTTTTCGCCATTTTGCGCTGAGATTTGCTTGGAAACACATCTTTTTTACCCAGCGTGTAGACCTCTGCTGTTTTTCGAACTTATTCTTTGGGAAATAGCAAAAAATAGGAAAAAGAAGCAACGAATCTTTAAAATATTGATTGCAATTTATTTCATGAAATTATAATTCAGTCAACTTTGTTTATACCAATACGGTTGATATTTTTCGTAGTAAATATGCTTGGAAAACTTTAACAATGTAACTTACATGCACGCATTATATAAACAGAACAGTACTTTTCATCTCACTTGGCTTAAAAGTATAATTGATTAATGCACAGTATGACTAAAAGTGAATAGGCCGTCAGTCAGACACACTGACACTAAAGGACGACCCTGGAAGTCCACTCTAACTTATAACTTTTACGGAATAAATATATACTAATATGTATTTAGCTTGTATCATACAAGTTGTATGTTATAAATATTGAGCTGTCAACTATATCTGGAGGACAATAACAATCTTATTTTTAAGTTCTATGCAATGGAATGTGTATCAAATCCTACAAAATGTCCAGTAGGAGACTTCATATTAATATCGTATGTTAAATTAACCTCTCAGTTTAACAATCTGACAAAGTGACAACCATTAAACAACAGAAAGGCAAAAGGTACTATTTCTTCTTTTGGTTCTCAATATTGAATAATTATTTATCTAGACGCTATCAGTTAACAACAGAAAATGACTTAAGGGACTAGGAGAATTGCTTGAAAAACTCATCGTATCGCACTCTTGAGTGCTCTATTAAGTATTTATACATGTATTTAGTACTAAAACGTAAATCACAACGATGATTGGAATCTCTGAAAAATTGGAATACTGACTGAATCCCGTAGTAAATAATTATTTCAGCACTTTCATTATGTTATGTAGGGTCGTCGTCGTTATCGTTTTCCACTCCAGGGATGAAATGTGTGTCGTACTTGTCGAATGACCATTTTTGCTCTGATCCGCCACTGCATTTAGCCAAAGTAGGAACGTATTTATCTCCTTCTCGCTCCACGGTGAGGCACTTGTTGCTCCGTTGGCTGACTAACTCTCCAGTAGCTCGAAGCTCCCAAAGGTCATCGGAACGGAGGTGGTCACACTGAACCATCTGAACCTTTGTCCCGGTGGCAGATGCACATTCTGCCTCACGTCGCAGCTCTCCTTTGTTGCTGAGCATGAAGGTCTAGATACATGTCACGAATAAGAACAAGAAGGATAAATGTGATGATTATTTAATTATTTGCAAATTATTAAAAACAAATAACGACGAGTCTTATTTATTACCTGGCTCGGGTAGAGTTTGGAATGGCAAGGATATAGGGCAAGTTCATACTCTTCAGATTCGGAATGCTGCATATTATCAAAACACTGGTTCGTCTTTTCATTCTTCACCTGCGAAACGTGTACAAACAAAAAATTGCTGGAATATATGTATTTATGAATGTAGAGTATTGTTTACAGCCGGACTGGAAGTAAGTAAATATGCACCTGTCCGTAATCACTACTTCCAAACATCATTTGAAATTTTTCCTTGTAAATGTGGTCCAAAAACCATTTGAAGCTTTTGCATTTCAACCGTTTCCTAAAATCGTGGCGTTTAGTGACATCTCCATATTTTGCATGCTAGAAATGACATTCAAAGTTAAGTGCTGCAAAATATAACCTTTTGAAGCTTATTCTAACTTAAAGTTAAGTCTAACTCACTAAGCACATTTTTTTAAATAAAGAATCTCACCTTGAGCTCTTGCCTATGATTATAAAACAATTCTTTGTATTCGTCCATCCATACTTCGGCAAGTCGGGCCGTATTGAGACCGTGAGAGTCGACATTATTGGGAAACGAGTATGGATGAAAGTTTCTGAAAATATGACCAACTCGAGAGCACGGCACGATTTCGACACTGCCGCCGCATTGCCAGATCTACAATTAATCAGAGAGAAAATTACACTACCTGAAAAAGTAAGGGGTATTCCTTATATGGTATTGGTCTTATTACTCTGAAGGACATTTCCAAGTTTTCTCCACCCCACAACTGCATATCTGAATCGTACGAGCCAACTTCCCAAAAGTAACTTCGTTCTATGGCAAACAAGCCTCCGGCCATTGTGGGGCTCCTACGAGAGACAAACGGATGGGATCCCATTATTTTTAATTCCATAAATATAGTCAATGTTTTTTTACTTCTACTTTTACTCTAGTACCCTGGGTGGGATCTATACATGCGTATGTATTACCTTGTTGGGGAATGGTGATGTTTTTTACGCTCAGCCTCATAGTTTGGAATGTTAATCCAAGTGAAGTGTCCAGACCAGGTGAAGCCACCAATTTGAAAAAATTCCCCATTCCCTAAATGCGGTATATGTAATTACACTTATGTGTATCTGAATTCTGAACAACTCCCGACCTGTAAAATTGTTAATAGAGAAACATACCGTGATAATATTCCATTGTTTTGTCATCAATAACATCGATAATGGGACACACGACGGCTTTCCTGTCCTCCTTAATGCGAGCCAGGAGTGGTTCAGCCCTGAAAATTCAGAATACAATATAGCGTTGATGACTATTGTACATTGTAAGGTGAATAGTAAAGCAAGGTGGATAGTAAAATGCGATAATTCATCATTATGTATGCAGTCAGTCACATTCCACACACTCGCACATACCCACCGCCACCAGGCCACCACACACGAGCAGACGTTGCATTATACTCAGGGTTCGGAAAAACCCAGGGTTTTATTCAAAAAGTAACGACCCAGGGGTTTTAATGGGTTTTTTGGGTTTTATGGGTTTTATTGGGTTTTATTAGGTTTTACATAAGTAATACATTGAACAACAATTTTCACAACTATTGCAATCCAATTTCAGTTAATATGCAAATTCTCCTTGTCCATGTTAGAATTTGTATCCGTTTCGAAAGGGTCCTATTTAACTGATCATAGTTTAATACTTTATGAGACCATAATTACATATATTACCTTTTTCTCGAATACTTCCTCTCATCATAATGAAATCAAAGTTGTTTAAAGGTTTTTAAAATTTAATGTTTCAATGCGATCTTAACGTGTATTGTCAATTCTGGAAAAAATCGAGTACTTATGAACAACGAAAGCACAACGCACGTATGTATTACGATCGAGAATATAATAAGTGCTTTTTACAGATATACTATTTTGCTCATAATAAAGTACTTCGTTGTCCATAAGAACTCGATTTTTCAAGAGGTGATATTATATCACCGTGATAATTAAGATCGGTTTGAAACATTTTAAAAAACTAAATTAAAAAACACTATAGTATTTTGTTTAATTTATTCGCTGAGATGAGAGGAAGTATTCGGGAAAAAAAGTATTAATTATGATCGCAAAATGTATTAAATTATGTATGATCAGTTAAACATACCTCGTTCCCAAATTATTTTTGTGTATTTTTTGTCACTTGAAACCTGTAATGGTAAGGGATGTCCCTGATTTATTCCTGGTTTTCAAAACTTACAGTATTAATCAAATAAACTACTTAGCTGCCATCAAACAACTTCGACTAATGTATGACAGCTGTTTTCAGCTTTTAGAATATAGTTTTAAGCTAAAACGCAGTTAAAACCCATTAAAACCCAAATAAAACCCATTTAACATGGTAAAACCCGTTGGGTTTTATTCATTAACAACCCATTAAAACCCATTAGGGGCCGTCCATAAATTACGTAACGCAAGAGGGGGGGAGGGGGGGTCATGGGAAGTGCGTTACGAATTGTTATGAAGGGGGTGGGGGGTATAAAAAATTTGTTACGTAACACATTTTATAAACTGGACTAAAATTCGCCAAATATGATACGCCGAGCATATTGAATTCATGTCATCCAAAAGGTTTCAGTGTACGCATGTAGTAAATATACATTTTTCATTAGTTTTCCAGGTGTAAATTGAGAAAAGGTTGCATTACAGTGGGGAATTTTAGGGCGGAACCGGTCAAGGAAGGGGGGGGGGGGGTAACGAGTCCATCGTTCGTTCTGTTACCAAGAAATATACGAAAAAATCTAGTTTATTTTTACATAGATATGTACAACCAGATCAATTCATTTGCAAAAGTTTGCGGTCAAACTTTGACCTTAAATATCTCAAAATGGAGTAACCGAAATGATCTGGTTGTATAAGTAAAAATAAACTGGATTTTTGGCTCTATTTTGTGGTAACAGAATGAGCGATACCCCCCTTTCCTTTCATCGGTGCCGCCCCAAAATTCCGCACAATGCATTGCGAGTGCTAAGTAAATCATCTGCGGTGAAATCAAATTTATGTTACGTTACGAAGGGGGAGGGGGGGTAGTCGAGAAGCGTTACGATGCCGTTACGAGGGGGGAGGGGGGGTCTAAAAAATGACGATTTTTGCGTTACGTAATTTATGGACGGCCCCTTAAAACCCAAAAAACCCAACCCAATAAAACCCTGGGTCGGAATACCCTGATTATACTTTTTTATCCCATTCTAGTCATTTAACTCCGCAGTGACGAGGCCTGACTTCTCGTCATGTAGTAAGAAAAAAATGATATTGCCAACTCAACCAGGCAGTAGTGGCAAGTATTATGAAATGGGCGGAAATGTCATTCATTCACCATGCTCCCGCTTTTCAACACCACCCAGAATTACATTGTACGCTAAAATTTAACGAAATTCGCCTCACTTAACGGTTGCGTTGCTTACTTACCATCCTTCAATTGCTTCGCAGTGAGCATCTAAAAAGAGCAACACCTTCCCAATGGCTAAATGTGCTCCGATCATCCTGGCTCGGATAAGACCCGAACGTTTAGCCAGCCGAACGAGCCTTATCTTTGCGATGGGGAATTTTGTGGCGATATATCTTTCCAGCTTTCCCTTCAGGTCGCGATGATCACTATAATCATCAACCATAATGATTTCCTTCAAGAGGTGGGAGGGAGTCCGATTAATGACGCTGTGCAGCGTACGAACAAGACTGGTGAAGGCTTCATTCGTAAAGATGATGACGATACTCATATCCGGAAGAGAATGTGGGTAGACTTCTTCCTTGCAACTGGAATATTTCATGCACATTTACATATAGAAGATGGGGACTATTATTAGTTCATTAGAAGAAATCAAATAATAAGCTTACGCTGGCTCTCTTGTGTCCGGAGTAGAACGATTTGGCGAAATCATTTCACTCAAAAGTCGATTGAATGCTTCTTTCTTCATAATTTCTTTAGCTACGTCTTCCTGATAAGATGGCACGGCTGCCTTCTCCCCACGCTCACCAAGACCAACCTTCACTCTAGAGAGGTCATCTTTAATCTCCTACGCATAGCATCAAGGAGAAATAATCGTCAGCACATATTAGTTTTGAACAGAAGTTGTGTTTTCTTACCTCGTCATAATCGTTGTGCAGCACGAGTCGAATAGGAAGAAGATCGACCTCGCTAAACTCAAAGTCTCGAAGGACGGGAACTAGAAATTCGTCCCTGTTCTCTTTTCGTGCTTGGACCCGTAGGGAAAGAATTTGAGCCGAGATCGTGCCAGGGTGGTCGTCCCCAGTGGACGTGTCAACTACCGCCTCCGCATCGTGTTGTAATGCCAGATGGTCTGCCTCCTGGTAACCGAACCGTCCAGGAAACACGATTCGATTGCTGTTGTAATCATCACTTTTATCGGCACCATCAACACCACCACCGTTGCTGTAACTTGGCCTCTGACGACTCCAGAGAATGAAGATAATTAAACAAAGACTAAATGTGGATAGTACGAAGAAAAGTCGACGTCGGCGACGGACAAAATAGTTGCACACGTTGGTCAGCATCTACACGGACAAAGGGCAATTAAAATGATTATTTTTCGGATAATCTTACAATTTAGTTGCGAGAAGAACTCTGAAAACCAACCTGACTATTAAACTGCTACGTATCGATGGGGGAAGTTATCACAAGAGTGGTGGCAAGAGGATGAGGGGGTGTGCAGAGGGAGTGGTTGCGACCATCACCCTCACGGTCAGCTTTGTCGTGGACGAAATTGCAGACACGACATGGGCATAAAAATAAAGTGTGTTTGCAGCTGTGACAGATCAGATTCCACCTCAGCTCTCGCTACTGAATGAATAAAGTAAAGTCGTCATACGTACATGAACACAACTTTTACACCAGAAAGTGGCTCAACCACATTTCCAAATTCCAAAGTCGGGGCAAACTCGACCCACGCAGCTCATGCACAGAAGAAAACATTTCTTGAGCTTGGTTAACATCAGCCTTATCAGATCAACGACGGGAGAAAGTCGAATAATTCTGCCATTGTCATTGTCTTTGCCATACTTCCGTTTCTGCCATTTTATTGCACAATTGACCCAGGTGATGGTGAATGACAGATTACGAGCTTACTGAGGATGAGTACCGACATCTCATATGTAATTCCCACGCCCAACCGGTTTCTTATACAGTACTCGCTTCCTCCTCTTGTGAAGAATGAATGCACGATGTATTCGAGTCTCTTATTAATCTTCTCTTTATTATGTAAGGTTAAACACGACCACTATTTCCATCTTTTGAACAGACAAATCAATGAATAGTCTAAAGTCTTAAAAAGAAAAGCTCCACGTCCAGGCTGTCTCGTCCTCCGAGCGTCGTGGGGCTGCTTCTGCTCATGCTGCGATCTGGTTCAGGCGTCGGTAAGGTTGGTCTGACCATCACCTGTTGCGGACATGAACATTGCCTATACAAATTACAACAATAATTCATATATGCATAAGGTGCACCTTATCCACCGTGTGAATGATTCCATTTGAAGCGATCAGGTCACAGGTAGTGACGAGCCCATTTCCAAACACAACCTGGCCTCTTGGATCGCGGTAGACGGGAACGTTGATTTCGCCCAGGGTGGCAACCCTCTTGTACACAAAGTAGAGGCGTGTTGGCACACCAGCGCAGCAAAGCGAGTCTAACATAGCAGCAGCAACGGTCAAGTTATATTTGAAGAATTCCAAGGATTTTTATCGTGTCAATTAATTGTTACCAGAAGTGATGTGCCGCTTGAGGACACGAGCCGCCTCGTCACGATTGTTCAAAATTAATGCAAGCTGCTGCTGGGGAAGGGCTTGGAACGCGGCGTCGCTGGGGACGAACAGGGTGTGAAATGATGTTTTAGACCGCAGAGTACGGAACAATTCTTCATTTTCCTATCGTGTGTAAGGTAGTGTGTGAGGAACCAACGATATGAAGTTATCATCACGTGAGGTAGTTTACAACTTACGGAAAGGAGTCGGCTAAAAATGGAGAAATTCGAGTTTGCCTTGAGACTGGCAACAATGTCGAGGGTGAGCGAGGTCGGGGAGAGGACGCGGTCAATCGAGTGGGCCACACCTCCACATCCAACAATGTTGGTCCTCGTCAGGACAGCGCAAGATGCAGTCGTCGTCACGTCCGAGCCAAGGGGAAACTGGACAGCGGATTTTATTTCAGTGCGGGTATTGCGAGTGCATGAGTTATATTTAACTTGTCATAATTTGCATACGGAGGAGTACAGATTGATCCGAATTGACGAAACATTGGTTAGCAAAGCACTGGGGAGGAGTTCTTGGTGGGAAAAGTGACACGCTCGAATTTCCGGTGATGCGACATGATATCTGAGCACATTTCGTAGTTTCTGGAAATATGAATCACGTGTAAAAATAATTATTTAAAGTACGTAAAAAAATGTCAAACTGCTTGTCGCCCTCATCACCTCATCATTATTGCGAATCTCCGGAGACAGTGCAGCAAAAGCCGTGTCACTTGGGACGAAGAGGGTCACATTGTTGCAACCATCAAATTCTGAGATAAGCCCCAGCCTCCGAATTTCTTGTGAAAAGGAGCGGAATCCTTCCTGCTCAGAGAGAACCTCACTCATCGGCTTATCTGCACACAAACAGAGAGATGCAGGGTTATCTTTTTCTAAGGCTTATATGTATACATGTGCTAATCAGTATTGCCAGGCCATGTACCGTTGTTGGAGAGCAGAACAGCGTCAATGATGTGCACCACACCGTTCGTGGTAACAATGTCTCGGACAATGATTTGAGATCCGTTGATGAAGAGTTTGTCTCCCGGGGCGCGTTCCACGTCGAGCAGGTCGTGCTCAATCGTCCTCACCTGGCCCGTCGCGTGGATGATGCTGGCGCAGAAGGTGATGGGTACGAGATGTCGGGACAGAATCCCTGAATGTACGGACGTAAGGTTCTATTTTATTCCGAGTCGTTCATTCATAGTCATTTTATCATCATAACATTCTCACGCTTGAGACAGGAGTCTCCGTTCCGTAGTTTAATCATAAGTGCAGGCCCAACTTTGTCCAGAGCAGCGTTTGTGGGCGCAAATAAGGTCAAGTGCTGGTTCTTGTCACGAATTAGGGCGGATATTTCCTTGGAAGAGATCACCACTATGCATATAAATTACACATCAGTGGTGAAAACGTAAGCTAATGGATTGAATGCTCACGCGAGTTCCAGACTGATAGCTCGGACCGAGTGGACAGGACGTCGTAAATACTTTGGACAACCGGAGTGATAAGTTTATCCACCACGTGCAACATCCCATTCGTGCAGCGATTGTTGGAAGAGATAAGCCGAGCACAGTTTACAGTTCTCACCGTTTCTGCTCCCACTGACCACGTGTTGAGGCGCAGGACTCCACCACGTGCAGAATTCTCACCACCTCCTCCCCCACTCTTTTCACTGTAAATGACCTTCTCATCCACAAAATCGTCCGTGCTCAGCACGCCGGAGACGAAATGGTTGAGCAGCGTGTCTGCCAAAGACGTCTCAGGCTCCGAAGGCTCCAACACCATGTTGCTGTCCAGCTTTTTGACAACGAACAAATCGTCGTCATCAAAGGTGACCTCTTGTGCTGCACCCAGTTCGTCGAAGGGGACAGGATACATTTCATTGTTGTCAGTGGGACGACGTCTCACATTCCTCCCGGCTGGGACATTGTTAGGGTGACGTAGAATGTTGCGGGGGAGTCGACGTGGGTGGGGGGACGTGGAAAGCGGAAGGAAGTGGTTCGAGGAGGAACGAAGCACCGCGTCGTTGTTAGGCATGAAAATGGTGAGATTCTCCCCTCTTCCGGTCAGCCTCTCCTCCAAACCGGTGACGCTGCGGACGAGGCGGAGAAATTCCGACCCTCCGAGTTGCTCAATCGTCTCGACAATATTCTTGTGATGGCCTGAAAATTGTGCAGCTGCATGAAAATATTTTGTGATATTATTGGGCAGTGTTGTATGTCGTTGCCGCTACCTCGTGTGCACCCAGATTTGGCCGAGTCCAACGCATACCCATTGCAACACTCGTAAACGGTGCTAATAGTTTTTATGATGAGAGGTCCGTAGAGACGTGTTGTGCAAGCGTAGCGAGTGTCCAAGTTCTCGCAAGAGGAGAACTGCATGTGGAAGGCGTGCTGAATTTGATTTGATTATCCATAAAAGCTCAATTACTGTGCAACCCCATTTACATAAATGTGCGTTGGAATATCCTAGTAATTCACCTCTCTGTTGACACCTCCGCCCCTTCTCCTCGTCATGTCGGAGGACGAGGTTTGTCCGGGAATCGCTTCTCCACCTGAAGTGGAGCTCTCCTCCGTCTCTTCTCGCTTGATGCAGACGTTCGACCTGTGCAACAATGGTCAGATTATCAATATTTGCACAATAATAATTTGTCTAGAAATGTTTAAATGCGTATGCCTTCTTATTTAGTTAGTAGTAAACCTCACCCCTTCCACCACTCCTGAGGTGGATACAGCATCTGCCACCAGGGTTGTTGGTCACCAAGCTGGTTTTCGCCTATCCCTGCAGCAGAGAAACAAACAGTCGCGCCCAGTGAGCAGTGTACGAGGTCAAGAACTAAATAGCAATGTTCCGAGTTGGAGGACCTACTTGGGAGCTGGGCGTAGAGGTTGGAAAAGTCTGGGACTACCAAGTCATCATTCTCATCGTCCTGCTCCACCGCTTCCGAAGGTCGAGGTGGTGGGTGGGAGGCCCAAAGGTTGTGATAATGCTCACCCGACGTGGCCATGAGGTCCTCGTCGGGACCAAGGGCAGGAAACATTGCCTGCAAGTTGAAAATCGTCAACGGCTGGGCTCAAGGAAGACAAAACATGCACTGACAGACCTCCAAGTCGACGTGATGACGAAGTGGCGACCTGTCCTGTTCGTCTGAGGAGTCTCGAATCCGTCCCGTGATGACGCTAGAAAATAATGGAGGAATTAAACTAAACTACACTTAATTTAATTCTTAGTTTAATTCCTTAAAACTAAACTACAATTAGCAGTCGTTCGAATCTGCTGCTGACCCACCTGAACGGAGTGAACGCCTCCGAACTCTCATCACTGCTACTGTCCGACTCTCCCCCCTTGTCATTTTTCTGGTCACTGAGCCAGTTGGCCCTGACCCCCACGAAAAGGGTACACAACAAGAGAATCCAGTCTGACTTCTTCATTTTTGCTAATCCTAAGTGCTTGCCTTGTCTGTGAGCCGTCAAACGAGTGCCACGAGTAGACTTGAGAATCTCGAGATTACTCAGTCAGTAGTAGAGTTGAGTTGGTAATACGAGGTAATATTCGTATGACATGTTATTATTATGATTTTGCTCTCGTCCTGTTTTTGAGACTCTTGAGAGGAGCAAGTAGCTCGATGGGGGCTAATTAAAGTTAATCGGGATGAAGCTCATCAATGCAATTCTGCAGAGTGTCAGTCATATCGTAGTGCTAAATTAGTAAAATATTGACCAGCTACTGCGAAGATGATAACCTTTGCCTCGCATCATGCACAGCATCTCGTTTTATTTGGGTGCATCGGATCAGCCAGATTCTCCCAACTCCATTAACTGGGCTACAAATATTGTTCAACTGGACAACAATATATGCAAAAATGCTGTCTGCTCGTTACGACAATATTTTGTATGGTGGACTTTTATTTTGTACACAAATATAATTTATTAACGCTAATGAGCACGGTTAATTTGTATGGGTACAAATAAACTTTTTATTATGTAGTGAAATGTTGAAGCTAATTATTTAGTTAATTGGGATTCTTCTTGCGGATATGTACATATAAAATTGGAACACACGAATTCGCGAATGCTGAAACGGAAATATAGCAATGGATATTTATATATGCTTGGAAAAATACTGTAGTAAGTAATGCTTCAAAATACGTACGCAAGTGTGGAAATAAATAAATATGCGTGCTCATCTAAATATTTTGCTAGCATATATACGTACATTACTGCAAGATTCATAGTTATCGACCAATTTGGCTCTGTTAGTTTCAACTCAAACAAGTCTCAGTCAGTGGGTTTCCAATATTTTACTAGATCTTCAAACTTTGATTGTGTCGACAATGAAGTTAACATCGGTGGGAGCACTTGTTGTGGGATTTTGGGGCGTGTCAATAGGAATGACCGTCAGCACCACGAGAGGAATCAACTCGTCCATCACGTCTACGAGCAGAGGAGGCATTGGTGATAATCGACCGGGTCAAAGTAGCACCACGACCACGGAGAGGATGCTGCTCTTTGAACTCAAGAACGGGACAAAAATGGGCTCCATGTCACTGTTGGCGACCACGCAGATGAAGATGATGATGAGCACCAGCACGGAACGGATGAAAACGGGGTCGCCGCCAATGTCTGGTCCGAGGGGAAATTACAAGGCAGCCACTGAAGGGTCCGAGGCAGGGGTCACAGAGTCTGTACCTCGAAACGGAGGTAGAGGTTGCGCAGGGTCTCGTTTCCTCCCAAAATCCATGTCGGAGAACATCACCAAGGACTGCATCGACTTGATTGGTTTTCGAATGGAGAATTTCCCCCCAAAGGAGGAGGACTTGGTCAAGGTCAACTACGAGGACAAGGTACTCACATTTACGAACAGTGCGTTAAATGTTGAATGAATATCTGTACTCAAAATCTTATTCTCATATTCCCCTAGTGCTTCAGCAAATGCTATTTGACCGAGTTGCATTATGTAAGTCCAATATGTGAAAAGAGCTTGTAGGTAGGATTGTTAATTTCAAGTAGTTTGAACCAAAATTAATTGTGCATGCAGATGACGGAGGCTGACAACTTGGATCCCAAACGGATATTCGATGATATCAGGCAAGAGACACCTCAGGAAAAGTGGCCAGCACGCCACGATGCCATCAAGGACTGTATCAAACACACAGGTGACTTTCACATTACACATGTGCATATAATTATCTGATTCTCCCATTTGGGCTGATGTTATGATTAAATTTGGCATTATTTTGTTAATGAATGGCTGCAGAGGACATGGCGTCGGTTGAGGGTGGCGTGTCGAACTCGCCCTGTAAATATGCTCTCGTCTTCTTCGTATGTGCCCGTGAGTCGGAACGACGGGTGTGTTATGCTAACTGTTATGTTATCTTAATATTTTGTTTATTGCTGGACATATTTTTTAACAACGTGACATTTCTTGCAGATTATTTGCTGAAGGATTGACTTTACAAGCTGGCGTATATACTTATTTACGTTGTTTCATTTTTTATTAAGAATTTCCTAAATATATGTAATACATTTCCTAACCTCTGCAATCAATTTTTTGACGAAAGTCTACATTATTTCGACAGGTTTCATCAGTTTCATGAATTTCAGGTCATGAATAAAAGTCTGCATGCGCTATACATGCATACTTTCATGCAGAATTCATGAAATAGTGCTGAATTGCTGATGCTACTTAAATGGAGGCAGTATGATACTTAAATCTGAGCTAAAAAATCTCATGGTCATCCCCTCATTTCATATCAATTAAATTAATTCCGCATAATTAATGCTGATGAGTCAGCGTTGTTGGTAATAAATTGGCACCCATGAAAATGGCTTCACTTTTCTTGTGGACAACGTATCTTAAGACTTTGAGTATCTAAGTAACGTTGATTCCATCATAATCTTTGCAAATGGCGTCACTCCAAAAATCATATGACCATCCGCTGATTCAGGGTTGTCCTGAGTCGAAATTTGTAGTTGGGTAGGCACGCCGTTGTTCTTGTGCTGTGGGTGTGTCGACAAGTTGTGGGGTTGGTCACAGTCCACGACTGCAAAATAAGCTGGGAGTTGTTGCCTTGCTGAGCAACAGGTAGCAGTAGTGGCTCTCTCTCTCCCAGCCAGCCTGCTTCGTGTGCTGACTTGCATACATACGGCGAGTCAAGTTGAGTGTCAGTTTCGGTTTCAGTCACTCAGCTTGAGCAGAAGACGAAGACGAATTCACGAGAACTCTGCCATATGGACAAATCTTGTTCTCCAAGCAGCAGCAGCACCCGGCCGTAGGACAACCCACGACGACGTAGCCATCCAGGAACCCCCACCAACTAACTAGGAACTAATTAGTAAAAAATAGTCGGCACATTCCTCCATCGCCACCCCTCTCGCTCCGTCCTCCCATCCGCCAAGAAGAGAAGAACATGGACTCCTTGGCCGGGGTTGAACCACAGCTCATCATCCCCTTCATCCTCGTCGTCGGGGCTGTGCTCGTCTACATTTTTGGTATGTCGAAAACAAACTCCTCCCCCAACTGGTTCAGCACCTCCTCCTTCCAAAACCACTCCTTGAAAAGCTCTGTTAATAATTAATAATTTTTAATTTTTACCAAGGAATTGACTATTTTGTATTTTTCCACAGGCTTCAAACAAACCGACGAACCTAGTTACGAACAACTGGCTGTCCTCCAGTCCTCCAACTCCTACAAAGACAAACATCACCGGTCGGGGGCTACCAACAACCCCAAACAACAGTCAAACAAGAACTCTGCAGCCTCATCGGCGGCAACAAGTGCCAAACCAAAGACAAATGGACATCTTCCATCAAATGGGACAGTGAAGAAGGCCGCACCAGCACCAGCACCGTCTACATCGTCTGCTGGTGGAAAAACGGAAGGACATAAGAACAATGAGAACAAACCCCCCGTCGTTCAAGCCGCCAAAAAGAGTGTTAAAGATCCAGCCAACAAGCCAGAAGACTTTGAGTCTGGTAAGGAACATATTTTATTATCCAATATTCCGTGGGTTCGATTTTTGTCTTTGTCCCGGGAAACGGGAGCCAAAAAAGGTCCCGGAGGGATTTTTTTAACTGTTCCCGGTTTTCGCCCCCTGCAACTTCGGTGCATCACAAATCGAACCCACGCAGTATTCCATATTCTTATGTATTACGTGACCCATAATCTATGTAAAAGCTTGCATGATTTCTGATCGCTAATATCGATCTACAGGTGATTGGATTCCCGCTGTGTCTCGTAAAGATAAGGCCAAGAAACCCAAAGAAGCTCCAGCCAGCCCTGGGAAAAAAGCCGGCGGTAAACAGGAAACCACGACATCCTTTCTTCCCATTGATGCGACCTCTGGCAGTGGCAGCCCGGTGAAGGCTCCCAAGATCGAAGACTTGTTGGCAGAGATGAACGTTCTAAAGGAAATTGAGAAGCAGAATCACTCGACTCAAACAAGCCCAGACAAGAAAAAGATTGTTGCAGAAGAGAAGACCAAGAAGGTGCAGCCACCACCACCTGCAACAGGAGGTGGGAAGGCTAAGGTCAAAGTTGTTCCCACTGAGGCTGCCACTAAAAATGACGAAGAGGAGGTTGCTAATGAAGTCTCTGCCCCTCCGGCCGTTGTGACGGCTCAAGAAAAGAAGGCGGCAGAGGAAAAGCCAAAGAGCAACATTGCCTTTGATGAAATGAGTGGTGGTGGTGAGTAATAAGAATTATTCATGAATTTATCAACGGATTGTCAAATCAATTGATGAATTTCAGATTCGTGGGAAGAAGCCAAATCCCGTGGGGCCAAGAAACGTAGAACCCGCAAAGATTAGAACAACGATCGCCAAAAAATACGTTCCAAATACTTGGCAATACATGTACAGGCCGTGAATCAAACATCGCTAGTACTGCTTCCGTGTCGCAGCTCATTCCTCGTTCCATTAATTTAATCCATTTCTTCCCACTCCATGTGACAAAACAAAAATTGGAATAATCAGCCTAATATTAAGCGGTCGGTCAATTTGACTCTCTCTCTCTCTCACAAATATCATGTATAATATCCTTCCTTACAGCCTAATACATAACAAGTTATACTAGAGCGAATCGTCAATTAAGAATCTACTCAAATTAAGCTAACAACAACCAATCAATCATAATATTTATTGCTAATATTTATCCATTTCAACGCCTTTTGCCTTTCACACAAAGATAAAAGTCTGGACTGGAGTCATCGTGCTCTATATTTTCAATTATAAATACATTTATCAGCCAGATTATGATACCCATCCAGACGAAGGAGACGAATATTTCTGCTCGTGATTTCATTCAAACTTTTTTTGCAAAAAATGCCTAAAACTATGTCATAAATTATAAATGAGACTTTTTACTTAACCTTGTCCACTTTCGTACTCGTGCTCGTAATTACTAACCCTGTCCTTGTACTACCACATTATCTATAGAACTTCACGAATTGATACCCAGCATATTTGTGATTCGAGTCTTAACATAATAGTTGAAGTGATGACGATGACGTAATAACTCGATATGTAAATGATGCATTCCCATTAAACCCAAAGAGCAAATATTATAATTAATTCTAGATTTTGTGAAGACGAAGAATGATAACGATTTCCTCATTATCGTGTATTTACCCGAGTCATTGTCGTCGTAATTTTGTTTGATCTAGATAAGGGATAAATATATACATAGATACTCAAATTGTTATTGCCTCAACTTTGTTAATTATTTTAATTAATTGGTGCTTGATTAATTGGATTACTTGTCAAGTTACGATTGCTGTTTGTAGGATAATATTGTTTGCTAAGACTATAGTTTGGTTCCGTTATGCGTTATCTAAGTAGGCGTTCCATACCGTGAGATTCTGATAAAGAAAATCATGGAATGAGACACAACCAGAGCTCACATATCTTGTGCATTTTTGTTGTTCATACCTTAACAATGATTTCTCAATAATTAATTTGGACCAAGATGTGTGTACATAGGATTTAAGATTTATTACTCTGCGTTTATTTTTTTGACTATTTCTGGCAGATGGGTATTCTCTTCTCCGGATTATATAAATATTATTCTGTGTGTTATATATGCGTTTGTGCCATCCAATCTAAAAATTAGAGTTTTCGAGCTGATATTACGTGATGTATATAGCTTATATGACTATGTGGACGGGATATTGCTTGCTGTTTCTCTGTCTAATATTTTGCCCCATTTTTTCCTGGATTAAAATTCTCCTCAAAAAAATCCATCCAAATTTTGGTGGATGCTATGTTTGGTACAACGAATGAGGTCAAATCTTGTGAGTGCATTTTTATGTTGTTTAAGAAAATATCCCGCACTTCTGTGATACTAACCTTTGTCCTCATTACTCTCGTATCGTATATCTCTCTCTCTCTACTTTGTTGTACCGTTATCATCTCTGTCTGCAAAGTGCAAATTGCTCAGAATAGACGAACCATTGGCCAATATAAGACTTACTCAAATTAATGATTGAATTTACTGTCAATAAGGTTTCGATCTGTCGTTTTTTCGGGTCTCCTCTTGTATTTGTAAATGAATGCATTTTCTGTAGACATGATCGTTTATTGTATTTAACTATTTTTAGCTAGTTAAGAGTTATTGTTAGTTTACGTATTTAGAGGAGGCAGGCGCTAACATTTTGTTAAGTGTCACCGCTACACAGTACCTTACTCACAGGAAGTGTAGCTGGAGACAGGAAAAAGAAAGACGGGGAAAACCATTGAATGAAATTCAAGCTTAATTGCTTTGACAGCTTTGTTTGTTACTAGTTTATAAGTTTATAATTTTTAGTATAATTTAATTTAAGAAAAAACACCCACGATAATTCCCTCTCATCCAGAATACAATTACAAAAAGCCTACGAGAGATTATTTATATATTCGTGCTCCAATGTCAATTACATAACCTTACACACATTTGTACTGCGTGGTGCTAATTAAAACTGGGATCGAATGTGGGCCAGCTAAAAATACTGTCGAAAGTGATGTGACATTTATTTTCTACCACTTTTTTGGGGCCTTAAATCAAAGATGTAAAAAGAATACCAAAATTCTGATGTGGGTGATTAACGAATTGTACTAATTAAGAGTGCATGATTATTAATTAAGTGTGTGCTTGCTGGATGTTCCATTAGTCATAAGTCAATTTTATTGTAACTACATAAATACTTGAGGAACTACTTATATATTTAACGATAAAGCTGTATTTTTGGGTTCAGTGTTTCATAAAAAGTTGTAAAAACTCATGGTATGGACGTCGTATTCTTGTATTAATTAATTTGATGCTGCAGTTTTGCATCGTTCCACCGTCGTTCGAGTAATACTGAACTTGGTGAGAATGCTGTCTGTCTGCACCACGATTTTGACGAGTGATTTGTATATTGTATAAGGAGATAATCGTGTGTAAATATTAACGAGTTATTTATACATAAAGTCAGGGTTCGGGAGTAGGTTAGATTGATGAACTGATGAAATTGGGTCGAGTTGTTGTCAGCAGGTAGCTTCACACACACACTACTGCTAGCTACATAATCAAGAATAATAATATTCATCAAGACATTTTTGTTGTATGATAATAATTGTAATAATGTAATGATGCTGCGGGAGGAAAAAATAAATCAAACAATATATTATCAAATATGGGTGGGTTGTTGGGTCTCGCTCTTGAATCGCGTCACCCATGATGGTCCTGGTCATATCATTCTGGTCGTTATATCGTTGACACTCACTGCAAAACGGGCAATCGATTCGGTCGTCGCCCAAGCACCTGTCCTGGACTTACAAAGATTGTCCACAGTAGTATATGCATCTGTGTACAAATAACGTGTAAGTATTTGCACTGCTGAGGATTTTCCTGAGTTACTGTGGCACGAGAATAATAATGACACCATAGTATAGCAATACTATGGTGTCATTATTTTAACCATGTACATAAGCACACATGCAATACAGTATTGCATGTGTGCTTATGTACATGGTTAAAAGTAGGTACAGCTAAGCAGTTATAGGCATGGAGAGGTTGCAACGTTTGGCGAACTCTGATGCAATAAATTGGTGAACCGTGTTCGAAAACACCTTTTGAAGAGAGTGAGTTTGAGCATGGAGAGGCGTGCGTGATTGGGCTCACGTAGCCCGACGTGGCTTATCAGCTTTCCTCCCTGGTTGAAGGCTTTCCCTTCTCAAGTGCCATTGTTCTTCTTGTGGTCACACCGACCATTGCTCTTCTCTGCACATACCTGGAACCGGCTCCTTACCTCATCGTCATCAACGATAAGCATGAACTGTGTCCTGCTCAACAGCCGATACAGTAAAGTATTTTTGCACCTCATCAACTATCCTCCTGTGCATGCCTGTGGAACTCGCATATCGAGGAGATGTTGATAAGCACATTGACTCACTCGCCCTAATAACGACCTCTACTCGTTCCGCTACCTTACACAACTCCAACAAGTATTTAAAGAATATGCTCCACAAACTCAGCCTCACTTGTTGCTCTCGCTGTCTCCTGAGATTGATGAATTAGAAATACCCATCGTGCTTATCATGGTGCAGGAAACCACAATGTTGGAACGAGCGGTGGGTCCCACGGAGAAGGGGGCTTTGACCCACAACGGGGACAAAGGCTACTTCTTTAGAAATAAGACGCTGACAACGTCCACTTGCAACCCTTACATCAAGACCTTCAAGGCCATGGAGTACGCCGCCCGAGGCCCCGTCATCCTGAGAGCCATGCAGATCGAGGCAGAGCTACGCTCCGGAGTCAAGAAGCCTTTTCGCCAAGTTATCAAAGCCAACTTGGGGGACGCCCACGCCATGGGGCAGAAACCCCTCAGTTTCGTGAGACAGGTGTGTGTGCGTACATATTGTGTTATGGTCGAGGAATTATAATTAAAGACATTTCTTTATGAGACTTTCATAAAGAAATGTCTCTAATTTTTATTTCTCAACCATAGTTAATTGGTTGCATCTGGGGGTGGGTTGAGACGGCCAATCTCAACTTTCCGATTTTTATTTATGCGTGGCTTCTCTCACAGGTTTTGGCCTTGGTGGCGTGCCCGAACCTCCTCGAGACGACCCATTATTTCCCCGACGATGTGAAGCTGAAAGCCAGGTCAATCTTGGATCAGTGCCGAGGAGGAAGTGTGGGTGCTTACACTGACTCGCGAGGTCTGGAAGTGGTCAGAAAGTGTGTTGCAGACTACATTGAACGCAGAGACGGCATTCCGTCCGATCCGGAGAACATCGTGGTCACAGCAGGTGCTTCGGAGGGAATTCGGGTAAAGAACATTAAGAAGCTTTCTACAAAATGCTCTACGACTTAAAAAAATAAGACGTGTGAATCTCTTCTTCCAGTCTTGTCTCAAGTTGTTCAAGGGTGTTGAGGGGGAGGAGAAAAGGTCAGGGGTGCTGGTGCCAGTTCCGGAGTATCCCCTCTATTCTGCCACCCTTGGAGAGTACAATATAGCAAAGGTGCGTAATATGCATGGTACAAGTCGACTCTTTGATGGTGAGGCAAGTTGAGACATGTGTTGAGCCTCTGCAGATAAATTACTACTTGGACGAGTCGGATGGGTGGGGTTTGAGTCGGGTGGAGCTGGAACGCGCCTTGACGGAGGGGCGAAAGGTGGCCGAGCCGAGGGCGATCGTAGTCATAAATCCAGGCAACCCCACAGGCCAAGTCCTCACCAGGAGCAACATGGAGCAAGTCATCCGGTTCGCGTATGACGAGAGGCTCGTCATCTTGGCTGATGAAGTGAGTCACCATCCATTAGTGTCTGTTTCTAGGCTAAACGAGGACTAATTCCAATTGGAATGCAGGTTTACCAGGACAATGTGTACGAGGATGCCGAGTTCGTCTCGTTCAAGAAGGTTCTGAGCCAAATGCCAGCCCCCTTCAACGGGGTGGAACTCGTCTCATTCTACTCCTGCTCCAAAGGTCAGCACTTGTTTTAACCTGCTCGACTCAATGCTGTAAATTAACTTAATTAAATAAAGTGCTCCTGGTCACAGGTTTTGTCTGCGAGTGCGGTCTGCGAGGAGCATATTTCGAATGTACCAATATGGATCCCGAGGTAAAGTCCATTCTGTTGGCGACGGCAGCAGCAAAACTGTGTCCCACGGTGCTAGGCCAGGTTAGTAGCTTCAGTTTTTATTTTCTCCCAGCTCTGTAACAGAACTGGCCGTCACAAGTTAATCATCAGCAGACCCTTGAGCTCCTACTTTGGTCCAATCCTTGCTCTCGCGAATACTAAATTAATTTTTATGGCCAGGCTGCCGTTGCATGTTCCGTGGACCCACCGCGACCTGGTGACCCCTCCTACGCCGCCTTCCGCTACGAGAAGGACAACATTCTCAACGGTCTGGGAGAACGGGCTCGTCTGGTCACGGAGGTGTTCAACTCGATCCCCCTCGTGTCCTGCTCCCCAGTTCAAGGAGCGCTCTACGCCTTTCCCAACGTCCAACTCCCGCAAAGTGCAATCAACGCTGCGATAAGATTGGGACAAGAACCGGATGTCTTTTATGCATTAGAATTACTCGAAGAAACCGGAATATGTGTGGTTCCAGGGTCGGGGATTGGACAGAAAGAGGGCACCTTCCACTTCAGGTAAGTATCTAAAAAATGTTCGTCATTTGCTTATGAACTTGGAAATTTCGTTATAAAAATATTTATTTCCAACAGAACAACGATTCTCCCCGAGACGAGTCAGTTGGTGGATATGTTGGACAGATTTAAGATATTTCATCTCAATTTTATTAAAAAATATGCAACACTCGAGACATAACTGTAAAAGCTAACAAAGGATTTATGTACTTTTGTAATTAAGTGAATATTGTATTACGAATGTTGGACAAAGCAGTCTCACGTTGACTTTAGAATATTTTTTGTATATGCTCTACCATTAAGTTAATATTTATATCAATAAAGCATTAAATTATTGCTGCACACTTTCAGATAAAACGTGTCGTCGTGAAGCAATATAATTTTGATTCTTTGTCATTGATTCACGATTTAGATAGCCAATCTCATCTTGCACTGCGTATTTTGTTACGGCGACTGTCTCAACATTGTGGCAAAGTGTTTGGTCATGGGGCATCTCGAGTCTTGGCTGGACGTGGACTTGAGGATGGTCCAGTTGTCCTCACCACCGCACCACTTGTCGATAGCCTCCTCCTCCACGGAAGATAGCAGGTCGCGTCGTGTGGACAAGGAGAACAAGTGATCACGCGCCGATTCGTCCCTCAGTCCTCCAAACACGAGCTGCGCCAGAGCCCGGTCCGCCACAATCCGTCCAAGCGTCGTCCGAGCATCGTCCTCACTCCGAGCACCCTCCGTAATCAGCACTTGCTGCTTGATTTGCCTATGATAAGGGGAACAGTTTGATTGATTTACTAAACGAGCTCCTGGTTGGACTTGTACTCACCGAAAGTCCATCACTTTGCGGAACATTTGGAGCCGGATGTTGTAGAGTGAGACGGGCCAGACGGTGGGGATGAGAACGTACACTGAAAATTAAATTTGCAACCGTTCATTTGAATTCGCGAAAAAATTAGGGCACGTTTTAGGTACCTTTCCGCCACTCTTCCTCCCCCATCTCCTTTTTCAACTGGCGGAGGGCTGGGATGGTGGCTGATACGTGCGCTTTAGCCGCGATTTGCATGCTCTTGTCAATCCAGGGGGCCATCTCAGTGGCAAACGTGTGGAACTTTGTGTGCGTGACGGAATTGTGTTTGAGACATGAGGCAATGAACATGGTCACCATGCTGAGGAGTTTTTTGGCGTGGTCGGCCTCCTTTTGAGGGAGGTTGCTGGATGGGAGGGCATACAAGGCCTTGTTCACTTCGGTGTCGAGAGTCTTGAGACTATTTTGCCAGTTCTGAGAATTTGGGGAACGAAAGTATGGCGCAACTATGGCGAAAACGCCCAAAACCATGTGGCTGAGGCATTTGTGAAGCTCAAAATCCGAGCTGACAGGCACTATTCGCTGAAGAAATAGTACAATAATGTGTCAAATATGACTCATTTGCATACTGCACACCACTAGTTAATGTGCACACCTTCATCGTCCCATTTCTGAAGTAGACCTTGTAGGCTCCTCCAACCCCGGCCAGCTCGGGAGTGTCGTTGTCCGTCGCCACAATCAGGGGGAAGATATTCTGCCCCGTGTTCTGGATGAGAGTGAGGTAGTTCTGCCGCATGTTGAGGTGAATGTCCTTGACGGAGAGGTGGAAGTTTCTCGCTGGAGAGCCACGATAAGCCACAGCATCGATGAACACGTCCAATTCCTCCGTGAGAGCCGAAATGGTTTCCTCGTAGCAAGTCTTGGACGCATCAGTGTCCAAGTTCTGCTTGAGACAGGTGTAGTTGGACACGGCGTCACTCTCGTCAGCACAACCGCCACGGGCAGAGTTGAACCGTTGTCCGCCGGAACAGATGTACGACGCCGTGTCAAAGGAGTTACTGGAAGGGTTAAAAGTGCAGCGGTAGTAGATGCGAGGGTCGTCTGGGTCCCCAACCAAACCGTCCTTCCTGCAGGGACCGTTATCTCCAACCGTGTTTGATGTGGATGCAATATTTCCTGACAGCAAGACGACGAGGGTTTCCACCTGTGTCGTGGGAAAATCCCGTTAAATGTGCGCACAAAGATATTTTCACAAACGCTCTTACCGTGACTAATATGAATAAATTACTGTGGCGCAACATCATGCAAGTTTGGTTCGACTGAATTAAAAAAAACTGCAGCACAAGGGTTGACACTGATTTGCTCTACAACCTTGAACCACTTCTAACGTCGGCTTTGTTCTGTTCATCCGTTTACACTTGCCAGTGACTTATATCAACGTTCACCTTTGGCTTCGTGGAGGTATGCATTTCGTGGAAATCGGTTTCATAAACTAATCATGGTCGACGAAGGAAATGTTTATGCAGGGACACAGATGTGTTCCTTTCATCTCACCCATGCCCATTTGCCACTTGACGTCACCTTCCAATTCTGTGTTATTATTATTATTATATCCGCTGCAAATTCGTTAATTCGCTTGCTTCATGACCCATTACAAATTCGGAGCTGGTGCATCAAATCCAGCCAAAGTTATTGGTTACATATTCGTTGTTATTTAATAAAGCATGCAAATACTTTCATTGCATGCATACAAATTGTTGTTCTTACATCTGTAAGCTTTTCAGCCGTCCGTCTGTTAAATTCCATTAAACATATCAAATTATGCTGTAATGTGGTGAGGACAATGAGAACGTGCTCATTATTGGTGCTGTACTCATTTGCATGGAACATTGGCAAATTCCAAGAAATATTTAAATGCTAAATTGGGATCATGTCATGTGATGAAAAACACTAATGTACGTACGGATATCGTGTCGTTTGGTATGGGATTGAGTGAATTGATTGAGTGAGCGAACTCGCTCGGTCGGACCACGTAGAACGCTCACAATTTCTCTCTTTATTCACTCTTCATTTAAATAATTGGGACGATACAAAGAGACGTGATTGATGGAAATAAAACAAATTTGAAGAACTATGCAGCTTCTAGCGCCTGTGGAGGTTGATGTCGGAAGCGGAGTAGCGGCCTTGGCCGACCCCGGAGGAGGAATCCGAGAATCCGATACGGTCCTCCTCGTCCTTCTTCGCCAGTCGCTGCGCCTGAGACGGAAATTAGAAACAAGTTGTAGAATTTAAATATGAAATACTAATAAAATTTCCCAGATGATATATAAAAGTGAATTTGTATACCTTGAGACGGTCCGCTCGTCCTATGACCTCCTCCAGAACGCCGTGATGTCGTAACAAGACGTCCACCATGTCATCCCCGAACAGCACTCCCACCTCCGTCTCCAGGCGGGCCACGTAGGAGAATTGGAACTGTTCCTTGATTGGGAGCAGCACTTTCACCTGCGACGGTGGGACAAGAGATTAGTATATTCGCACCTCGGCGATAATGGTAACCCTCAAAATGGTTCCGATGATGACGCGCTGATTTTTGTTACCTCTCCGAAGCACTCGTTCTCATAGAGGACATCGACGCAGAGCTCCATGTTCGCCTTCTCGTCCAAAATCACCACCTCGCCCTTCTTGATAAAGTAGACGGCGGTGCACACGGCCCCTGCGCGAATGATGTGCGCACCTGGCATGAATATTTCGTGATGGACGCGGACACTCAGTTGGCGAATTATTATGTCATCCAAACGACCCAGAATCCGAGACTAAACACAATGCACACATATGCGTATCATACTTTCTCAATTGTCTACATAAGCACTTTGGAACTGGTTAGTTGTACATATTTACATTTTTAATGTTGAGACCATAAACTTTCATGGTGATGTCAGCCCGAAGTGCGTAGGGCAACTCGGCTAATATTTGAGTGTATGGGTTCCCATTACAGCGAAGCCAAAGGAGGCGGAAGTAGCTGCGAACACTGTTCAGTTTGGGATAACTGAGTCCCAGAGCGAGAAAGTGGTGCTGGTCAAAATTATTAGGCCAAGTTACTTCCAATACCCATAATTTCATAATTGAGTGGTTTCTAGATATCCTCGCTGGGTGATACCTCCATGACGTTGAGTTTGTGTCGGAAATGGATCTTGGTCTTGACCTGGGCTGCGAGCCACTGGGTCATCTCGCCCACGAGGAAGCCAATGATGAACACGGTGGTGAAAATCATGGTGATTGTGGAGCAGAGTTCCACCTTCGTGCGAGGAGTGATGTCGGACAGCCCAGTGAAGGTGATGGCTGTGGTGACGTAGTAGAGGGAGAGGAGGTAGCGAGACCCGATCGTGATTTCCGACCCATTTCTGATCTCTGATACCATAAAATCAGTTTCCCACTTTTATTTAACAAGCTGTAGAATTACTTGTGGGTGACTCACTCTTGTTGTTGATCATTTCCTTGATGAAAATGCTCATCCATGAGCCGCGACGACAGTCTAACCCATCACAAGCGACCAGATACCAGGCACAGGCGCAGAAGTGAAAGATGAAACAGAGTAGAATGGTAACCTGCATAATAATTAATAAACAGCATCGACACTTAGGCAATTGCTACTCATTGTCGGTGACTCTATGAATCTTGTGATCAAAATTAGTCAAGTGATCTTCTACCTTGACAATCTTAACTCGTGACATTCTCATCCGCAAGTTCGTCTCGGTCTCCTTGAGGTACCGTGCAAAGAGGAACTGAAAATCCGTTTGGGAGTTGTTAGGCTCCGCAGACTTGGTGACATGCGAGTGCAGGCAGATTTAGGTACATACCACTCTCAACAACTGAAGGCCTCGTATGTCCGCCGCAACCTCGGCGTCCTTCCCCGCCTGTCCCCGGAGGAGGTAGGATATGAGGTAGAAGGGGAAGGTGGTCACCAGGTCCAGGAAAAAACCACTGGGGCTGCAGATGTAGCTGTCACCAGTTCAAATTGCGCAATTAGAACCACACGTTCACTCACGACGCGACCTTTTCAAATTTACCGCTTGATGACTTTCACGCTGTCCGAAACGACGGTCCCATACGGGTCGTAGTAGCCGAGGTGAAAGTTTCCGAATATTCTCACCACGAAAAAGATTTCCATGCAGATACGCAGGGTGAGCAGGTTCGTGGCCTCTGTCGGGGTGTGGAATGCAATTTCGTAGGCTGTGAGATTGAAAAGCGGAATTGCATTATTTAGCCAGCGGGTAAAATGGTGTCACTGCTCACCTGTCAGCCCACACGAGAGGGACGTGACGAAGAGATAGAACGAGACCCAGGTGCAGACGGGGGAGAGGGGATGAAACACAATCCCATACCATTTCGCCTTTCTCCGCCTACACAATTCATTCATTTGCACGGAATCATATCGATAAGCGCGCCCAACCAGCCTCAATTCTAGTCAAGTAAATAAATATGCATACAGCTGCTCAGAAACTTACTCTTGCAAAATATGAATCAGCCCCATCTCGTCTCGCGGAACCTTCCCGAAGGAGACGAAATACGAAGTCCAATGTTTCGTATCCGCTCCGTGACTCGTGGCACCTTTTGCTCCACGACCTCCTTTTCTTTCGTGCTCCAGGGACGTGGCGGGGAGTCGGAGCGGGTCGTAGATGAACTCTGGATCTCTCTCACACTCCTCCACAGCCATCTGAGAAAGAATATCGTCGAATGTGTAGTCCGCCATGATCACTAATGAACTATATAGTAAGCTTTTGAATCATACCTCCATCGCCGATCCAAAGTCCATCTCCACCACCGCCAAATTCTTTGTGCCTTCCATTTCGAGCGTCATGTCTGTAATGTCGTCATCGTCTGCCTCTGACTTTTGTCCCGTCGTGACACTTCTGCTTCCTTCCGAAGCATAATCGCGCAAACGCTCCTCCAATCCAGCAGTGCCAACGTTGTCACTCCGAAGGGCAGCCTCGTCGTTCTTGTCGTCCAGGGGACTCATGAGGACGCGAACGCCGGCAGACTTCGCGGCAGCCTCCATCGTCTCCTTGTAGTGGCGGATGCAAGACTCCTCCAGCGTCGTTTTCAGGTTTGGATAAAGACTCAGGAAGTCCAGGAAATCCTCCTTTCGAAACATGTAAACCTCGCAGTCCGTCGCAGCCACGGACGTGTATTGTCGTTGAACTTCAAAGAGGCAGGAAATCTCGCCAATCAAGCTGTAGAAATAAGTTTTTTAATCAAGGTTTGATTACTTATCAAGAGAATGGCCAGAGGGAGATTAATTGATAAAATTGATTCTGGTACAAATCAGGCACCTTCCAGTTCCCACGTAGGACATGATGTCGCCCCGCTCCGTGTACGTGGCAATGAGACCTTTAGCAATGAAATAAACGTCCCCACTGAGGTCACCATACTCGAAAAGGAACTCGCCCTCCGGGTAAAACACTTCTTGTAACTTGGAACACAAAATCCGAATTCCGGGTTCATCCGTGGACAAAAATATGGGAGACTGCAAGAAAATAGTTGTCACAGTTCATCGTCATACACAATTTGAGTTCGGTTAGGTCACCAATTTGAGTCGTTCTTGGTACAGTGACTTCATGACGTCCGACTTGAGGCTGGGATGAAGGGCAGAGAAGAGATCCTTGGGGAAAATGCCCTTCGTCTTGTCCCACGCCCCGAAATAATACTCCTTCGCTCGTCTAAAGTCCAAACGAGAACATTGTTACATATTACACATGCACCTGCGCAGGCTGCATTATCAGCAGGGGGAAATGGGCAACTATTATTTTAAAAAGTGGTGATTGCTGCACAGCCGGATTGACGCAGCTCACCGACACAATTCCTTTGGAACCCCAAACTGCTCCAGGAAACGGAACAAGACTTTGGTCTTTTCTCGAATCAGGATCCGCCTCGAATCTTCCCCCACGAGGCACGCCGTGAGCTTGGAGACTAGAAACCCAGTGACAAGAACGCCCATGTAGATCACCGTGATGGCAATTTTCCTGTTCGTCTCATGACCGTGAGCCCCAATGTCGCCAAAACCGACACAGAGCGCAGAGGAGATGACCCAGTAGAAGCCAATGATGTAGGAGATGACGGGATCCTCCATCACCGAGCTGTTCGAGACGGGGGCATCCTTGTAAATCTCCCCGTTCGTGATCCACGCCCACTTCTCGCATCGGATCGGCTCCCCATTCAGCGACGTTCCACACACGGAGAGGACCGCGAGACACGTCGTCACGTTGAGGAAGAAGGACATGAGTGGCACAACTTGAAGCAGTCTGTTAATTCATAGGCAGATATATTCTAATTATTCTAATTATTATGAATATATGAATAAGTAGCGGCCAATTAATGCTGGTGGGACGCACATGAGGAATGAGAGGCTCTTGAAGATGGACTTCTTCATGAGGTTCCCACTCACAAAGAGTCGGTAGCACTGGAGCATTCGGTTAAGTCGAAGGCAGCTGATGACATGATATTTATTGGCGAAGGTGCGCCCAGCCCCGAACATTGAGATTTGTGGGGTGAAGATGATGAGGAAGAGGTCGAGGGGGAGGCAGCCGAGGAAATCCAGCACGAAGGGGCCTCGCATGTAGTGCAGAGCAGTCTTGGTCCAGCTAGTGATGAGCTGATTGCTGGGACCGTAGTAGGCGACGCGGGAACAGATGAACAAATCCACCCACGCCACAATGTCAAAAAACAGAATGAACCCAAAGGCGAATGCGGGATCCACCGAGAATGAGACTTGAATTGGAACAAAGTTTCCAACCAGAAATGCACAGAAGACGCGGAGAATGGTCCAAATCCAGAGGAATTTCCCGTGTGGAATGATGGATTTGAGAAATGCAGTTTGAAGAAAGGTGTAGAATCGGTGTGTTTTTGTGACAACGTGTAACGACGCTACTGCTTCTTCTTCATGTGGCAATTGTGCTGCTGGTTCTAAAGTATCCATATTGACGACATTCTCCTGCGGAGGGGCTTGGGATCTGGAGTTGGATGAGGCGTCGGTGCTGGAGGCAGTGCCCAGACTGGAGGAGGGTGTCGTGGTGGGAGGGTGACGCTGCTCATCGCCGCGATGTCGAAGTGGGGGGAACTGAGGAAAGACTTCCCACTCTTCGGGACTGATGGTGAGTTCGATGCCGCGGGGAAGGGTGGCATCTCCACGAAGGAGTTTGAAGTCCAAGAGGAATTTCGTGTAACGTTTCGTAATCTCGACGAAGCTGTTGAACTCGAGGCAGAATACTTGGCAAAAGTTGACCGTGGTGATGCAAAATGATCTATTCGTGCCATAGATGAGACCGTTGAGGCCAAAGTAGTTTCCCTCGCCCAGTTTTCCAAACTCGTGACCGTCCTGCGTCACCTAATTGATTGACGTTTAATTAATTAATTGACGATAATTAAGTACTCTCGTCATCAACCACAAGGGCGTTGCAGTAAATACAAAGTTATGAAGGGATAATTGGTGGGAGACGCACCTTGCAAAAGCCCTTGACGATGATATAGAGCTCCCGTGTGGGGTCACTTGGGTATTGAAGGACCTCTCCGGGCGGGACAATGTATTGCCGGAGGGACGCGCACACCTCAATGATCAAGGCCTCTGGACAGTGCTGTGCAGTGTCAGAAATTTAACTCGAAATCAGGAGTAGGAATACGTAAACAATCGCGTATTCATATTTAATGAACAGTGGATGTGCATACCATGAATAATGGAATCCTTTCCACATACTTTTGTGCTTGAGCAAAGGCCACGCTTTGGAACAGAGTTTTGGGAGCGTCCCAAATGGCAGACTTATCGCTGGGGATGAGAACACCCTCGTGCTGCTGCCATTGAACGGTGTAATAGTTTCGAACCCGGTCGCTCACGTCCCGGACAAACCTCCGTTCTCGCATGAAGGAGACGAGGCAGTAAAACATCTGCTTGAAGGAAACCCTAAGTTCGCACACGCGCAAGCAAGCAAACGTCACAATTCAATTAGTATGCAACAAGGATTTTACCCACAAAAGGGGAACTCGTTTGAGATTAATGGAAGAGTCACCTTCTCCTCTCAGAGTTGGCCATGATCGCTGCAAGCCTCGCGTTGAGGTAGACAATCATGGAGGCTCCAAAGACGAGACCAATGACGGTAGTTGCAATCTCATAGTCATCCCTGAGAGGAAAGTCCCCGAATCCTGTTCCTGTCAGAATCTGGCACGCCCAGTAGTACACAAACTCGTAGAAACGCTTCGGAGCATAGTCTAGAACTGGGATTGGTTCTCCATTCGGTGCTGGCGACCAGTGCTTAATCATCACTTCGAAGCAGATGGCGAAAGCATGGATGGCGTAGAAGAGCCAGACTGCGCCATGGAAGATGAACAGAAATTCGGGTGGGATGCGGGTGTCCGTATCAAACAGATGGAAAAATTTCATGACCTGGCATGGACAAAGGCAAAAAAAACAAACAATTTAATTAGTGAGCTGGGTTCAACTTGCAATAACGTGACTAAAATCTTAAGGGATTGCCTCTAAGAATTGGAGGAGTCTGTTAAACTTGAGGAGGTAGAAGAGATAATTGGTCCGGTTTAAGGACATCATGGGCCCAAGAACATATTCCAGGGGAAGGAAGGAAAAAATGCGGATGTAAAAATACCAAGTTTTCATTTTGTGGGCCACAATTTCTCTCCGAACCTCGAGAGTTTCTGGTACGAAGGAAACAAAGAAACGAAATTTTCAGTTGACCAATAAATCCAAATATAGGAGGTAGTAGGTAATTGCAGATTGGTACCGACTGTGGGCAAGAACGACGGGTTGCAGCGTGTCCAGAATGAAATCGACGAGAAAAACGGCGTCAAAAATGTGCGACACATAGTCCAAGTAGTCATGATTATGGTTGGTGAAAGCAAACCGGTACGGATAGTACCACGCAACCCACAGGATGCAGACAAAGACGAACGACTTCCATAACTTCCAGGCTTCACTCCTCCTCGACCCCGTGGGGACAAATAACTTGGGCATCATGGAGAAAGAGAAGACTTTTTGAGCGTGGTGCTCTGCGGGTTAGAAAAAATTAAGGAAAATATAGGTGAAACTCTACTGCTGAAAATAACGAGGGGTGAGTTTCAAATTTATTACCATGGGCTGGAGACGAGTTGTGATGCAAGGCTTCCTGCTGGGCCTTGCACGCAGTGGGGGCTTTAACCACGAGTGGGGGACGTGCAATGTTGAGATCTTTTGCCAGTGAGGTTGCTCTCGCGACGTCGGCCTCGATGGCCAAGGAAATGTGAGCCATCACTTCGTACATCGTCATCCGCCGCTCCTCCACACTGCCGCCCCCAGAGTTCATGGACGCCAACCGTAGCTTCATGTCTGCGTCTAGCTCTAACCCATCAAAGTCACCTGCACGGGAAAATAGAAGCAATGTTGAGCTTACCTTTTTCATGTTGCATTTTCCATCGTTCAGAGTTCACTTACTGAATTTGTCGGACCCACCCGACTGACGATTGTCACCATAAGCGGTGGTGTTGTCAAGAACGGTGGAGATCATGTCGTAACTGCGTTGAAAGTAGGACTCCTTCCCACCCACGGACCCAGCTGTTTCACGGCGAAAACGTTGGAGGTACTTGTACGCCTTGCTGTACTCGTTGTGCTTGTCGCAAAGGGCGAGGAGGAGACCAGACTGTTCCAAACAACTCTGCACAAAGGACAATATGCTAATTGGTGCAAACCACGTAATTTTTTTCAACTGTTTACTATCCTCACATCAACGCGCTTCTGCAAGGTGGTCTTGTACTCGGGATACATTTGCAGCACTGTTTTGCAATCTTCCTTCCGCAAAACCATAATGTCGCACTCCGATCCGCACCGCACCGTTGCAACGACAGGGTAGGATTGGAGCAGGAACAACTCTCCGATGGCGGACCCACTGCGAATCTCTGCAATCACTTGGGTTTCATCTTCGTGCATGATCTGGGGGCATCAAATGAGTTTGTGAATCTCGTGATAAATAAATAGTCGAGTTGAGCATAAATATGTAGCTCACATCCAAATGCCCATTGATGACGTAGTACATTGCGCTTCCATTCTGACCTCTCCGCTGCAGCACTTCCCCCCTAAGAAAAAAGTTGTGCTTCATCTTCACGCTGAGGTTCATGAGGAATGCGTCGTCCAGGTTGGAGAGGAGTGGGAGCTGATGGAGCGAGATTTTAAGGAGTATTTCAAGGAGGGATCGCATTTGATTGGCTCACCTGATCCAGGACAAACTTGTTGACGTCGTAATAAATCTCTGCCTTCATGGTGAGTGGCATTTGCTCGACCAGGTCCCAGTTGTGAATCCCTCTGCTCCGTGTCCACAGGTAGTCGTAGAAGCGGTTCACATTGTGCCGAACTTCCGAGGTCACGTGACTAAAGTCCTAAAGTCGAGCAAGGCAACCTTATGAGTAATCTTGTCCTAAATATGCATGCCTTATACACGTGAGCACCAGATATCGCTCAATGGCGAACCGTCGGGTGAGAAATTTTTCCTTTTCCGTGTCCATTTCCACCAGGATGGAAGTCAAGGAGCCGGCGATGTAGGCAATGACAAAGATCCACGCCAGGATTTGGGCGACTGCAGTGAAAGCGATTTCCCATTCGGACGTGAGAGAGGCACGAATGTCGCCCGCTCTATTCTCGATAAGACAACAATGCGTATTAATTATGCGAGCTATGTACTGACATTAGTTTTCCGTACCCCATTCTAAATATGGTGACCACGGCCCAGTACACAGACACAAAATAGTGCTCCACCAGCACATGCCAACCATGTCGCAGGAGGGGAGAGTTCCAGTTGTATGTGTTCTTGTCCTGAAGCAGTTTAGTGATCCAGGAGCCCTCAATACAAACGTCCGCTGTGGCCTGCGAGGGACGCATTTTGAAGTGGGACATGGTGAAGGGCTATCGAACGGGTAATCATCATTTCATTTGCATTTATTTGGTGTGGTTGGGGCAAGTGCGCAGAGTCATATCATAAATTGGACTTATCTTTACCTCACAAGCAATCCGATGCCAGCAGCAGGCCAACAAGTGGATGAAAAAAAGACCATAGACGAGCGTCCGGATGACAAACATTTTGAGGTCGCCTTAATTGAGAGAATATTCATCATAATCACACCAGAAATATTAACGTGGACAAAATTAACCCTTGTCGATACTACAGTTAAATTAATGTTGGCCCACTGTAAGCAAGCTGGTCCTCCCACTTGGCAAAGTAGAGAAAGACGTTGCGCAGGCGGAAGACATAAAGCAGTCTGGAGACGGTGATCCACGGAGTCACGGGATTCGTGACATCAGCATCGTTGTCGTTCAGAATATGTATCACGAGGATGACGATGTCTATCGGGATGACGCCCAGGAGGGAGAAGAGCGTGTCGCTGGAATTGAACCCTTGTTTCGTCTTGGCATACTTGGCCTTCACGAGGATCTCCAACCACGCACCAAACACGCAGAAGGTGTAGACAAAGTTGTTGCAGTGGATCACACCCCACAGGATTCGGGATTCCAGGAGAAAACCTACGAATAGTGATGATCATGCAGACGTCACCCTTGTACATATTTGGTTGACACACTGTGCCGTGCAAAAGAATAAGCGGATCAGGAATGCTTGTACCTTCCGAGAAGAGGAGGAGGAGGATGGAGAATATGGACGAAAAGACAAAGACAAATTCACAAAATGGTCTCTCCAACAAAACCAAAACCGCTGGATACTTGACCTCTTGAACCACCTGGGTCTTGAAGAGATCGCCCTGACTGGGCTCCCAGACGCTCTTGGTCTGGAACCAGGGGAGACAACGTTGGAGGAGGCGGAGCGTTAGGCACTTTTGATCGCCACCCTCAGAGTCCACGTCGTCGTCATCAAGACCTCCATTGACCTGGTCACCCTCATTGTCACCCGTCGTTTTATCGTCCGAGGAGAAGAAGCGAGACTCGGCGGGCTGTTCATCCATTTCCAGGTTAAGCGACATGGCTGATTGTTAGTTGTCGAAACAACTACTCGGTTTAGTTGAATTAACTTGTCGAAACTTTTTTGTTCCCAAAATTTGGGTGATTTGAAATCTAATTTCTAAATTGCTTTAGCATTCTTTGCATGAAGTACATATCGGACAAGATTTTTTTGACACTTTATCAGTCTATAAGGGAGAAGCGTTACCTAGATACTTAAAGTCAAGCAATCGTGCTTTTGGAACCAATGTGCGCCGCACAAACTGTCGCCCAGAAACATACCGCACAAAAATTGTCAGCACTCACATTACGCTTAATGGATACACATGTATTATTTATTTCTTATTCATTTGCACGCTTTATAAAATTCTTCCAGGATAAAAACTGGGACAAGGAAAATGCTAATGATTTCTCAGTCCGCAAATCCAACAGAAACAAGAACAATTTTACAATAATAAATCAATGAATGGTAATACTAGGACTAGAAACAAAACTACGTGATGAATAGCGATCTCTCTCAGACCTATTGTACTCACTGCTTATGGCAGTTGAATAAATTTCGCTCTACCTGGAATGTATTTATTTTTGTTTGAAACTACTACAGAAATTAGTTTACTAACTGTACTTATCACAAAATGATAAATTGATTGATTTTTTTCTGATCAAAGTTTGCATAGCTGACAAACACAAACTCTGATGCTAAAGTCCTCATAGTTGCGTGTGGAATAGTTTGTAGGGAGGAAGGAGAATTGTTGATATTCATCTTACAAGATTGGAATGTAATTGTCAATCTTGGCACGATGTCGTTGTGCGACACATTCTGCGATCCAGACGACATTTCGGCATTCCTGCTCTTTCAGTTTCAGATACGAATAAAAGACGCCGAAATGAAATTGTCTCAGGAAGGCGTGGACATTGAGTTTGACCTGTGCAAAATAAGGGTTTGTCACTAAGAAATAGCTACAAGATATAGAAATTTAACTGACGATTGCATTTCACCAATTGCCAACCTCATATTCAAAGAATCTGTCCTCTAGTGTCTTTTCTTCAGTGTTTTGTCCCGCATTAGCAAATAACACTTGATATTCTGCATAGTATTCTGCCACGCTTCGCACCTTTGTAACCAAAAAGAATTATTAGTAATAGGTTAGGAATTATTAGTAATAATTTTTTGGGTTCTGATTATCAAAGTTTGATAAGGCTGCAAAGGTGTACCTGCTCATAATCATCAGCTCTGGCCAGTGCTGCCAATCCATCGGGATGCAGTTTTCCACAACGTGGGAAAAGTCGGGCTCGGTCCTCCTTCGACAACTCAGTATCAAAGGAATTAATAGTAATGATCAGAGCACGACGATCTGCTTCAAAAGCTAATATTTCGCACATGACATCCGCAGTTTCTCCACCCAGCTCCTTGCAAAAGTCATAAAATGACTCGAGATACGCCTTGTACAGAGTATTTCGAATCAACTCTGTGTTCATTTCATCCAAATCTGCTTCACTAATGCAGTCCTGGAAGAATGGTGCCAGTGGAGTGCTGCATAGATAAAATAAAAGCTTTCTTAGACGATCGAAGTCTTGGTTTGGTACATTAAAGTAAAGGAGTTAACTTCATTATTCAACTCTTGTCCATAGATCATAGTGAACTCGATAGAAATTAAATTTTACTAATACTTACTCCACGAGAACTGCATTGTACAACTCGGCTGGTGTAGTTGCGATATGAATCGCCTCCATTTGCTCAAAAGATCCCAATGGATGACATTTCGGGAGAAGTTCTTGCAATGGGCGCTGGTGTAAGGAGCCAGTTATCAGCAGAACGATGTTATCAATCATGTACGAATACCTGTAGCATAATGACACAACAACAATTATTGCTAGTTCTATAAATATCTACAATGGAACATAATGGTTGGTGGACAAAAGCCTACGTAATGTAATCAAGAAAAGTAGAAAGTGGTTCCACGGCGCAGTTCCTCATATGTTGAAATTCGTGAACGACTTTCTCCCTTAGTTTTTCATCCAAGGTGGACACAGCAATCGGGCTGGGCTCGTTTGCCAAAAAGTTGCCGTAATCAGTTCCGGCGAGATGTAGTTTCAGATCTAAATATTCCATTCATTAACATTTATAGACCAATATTATTTATAGCGAGTTTAATTAAAACAACCAACTAACCTTCCAAGGTTTCACACTGAACCAGATTGAGATAATCGTTTTGGGTTAAAATGCCAGTCTTGAATCCACGACAAAGACCTTCCAAGTAACCATTGTCAATGTTAAACATGCACCCCTTCATTTTCAAGTCGAATAGGTTTTGAAATAAATATTTTAAGAAATATGGGTGTTGTTTTGCTTATTAGCAAGGTGGTGGTGGAAGGGCGATGAGTTATTCAAGCAGCAGCAGCAGCTGAAAACATGAGACCCACCCAGATACCAACCTGCCCCGAATATTGTGAGCATATTTAGCAAGCTTCAGTCTGATAGCTAGCAACCTTCATGACCAAAATAGTATGACCAGAGTGAGTAGGTGTGATTTTCCTAAATAATTAGACTTTCTTAAGAAAACTTATTTATTTGTAGGCATAGTTTGCTGGAATAAATTATAGACGAGATGGTTGACCACCCGCTGCGACGTAATTTTCTCCAGTGACATACGATGCATCGTCCGACACAAGAAACGAGACAAGTCCTGCAATCTCATGAGGCTCTCCAAATCTCCCGAGTGGAATCATTTCCAGCATTTTTTCGTTTACACCATCAGTGTCCGTTATCTGTGTGCATAAAAAGGAATCATATCCTTATGCACCATATAATGATGATGCCAACGAACTTACTGCGGAACTAAACCTAGTTTTGATAATTCCTGGAGCGACACAATTAACACGAATATTTTCAGGTCCCAGTTCTTGCGCCATGATTTTCGTAAGTCCCAGTAGGGCTGTTTTACTCACTGAATATGGACCCAAGACCTGTTTGTGTAGATGGAAGGTTGTGGAAATGATACTTATATAAATATAGAGAAATGTTCTGATGTAGGGTTGAAATACCGAAAAGGGTTGAAAGCCAGCAATTGAAGAGACATAGACAATGTTGGACCCCTTTCTTCCCATTAAATGAGGCTTGACTTCCTTGGTAAGAAGAAATGCAGCCTTCACATTTATTTCAAATATCTTGTCCCAGGCATCCTCGGGACACTGCACAATGTAAACTATGCATGTATATACGTCTCTTCAAATACGAGTTAGTCTCTCACAATGTCCACAAATTAGTTGAATGAAATCATACGTCAAGAGCCGACCCCATTACAGGATTTGTTGCAGCATTAGATACAAGAATGTCAATTCCTCCAAAATCCTGAATAGTTTGACTGATGAGTTTTGTTCGATCTTCTTTACTTCCAACATGACAAACTTGACCCTTTATTTGATCCGATGGTATTCCATGTTTGGTTCGGAGTGTATCCAGTGCTTTTTGAACATTTTTTTCCTTTCGGCTGCTTATCATGACTTTGGCTCCATCCTTGGCGAGTCGTTTTGCGATGGCGAGACCTATTCTGAACAAGCACCAAAAAATGAAATGCAAAATTTAAATGTTCAAAAGTCAATGAATGTACCCGTCCGTCGATGCCGTGACGATGGCTACCTTTCCAGCTAACTTGGACATGGTCATGGAGGAAGTGGAAATATTCGACTTGGTAAAGTTGTTGAGCAAAGATGACCAGAGAGGCGGTGAAATGGATATCCTTCTCCAAAGCATTTTCTATCGGAATAAAAAGTTAATGGATAATCTCAGGGTCAAAGGTTATCAATCATCACTATCCAATTGCCGATTCAGTATCCTCAATGAGGAGAATTGACATTAAATAGCTTTAAGCCTTTTTGACAAAGTATTACCTGTTTTTTAGTAGCTTTTTAAGGCAACAAAGGTACAATCAAGGTGCAAATAATCTTAATTATTGTTAATGCACAATGACATGAGCAACAGAACACAAGTTAATAGACCACTTAAAACCTGTTAAGCGGATCAAAGTCCAAACACAAAAGTCCAGTACAAACTTCGATAATCGCCAAGGTCGTTGTTGCAGTGGTTGATTGGGCAAAATCTCAAGTTTCCCAACATCCCAAAACAGTGTCATTCGAAGAAATCACACGTGGTCGGATGAAAACGGTCTGCAGCTGATCTTTTTTGAAGAAATTAAAGTTGTTTAAAACTCTGATTCATTTAAATTTCTAATAGTAGTAAATGGTGATCTTAATATAACAAGAACTGCTTGTAACATACGGAGAACAATACAAAATTAGAATAAAATAAAATATATTGGGTTACGTTACGTTTAAATTTAAACAATATAAATAAATTAAAGTATTGAACAGAAGTTAATAGTGTTGTTGAGTGTACAAATAGGTTATTAGTAATTAAAGTCTACGTGGAGGTCAGGATATGGAGGTTAACAACGTTGAGGTATTATAGAACACACTTGTCACGTTTTTCTTACTGTAAAATTATTGTAATTGAAAACTACATATAAGGAATTTCTAAATTGAGCACTTTTGGTTTCTGTACAGATAAAAGAGGAAAAACCTGAAATTGAAATCTGTAGTTTGGAGGCTGAAGTAGGTGCCCCTGAAAGAAATGGCCTTAAGAAGGTAAAGAAGGAATCCAAACCGGGGATTATCTACCTATCCACCGTACCTCCTAAGATGAACGTGCTTCAAATCAGAGAGTATTTTTCAGCATTTGGGCCCATCAACCGCTCGTTTATGCAGCCGGATAAGAGTAAGTGCTGTCGAGACATGTTACACCAAATTCGCACAAATATTCAGCCAATATTCGACCAAATTTCAGTAACCAATGATAAATGCTTGACTAATCTCATTGATTACTTACAGAAATTAAACATAAGGGAAAAGGCCGGCCAAAAAATCAAATATTTACAGAAGGATGGATCGAATTCCTTAAACGTCGACATGCCAAGAAAGTTGCATCCATGCTGAACAATCGTGCTGTTGGTGGGAAAAAGAGGAAAGAGTATCATGACCACCTTTGGAATATTAAGTATCTTCCTGGGTACGTATATATAAAATTAGAATGTGTATGTGTGAAATTTTATCGGAGTTTTTCGCCTTGTCACTTATGTAGCTTCCAGTGGGTTCATCTAAATGAGCGTCTAGCCTATGAAAGAATATCCACCAAAGCGAAGATTCGGGCCGAAGTATCCGCAGCCAAGAGGGAAGCCTCCTATTTTGCCAAGAATGTCGAACTAAGCGGTCGACTGAAAAAGAAGGGCGTGCTTACAAAATCTGGACGGTCAACAGAAAAAACGGCGATTAGGACTACACAGAAACTGGAATAGTTACTCTATTTCTTTTATATTTTATTCTCTTATATATATAGATACATGTACATATTTTTACTCGGTATAATAATACGTGTATGGATTTGAAGAACCCTACCCAATTGGAACTTCTGATCACGACAATTCATGTTCATATCATGGTGGTGGTAATACTGCAACTCCCCTCGCACTGAGTAGATCTCTGAGGTCGTCCACCAGCCTAGTGAAGGCATCCCACCCACATGCATCACTGCTAACCTCCTCTTCTGACGTGTAACAATTCTCCTGAAATGTTTTCAACTGGTTGAACATTGTCTGAAATTGTTCATACTTGCTGCTCATGTCGGGGTGAGTGGGTGCAGATGCAGATGCGTCGTCTATTGGCATGTCTAAATTAGTGTACATTTCGTCGTCATTTTGCTCAGGTGCGTCGTCATTATCCTCTCCTACTTCTTTCTCCTCATGCTCAAATCCTTTCTTCTCATGCTCCAATTCTTCTGCATGGAAAGTTTCACTCTGACTCTGCGATGGGGACTCCTCCTCCTCAGGTTCTGCTTGTAGGGACTCGGCGCTTGATGATGAAGACGATGGTTCTTCCTCTGGTGGTATTATTGTTTCCGGTTGTGGTTCCAGTATGGCTTCATCCGATGCTATAGACAAATCTCCCTGTTCTTGTCCTTCGTTTGATCTCTCATCATTATCAACTGTCATCCTGGTATCTTCTGCGTCTTCCTGATCTGACGCTATCGGGAGCACGTTCCCTATCTCTGCCTCAACATTATTATTAGCCAGAATTCGGTCATCGTGTTCCTCATTATCCGCCATCGACTCCTTATTATCGTCTTCATCCGTTATTGATAACTGACCAATTACTGGATGTTGTTCTCCAAATGCACCCCTGTCCTCTACATAAGGATCTTGTACAAGAGGGTTCGTTGATATTTGAGGTGGTCTGGGTGTTTCGGGCTCACCTTCGCTCCTGTTCCCCATTTTCGCAATCTGGTCAGATGGCATCTCTAAGGAGTCTCTATGAGGGATTCGCAGCGCTTGTAGTTCAGCAGGAGGTGGGGTCCTGGCTGGTTCATGAGCAATGGGCGTCTCCTCCACTCCACTCCCACTCGTCAGACCCAGAGATGCAAATTCCTTGGGTGTGAGCTGAAGTGAGTGAGGTTTGAGGAATGGGGGGTGGTCCAATTGGAGGGGAGAAACAGTCCCCGTTAGATCCCAATCATTTTCCGTCATCCCTACAGAATCAAGCTCCTTTTGCGTAAGTGCCAAGGGTCGCTCATTAACGTTGGGGAGTGATGAATGAGGAGATAATTCTATTTGCTCTAGATTTTCTATCACTCTTGCTGGTTGACTTATTTGATTTTCAAGGAGTACAACTTGCTGGTCCATATTTTCAGGGGGAGCAATTTGTTCCATATTTTCAGGGGGTACAACGTGTTCTATATTTTCAGGGGGTACAACTTGCTGGTCCATATTTTCAGGGGGAGCAATTTGTTCCATATTTTCAGGGGGTACAACGTGTTCTATATTTTCAGGGGGTACAACTTGCTGGTCCATATTTTCAGGGGGTGATATTCGCATAGACGAAAGCAAAGGATCCTCTCCGTCTTGTTGCCTCAACCATTGTTCATATTCGTCCTCAGTATGAAACCCGAGTTGTCGTAGTTCACTGGGTGTCAGACGCGTAAATCCAGGGCGTCCAAGCGGTTCTTCCTCCTTCTGACGGGGTATTGACTTCCCACCTGTGTGTGCCACGCATTTATTCATTAGTACTGATTACAAATAGTTTGTTTACTAGTCATTTCCTAAGATCACTTTTAAATGGTGGTGGCTTACCCACGAGCGTGGGTGGGAGAACGAGGAACAGGAAGATTGTAAACGTCCTCCACAAATTCGAAACATTTTTCTCCCACATTGAACAAGCGCAAGGTAGCTCCGCAGTATAATATTTACGAGATCAGGCCTTTTCTACTCTCAAGCATGCCAAAAAAAGGTGGGCTGGAGAGGCAAGACTTAATACTACTGGCGTTAATAAGTAGGTGAGGTATGGAACTGATTCTAACCAGCAGAAGTGTGTACATAGGTGCACAACAATTATAATGAGAAGAACACAATCATCATTGTTCTCTACAATGTAATAATACTGAGGTCAATCTCAATGGGATGGACTGTTGATGAGCATTATTAATTCACTTTGTTTTCCAAGACGTGACAGCGAGAACGAGACAAAGTGTCTCATTCAGTCAGGGACACTACGAACAGGGAACTACTCCACGGAAATATTGGAGTTCCTTGTCCTGCTATTAAGCCTCACCCCTTCCGACTCAACTTGAGATTCTCAAGTGTGATAGTCCCCAAGCTGTCCGTTCCTCGGCTCATGAACAAGACAATAAATCATACGCATTTAAACTACGGAGCAGTTTGGTTGGTGGCCATGTTATAGAGTACATTTGAGTAGATTTTTATTCTCGTGGAAATTTCGTCTGCTGCACAAAATATCGAGGGCCTTATAGCAACTACCTTATCATTAATTTGACAGTGGTGGGTCCAAACCTGCCTCTGCTTCGCCCACGTCTCGTTTGTTCAACATGCCACCTGCAACAAAGAGGAACACAAGTGTACAAATTGGGAATTACTTGATTGGAATTATCCAGTAATTTGCATTGGGTAGTAGATCGCCACCTACTTGTGTATGCCTGTAAGTGAGAATATAAGAGAAAAAATTATTAACGACATTAAAACTTTATTGTGTCAAAAAAAATATGCTGGATGAAAAACGCACATCAATGGCGACATTAATGGCGGCTTCCTTGGCCTTGTCGATTAGGCTGGTCGTAGCTCCAAAGGTGACGGCGTCAGCAGCATGATAAGCCAGCTTCATCCCCGCACCCACGGCCGTGCCAAGGGCGTCAAAAAACCCACGACCCTGCTGCACCGGCGCCGTAATGTTCAACTTCTGGATCAAGTGCTGCCTGATTATCTGTGGCAGTTTTTCCAGGGGGACTCTTTCCTCTTCCTCCTCCCCTCGTTTGACCCCCTCACCACCACCCTGACCTAGAGCGTTTAAGGAAAACCTATAACCAGAACCATGTGTGCATGCACTACGGCAGAACGGCAAGTACAACATACATATATGGTCACTCATTATTTGCCATTACCAGTCTGTGTGGTGGTTTCCTGTGGTTTCAGCTGCTGGATTCCGTCCCCTCCGCTCACCTCTGGACGTACTGCGAAGGAACCAAGACATAGAACACAGAGCCGTGCAACAGCCTTTCTGATTAGTGGTTATTTGCATGGGTACAACTACACTACTGCTAGGACGAAAGTGTGTGGGGAGGGGAGAAGAAAGGCGAAGAATTAGTAGAACCCACCTGACGCCAGGAGGAAGGACACTGTCACGAGGAGGAGAAGCCAAGCTCTGGAGGAGGATGTCATTGTGTGTTTCTCCGTCTGCAGACTTGAATTTTTGTTTTCACTATTTTCCCTCCCTTCCTGCTGCGGGGGTGCTGATTGATTGGTCATTGATGCTGATGTTATGAAACTTTTCAAGAATGGTGACCTCAATTCAACGGCTTCCTCCTTGCCTTTCATTTGTAGCTTGTGGGTACATAATTCATACGTATGCATCCATGTACTGGTGGTTTTTACACGCACGCTCCAACTGTTGGAGTCAACACAATGAAGCTGCTACTGGTCAAGTCATGCAAACAAATGTAACAAACAAAATGTAACAGCGTGTTCAGAAACATGAATTGTATTTTTGTAGATAAATAATTATGTAATTGTGAAATCCGCGGAATGCAAGAATTCCATAAATGCGGAAATATAAATGTCTGGAGACACATTCCAGTTTGTTTATTTTTAGATGAACAGTTACATAAGAGTAACTGTTGTAGCTATGTAACGTATGTATGTACATGTCAGGTCAAGACGATGTAGCGAATTCCATAAGTTCTATTTTTAGCATGAACTCTGAGGAATTATGTACACATACCTGAAAGTTCTATTTTTAGAGCTTTCAGGAATGCGCTTTCAGTTTTGGCGTTCAAATTCCTGAACGTACACCCGCTTCCATCCCGTCCGACCGTTTGGCATAAATAAGGCCGCCGTCTCGGCAACATTAACATCTAGTAACTTGGCAGAGCCTTACAACCTCTGCACAAGACTGTATAGCGATTCTCAATCTGCCTCAATTGAGAATGTGAACTTGTAAATATTGTCTTAACTAACTTGTCAAAATTAAATTGTCCCAAGTAGTAATTAAGTAACTGGTAGTATCAATTGACAAGTATGTATTTGCAACTCAAAAATAGTGAATAAATGTTATCGTCGTTATAACGTTTAAACTTAACCAAAAGTTGTTCAGAGCAAGTTAATTCACATACAAACCAGCACACTTAAAAATCATTCATCAGAAATCCATCGCAATATTTAGCACACTAAATCACACATTTCACTAGTTACTCATGAACATAAACACAGCGCATATCACAGATGAGAAATGTAGCTTTGTTAGATATCTTTTGTCGTATGAGCGCATATGTATCCACGCCCCGGTCTTTTTCTTTATGTCAATAATTTTATTAGTTGGCTGGATGTCAAAGGTGAAACATGCGTGGGTGTATATATTCAAACATTTGGGCTGTCAGTGATCATATCCGCGAGCTATAATAACCTCATCCATAAGGAGAGTAGTAAGAGGGGGGTGGGACGTAGGAGCCGATTTGCCCCCCGTCCCCAATTACGGCTTCTTGGAATAGTTTTCCATTGGGCAGGATGAATTTGCTCAGCCTCGGCTCTTCTTCAGGGTTGTATGGCATGCCGTTGAGCATCTTCCCAATATTCCCTGTGACAAGAATGTCAAATAATACATAACGTGGAGTTTCATGTTCATTCTCCCCCCCACTTACCTCCCACCATCACGATATCACCAATTGCGCGACCACGCCCCTTACTCATCTTGCCTTGGTTGTTGTAATACTGCTCCTCAGAAGAAGTGTCCTCATAGTAATAGTCCCCCTCGTCGCTATCGTCGTCGTATTCATACGAGTCGGAGTAGGTTGGTCTCCGAGGACGGGCATCTGGGAACAATTAATAGTATTTGGGACGAAGATGCCAAATAATCATGGGTCACTTACGGGCACCTAACATTACGAAAAACAATAGAGTCACCGCCATCAGAACTCTACTGGCAGCCATACCACCGTCGTCCTATTAACGTTAATTAATAGCACGGGGTGAAATTCACAAACACAATTAAATAATGCTTTCACTAGTGCAGGGACACATTAATTGTTACAAAGTAAGAGACAGAGAAAGAGGGAGAAAGGCTACACAATCAATATGGCCCAACTTCCTGATTCAACAAAACAAAAGTCAACGCGTCATACATTTTTGCTTCACATATAATAATAAACATTTATTATTGCTTAGATTCGGCTAATAAATTAGTTATTCGAATCCACGTACGTACGGTGTGTGTACCTTGTAATTATTTAGTTGTCTCACCTTACATATTTTACTTATTCTCACTTCTCAAACTTATTAAATATTTACTTAAATGCATATATTTGTATGAATACATAACTGAAGAGTGGCTATATTATTAGGACTTGTGAACATCAAGTAAACATGAATTATAAATTGAAGAACTAGTAAAAAATAATTAGATTCTGCTACGTTCTGACTACTGAAATACAACTTTGCTAATTATTGCTTGAGTGATCAAATTCCTCGAGTTGTATTACCGAGATTGCGTATTATTATTCTATTCTAAAAATACTTTGTATCTATTTTTTTCAGTTCGACCACGGCCAGAAACTTTTTTTTCAGACTTGTTTCATCTTCATCAAAACCAGGCTGGGTGGGATTGATTGCAGCCCTGCCTGCAACATCTGCAATAATGGCGACAAAATAAACAAATGAACTCGTCATAATAAAAAACCTATCAGTACAGCTTTGCTTAGCCCGAACCAGGGTTGAGTAGTAAACTCATTTTTGTCAGAATTTTCAATTATAAAATTTCAAAATTCAACCCTCCGAAACTCTAATCCTAAGTTATTTTTTCGATTCCACGCTCAATTTTTAGCTAAATATATAAACTCTTGAAATCGGTATGGGTACCCCGTACCCCTTAGTGCCCCTCTGGTTACTTTTTGTTTACCTTTGACTTCATATAATTTCATGCGGAGCCATTAAGTATCACCGTTCCGAATTTCAGTTTTTTGGGACAAGTTATGAAAATCGGTATTGGTCACCCCAACGGGTCCCGGATATGAAAATTTTACCAATTTGACTTTATATTCTTCCATTAGGGGCCTTTAGCAGCCTCTATACCAAATTTCAGCTCGATTGGATGATTTTGAAAAAATCGGTATGGGTCACCCATTCGGGTACCTCCGGTTGAAAAATTTTCCAATTTAACCTCATATTCTTTCCTTAGGAGCCATTAGCAACCTCTATGCCAAATTTCAGCTTTCTAGCACAATTTTGAAATTTTGGTGCATAATACCCCACCCACTCCGATGACCCCCACCGGTCCAAAACTTTTCTGATCGAACCCATCTTCGAACTCGGTCGTTGCATTGCCCAGATACATGTCTGTACCAAATTTGGTCCAAATCGGTCAACTCGTTCGAAAGTTATCGAAAGACAGACGGACAGACGGACGGACATGACGATTACATAAGCCCTGGTTCGGGCTAAAAATATAAAAAAAATGTTGAACTCTTATTTACTCACTTATATATTTAATTGCAGCATCACAAGATTATTTGTATATGTTGATTACGGACTCTTGTTTTAAGTAAGTGAAAAAAGACAACAGAAGACTGTAAATGTTAGTCATGTCTCTAACGTACAACAATAAGGACTCTCGGTCGCCCTACTTATCCATCGACACTGTGGCCAAGAGCACGGTTATCTGTTAGGAGTTAGGATTAGGATAAAAAAGACAATTAATTCGTTTGCAATGAAAATTCGAATTTTAAATTAGGAAAATTCTAGTGTACTAAAACCGTAAGAGACTCACATCATCCGGCTTTCCACCTGTATACGCAATACATATTGATAAAATGTAGATTATAGATTATAAATAGATTATAAATAGTCCCATAAATAGATTAATTTATTGACTCAAAATTATTGAGACTCACCCATGGCGTTGATTCCATTCTGTTGAGCATTTCTGGCAAATGGTGACATGTACTTGGAGTCAAAGGCAATAGTTCGAGCCATGAGAACAATGGCATTGGCAGCAGTTTGCAAGTGAAGGGGATCCTTTTCTCCTTGTATCTGCAGAAAATAATGTGGTTGTGTTGAATACTTTCCTCATACTGACAATGGAGGTATCCCGGCGTATGCTCTCCGATTTTGACCAAATCAGTGCAAATCGATGACAAATTCTCTAAATATGGCCTTTGCAAAAGGCACTATCTGCCCATGCTCAGGTTTAGCGGATACACTTGCGTCCGAAGAGTAGAAAACGCGCAGAAAATTTGGAAAGTGTAAAATTTATCAATTTTACGGCGTGCTTTCTCCTCTTTGGATGCAAATATCTCCGTAAACCTGAGGATTGGCAGTGTCTTTTGCAAATATGATAGGGCAAGGTGTACTGTTTTCTCGCTATTAGGCCCCACCCACACAGCATTTGCCCACGTCCCTTTACTTATAATTATATTTTTGATAAATCGATATGACACTAGTTTGGTCAAAATCTGTGAGCATACGTTGGAAGACCTCCATTGTGAGTCAAGCATATTTCCATAACATAGCTTTAGTTAAACTCACCTTAATTAGCTCAGCAAGGAGCATTGTTTCAGGAAGGTTGTCGAAAACACCATCCGTAGCCAAGAGAATCACATCCCCGTCTCTCACTAATTAATTACCATCTCTGATTTATTATTGTTTATTTGTCATTTATAGTGTTGCTATTTATTGTACTTACCTGAAAGTTGGGAAAGGTCGGCAGAGTCAGGGCTAATAAGGACATAGGAGTAAGTAAAATTTACGGAAAAAATTAGCTAAATCATTTAGAGTAGTACGTATAATTTACGACAAAACTTTAAGGTCGAGTTAATTTTGTTTAGGCCAGGTCACACGTCAGACGGTGAAAGCTTTGTTGGTCTTGCGTTCCATATTAAAGTTAAAAACAAAACTTTGCTCTCACCTGTCACACAACCCAACTTCGCCTGGAGGAGGACACGCTAGTTGATATGGGGTGTTAAATCCATGTGTCTGCTCTTTGGACCTGTGAACGATTTCGCCGTCACGAAGAACCACAAAACCCGAGTCGCCCAAATTGGCACAGTAGAGGACAGAATCCTTGCGACTCAGCACCACCACGCAAGCAGTGCTACTCCCTGCGTGACGAGAAACACACGAGAAAACAAATGTAAAATGTATCGACTGATTGAAATACTAATTTCTGGCCATTACTGGCTAGTCGATTCTCCGATTTGTGTTACTAAATAAATAAGTCACTTAATTGACCTCACCTTTGACCTCTTTGAGTCTTCTGAGATGACTGTACCCCGTGGCAAGAAGTCCGGCAGGTTTTGATGGGACGAATAGTCCCCCTTCGACCAATCTCTCGCAGGCTTGCATCAGAGTGAAGGAAAATTCTCCAGGGTCCAATCCATAGTTTCGCCAACCACCAACTCCATCAGCCACACCTAAACATTTTCACCAGCGAGGAATTATATCGTTAATCGTAGTTCCCGTGAATGTGAGATAATTTTTACGATGAATATTATTGCTCACCGATGACGTCTGCATTCGAGTTTCTCGCAATAAACCAGGCATCATCCCCAAACTGTCCTCGTCTGAAGCGAGACGATGCGAAATCCTTGGGAAGACCAGAAACAACAGAGACAAAGCCTGGACCGAGGTGAAAGTCGTGCCATTTGCTATGCAGCGTTTTGCAGATCGTGGCAGCCGCCCTCTGCAACGGCAGACAAGGTGATTAATTAATATTTACCAGAAAATAGCGGTAAACGATAGAGTGGAGCAGAAAAGTCGTGGAGGCTCACCTCCTTGACCAACTCAGCTCTCGTTCCTCTTTCAATGGCCTCCGAGGAGGACGTGGGGGCAACGTCAGCCAAGTCTTGTTGGTCTCGCTTGTGAATACCGGTGGCGATCTGTCTTCGAATAAACCTCTCGACAGGGATGACGGCTGCCAAATAATGCTCCGGGTGAAATCCTCCCGTGACAAAGAAACGTGTCGCGATTCGTCCCAGCCAGCTCATACAACTCATAATTTCAAGTACTATTGTGACCCCTTGGAGGTGGAGGTGAAGAACTGTGATTCATTTGCCGATGAATTATTTGCCACCAAATTTACGAGTCAGGCCGTGGTTTTGATGATAATGGCAAGTTGGCTTTGGAACATGCTACTTTGAAGTACCTATACGAGTTATACGAGTTATTGGTTGGACATTGTTAAACTGAATCCATCAACACAGTTTGTTTACTTACTTGTCCAATACAACATGCTATTCCGCTACTCCAGTGCTAGTAATTGAAAAACTTCTTGTGGACAATTGCAACCCTGGTTCAAACCTTTCAACAACCATTCCTCGAATTTCAAAGTGAATCTGGCAGCAAGCTTCTAATGTCAAGTTTAATATTTGTTCATAATTTGCAGTTGTTGAGCAATTTACTGTTGATCAATGAGGACTAACTTAACTCACTCAGTTAGCTTTTGCCCCAGTTCACAATTGAATGTTCCTTCTTTGTGGAGGAAGCAAACCACCAGGCAGCAAGCAACCTTCACGCAACATGCAATACTATATCCCATGCATGCTGTATGCCTATACATATAGAGAGAGTTGTCATCTGGCCTGATCTAGCACCACATCACCGTTACTGAGGAAGGGTATTCGCCATAAATTGGCGAATTGTATTTGGACTGATTTTGCTACGACAAATTATTCCAAGTTCGGAAAATGTGCTTCCAGTATTGGAGAAGTGACCACCACCACTGTCACTATAAACCAACGCGGTCGTAATTGCATACACATTCGTGTATGCAAATGACAAGGAATGCAAAAACTGATGCTTAACAATAGAGAAGGGGACTCTAAATTAAATATTTTGACAACTTAGATAGCTTACTAGTACTTGCATATAATTTTTTGCACTGATTACATGATGCGTTTGCATAACACTCTGGTTTGCGTACAGTAGTCGCAGCAGGCAGGGTGAGACGAGAGGTAGAGAAACGGGCGGTTTGTGGAATTTCCTGATCGCACGTGAATAGTTTGCATTGCACTGCATCCTTTGTCCTTTGATCGGTGATCATAATAAAATATTCCTCGACAAGGGTCAAGGATGAGCAACATTCTACTCGTGCGGGGGGCTGAGGCCCTGAGAACCTTGTTTCGCTTCCAGTCACCTTCTAGAACTTGTCCGCGATGTGGTGGTTGTATCAATAAGAGTAACGACAATAATGCCGGAACGAAACCGATTTCATCACCTGGTTGGGTTCATAATTTTAATTCCATACCTTATCAAGGGTTTGTTAAAGTTTTATGTTAGTTTAATTTGTGTTTTAGGTCTTCGAAAATACTCTACCACAAATTCTTCCACTGCCTTAACAGCGACTACAGCGAAACGCGGAAAAAAGAAGAAAGTTAATAAAAGTGTAAATTCGTTGACGGAAATCATAGAAGGTGGGCTTGGTCTTGCCTTCTTTGTACCATCTTCTTAAAGGCTTGCGTAACAATTTTGAATTATCTATTTTTATTTATTTGGTACGTAGTGGGACCAGATTCTGGAGTGAGCGAATCCACCACTGCCATTAGTAAGATGAGACCGAAGGAGATCCAAAAGTGCATTGACAGTATGACTAATAATGGTCCTAAGCGATCCTTGCACCAGTTCCCGAGAAACATGTTTCCAATGACCAGTTTCCCAGATTATTCCAATCCACAATCTCAGCAAGAATTGCTCAAATCATTCACAACGAGCTCAGGGTTAGAGTCCCACTTGGATAAGCACGAGTGGTCCACGTTCCTTAACTCATCTTCCACACCATCATCATACCAAATTCCCACGGAGAATGATCTAATTGACAATGTAGAAATGGTACTAGACTCCAGTCATGCAGTTGCAGATATGAGGGTAGCTGACGAGGAAAGTCAATTTATATCTGGTGGTAGTGGTGAGCTGTTTGTTAACCCAAGCTATTGTGTGATCGATCGAGGACGGGGAACTAAATGGCCTCAATTTTTTTGTTTACAGAATTGAAAAAAGGCAAGAACGGAGCAGCTGCAAAGGTCGGGAGAATCCATACTAAGACTTCTTCGTCGTCAGCTGCGAAGCAGTGGAAGGAGAAGGTCAAGGGTCGTCATTTGAAGAAGGAGGAGCGCGAGGAAGCGGCCAAGGTGCGTCTTGAAGAGATGGAAAAGTTGGGGAAGGAGGTTGGGCTAAATAAAAGTATCGTTTCCTATTTGGAGATGTGCGTCTTCACCGAGCACGTGAATCGAGGATTGAACACGCTTAACTACTACCGGTCGAGAAGCAAGGTCTCCTCCCAGCATCCAAAAATCACAGATATCGCAGCATACAATGTCCTTCTTCAAGGATTCGCTCTCAAGGTTTGGTGGTGTTGAAGAATGGCCAGTGATTCGGGTTCACTTAAAAAAATAATGTTTGTGACGATACAGGGCGACACGTGCAAAGTGAGAGAACTTTTTCGGATGATCGTGGACGACCAACTGGTTCCCACACCCCAGTCTTATTTTTACCTCCTCGAGTGCCTTGGTCGCAATTCACCTACAAAAAATAATCTTCACAGCATTCGACAGTCAATCAAATATTTGGAAAGTTCCGTAAGTGTCTGAAGTAGTTAATCCTTATTTATCTAATCAACCTGTACAGTTGGTTTTGTTAGAATTGGAATAAATAACAATGTAAATCATTTGTAACGGACAGGGACATAATCTGCATGACTTATTTAACAAAGTCACATTGGTGTCTGATCAGCGGGAAGTTATTTTGGAAACGATTCGCCGTGTACAACCCTCATTTGTACCAATAATTGAGGGCCCCTTCATTGGATACGTCTGTCCCCTCCTCAGCCATTTAAACACCTCCTCCAGCCACGAACCTCCTCCCGTATGAAACCTTCTTCATTTTATCGACTATGTAGACATGAAGTTTTGATTCTTTAACTATGCCTTAGGTGACGGTGGTGTCACAAGCAGAAGGGCTGATCTCACTGGAGCGACTAGCGGAGAAGGCTAGGGAACAGTTCGAGTTGGAACGCAAAGGGACGGTCACGGTCAAGTCCATCGAGAAGAAAGATAATCTCGAGAACCTGGCTCATTATGTAAGCACACTTACTTATTAAAGTCAGAATCTTACAATTTCTTGTCCTCCTTCCTGTATAATAATTACTAATAGCATTCCGCGCTTTCCCTTCGTGCTGAGTTGGTTCATGTCATAATTTCTCTGCCATAACTGTTGTGAGTGGGTAAAAAGTTGGCACTATGAATATTTAACGAAGAGAAAGGAGTGAAGAAGCTAAGTTTTGCTAACTATTGTAAAGTGTTGCGATGCATTCTTTATAGGCGATTTCCTACACACATTCTTGCTGGCTTGAGTTACATTTATTTTACGAGTCCTTCTCCTCCTGGATTTCAGACCGAATTGTGTGCACGAAATTTTAATGTGTCATTCAGTCCTACACGGGTTATTGTGGGCTCCTACTAATGGTATCCTATGGTTTATGGTCCTGTTGTGGCCTGCTGCAGGTCCATACACAAAGCTCAAATCCCATCAACTCTTTCTTTTTATTTCTATTGCCATTCATGGGATGGCGATAACAGTTTACAAACATTTGTTGGTTCAGATTTCTTGTCCTCCTTTCTGTCCTTGTTGTATTTGCATCTTGCCTCTATTTACATGGACCATTATGGACCATTACCCAACTGCTACCCACCAAATCCAGCCCGACCCGGTGAAGGGAATATGAGCCATCGTAAAAAAAGATAAAACGTGGTGGAAACAGTAGTGACTTTATTCTCCCACTTATTCCGTAATAATGATATGAGCTCCCTTCTTTCTCCATGTGCAGAGGAGGATGGCGTCTGAGACGGAGGCCGAGTGGGGGGCGACCATCGCGGCCGCTTTGGAACGGAATTTGCAGACACTGCTCAGTCAAGGGCTCCGTCACAAGTCGCGGGCCATCTCTCTCTACCCTTTCCTCAAGGTCCTCTCCACCCAGGACTATGTTCGCATCATCATTCAGGTGAAGCCATGCTGCGATGCTCAAAACGTTCGCCTTTCAGGTGCGTTACACTTGAACCTATAGTGATGTATGTGTTTTTGCGTTTGTAGGAGATCCGGAAGCTGGCTGAGGGTTCGGAAACGTACAGCCCTGGGGTGAATCAACTCTACCGTGAGTTGGGATCACAAGTGCTCGCTCGCTACCAACTCTTGTACAAAGATGAGAAGGGGATTCTGGCCAAAGTGGAAGAACTCTATGCGGATTACCTCAAGTGGTACCTCCAGCCCCAGCACCCAGAAAACACGGCTGCACCTCCTCTTTTTGTCGCCAACTCTCGCCAGCGGTGGCAGCAGCTGCTCTACCACCCCCACTCCACGGGGCCCCATGTCGTAAGCCAACTCTACTTTCTATACTCCCAAGTTATTGCTCCCTCCCCCACAATAGGCACACAGGGCTGTCAGTATAATGCTATTTCCCTACATGTGTGTTATTACGAAGAATGTGGGCTTGGGTGGAGAGAGTGGCTGTTTGTAGGTGCCTATATTGGGTGAAGGAGAGGAAGTGGGAAGACGGTTGAGTTGAGATTATGATGATGTCCTCTCTATTTTAGGACATTGAGGAGAAAACATGGCCAAACTCAGTGTTGAGCAGCGTGGGACGTTTCCTCTATGGGATCATAATGCGGGACATAAAAATCAATGCCAATGTTATGAAGATCAATTCAAAAACAGAGTAAGTCCCCAAAGTGGATCACTCCACTCTAATACTTTCAACGTGATGGATGGAAATGTACCATTACTTTCCGAAAATGTGCCTTCCTGCCTCGCCAAGAGTGCTTTCTCCCCTTTCACCGCATCTCACCTCCCCCCCCCCACCCCACTCCACCATCACACCAGATCACCTACCCAACCATTAAGACTAATAACTACTACTCCACGTGACTACTTCATTGTTTGTTTTTGCAGACAACTTGTCCCAGCCTTTTACAGCATTTTTCGAATGCAAGGATTGCACTTGAAGGAGGAAATTAAGCCACATCCCGCCCTCGTTAAGCTCTTCCAAGCTGCATCCAGAGACGAGTTGACCTTTGATACAACACTCGTTCCCATGTTGTGTCCACCCCTCCCTTGGGCTTCCATTCGCACCGGAGGCTACCTTCTGTCCCCTGCCAAAATCGTGAGGTGAGATTAGTGGGGCACCGTACCTGCCGTTTATTTAGTCAGAAATTCTCATGAAATCACTTGAACGTGCACCGATATGTGTGTATAGGCTTCCATACCAAGCACACCAGCAGAAACTGAGGCTGGAAGCGTGTCCCCCACCTGACCTTTACCCTTCCCTTGATTCGCTCAACCAGCTGGGTGTCGTCCCTTGGAGGATCAACGAGAAGGTACGTCGAGAATATCCAGTTTAAATACATATACGGGTAATTTTATGGCTATGAAGTCGTCATCGTTCTCATGTTTGTGCATGTAGGTTCTGGACACGGTGATTCAAGTCTTCAACGAGAAAGGGGACGACTCCTTGAATGTGCCCCCACCTCCGAGCGAGTGTCCTCCTGCACCCTCCCTCGACCCCTCAATGTCCAGCCAGGAGAAGTACAAGGTGCACAAAGAGAGGGCTGCTCTGAAGCGGAAAAGGAGCGAAATGTACTCCCTCTGGTGTGACGCGCTTTATCGACTTTCTCTCGCCAACCATGTAAGCATAATACTTTACGCCCTCCTCCCACTGGTCCATTAAGAATATGAATACACCCCACCTTTGCTATTCTGTGTCTATAACCCGCAGTTCCGTCATGATATTTTTTGGTTTCCCCACAACATGGACTTTCGTGGCCGGGTGTACCCCTGCCCTCCTCACCTCAACCATTTGGGGGCGGACGTCGCTCGGGCCATCCTTGTCTTTGCCAAGGGTAAACCCCTAGGACCCCAGGGACTCGACTGGCTTAAGGTAAATTACATTTAATTTAACTCCGACTTCAATCCTGTCCTAAAATAGGAGGTAATAAAACATGGCCTAGCGAAACCAAATGACGTACACAATGAAGAATTTAGGTAGTTGAGTTAGGAGGAGTATATGTTAATACATGTTGCTGACGTTGTTGTGGTCATCTGCTGTCGTTGGTCATTCAGTTTGATCCAATTAGAGCGTACACAGATAAGGAGTAGGAGCCTGTCTTATGTGCTCGTGACCACATCAGAGAAGCAAAAGGAACCAGTTTCTTTGAGCAACTAGAAAGAAAGTATATACATCGTAATGATGGTATCACATTTGAGGAGTGTTATCACTGGGACGAGGGAGAGCAATATGATGGTAGCACGAGTTAGTGGCCATGTAAAGTTGTAAAAGGAGGACGGTAAGAAAAACAGAGTGGATTAAGTCAGAGAGAGAGCGAGCTGATGTGATTTGGAGTCTCCACTGGGCTGAGCATTTATTGTCAACTCCTGTGAGTGAGGTTATTTGCTCATTGTCTTTCTCTTTATTTCCCTTTCTCTCGGTCGAATTAGCTTCATCTCGTGAATCTCACCGGGCTCAAGAAACGAGAGTCTATCCAGGATCGACTGGACTTTGCCGAGTCCAAGATGCCCAACATACTGGACTCTGCAGACTTCCCTCTCACCGTAAGTACTCCTCTCCATACTTTCCCCCAACCTCTCGCTCTCTCGTCATAAAGTTGGCTTTTATGACGCCACGGCAGCTCCCAATTACTCTCCCAGCACCCGCCCATTATTCCTAATTCCTCACCCCAATAACTTTTCTGGCCTCAAGTCACCAGACAACAGCTGGGTCGTCTTCCCCCCGAATGACTTGCTCCTTGTTCGCATACCCAATTGTTTCTGATGTGTACACAGGGTCAGAAATGGTGGGCCTCGTCGGAAGAGCCGTGGCAGACGTTGGCATGTTGCATAGAGATTGCGAATGCCGTTCGAAGTGGGGACCCTTCTTCCTACGTGTCGCACTATCCCATCCACCAAGACGGGTCATGCAATGGGCTCCAACACTATGCCGCCCTGGGACGGGACCAAGTGGGGGCAGAGAGCGTCAACCTTGCTCCGTCAGAGTACCCCCAAGATGTGTACTCTGCGGTGGCCAAGCTGGTGGAGCGTCTTCGGTCGGAGGATGCGGAGAAGGGAGTGCGAGTGGCTCAAGTGCTGGAGGGCTTCATCAAGCGGAAAGTGATCAAGCAGACGGTGATGACGACTGTGTATGGCGTGACTCGGTACGGGGCGAGGCTCCAGATTGCCAAACAGTTAAAAGGTGAAAAATTACACCACTTTCACGTTCGATTGTCCTGTTTTGTAGGTGCATGCATGTGTGTTTGAGTGTATGGAGGTGGGTAACAAATGGGTCTGTTTTATGGAGGCTCATTTGTGTGAAATGTGAGGTAATCTCTGAAAGTGGTGGTAATTCTTGACTGCTAATTGTTTGCGCAGACATTCCCGACTTCCCGAAGGAGCATCTGTGGCCGGCTTCCCTCTACTTGGTGGGCCGCACGTTCGACTCTCTCCAGGAAATGTTCACATCCACCAAATCCATCCAAGTAAGTGTGTCGTACAGATACAGATGTAATATGCCCCTCATTGTCCAGTCGACACGTGTGAGTACTCCAAGCAACGTCCTCAAACTAATTTCGTCGTCCCCCGTGATGGCAGACTACAGATCTACAGACGGACAGATGGAGAGAGAGAGAGAAAGCAAGAAAATAAATTCCCACCTGGTCCTTCTAATCTGCTACATTACATACATGTTGTTCATTACTTACTGATTCTGCCTGTGTGACCCCACCTGCTGGTCGTCGAATTCTGGTATGACCTGACTAATCGCTGTTTTGTGTGGCAGGACTGGTTCACGGAGTGCGCCCGCCTCATTTCGCAAGTGTGTGGGCAGAACGTAGAGTGGGTGACGCCACTGGGCCTTCCCGTAGTACAGCCCTACTTTCGTCCCTCTAAGAAGAGCGTAGAGTCCTCGGACCCTCATCGAATCCAAGATCAACATGTGTTTGACCTTTATGAGTGAGTACTTTAGTATTAAATATGTATGACCTTTGTCCACTCATGCAAATTACCCACGATCTATTTGCTGTTTTTTTTGTCCCTTATAGACGCCCCAATGTGATGAAGCAGAAGAACGCCTTCCCACCCAACTTTATCCACTCGCTAGACTCTAGTCACATGATGCTCACATCGCTCCACTGCGAGCGGGCAGGCATCACCTTTGTATCCGTCCATGACTGCTACTGGACTCACCCAGCGACGGTGCACATTATGAACAAGGTGAGCTAAATATGTCTGGTCACTCCTTCCGTCAATGGAGACACATAGGTGTGCGTATTTCATGGATAGAGAGACTTGGAGAAAGAAGGCAAAAGTACATACAGACAGTTTATAATGGTGATCGCGCCGTGTCATCACTTTTTTTTACCCACTCTTCTCATTATTTTGAACAGTTGAAAAATAGTCCCAATAACTCAACCGCAAACTTTTGGACCAAGTCTCTCTCTCTTCGAGGAATTAAGTCCTTTCTTTAATTTCCCCAATTTTTCTGACTCTGCAGGTTTGTCGTGAGCAATTTGTCGCCCTTCACTCTCAACCCATTTTAGAAGACTTGTCCCGCTTCCTGGTTGACAAGTACTCGTATAGAGAAAGGTACGTGCACCCATATATTCATAGTGTCGAGACATGGGGACAAGTACTAATTGCACTCATTAAACAGTCGTGGGCGTGATCAGCCTCTCGATCTCTGTTTACATGCCAAATTATTCATGTCATCTTGTTCATAGGGACCTAAGTCGGGATGGTTCGCTGGTGGACGCTTCCAAACATCAACTCAACGCCGTCTTGCGCGACGTCCCACGCAAAGGGGACTTTGACCTTGACCAAGTCCTCCAGTCCATTTTCTTCTTCAGCTAGTCCTCCTCCACACCCATCGCTATTTATTTCCTTCGTACTTTACGATACGACATCCTAGTTGAGCCGAGTAATAAGTGTATAGCATTATTCTCACATTTATCTCGCCTGGCGAAATACATGGTACAAAATTCTTGCAACTCATTCCGCGTCGCTGTTGTATACTTATTTCAACTATGCCATTCATCCCCATGATGAATGGGGTTGTTGTGCTGGTTCGTAATTTGTGAAATTGTTAAATTGCAGCATTTGGCAACACGAGCAGACGTACTGCTCTTCGCAATCGTGAGAGAAAGGCTACACATGAAGGTGTATGCGAGTACTTATGCATATATAGAGATAGACATGGTATGCACGTAGAGATGTGTACACACACACTTCGCTTCTTGTTACGATAATGAGTGTAATCTGGGATCGCACCTTTTATTCGAGTCCCCATTATTCCTGTAATCGGCATGAGACTGGATGTACATATACATCTGCTATAAGCGGGGTGCGAGAGGAACGGATGGATTGATAAGCCGCCCTCCTCGCTTCGGGTGTGCGTGCCTGAGAGTGGTTACGAGAATGAGAGGAGGGCAAATCTGGCTGGATTGATATGTGAGCAATAAAAGGAATTAAAGTAAACTGGCCGGAGGAAATGTTGCCGTTTTGTGATGCGGAAAATCACATCCCGTAACCCGCAAGCTGCTTTCACTATACGATCCATTTCATATGCTCCATCCAGCAGCTACACACTCACGTATGTGTCAGTTGGTTGGGTACATGGATGGATATGCACATGTATGTAGCTCAGGTTATTACTTGCTGCTGCACACCAGGAGGACCACTATTTACTACCCTCAGCCCCATTTAAGGAGAGCGTGTAATATATAAGACCAGGAGTGGGATCGGAAGTATAAGATCCATAATGTAGCTGACAAACTGCTTTCACCACTTTCTCTCCTTCGTTCTGGGCTGGATGATGGGTGGGATGAGATGACTGATCATTCCGTCAGCATCCATCGACGCACTCTCCCTCCCGTCATCGTTTCATGGAGTGAAAGTCGAAAGCTCTTTCCTAAACATCCTCCTGCTCACCACAACACGCATCAGCCAGGGCACGTTCCTCTCCTTAAAGGGCCGCCGTAGATCGTACATATGGTGCCAGGAATTTCTTTCCCCGCTCTTCAGCCGGCTTAGTAGGCTGCCGTCGTGGGTGAATATTGGCCAATTAGATATTTTGAGAGAAGGGCGAGTCTGACGGGAGGCAGTGGAGAGAGAGAGAGGTGAGCTAAACGAAGCCAATAAATGTGACAAGAACACAAGCGAGAGGGGTTGATGGACAGATTTTGAGACGTTTAAAAGCCTTGTAATTGACACGCTGACTGGTTCTCAATGCTCTCAGCTTCTTGGAAACGGGATTCCGCTCGTTCTCGCTTCCCCTTCTTCCTGGAGAAAGAGAGAGAAGGAGATGACAATTTGGGGAAAGTGCTCTTGGAGAGAGACAACGGAACGAGCTCTCACGACTTTCTCTCTCTCTCCCGTCTAAAAAGCAAGCTGGTTCTTATTGTTAGAAGAAGACGAGCGTCATTTTATTTCATCCATCAATCAATCTGGTGAGGAATATGGTACACACAAGTGTATTAAAGTAAGTGGATCACTGAACATGTTAGTGTGATGATGTGTGATGGCTTGATAGCACCTCGTACAGCAGTGCGGCTATGCACGGCTGCGGCTGTTGTGTAATAAGTAGGTTAAGATTAAAAGTGATGACGAGCAGTCGTGTGTGTCGATATGCATTCCAGTCGTCAGCAGCGGCTGCACCTGTTGCGACAAAATACAAAGTGGAGAGGCACTTGTTGTGATGATGATGAGACGTTGGGAGGAGGATCAGAGGTGCGGAGGCTGTCGTGAGGGGAAGTGTCGCTGGCAGTGTGGATGGTGGAGGGAGGGGTAGCGACTCTCAAAGTCTGGGTGACCCGGACCGAAGCCCACGATGGAGGATGAGTGATGGAGGGTGGCTGCCTCCTGAGTCGCGTCATCTTCGTCCTCCCGACCGCCGACGCCGCCGCCGCCACCACCCATCGCCGTCGTCTTGCTGGAGCCACGTGCCAATCTCGTCTTGAGCTGCATTGCCTCTCGGAGTGAAATCTGCACCAAATAAAGTGGAGAAGAATGATTTGCATGAGTATCTAGCCAAGTGGATAAATGTAGAGTGGCTGCCATCCCTATCCTTATATCTGTTATCTGGATAAGTAAGAGAAGGGGGTTAATTTATGCTGGGGAACAGGTGTTGGCGGTGGTGCCAGCCTGACGAGGAAGCCAATATTTCAACAGCCTCCTCCTCGCCCAACAAATAGTGAACAAAGCACAAGAGTCAATAACAGAGTATCGTGTGCACTGGGGCGCATCGTGCGTCGAAGCCACTGCTAGTTTGTGATATATTGATGCATAGACGTAGGTCTGAAAGTAATCACTTAAATCCAAGTCGCATGGGCAATCTGTCCTCCTCATTCCATCATCAGGAGAATATCTGCATACGATCTCTCATCCTACCCATGCATGCACAGGTGTAGGCTTTATTTCTATGCGACGAAAAGTTTGATTTGACCCAGTTTGACTTGGGACATTTTCATGGAGGGGGACATATAATGGCAAACTGGGCTTCTGAAATCATGCCAAGCACAATTTGCTAACTCTCTCTGCCATATGTATGTAACCGTCCTGTTCAAAGTAGCCAGATGTCATGATCTACTTGCTCTGCTCACATATTTTATCCAGCTTCAGTACCAAGAAAATTGACAACCTATCCTCTTAGATTTTTAAAAAACTAGTGCCAATCGCCCACATGTTTAATTAATGTGGGCGATTAAAAGACTCGATCTGCCAGTTTGGCGGAGATTATGCATCTAAAGAGGAGAAAATGCGCTCTAAAGTTGACAAATGGGCAAATCGTGTCTCTTGCACATTTCATAAAAATTAAATTTGTGATCAATTGGCACTAGACTAATCAAATTCTGTAGGCATAGGTTTAACTGTAGCTGTGTTGAGAGGTCTCACCTTCCGCTTTCTGGCCTCCTTGGTCGTGGACCAGCAGAAGTCGAGGAGGGCGAGCAGGATCGCCACGCCCAGTCCTCCCCCCAAAATGTAGAAGATGCCGCTGAGGGACTGGAGGGAAAGCTCGTCGTCAGTGTCCTCCGCCTCCTTTTCCTCAATCGGACACTCGGACCGGTCCTCCCACCACTTGTTCTGCAACTGCATCAACGTCCCACTCTCCTTCATGCTCAGCACGGCCAGGTTGATCTGCTGTCTGCGCATTATGCAAACCAGTTCCATTACATCCAAACGTCGTGTCACCACAAATACCACAATCACTAATTAACAATGCAATGCTGCTCCGAGATTGACTACTCAACATGCTCCAACTCATTCACCCAGCAAACGGTCCTAAAGTAAATATGATGGGTTTGCTTACTTGAGGGGTGAGCCGAGGGGGTGGCCACGCCGAACCCCTTCGCGTCCAGATTTCTCCCCACCTTCATCGTGTTGCAGGGCTCCCTTTGATTCGTGTACTCGTTCTTGGGCGACTCCACCAACAGCGCGTACTTACCTAGTTCACAAACCCACCATTATTTTTTATCTGATTGATGTCCTTGTGCTTTGCTTATTGACGGATCTTTACCCTGCTTGTCTCTCACTCGCTTAATCCCTTCGTCGTACGTCCGCACAAAAACGTGAGGCCGAGTCGACATAAAGTCCCACATTTTCGTGTACACTGGCATTTGTGACCTCTGCAAAAGCATTGGAACATCAAATGTCAGAATACCCCTGCATTAAATTATTAGCAGATCTATGTTCTGATGAAGTTACTCTGAAAAAGTTCCAGGTGGATCCGCGATCGAGGGTGCCATACTCGACGTCGGTTTGGGCGGCAAGGTCCTCGGCCGAGTTGATGGGTGTGACCATGCGGTTGACGGTGCGGACGGCGGCAAAATTAGCCGTGTACGACGAGATGAGAATGAGGGTGAAAAACCACCAGACCGCGCCCACAATCCGACCCGCCGTCGAGCGCGGCGACGTGTCCGACCCCTGTTGCAACAAGGCCGCCAAAGAGAACCACATGGGGTCGTTCGAGATGGCGGACGTGCTCAGAGTGCCGTCCGGCTCCATCTTCCACTCGTTGGGGTTGAAGCGGGACACGAGGAAGAGGACGATGCTGACCTGGACGAGAACCAAGCCATCAAGGACAGGATAAAGCAGCTAAGAACAATCAAAAATCGACTGATTGCGAGCATACCCCGACGAAGGCAAAGAAGACGCAGAGCCAGATTTCGTTAGAGAGGGGGCTCATGAAGGAGAAGACGGAGGGCCCGACCTTTGTGGGCTTGTGAACCATGATTGAGATGCCGAGGGACATGAAGGGCTTGGAAAAGTCGATCACACGCTCCCGCTCGGAAGAAATGGTCAGCGGAGCAATCACAATATCCGCGTCCTGCCAATAGAAACCCCTTAACTTGCCTTCGACCGAGAGGGGGACGAGTAAAAAGTGGACTCACCCGTCGAACCAGCTCGCCCACCATCCCATCCCAGGCCCCACTCCGGTCCTCATTCCCGTACTTCCCGTCCAACACCATCCGCAGCTCGTCTGAAACAAGAAGCACCAATGTTAAAACCTTGGCCATGGATTAAGCAGTTGATGCGGCGCACCAATTTTCAGCACTCACATTTAATCTTCAAGGTGTGCGCTATTCTATCGGCAAGGTCTTTGCAGAATCCTGCGAAGCGTTCGTTTCCCTTGAGCTCCTCGCCCGGCTGCGGTTTGCTCAGCATCATGTAGGGCTCCTCCTGCACGACCCATGAATCAATTGGTGAATCCTGCCTACCTACTGTTACCTCATCTCTTATGTGCATGCATGCAGGAGGTACTCACAATTATGGAGGTCACAATGTATGTCTTGTTCTTCTGGAAGGTGGCAAACTTTGGGGGTCGCGTGTACTTTGGGGGGACTTTGACAAAGCCATGAGTGTCACTCCACTGGGCGATCTGGAAACAGAGCATTCGTAACGCAGGTTCAACAACTGGCCATTGCCACCAAATTGACTCATCTCATTTCGAGGGAAAGTATGTGAGGAATAAGCGTGACTATTTTTATCTGCTTTCTCTCCCACTCCAGCGAAGGGATGAATTCACCGGAAGTTTCCAATTACTCGCGGTCAGTCGAGTCACTATTTTACCCGGTACTCATCGCCTATGATGTTCCTCTCGCATGCAGCCAGCAAGTTAGCCAGACGAAACGTTGTTCCATACAACGATTAATAATGGGTGTGCATGACTCGTGCAGTACTGTTCAATGGCATCCGTATACATGTATCTGCATATCTCACGAACGAGACCGTTAAGAGTTAAATTATGACGAGTCCCAACCAACAGGGCCGTTCCACCAGTGTCGCAGGAGGCTTAGGAGGAGCGGTGGTTAGCAGGATTAATTAGTGACGGAGGGACCTACCCACTCTCCACTGGATCCCACATAGTACGCTCATAAAATATTCTGCAACCACAGGCTCACCTTCACTTTCGTGCTGTGAACGGACATTTCCATCACGTCGACGGAAAAATTGTGGCGACGCCCTTCCTCCGTGAATCGGATGGTGCCCGTCAACCCTTCCAACTCCACCTGCAATTAACACACACACGCTGTCACTCAACCAGCTCGCTCCTCACTAATTAGTCACCTCGCCCATTAACTCGTCACTATTTGGAGTAAGTAATGGGGTTTGGGTGTGTGCTGACAAACTGCATTGGGGTCACCTTCACAGGCCGAGTGCATGACCTTCCAGCTGGTCACCACAACCACGACGCCTTACATACGCTCCACTTTCTCTACTGCAGCGGGGCAGGACGAGGTGGTGGCAGAATAGTCAGGATGAGATAGAGGGTAGTGTCAAATGAGGTGGAAAAAAAGCGATAAGCCAACAGTCTCGGTATTAGCAAGATAAGCTCTTCCGTCCAAGTTGCTTCATCAAAATGCTGCACAGAGAGAGAGATGCAATCCAGTTCAGCCAGAAGAAGGCCGTTCTCGCATACCTGGCACTCTAATTCTGCACAGCAAGGCTACGTCTGCTTACTCCAAAGTCCGTGAGGAGCAAGAAATGGAGAGAAAGGAGGCCGAATGAACCTCCACTTCCATCAGCAGCATGATTATCTAAGGAGAAAGTGTAAAGCGAAAGTGCGGTTTGGTGGCAGAGGTTGGTCGTGATTGGAGAAAGTTGTTGTTTCGGTGGTGGCGGCGGTGTTGATAGGATCTCCTCGTTATCATATGGTTTGTTGATTGTGGTCACGAACTGACCTCCTCCCGCGATGAGGAAGAAGCGACTCTAGCAGCGTGTCCACCACGGCTCCTGCCACCATAACTGCTAGGGTGAGTAGAGGTGGAATGCATGCATACGTCGCTTAGGTCTGATTTCGTGGGTGCATTTAAATGCATCAACCAAGGCAATATTGAGGAACTGGTGACGATGGGCACTCCCACTGGAGGAGGAAGTCTGTGGTCCGGTGGACGAGTTGGGGTTGGCCGGAGGGGGTCTCGTCCATCCACGTTCGCCTGCGGAGATTGCTTTCTCCCCAAATTTATGGTTGGCCTCGAATAATCCCCACAAAGTCCGGCCAGCCAAGTAAATCTCATCTCCTCTGTTTTCCTCTCCCCATTCTCGCTCTAATCTCTGCTCTAAATTAAATTATGACTTATGGGCTGGTAACGGCCGCTTTATTACAATCTCGTCGTCCTCCCTCAGCCTCACTGGTCAGCTCCCCTGTTCTCTGATGAGACGTGGAATCCGTGCTTGTGGCTGCATGGCTCTGCATAATACACAACAAGCCGTCTGCGGATGGACGGCGATGCAGTGCGTGGTTTGCTACGTCCACGTCGTCAATCTGCCCATGCTTGCCCGTCGTATTAATCCTGCTTGGCATGAAATGAGAGTTGTGGCCCCCGGTTGCCAAATAACATAAAAATAAAAGGAAACAAAACTACCCGACGCTGCCGAGAGCCAGGAGCAACATTCCCAATTTAAGCACACCAACCAACCAACTACCCACCCACCGACGACGCACAACAACGAGTATTCTAAAAACTGCTCGTGTATACTAAAGCAAGACGAAGGGAAAGCAGAGCGTGGACCAATTTGTAAACTTTTTCAGCCGACGAGACTTAATCCAGAGGAGCAGAAGCAGGGCAGGCAAATCCAATCCCCAAAACACAAATCCACATCATTTCTCCAATAATAAAACCCAACTACCCAGCAGAACAAAGTCTCTCTCTCCTTGCTCAACCAATTAACGGCTCACTTTTATGATTATGAAGGAGAGAGAATGCCGGGTCGTAAAGTGCTTTATTAAAATGTCCAATCCCCCGAGACACGGCGGGAGGAGGAGGTTTTAATAAAATAAAAATAAGAACAGTCGCGACCTCGTGGGCCTGATCCCCCCGCTCACCTTGCGAATCCACTTCCCAATCCGTTCCCCCAGCTCGAAGGGGACGGGGGCGCCGATGACGGAACCTGTGGCGCAGACTGCCGCCGCCTCCCTGCTCCCATTTTGCCATCCCGAAGGGGACAAGTTCGTCGTGGGTTCGCCCGCCTTCTTCCGCCCAAACTTGACGAAGGCCTCGTGGAGGACGGAGATGGCGTCGTACATCAAGGCCCCCTCCGCCTGAGAAATTAACAAACAAAAACTTATAAACATATTCAATTGTGGTCACATATTTAAGTACTTATTGGGGATAGTTTTAGGAATAATGATAATTTCACTGAAGGAACGCCCGTGGATGAGATGTGTGTTTTTGACCTCTTGGAGTTATGGAACCTGCTCCGTGGTTGTCTCTACATGACTGAGCAGCCAGAGAAGGGAGTTGGCAGTTGTGAAGAAAAATGGTGAAGCGGAGGGAAATAAATTTGTGTTGGGATGCTTGGCTGTAATAGAAAGTAAAACTGGTTTGGGATTTGGCAGGGTGTGTGTGCTGGCCAGAAAACAGATTAAATGCGACAGCCAGGCTGGTCAATCTTCATTCCATATTTCTCACTCATTTCTCCTCGCCTCTCCTCGCATGGACGCAGAAATCCTTATGTTTTCCAGCCCAGTTTAAGTACTGACTCTGCACAATTGGTTCATAAATAGGATGCTTCGTGTGACGACATTTTTAACTTCGGACGGACTTCAGGTGGTGCAACGCCGTTGTTCAATTAAACCTTCCCTGGCCGCTTGAATTGTACGGGTTCAAATAAATGGGTGTGGTTTCTCGCAATCTGGTGACTAAACAGGTGTCATTTGTTGAGGAAGAAGGCTTATCAAGTGCCAACCATGCCGGATCACTCACTCGGTGGAAACCAATCTCCGTATGATAACCTATGGAGGAGAAGAGGAAATAGCTTCCATAATAATCCGTCCATCCAACAGCAGCCAGCTTCCGGTCCAGTGGTTGATGAGACCATCATTCGATTGTCTTCCCTTTATTTAAGCCTCGCTCTCTCGGGCATCTCCCGTGAGTAAGGAGATGCAAATGTGCATGTCCTACTCACGAGTGCACCTTATGTATTGACAAAGAGAGAGAGTGAAAGTTAGTTGTCGGCTGCCGGCGGACGGTCGTCATCATGTGTTCATGGGCTGTTTCCTCCTCCTTTCCGAGTACGTAGTAATAACAATGATTGTGTGACATGGGGCTGGGATGTAGTCTGGTTTGGCCGAGTGTGGCTGCTGCACTTGCCGTGATTCCATTCCTCCTTTTCCCGTCCTGGGATCAAGAGTGGCTAAACTTTCTCCATTTATGAGGCAGAATAAGTGCACAACTTTCTCATCCATTCAGCCAACCATGCATGAACCTACATACACGTGGCTGGTTTCCTTCTCTCTCTCTCGTGCATGCATTGTCTTTCCTGGTGGCTCATTAATTCCACAACATGAGGTTGACTCTCTCTCTCTTTCTCCGTGTGGACGGAGTGAGTGTATGATCACGCACCTCGGCCCACACTCTCGTCCCCATTCTAATTGTGCACTTGGGCTGCGAGGTGATTGACTGGTGCGAAGACTTGTTCTCTCGTAATCTCTTTCTCCAGCTTTCTCCGCCCGATGAACTGATTGCGTCTCAAGATGTGCACTCATCCCGCCTCCTATGCACGCATGGAGAGGATGCAAATGGGGCCGCCACTCACTCCGCGTTAACAAGCTGGACGGAATAAGCAACCTGTTGTGAAGACGAGCTCTGTGCAGATGCTTCTCGGATGGAAATTAAAGAAATCCAATTTCGTCTCGTGCTGTTCTTCGCTCTCCGTCGACCCTCCCTTCCAATCAATGTCACCCTAATTGATTCCTCTTCCCAAGGAGCTACGTGGGTAGGAAATTTCTAGTGCTGCTCCTGCTGCCACACCCACCACTCGCCCAGAGGAGGAAGCCAAGTATTTGCCCACTCTCTCCTCTCCATATTCTGAGTTGACTAAGAGATTGGCCCGCTGATTTGCTCCTGTTACATCATTTTCACTCGTTTTCTCCGTTATTAGTATTCTCTGGCTGCTGCCCTTTGTCCACCTTTGGAATTTAGGAGGCTATGCGTTACACTCACATTGAAGGCCGCTTTACTCATTATACATTTTGATCAATCGTGAATGACCAACAGATAAAACCTACAGAAAAGTTTTAAATCCGGTAAAGTATTCCGGTTGGCACAATATTTATAATTATTTGTGTCTATTTGAGGGTAGACTTCAATGTCACAGCCACTCCTTTGAGGCTGAGGACGCGTAAAATGAGTGACTCTTCTCGTCAAACATGTAAAAGAAGTAATTTGCCAGCACGGAGGAAAACCTAGCTTTTTCCAGGTGCACGGCTCTTGGTTGGGTGGTGGGAACGATTGTGGGGGCAGAGCTGATAAAAGGACGGTAAAACTTTTAATGTCCTCTTTATTATTTCCTGTTCCTCCTTTGAAGCTCATATAAGTGGCTCCACTTTCTCTCCCTCCGTAGACGTACGTACATAGCTGTAGAGTTGCATAGAATGGGGGCCAGTTGTTGTGGATCCGTCCGATGACTGGGGAGGCGGAGGATGGGGAAATTGGAGTAATTGTAATTGGACATAAAGCAAAATGTCCACATCCATCATCAAAAACTTGTTCTCTTTTACGGCTCCACCACCATAAACAATTATCTTGGTCGCTTGCCTGCACATGGCTTCTCTGGATTTTCCTCTCCTCACTCCTGATCTCTCCGGGCAGCAGGAGCCAGCCTTCTCATGGGTGGGGTGGGCTGCTTGTAAATCCAATTATCAATATTTCAACCTCTTCCTTCCGAGAACGTCGTCGTCGTCGTCGTGGTCCCCTTCTTGGCAGCAGTTGCCCATCTTGAGCAGTGGGATCCTGGTCTTCGCCGGATCCAACTTATGTTGCGTTTTATTTTATGGAGAAAGTAGCCGTATTTCAAGATGACTATTAAGCGTGTCTCTACTCCATGCGCTCCTTTGATTCAATGCTACAAGTCGGAATTACTACTTCCGATCCCAATTAATTAGCCAGTCTTCATCTGTACCCACATATGTATGTTGGGATTTTTGAACATAATCGTATGCAATTTTCCGCTGCTGGACACTATTTATAGTACTTCCATCCAATACTTGAAAAGATCTTTGGGGTTAAGGTGGGAGGAGGAATTTTGGCGACTATATGTTCCATGAGCCAGTAAGTATGCACGGTCTCTGGTAAATTGATAAGTCTGTGAGATCAAGAGCCCTCACCAACGACTAGTATATACTAATACTATGCATATGTGGTTGACATCACAACTTTAGCATGCAATGTAAATACGGTTGTTCCTCCCGGTGACCGGTTAAGAGAACACAACCCGAACCTTTATGATTTCTGGGCGACACATGTTATCTCAATGCATTTATTACGTCTACGTAGGTTAAGTTATACTTAAATTCTTCACATACATATGTACCACTCAAACCTTAACTGTTCTTTATCGGACCCGTAACTATCCGTGTATCATCGTTCATACGCTGCAACTCACCGAGATGAAGGGAGTGCCGGCAGAGGGAAAGTTGACTGCGTCGAGGGTCCTCCACTTGGCGAGAAAGTCCTTGACAAGCCTACGGGCAGGGTCCACGATACGAAATCCAGTTACGTTGAGGGTCCCGTACTCCACAATGGCAGACTCCCAGGGCTCCTCCATCGCCTGAACACAGGAACATACGAGTAAGAGTCGCAACAGCAGAGTTCGTGGAGTCTGCACTTCTAAATACGTGTACAGCCGTCGAGGAGGGCACCATCCATTTCAATGGGAAGAGGGAAGGATGGCGGCGGTGGTGGTGAAGTGCCAGTTCTCTTATCTTGAACCCATTTACATGAACGGCTTTGGTTACTTATTGTGAGATAAGAGCGGGCATCACCACCACGACTTTTACCTCGGCTCATCCCATGAACCTGCCACAAACCCGCATAATCGGTGGCAGGTTCCGCATCAATGGTTCCCGATAAGGAGGCGAAACCATAAATGGGCGCCTGGGGTCAAAATCTACAAATTCGAAGAGCGTATTGTTGGTCATACCAATCCGGGGAGGAGGTAGTGGTGGGTGCGGCGACTCAGCTGCTGTCCAATCACGTGGGCCAAGATGACATCACGCACCAAAGGAGCAGGACAGTCCAGCACGACGTACTTGTGACCAAACCTAGACAAACATTCCTTGCCTTAGTTTACGCACATGTGGACCTCAAACTGTGCTCGTTCACGCGATGACAATGGGAAAGCATGTACGCCTGCTTTCACTTTCACTTGCATTCCGTCACTCCATGTGCAAATGGGAATATGCTGTCCAAACTGCGGGGGACAGTCTCCATGGCTGAAATGAGCTGGCACGTGTTCCTACTTTCACCCATTGCATATGTACATACGCACATGCAAAGCACTTTTTACCTGTTGGCAATTTCGATCGCCTGCAAGATGCTGAGCACTTCCTCGGCCGAGGACACTTGTCGCACGACGTCCATTCGCAGTGTCTCGTTCCCCGACGACGAGAGGACGGCCACCTCCTGAAACAGACTTTGGAGGCGGTGGAGTCCTGAAAATAAAACATCACGAAACATATTCAAATAGCTCGCCACATGCAAACTGGGAGACAGTTTCCTCTCGCCCGTCCGTGGTGGTAACCTTGTGGTTCAATACAATGTTTGACTGATTGGATACGCTTGTTTTTTGTCTTGATCACGCACAAACGTCGACTTTCCCTGTCTTATCTCCATCTTTTCACGCCAATCGAGGCAGCCCCCGGACAATTTCTCACCCAATCAGTTCATGCCACAAAAATCCAACGAGAGGAGTTGAAGGTGGAAAGGCGCTAAGTCTACACGTCGTCGTCGTAGTTGCCGAAAAGTCATCGTCGTATTTTCTGACGAACGACATCCAGCACACGCTCTCGACATGGTGGCATTACATATCCACATGCACGGAACAAGAATATACCAAATGTATGCATGCATATCCACATGCATTGCTGCAATAACAACAATCTCGCTCTCTCGCTCCCTACTTGTTCCTCCAGATGGAAAAGAAAATTTAAATTTTGAATTGTGATTGGAAACCCGACGAGTTTTCTGCTGGAGCTGTTTCATTATTTTCAATTTGACTGCTCAGCTCCTGTTCCTGCTTCCCTCGGCTGCTCTGCCCCATCCAATTCCACTTTCTCCACTATTATGGTCTTCATCATCTTCCCAGATATTTTCTTGTATTTTTCCATGCAAATCCGCCGGCACCCAACGCAGGCCAACCACCACGCATTATCATCCTCGTCCACATCCTATAGCCGGCTGGAGCTGGATGATGTGAGAGACGGAGGAGGAGGGAGGAAGAGGGGAGCGGATATTGCAATTTTATTCCGGACCAGAATGGTGATGAGGAAACCGAGTTGGTTGGCACACATTATAAAAGCCCACATTTTCTGCCTGTCAGCCACCACACACATTTTACGACATGGGCGACACTGGCTTTCTGAAGCACTTGGAAGGAGAAGGGGTGGCCCTGGCTGTGGATGCACCACGACACAACGGAGGTAATGGCTCTGGAGAAAGCGGATGCACATTACCGTATTTCACACGGGTAAGCAACCCACGCTGCCAACCACACCACCAGCATTGCTTCCCATTCTTCCCCACTCAAGGAGCCAGAAGTACGAGGAGAGGCTGCTCATAATCAAACTCTCACTCAACCAACCTGGCCAGCAGCAGATCAACTCCTTCCCAGAAACGGCCTCCAACTTCATCTCATGTCAATTTTGGAATATTGTCCACAGCCAATCCAACCCGCCGGCGGAATTTCAGACGGAAATAAGAAAACAGAGTTGACTTTAAAGAAATACTGGAGCAACAAGCATTTCAATCTGGTGCATGTTATGAGAACATGTCATAGCTGGGAACACGTGGAGAGATTCCCACGGTGGATGGTTGAACAATGGACGCATTATTATTGGCCACCGAGAGAATGGTGGGGGAAATGGGGAGGGCGAAACTGCATGTTTCTAACTCTACTCAAAATCTCCAAAGTTTCAAACTTTGTGTGGAGGAGGGTGAAAGTTGACCACTTTTGATTTTGTGCCCCAGGGAAGGAGGGAGTCTCACATAATGAAGGGAGACGCGAGGACACACTGGTAATTAGTGGGAGTGGAGTCCAGATAAGCCCCAAGAAGCGGAGATGGAATGGGGCAGCAGCAGATGAAGCTTGTGCTTGATAAGCCCAGGGGCCACATCTCCACTCCAATTAACAAACTTTGTAACATCGCGCCATTATGATCACGCCGTGCCAGGCAGACATATTTCAGCAGTGACGACGTAATCAGACGTGTACGGACTGACTGCCTTTATGGACGTAGTAGCCTCCCACGGTAACTCGGAGCTAGCTCATACATTTATGCATACGTGGAGAGAGGGAGAAGGCGCGATAGGTGCCTCTCATATCCGGTCTCCCTTGTCAATTCAAGCCATCCACCCCAGAGTCGAGGTTAAAATGGAGTTGTCATGTCGGCTGTCGTCAGGGTTGTGGGGTGTCCGTGATTGATGAGAAGACTTGACTTTCTCCAAGTGGTTCCTACGTCAAACGTCAACTTTCACCAAAACAGGCTGGCTGACAAAGACAAAGTCATTGTTGTGACGACTAAATGCTGTGGACCGAGGTCCGGTTGGACCCGTAGCAAGAGTTGAGACGAAAGGCGGGTGCTTATGCAGGTTCACAGGTTGGAAAATGTGGAGAAAGCGGACACCAAGCAGTCCTAATAATGCAGTAATTATAATTAAAGTGCAATCTGATCCGGATTTGACTTTGTTGTTGGCATTGTTGTTGTTGATGTTGCTGTTTTTGTGTGGAGGCTCCTTTGTTTGTTTGTTGATGCTCATGGATGGTGCTTGCTTTCTTTCTTTCTTTCTTGGGCAGGTTGGCGCAGTGGAGTGGCCATAAATCAATTACAAAGCCCATTAATCTCTCTCTCTCTCTTCTTCAGCGTCTCTCCTCGTCTCCCTCATGGACGTGGTGGTGGTCTGACAGGAGGAGAGAGAGAGAGAGGCAGCAATCTTGTGTTTGTTTGTTGGTGGTCGTAGAATGTAGTCGCAGAGTTGTGTGAGCTTTAATCCCGTCGCTGGATTATCTTTTCTGTCTCTCCGACTCTTATTATTTGCCAAGGAAAGGAGGCTGGCTCCTTTCCTGCTCCCACATTCCCACCTCCAGCCCATCCGATATATAGTTGTATCAACCACCAGTCAGCATTCATGCACTCGGATTTTCCTCATTTCGCCAACTTTGTTCATTTCCGTAACTTTATGCGAACCAGGAGTGAGACTGGGCTGCTGGTGCTGCTGGTGGTGTTGCGAAATAAGATCATAATGAAGTCGCAGCCTTATTATTGTCTGCTCCCCAGGTAGACTGCCATTATTATGAAAGGGAGTGGAGGGCTGTAGTGGAGGTGGTGGTGGTTGGGGAAGGTGGTGGGGCTGGTGATAATAATTCCGGCCTAGTGGTGTTGGTTCGGAAGAGTAAATTAATGAGCAGCGAGGAGAAAGTTGTTTTCATATCTTCATAAATTACTCTCATAAATTAATTACTCTTGTAGGGCTCGAGTCACAGAAACTCTGGCTCTGCTCTCTCACCAGCCAGACTCCATGGCTCCCACACGAGTCGACCGTGGTGGTAGGCCTGGCCGTGTTGTTATGGGGAAAGGCCAACGGAACCTCTGCTTTCTCCCACTCGAATGTAGCAAGCAGTGAGTCGAGTCATCAGATTTTATGAGAAAACTACACCACGTGCTCACTCACTCATCCGCAGCCTAGATTTGCCTATATCCTCAGCAGTTGGTTGAGGGGGAGCAATTACGAGTGGGGCTTCGTGAGAATATTTCCAATTTAGGATATTGTATATATCGTTGCGACTGAGGCAGTGTCAGACTCGGATCTTGATTCCCTTTGGGTAATGCGTGGTTGGTGACCTAATTTACGTCCACCACGCCCACTCAAAGATGCGAAAACAACTAAAACTGTCACGTTCAGGCCTTACTCAAGAACCCAATTTGTATTTAATTTTTATAATTTTTTGCTTCACTTGATCCCAGATAATTTCTTTACCCGATATCGAACCCATTTTATAATGTATTTTCGAATATTTCCGGAGCTCATAAATTTCTTCATAAAATCACGCGGATATATTTGTGACAATTATACGCGTATTATACTCACCCTCCATGTTGCAGTAGAGGTAGATGATGCTTCTCCATCCATAATAGCGGATGGTGTCAATCAGCGCCCTGCCCAAGTCTGGTCGCATGCTGGTGGCGAACTCCATGGCGGAGGAGACCATCTGCAAGACGCATAAAGTGAGAGTGGCAGCGTTCCCCGGCCAGAGAGAGTCTTTATCTGAGACAACTTTGCATACATAAATGTGGGCAGTAAAGGAGGAATTTATGACCGTTTTAGCCCGCTCCTTTATTTCTTGTTTATTATGCGGCCCATGAATGATTGCCACCGCGACGACTCCCTCTCCTGCCTCTCCTTCCGTGGAGGAGAAAGCAGCAGCAGGACCGCAAAATCATAGATTAGACGTTAAAAGGGATAAAAGTGGAGAGAGAGAGAGAGCTGTGGGAAGTATTTATGGTTCAAGGCGATGAGATGTGTTACAGCGATAACAACAAACATGGCTCGCTCCCAATGCCCATAAAAAGTTTAAAGCCTTCAAAAACCTTTGGAATAAAGTTATGCGAGGGTGCAAAATGATGGCTCGATCTGCTTTCACTCCTCCAGCTCCACGTTCTGCAGGAAAAAGTTCAACCTTTTCTCTCTCTCTCGCTCGCTCGGCTTGGGCTCCTTCTCTACTATATGCTACTACTATTACTACTAGATGCTAGTGGTGGTGGTGGTGGTTATGAAAGGCAACAATCCCAAGTAAGCAAGTTGTGCGAGTCATGATGAAGAGTTATGATGAGTGCGGGGAACAAAGTGGTAAATATGGAGCCCAATTACTAATCATTAGCTGCTCAACTTTCTCCAACTTTCTCTTCTCCATTTCTGTTCCCTCCTTCTGCTCGCGGCTGCCGAGGTTGTGTTGTGGTTTCATCTTTTCCAGATTTATGCTGGTCAACACACTCATCCAACCCAACTCCCTTCCCGACTACATAATTAAGGGGTTAATTTGGACTCTAATGTGACGTAGTGCTCTCCCATAATCATGCTCTACCCAACTAATCACGGGAATAAACTCTCACCTTTTCAGGGAACCAGGGCGTGAGGAAGGGCATCTGGAACTGGTTTGCATAGGCGTGGAACGTGTCAAAAGCTTCCGGACTCATGACTCCCACGATGGCGTACACTCCGCGCGAAAAGTGGTGACAAACTGGAAATAGAAAGACTTGCTTAGAAAACGTGGAGGTGCAGACGAGCACTTGATGAGACGGAGCGTACGTACGGGTGGATGGATGGCGATGGTGATTATTATTGCATTGGGGAGTGAGGCTCATCACTTGCGTGGATGATGAGATGATCCTCGTCCCTTCATCCATCATCCCGCCCTCTCCTCCGCTCATTATCATCCTCACGCATTCATGACCATAATCAAAGCAAGGCAGCAACACCAAGCGTGGATTCTCATTCTCTCGGCCTGCCCCCACATTTCCATTTGAATGGTGGCCCCAGCAGCAGTGGGACGTAGGACGTCATGCCGTAATCTGACTCTCACTCAACTCGGCGCACGAAGAAAGGAAGTGCATCATTTTTCACAGAATTTTGAGCCAACAAAGAGGAAAAAGAAGGCAAGGAGGAAAGTCAGCCAATTTCCCATGGAGAAAGTGCGGAGGAGAAAGTGAGAAAAGGCCGGAAGTGGAGGCAAACACGACTGGAATGACCTCTGCTCAACAAGCCAAACGTAACTCGGCCCTCTCCATCACGCAGAAGGATCGACGTGGACGAACTTTCCGCCGTCAGAAGAAAATGCTTGAAGAAAGAAAGCGAGCTGTACGTATTTATATGTTTTGACTTGTCCGTTTTTTGTCGATGTGTGGAGTGAGTGAGTGAGTGCGGGGACGACTGGCTAATTCCCTTTGTGCTCTCTCTCTCTCTCTCTCTCTCAGCGAGGAATAATTGCGATATTTCTTTTGAGGAGGAGAAGAAAAGAGCGGAAGTCTCCCTTTGAGAGCGGGGAGACCCTGTCAATGTCCATTCCCTTCTCCCTGGCTTCGTCCTCGCCTCGTCGTAGTGGCTGGGCATTGTGGTGACCACTTTCTCCTGGAGATCCCCCACGGGGTGTCTCTTCTTCTGATAAATCAACTTATTTACTCGCAGCAGAGCTCTCCTTTTCGCAGTCCGACCACCGCCCCGAGGAATATTTAATAAAGAATCAACCTCGCTCGCCCATCATCTCTTCCGCCTCTGCCGTCCAGCAGCAGCCTCCCGCTGGAATACGACACTGTCCACTCGCCCAATCTAATCAGGACTGCTGCCCCAAATCCGCTCCTCTTTGAACAGCTCCAAATTTGACACATGGAGAAAGTGCATTACGCGTATATATGCATTTATATAAGCACGTCCATCCAAGTACGGACGAGGCGATGAGATGATGGTCAGTCAAGAGGAGAGTGTGGATGGATAGCGGGCAGCAGCAGCAGCAGCAGAGTTGATTTCATTTTCCACTTTTCTTTGGCTGGCTGGCTGGAGGGGACGTTGATGGAAATGTAAAATGTTATTACTTCTGGTGCTCCTTCTTCTTCTTACAAATATTATTGGCACCAAGTCCAGCCTGCCTTGCCACCAGACGAGAGGACGACATGGATCGACTCTCAACCAACCCAACCACGCTTCCCTCATGCCACACAACTTGGTCAAGTGAAGATGGCTGCTAGATGTTATATATGCATGGGTGGTGCTGCCTGGGTGAAAGTTTTACGCCGTGGTCCCACTCTTCCTCATCTCTTCGGGCCATCTTCCAAGGGAGGGAGGGCGAGGAGCGAGTTAGCAGCACGAGCAGCGGAGAAAGTTGTGGTCAGGGACGCGCTGCTGAGAAGGCTGGATTTGAATATCGACAACGATGTTCCATTATTATTACGTGGTATTACATACGTCCGTCCGTATCTGCTCTGGTGGCATCGTGGGTGAGAGGAAGACGGTGCGTGAGCAATGCTAACCAAACCATGGGCTTCTCTGCATGTCAGCCAAGCACTACTTTCTCCATGCTGAGGAAGGCCGTGCTGTGTCGTGGTTTGGTTTTGATGCTCTCTTTCTTCCTTTGAAGTTCAATTGGATACCCGACACTCATTTCTCTCTCCAACTCACTCGCTCTGGGTTTGGCTGAATGGAGGAGCAGCGGTTGATTGCTCCTTTGAAATTCTACCGAGGAGTTCATGAGAGGAGTATCTCCATGGTTCATCACTCGCTGACGACTATGCAAAGAATTCCTCGGCCCAATCCACACAACAAAATCATTCCAACCCGGCCGATATGTGTTTCATGCGCCAAACAAATAATATCAGTGCTCCTAGCCAACCGTCCTATGGTTTGCAGTGTGGGCACCATCCCTACTCGTGCCAGGCAGGAGCAGGGACGAGGCCTGCTAATCCCATGCAGAGGGAGAAAGTTATTTTGTTTGCAAATCAGATAATTTGGTTGTCGGGGAAGGAAGAAGAAGAGGGAGAAGAAAGAGAAAGAAGGTTGACGTCAACTGTTTGAGATGCAAAGGGAGCCTGTGAATGTGGAGAAGGAAATCAAGTGTTTTTATGACTCCCTCGAGAACTGGGGCCGCCGAAGGATGAACTATGAATAACAGACACGGCCAAATTGTCTCTCATAAGTCTGCACATTTCCGCCCCGCTCGCCCGCTCCACAGATTCCTCAGCCTCGCCTCCTCCCTCCCCATCCGCCGCGAAGGAGAGTCGGGCGAGGGGCACGGCTCGAGTGGATGCACCCCAAGCTGGGAACGCCACTCTGAAAAAGCCGATGATAAATGTATCGCACATAAAATTTGAAACAAAAGTTTTATTTCCGGCGCGTCGTGCCCCATACGAAAGTGGAATATGCAGAAAGAGAGACCCAAAATTGTTTCTTTTCTCTGCATCTCACTTTCCCAGAGCAGGAGAAAGTGCACCACTCCCACCCATCCACCCAGCCCGACTACTCCACTTTCCAGTGGGAAGGAGATGCACCAGAGGACGAGGAGCTCTGAGGGGAGTGGAGGAAGTGGATGGCATGAGTAATGGGAGGACGACGAGTAAATAAAAATAGACAGCCCCCAGCGAACAAGCAGTCGAGGACGGAAATGTGTCCACAATCACAATCACCCAGCAATAGCAGCAGCAGCGGCAGTACACGCACACACAGAAGAACCCATTTCATGTCCTATGGTTCCTTCTCCTGCCATGTATTTTTCGGAGAGACGACACGTGAGGCACATTCATGAGGGATCATCTTCCTGCTCTCTGCTAATTCCAATTACGCCAACCTCCGTACCTTGCGAGACGACGATGCTTGTCAACTCTAGGCTTTCCACCTGGCTGCACTTTTCCTGCTCCCAAGGACGCAGCGACTCCCATTTCCACTTTGTTTTGGATCAGTTTCCTCGCTTTTGAAGTAGAGAGTCGCCGTGGTTCTCTTGGGGAGCGAGGTTCTTGGAGAGGATGATCACTCTCCATCCATCCAGCCATGCTGTACACATGCACTAATTCCGATAGCTCCGCCTGGTCCCAGGGGACACTCGAGCAAGCCTCGGCTGCATCCAGCAACAAATTGCGACCTCATTGGGTGGAGAGAAAGAGAGAATAAAATGTGTACTCACTGAGCCTCGAGAGTTTGAACGTGTCCCCCGTGTTGACGACGTTCACCAGCGCTTGAAGTTCCAGCCGACGTTCCTCCGCCGCCACTCCTCGGTTGCGAGAGGCCAACCCGTACTTGAAGGCCGTCTGTTCCGCCGTGCTCCCAGCCTCAAAAATCGCTCCTGCATTCACAAAGTCATGAGATACACCCACAACAACATACATAAAGGAATGCTAGCATAAAACAACCTACAGTGCAGCCTTCCCTTAGCATTAGCCCGAGTCCGCTTCTAAATTTTTGCCCGAATTCACCGGACTACTACTACATATTCCATAAATCATTCCCCTACCAGGACCAAGTGCACTTCTTGTTTAACAAAATTTCAACTTTTCAAGACAATTTCTGAATATCGGTTTGGGTGGCCCCTAAATTTCTCCAATTTCACCTCAGAAACTTCCGAGCCACTACAAGCCGTAAGCATGTATTAAATTTCTGCTTTCAAAAATTTTATGATTCCAATCAGTCAACCACTTGACCGACTTTGTTCATCTTTAAACTTAACTCCTTTGTCTAACGTACACGTGTGCATAAATTTGTACCCAATGACTTCAGCCGTTTTGGCTCCATCGGACAGACAGACAGAAAGACAGACACGACGATTGCATAAGCCCTGATCGGGCCAAAAAATTCACATGACCTTACCAATCTTAACTTTCTCCGCAGCAGCGACCAAGTGGCCCCCTCGACCACCCCAGAGGACACTGGTCAAGAGGATGACGATGGCCCAGTGGGAGGAGGACGTGGCCACTGGAAGGACACGCTGCCTGCCCATTCTGATGATTCCGAAGGTGGTGGTGGCAGGGAGAGAAGGGGATCAACAGGTGTGGTGAGAGTACAAGGCGGAGTGATGCGAGGGCCGATAAGTGTACAACCTGGCGTGGACTATTTCACTGCTGGCTCCTGCATTCTCGCACAGATCCACTTTCACTTGGTCACCAACACCACAACACACAACCGCCAACTGCATGTATGCTTAACTTTCTTCCGTTGACTTTGGTTGAGTTTAGACGGTCCCGGGTGGCCTGCTTTCCACTCAACTCTACCTGAGTCTCCACTCACTCACTTTCCGACTTACTTTCCAACTTGATCAACTCACTTATTCACATCCAGCGAGAGGCAAAACAGAGTTCTTGTTGTTGTTGCTCGACTTGGAAGCAATCACGAGTTCCGATTGTGGGGGAACGAGGCCATACAATGCATATATTGATGGAAGAGGTGGATGGAGGGGGGGGGGCAACGACGGTGGTGATGGTGATGAGGGTGGAGAAGGAGGAGAACGGATTATGAGAATTGGAGAAAGTTTTGGAGAGGAGCGCGTGAATAATTTTTAGACGAGTCTCATTAAAAGTCTCAACTTTCACTTGTCCTGAGGGAGATAAGGTGGATGGCTGGGTTAATGTTGCAAACTTAATTGGAGCGGGTTTAACGACTCACTCATCTCCCTCGATCTCCAGACCCAAACTGAGCTCCGCGTTGAGATGGGCCACCCTTTTCCCTGCTTTCCCCATCCATCCATCCGCCCGAACGGCCCCCACCACCACCACTCGCTCAGTCTCCTCAGAGTAGCGTGTTCTTGGACCATGTTATTCGCAAAAATCCTCCGCACCCGTCAGACTACGCCCTCCTCTCGCCACCCCGATGCCCACTTGAACCTACAAAAAAGAGTCGCACCACCGGAAAACATTCCTCAGAATTTGCATCAAAACAACATGGAACCAATTACACTCTCAAATACAAATTTTACAGTTTCCCCTCTTTTCCAAAAGACTGACTCCTTTTGTGCTCACCATTCCACGCGATGCCCAGAAATGAGGAGATCATGCCTCCTTGGACGGACTCCTCCATGACTTTCTCCTTCCCAGCCTGGCCGCTGCTGTACCAAGTCTCATTAGCATATTCCGATTCGCACGTTGAACGGACAGAGTGAACTTTTTAGGCTGGCATCAGATTAGCCCAAAAGGCATCGCCTCGTAGTCCTCGTAGTTTAGTTGACTAGAGTTGGGAGATTGGGAACGTAACATGGAGACAAGGTGGGCAGGCGAGGAGATGGCATGCACATCCTTGGACTACCTCCAGCCTCCTTGATGCGAGTACGTAGCGGGACTGGAATGCGGATTTTTTGTTGTTGTGTGAACCTCTCCTCCTGTCCTGTCTTCCTCCTTCTTCTTGAGAGAAAGGTTTTGGACATGTGACAGAAAATTAGCCCAGTCAACCGAAATATGTTGGCAAGAGTCGAGGCCGACTACAACAACACGACGAGCGACCAAAAGTCAGACCCGTGTCAACGGTCTCCTCCTTCCTCGCGTACGTAAGCACATTTGTACGTACGTAGAAGGCTCAGCTCCCATCCGCCACCAACTTGTGGAGCATTTTGCATGCGGAAAGGAGCCTGGAGAAAGCAGTCTGCACAGAATTAGCAGCAGCAGCAGCAGCAGCAAGTTTATAAATCGTGAACCAGCTCGTCTCAAAAAAGTATGCAGATTTCTCCACAGGAATTTTAATTTACTGTCAGCAGCGTCCTCCACATATTTCGTACCACGCGAGCATTCCACATCCTGCAAACTTTGCACATTTTTAAACCATTTCGCAACAAAATTTCCATCATCAAAGACGCTCAAATGTTCACTCTCCTCTCTTCTCGGAGGGGACGAGATGTGCATGAAAGTATCATAAAAGGTGGCAGGTGTGGGGCGGAGGAGATAGGTGGAAATGTGCGGAAAGTGACCCACTTTTCCCCCGGGTGACCTTTGTCTGTGTGGCCATTATCGACAGCTGGTGGGCTCCATAAACCATTTTTATCACCCGGTCGCCACACACACGCTTTCTCTCTCTCGCCACTTCTTTTCCTCATCTCGTGGACAATGACTTTTTGGGAAGGGTGACGAGGACACGTGCCCTTGGATAATATCCTCCGTACTCGCTCTCTCTGCTATTTATACACAAGCAGTTCCCCGAGCAGGCGGAAAGTGTGTGTGTTTATCACGTACGAAACGACAGTTCTTCCATCATTTCATTTAATTGCAGTTCGGGCAGACAGCTTGAGTGATGGGAGAAAGGAGTGGGTCGTGTCCTGTGACTGTTCTGACTACATGCACTCGATTTTGTGGCAGTTTCTAGCTGTGGATAGACATGGGACGACGTGACCATGCAGGATGGGAGGAAATAAGAGAGAGAGCGAGGTCATAATAATTTGGGTCCATCTCTCTCCGACGGTGGTCTGGATGAGTTGAGTGATTTCGTCCATTTGTTGTGGGGCGATGAGTTACAAGTTGCAACTCCTCATGATCAGTGAGCCCATTACGCGCTGCCGTCTCACCGAGGGGAGAAGGAAGACGTGGGCTTGCGGACTGAGTGCGAGCGAGGAAGAAAGTGAGAGAAAGTGGAGAAAGAGGCAGCGACGGAGTGAGTCTCGAACAGTCCTTCCTCGCCCTTCCAGCCAGCCACACACCGTCAACCACGCTCTCTCAGCCCAGCAAGACGGCCACCTTGTCAACCTCTCTCCGCCAAGAAAACCTTGTCTGCAGCACAACCAACTCACGCCGTGGCTTCAGATTCGCGGATTCAAAACTGCAAAGCTTCTTCGTGCCAACAAACCCTGTCATTCTCTAATGTTTCCAGGAAATGGTACATACACGGTTTTCCGGAGGACTTATTGTGCCATAAGTCATCTTCTTCTCGTGCCAAGAGAAACAGTTCACGAATTTCATAAAACTGCAGCAGCAGGAGTAGAAGTAAGTTAGAAGTAAGTTGCAGTGTATGTAGTAGGACTCCTTGCACCACCACTTTTTTGCACCATTATTGTCAGAACCATTGGCAAAATATCTTGCCGCCACCACTTTCCCCCTCCCCCTGCAAAAAAACAAGTGTAAACCATCTGGTCCAACTCTCTCCCAGCCTTGTTCTTATCGGGAGGCTAGGCTAGAACTGGTTCGGAGAGTGGAGAAGGCCAGAAAAGGCTGAAAGCTCTCTAGATTCTAGAGAATCAACGCTCGTGTTCGCCTGGTTGAAGTGAAGCTGAGAGTGGACCACGAAGGAACACGTCGTACGAATGTATGCAAGCAAGCAGGAAGTACTTTTCTGACTGCTCGTCTTCTCCTTATTTGGATTGGTTGACCTGAGGAGGAGGGAGAAGAAGAGACGGAGAAAGTGGCGGTGCTGCTGCTGTTGACTCTGCCTGGCTCCAAGAGGAGAAAGTGGAGAGAGAGTGAGTGAGTGAGATAAAAGTTTATGAGCCTTTGCCTCCATCTCACAAATTCTCCCTAAACAAACAGAACAAAGCCAAAACTCCACCACTTGACGGACCAAGAAGACGAGAAGACGAGTCAGGCTCAAACTCGGGTAAGTATTTGCCAAGTCTTGGCTCCCTAGTCGTCGTCGTCGTCGTGCTCGTTTCTAACGTCGTTTTGGACAAAGTCAAAAGCTGGTTGGTCATCATCTCACTAATCAGAATGTCCAACAGTCGGCACGCACTTGAGGATAAAACAATTAGGCAAATGTTTTGATGAGAGGATAAGTAAGTCCCGGATTAGACCCATTATTTCACCAGACTCCAAGTAGTCGCATAGCACTTTCCCCTCCTGTTGAGCCGTATTACTCAGCAGCTATGTCGGATGGACGGAATTCAGCTTTTCGTTCGAATATGGATAGAGCCCAATATCACAGCAAAATTGGAATTTGTTGTGAAATCTCTGTGATAAATCTGTAGAATTTCATCCAGTCCATCCCTTGCTTGCATAACACGCAGAACAACAACATCCAGGCCTTGTACTTCTGTGCACTACACCAACATCTAAATACGTACGTCCATGCACACCAACTTCTCTGGGAATCTCGACTCGCTACTCTCTCTCTAATACAAAATGATGGAGAGAGAGAAAGTGGGAGCAGAGTGAGCATGCTGGTGGCTGATGAGAGAGAACGGGTAGGTTAGCATAGGAGGACATTGTTGGCAAATTCCTGAGCCGTGTAGTGTGTTCAGATGGAGATACGTACGTAGATATGCCTGAGGAGGAGACTGGTCTGCAGTTTCACAGTGCAGAATTGATGGAGGCAGACAAATATATACAGAGAAAGACGAGTTCATCATTTATTCAGTGCCCATTGTGTGCATTCTGTGCATGTGTTGGTTTGGGTGGTCGGGGAGCATTTGCATTGTGCTCATCCATTCACCTTCATTCTCCAGTCGTCGTTGAATACCTGTTGCAACTCTGTCTGGTGGATCCACTCCACTTTCTCTCTCGCCGTCCCAACCTCCCCTCCGACCAAGACCAGCCAATTATGTAGAGATACTCGTGTAAGATGACTTTGTTCACATCTTTTTGCAGAATCCACTCCATCCTGGGTGCGCTTCACGCTGGAATGCACATCCCCCTCTTTCCCCTTCACAAAGTAATCGTGAGTTCGTGATCAAATCCTACAAAAGGACGAAATCCATCCCAGAACGGCGGGCGGAACTGGCTGAGCAACAGATAGACCGGACGAAAAGTGTGTGCTGCCAGGAGGACGACATGATTTCAGGACCAACATGGTGATTGTAATTAAGAATATGCCGAATGAAAACATGACACCAGAGCCAGACTGGTAATACCGAGTGGAAGAAGGCAACAGTGGCTTCTGCAAAATGTGGCTCGTCGTCGTAGTGCGGTGTGCTCTGAACTTATTGCTCGTCAGCTCATCCCTCGTGCACGTCGAGGCCGAGAAAATTCCGCTGGGTAAGTGTCCTTCCATTACGAATGCTTGATAAATGCTAGCTCCGATGATGGGGAAGAAGAGGAGGTTTGTGGTGAAGGCATTGGCGTGGTATTTTGTCACTGCATCCGTCTGCAAGTGGGAGAAAGTGACGAATGAAGATCAAAGGAGGGGAGAGCGCTGAGTGAGGCAAAGTGTGTGAGACAGGGCACACAGGACTTTCTCCGCGCCAACTGGGTCACCCCACGGATGACGAAGAAAGAAGGAAGGACTGTGCAGCAGCGTGCACAAATATCAGCAGAGTCGACTAATGTAGGCTGATGGGAGGAGGAGATTATTGTGACGCATAGAAATGGAAAAGAGAGCAGAAATTGGATTTTAAGCCGGAGATTGAGGTTGGATAAGCAACACACACAAGCACAAGCACGGGTGAGACGGAGAGAGAGAGAGAGCGAGTGAGGGAGAAAGTAGCTGGGATTCTGGTGGGTTTGCAATGAAATTAGAGCCAGGGGACTCCAGAGCAGCAAACCGCACTTTCCACATATTTTCGAGCAAACGCAAGAAAAAAATACAAGGACGGAAACTAGAACGCCAGTTCCTACTCTCTCTCTGAATTAACCTCAGAACAAAAAAACAAGAAATGGATTGGATGTGACACGATGCGAGCGATTCACTTCCCAAGGAAACTCTGTCTTATTAAGTGCAAAAGGATGGAAGGGACATGACTTTCTCCCCGCGCACGCTGTGAGGCCGCACCTCTGGAAGACGAACACGTTTCCATCCATCCGGCCCCTCTTGTTGAACACGACGGCTGGGCGTGTGGTGCGGGTGGAGTTGACAAAAAGTGGAAAATTGTCTCGTTTCTTTTTCATTTAATGTGTAACTCATTTCCTCATTAGTCCGCACGCTGCTTTCTCTAATAATGTCCCGTCCCTTCCTCTCTCTCTCTCGCTGGCACTTCAAGAACAGGCCGCATGACTTTCTCCCCTCCTCCGTCGTCGTCGTCGTGGCAGTCTTTGAATAAATGGGAGAGCGAGTGCTTTCGGGATCACCCACCAAGAGTAGCAGCATCCGAACTACAAAGTTGCTCATCATGGTGGTTGGAGGATGGGGACGGTGTTGTTGGTGGCTGGTAAGTTGGTTGGATGGTTGGTTGCTGATTGAGATTAGCCGTTAGTTTGGAGTGGAGATCGTGATCTGCGCCTTAAACTCGCGGAATAAATGAAATCAAAGACAAAGGAAGGGAAGGAGAGAGAGAGCAAAAATAGGGCCGCTTCATCCAAGCAGAAGGAGAAGGAGGAAATCAATACGCCGACACAAGACTCGCCAAAAAAACATCCAACCAAACTCACCACGACCAAGAACAACCTTTTTCAAAATAATTAAAACACTTGGCCTCACATTTTTCTTTCCCATCCATTTCACTCTTTCATCTCCAGAACAGAAGGCCAGGATTTTTTGGGGTGGGCGGCATGTACACACTCGCCGATCTCAGCCTCTGTCTTATTGTGGGCTAAACATGGGCGGAGGAAGGCTGCTCGAAAATAAATGGGGTCCAAACGAGTGGGGCTGCATTCCAAGCAGCAGCAATAGCTCAGGGACGACCATCATTCGATACGGCCCAAATTATTAGCCTCCAAACAGCGATGGCACTTTCAATCCAAATCCATCCATGTCTATTATCGTGTAGTAGAGATGCAGTGGGTGGGTGGGGGAGTGGGGGGGAATGGGAGTACAAATTGGAGGGAGCTTCAAAAGTATGGATGCTGATGACGAGATCATGGCGAGGTGGTTGTTTCGAGGAGGAGAGTTTTACTTATTCTGGGCGCAGTGCGAGCGTGCATCCGCTATCTGCACATCGTGTATCTCTTCCATCCGTCCATTTCGTCTGAGGCTGATGAGAGAGGCAGGTTGGGTTGAAATGGCTGCTCTCTGAAAGTGAGGAGACCCCAAAGCAAAGTTAGGATCGCTTTTTCGCTTCCACTTCTTGTGGAAATTTCCCTTTATTGCAATTATGCAAATGGACCAATTTACTTTCTTTGATCCTCTCATGTCCAAAATTGCCCCTTCAACAACAACACTTTCCAACCCATCAAACACGCCTTAAAAGACGGTCCTCCACTTTCACCACTTTCTTTTTCCTACTTTCTCTCTCTCTCTCTTCCTCTCTTCCTCTCTCTCTCTCTCCATGGTCTCTGAATACTCAAAGAGAAAAGTGTATCGACTCCCCCCCCCACCAACACCCGAGCCAATACAATACGCTCACTCGCCGTCTTTAATCTCGCACTTTGGGAGAGCTCAGAATTTAAATAGGAATGTTTCTCAGCGGATGGGTTAGAGCAGGAATCATGCCCACCTCGCAGCACCAGAGCCTTCTCATCTCTCGTCTGTTTGGTAATAAAGTGTGTCGGGTGAAGTGAATTGAATATTCATTGGATGTATAGTCCTCCTCTTTCCGCGTGTAGTGCTCCTGCTTGTCTGTAGTTATTGCACTTGTTCTTCTCATCCTTCTTCGCCTCATCTCCATTTTCAATTTCGCCAACTTTGTTTCCACCCTCCCACCAACTTCTTCCCAAATCCACTCTTTATTTGTTTTGCAACAAAAATTAAACAAGATTGGCCAACTTTTTCGTCCTCCCCTCTCGCTCACCCTCCTCCACCACCACCACCACCACCACCAGCACCACGTCGCAAGGAAATTCCCGACAAGGAGAGGATGAAACTTTAATAATAATGCCTCATCTCCCTCGCTCATCCTCAGCCAGTCAGTCAAAGTCGCTCGTTGGTGGGAAGCTCTGGGCCATCGACAAAGTTCATCGCCTAATTTGCTCCCATAATTTCACACTCTTGACAATTTGTGAATGCGTGGAGATGGAGAAAGGCGTTTCATACTTTCTCCTTCTTCCTCACTCACCCGCTGTCCGCATGCACGGGAGGAAAACTATGCGACACAAATGTGGCAAGCCGTATGTATTCAGTCCTCACATCCTCCTACCTGGCTGGGGACTCACTCACCAGTGCTGGCAGTCACTGGCTTCTGCCTGTTGGGGATTAGCAGAGTGAAGAGACGAAGTGTGACGGGATGACAATGGGGTTTGAGAATCATTATTAATGGAGCTCCCTCTCCTCCCGGCTTATTACGCGGAGAAAGAAGGAAGCAAAGAGAGAGAGAAAGAGAGAGACGACATCAAAGAAAAGGGACAAACAAACACACAAACAATGAGATCAGCCGCATTATACGACGTCGCCTTTCTCCATTCTCAGCACGGAGGTCGCATACACGCCGAGGGTACATATGTATCTATTTACGCAGGGCTGAAAGCATCAATTCCACGTCCTCCATCAATCTCGAGCAGGAGGAGGAGAAGCTCTTCCACACGAAGCCGACTCATCATCGTCGTAGGGCAATAATTACATTATGGGGACAGATTGTACAGGGGACGGGCGGATGCTGTCCCTTCCACGCTGATAAATGGAGCCACGTCTCAGACATCATAATCATTCGCCTTCCTTCCGTCCCTCCACAAAGGCTGAGGCTGCTGACTCTGGTATCATTATCAATCCCCGTATTCCAGCCAGTCAGCCACCCGACTCAAATTGTTTGCATGCAGTCGATTCGATTTGTGTCCCATAATTTCATCCTGGGAACATGGGAAGCGGGGAAAGTCAGAGAAAGGGGCGAAATAAATAAAGCAGAGCAAATTATGTGGGAACAACAAATACCTATGCACAATAACACAAATAAATACATACGTATTTGTACGAACGTGCGGGAAGAGGGGCTTGGGTGAAGGATGACGTGGAGGGAGGATTGGTGGTCGGAGAATAAATAAGGACGGAATGGTTGTGGTTGTGATTTCTTCAAGTGAGAGATTTATGAGGAGTCATTGCTCATTGAGAAAAATTATGAAGTGGGAGCAGCAGTGGCTTAGAATTTTTTGAAGGAGAGGGAGGAGAGCAGTAAATAACTGTGCATACGGCAGCGGATTCCTTTCTCGGATGCCTCTACATTTCCCCTCCCACGGAGGAAGGGAAGTGGGACATTTTCATGCACACGGAAAGCACAAGACGTGCGTTATGTAAAAGTCTGATTCTGACGCTTCATTCACTTTGCTGGATCCACCGCAGAATCCGCTATTATTCCATTTCCCCACTATTGCACAAATCCTCTCTCTCTCTCCCGTGGGGTGCATCTTCCTCTCGTGTGTCTCTGGCTAGTACATATGTACGCGTAAGTCTGTGTGTGGAGCAGGTGTGTCGGTGTGTGTGTGTGTGCATGCGAGTGACACGATTGATCATAAATAAGAGGAGACAAATAGGTTTCGTGACATTGTGGCATTGTGGCACCCGACTCGAGCGCAGATTTCCAATGCAAATTCGACCGTGTTGTTGAAGGAATGGTTGGCCTTCATGTCTGCGGTGCGTTGTGAGAGCAGAAGGGAAAGTCTTCCTCGTCGTCGTCGTGGGGGAGGGAAGTGGAGCGTAGAATGTAATGGCAACTTGAAGTGGAACTCCCTCATTTGCTTCACTCACGTCCACCAGAAATCAATTAATTGGCTCACGCTCACATTCCCCGTCACATTCACATCACTTTCTTCCCTCCTCCGTCCCTCCACATCCACATCCAGCTATGTATGCACCACTACCAGCCGCATAGGAGCACCGTCAGAAGGACCCTCGTCGTCTCAGCCAGAAGAAGAAGAATGCATTGTCCGAGATCAGTGGAGTGGATGGTCGAGAGAGAGAGTGAAAGTTGGCTGGAGAAAGTAGAGCAGCAGAGGAAGAGTTGGCCATCAAGCGTGCATGCTTTTTATGGAGAGTAGGAAATCTGCGGGTGGGACTGGGTCCAAGAGAAATTGGAAGACAAGTGTTCCTGTCCAAGAAACCACCTTTCTTATGAGCTAGACCAGCACATGCACATGCATATTTATGCACATGAGCTCCGTGGTATGTATTTACATGCTCGCGGACTTGAAACTTTCTCCACGTGGAGATGTAAATGTGGAGGGGAGACAGGGGAGACGAATGTATTTGAATACACGAGTTTTTTGGTCTTGTTTGGTTACAGGTGCTGTCTTTGAGCAGGGGACAACACAGACGCAGACGGCCTTCAAATATGCCCTGGCCGTGCGGAACGGACCAGAAGAACAACGTCGTGGTGACGTCGAATTCCAAGCCTTCGTCAACGTCATCAACACGGCAGACGCATTCAAACTGTCCAGAATCAGTGAGTGAATTCTCAATTATCCTCCATAATCCCGCTTTAATCCCCCTTCTTGATCCAGTCACGTATGTAGCTCCCTACACACTGCCATAGTGCACATAAGCACTCGAATCTGTGCGGTAGCAATCTCAGCCCAGTCTGTTGATATTGCTAATTAAGGATTTTTATTATTGTTCTGGAGTTCACTTTGTGCAGACTCACATTTAAATATCTATGCATACACGAGCAATTTATTAGATAATACAACAAAGAGTTTGGCTTCATGACGTGAGAAGAAGTTTGGTTGTGGTTTCGCTCACAAGAATGTCTTCCCACATGTCCTCCTCCGAGTCAAGTCTTGATATTTTCCCATCCGGCGGGGGTGCGGTCTTGACAGGGGCGCAAACGTCGTCGGGCGTGGAAGTCACACTCAAGGCCTGTACACAAAACAACGCGGCTCAGAAGATAACAAGTGTTTGGATAAGGTCGCGCTCTTACCGACTGGATAAAATCGTGCAGCAGACGAGTATAAGCGTCAGCCTCGAAGGCGTCATTGTGACCCGCGTCTATTTTTGCGAAGCTCTTTTTGTCCGATCCGGTGAGGGCGTAGAGCTTGTGCATCATCCCGGCAGGCACGATCTCGTCGTTCTCGGAGGAGATGAAGAGGGCGGGCGCCACAATAGCACCCACCTTGACCTTGTTGTCAAACTTGTTGTTGTAGAACCATCGCGGGAGGTAGCGGATGCCCGGGAAGTCAATCACCTTCTTCGCAATGGAGGGGACGGAAGTGAACGAGTTTTCCACGATCACACCCGCCAAACGTCCTCGCGTCGCCTTCCGGGAAGCGAGATGGATCGCAACTGCTCCACCTACACAACAGGGCCAAACAATAATTGCACACCTACCGACAATGCGTGTGCAGAGCATATTCATATCGTCGCTTTGCCATCTAAATAAATACTTGCCCAGAGAGCGGCCAAAGACAAAGATTTTTCTCGCGTCGAGGTCCGACCTGGTGGTGACGTATCTAAAGGCAGCTTTGGCATCGCGGTACAGACCGCGTTCTGACGGGACACCTTTGGAGGGTCCGTAGCCGCGATATTCCACGAGGAATATGTTCAACGAGAGGTCGTCCAGGAGTATTTTCACATTCTCCAATCTGGAACATTGCAAATGTTGCCTCGATTGTTATTGTTGAGTAGATTTGCACGACACAGTTCATAAAAGCCTATCGAATCAAAGCAAACTAAAGGTTGGAAAGGATGACCTGACCTGTCGCCAATGGAACCCGCATTTCCGTGGAAGAAGATGAGGGTTGGGCAGGAGTGGGTGTTGCCGAGTTTGGTTTTGATGAGGAAGGCGTAGATGTCGACGTGGTCCTTGGTGGTGAGCCAGACCTCTTCGTACTGGAGGTCGTAGGCGGAGGGTTTGAGTATGGTGCGGATGTTGGCGCGGGTCGGGAAGCCAGGCTGGTAGAGGAAGTAGTCCGACACGGAGAGGTTGAGCCCCCGAGGAAACGCGGGCCACAAGTCCTTGGGCAGGATCATGTTCCTCAGGATGATGGATGGCGGCTTCATGCTTCCCAAACAGCAGGTGGCTCCACCGTCGTCCCCTCGCTCCGTGACCGTCGACCTCTCCGACTCACGCTCCTCTTCCTCCACCCCGCACACCATTGTCCACATTTCACGCTCCACAGCCCTCAACCTCGACTCCATCTCGGCCATCGTGCAAGAAACCAAGGCGTCGACCTCTTCCAGCTGGACGTCACCTGGAGAAGATTTAATCCTCGCCTTCATCACGTCCAACTTGGAGGCAAAGAATTCCTGCACCCCTTCCACCATGACGCTGATTGGAGAACATTTCGTCGTCTTCATCTCATCCAACTTACGCCGAACCAATTCTTCCACCTCCTCCAGCCGGATGCTGACTGGAGGAGATTTTCATTGTATTAATTTTAAAACAACATGCGATTGTTAGCAAATAACCTACCGTTTGTTGTCATTTTTCGTCAAATGAGAAGTATTTTCGGGATTCAGTGTGTCTGTCAAAACTCGATGGGAATGAATTTCGGAAATTAATAGCTCTCTGCTTCTCTTGTTAGAAAAGTATATTTTTGGCGAAGCTTGGCTCCATGGTTCCCAAGCAAGAGTTGTCTTCTCCTTTTGACCTCTTGCTTTGATTTCGTGGATGATTTCTCCTCGCAAACAGAATGTTTACGGAAAAGTTGTCGGACGCTTTTGTTGTTCGTTTTGCCCATTGTTTGTGCGTGTGTGTCAGTCATCTCTGTTAAATTGGGTGGAATGATGACCAAGTTTTTGCCAACATTTCCAGTCCAGCATGTCATTCGGCGTCCTCCTTCCTTGGAGAGGAGAAAAGTTGTAGAGGGAAAAAGTCGCACACATTTTAATGAGGATAACCACAAAAACTTTGTCCATTCTTCTCCCTTTTTCACCAGGGAGGCCGTCGTGTAAAGGAGAACTGCACATGTAAGTATGTACATGCAATAAGTGTATGAATGGCTTGGCAGCGTCTCAACTGGAATCCAATCCCACCAAACGTCTCCCACACCATACGTTCCTGGGTGGAAAGAGCTTATTCTCTCTGCTTTAACTTTTATTGCCCTCCCAATAAAACTCAACTGTTGAGCGGAGTGGGAAAGCCATCCATGCAGAGCAGCAGCGTCGGTCCGGATTAAAATGTAAATTGGATGGGATGGTGCATACGCAAAACGGATACAAATAATAATGGCGCTTCGTTCTGCGAAATCGGGTACAAAAATTGTTGATTGTTCACGAGGGGCCGACGCTGGTTGTGCTGATGGCCTGACAAGGAGGAGACGAGGAATAATTAAGGTTCATTGTTGTGGAAAGGAGATATATGGAGGAGGAGGAGGAGGGGGGATTAGGCCTCCATGGCTGGTCAGGATTTTATGAGTTGGAAAGTGTAGCAGTGAATGGAAGGAATTGTGTGGAAATGGGACGGAAAAATCCTGAGGTCATCCCAAAATGGAGATAGGACACGAGGATAGAGCGTTGATATCTTTATCTCTCCATCTCTTGGCTCATGCATGTAAGCAAAGCGAGGCTCCGGGGGTGGGCATGAGCTGGTTTGTGTATGAACACACTTTGTGAACAAGAAATCAAAAGACTTTCGAGGAGCCATCATGTCTGACTGACTGGCATTATTATTGGTGACACCCCAGCTCCGTCCATATTATTCCCTTTCTCCGCTCCTTTGATCCTTTCCCCACTCTCCCAAATTAAGTTGACACCACCAGAGATGAGATGCTCTTGTGTTCTCACTCTGTAGCCATGCAGTGAGGATACGGAGATACGGTGGGGGCGGGTGGGGACGGATGATGGGAGGCAGCCGCGTGTGGAGGGGGAATAAGATGGCCATTGGAATGTGTTGAGTAAATAAATAATAAATGAGAGGACAAAGGCCGGGACCGGTGGGGGTTGGTTTCTTGCTGGCCGTGATCTCGCTGAGCTGCTTTCTCCTCACGCCTCAAGCCAACTCGAAGGTCTCAATCAAATCCCGTTTTATTAAAGTCCACCCTCCACGTGGTCCATTCTGGTCATTGTGTGCCTCGCACTGTGTCTCTGAGACTCTGGCCCCCGGATCCAATAACACGCCACATCCACGCCACGAGCCAAAGTGCAACAAAAGTTTCGGATCAATGGGAAGCTTTTCTTTTCCATCTTCAGAGAGAGGAGAAAGTCGTAAAGAGTATTACGGAATTATTATGTGAGAAGACGAGCAAGGGCTGCTCGTCTCTCGTCCTGTCGTCACCACACTGGTCGCACTGGTCTTCTTGTTCTTCTGGCCGAGTGCATATGGTTGGTTGGACGGCTCTTTGTTGTTTCGTGGTGCAGAGGATTGTGGAAGGACACGCAAGTCACACTCCTCGTCTGGTTTGTGATGGAAGGGGCATTTGCGGGTGTGTGTGGGGGAAATGGTGACGTTTTTACGATCAACAGCGGACCATTCCAACCACATTTACAATTCAACACACTTGCTTTCTCTCGACTGAAGTTCCCCTGCACGGCCCCGATGCTGCTCCCCACCATCAAATCATCACAAGACTGAGGCTCCCCCAGAATTGGATGGATGGAGAGGAGCAGAAAGTGTTGGTTCAGCGTATGATTCCCTTATAATTCGTGGCTGGGGAGCAACTCGACTTTACAACTTTATTCGCCGCTCCTCCTCACATTCCAAATTTGAATTGATTCAAAGGGGGCGGAAGGCAGGAAAAATATGTATCTCGCGGCGCACAGGTTATTTTTCCGTGACTCCATCCCATCAAAGAAGACTCTCACTCTACAATTCCAAAGTTGGGAATGAGCTGCATAAATGCAATTTATTTCGACAGTTGACACGCGGCACATCCACTCCATGCACACCGCATGGAGAGTCATTTTCCATACAGTCTAAAGTATGCAAATAAGCATGAAATATGCAGGTATCTTATGCTGAGACGACATGTAATTTGGCTGCGTGCGTGGGTGGCGGAAAGGATGAGACACGTTGGGTTCAGTTTCATAACCGTCTCCCTAAGCACATATTTGTCGAGCGTATTAGGGTTCACCCTTCTGCCCCACTTTCACTTCTCAATCACGACGCATAATGAGAGGGGAGCATGGGGTCCGTGCTGGCTGGTCATGGTCCCACGAAACAAAGTAAGGAACGGGCAGCAGAGAAAGCAGCCCAGCTACGACGACGACGACGATGATGGTTATTGCACATGAACAAGTTCCAACTCACTTGGTCCCAACAAAGAGAGAGACTTTTGGCTTTAAAGTCGTGCTTTTTATGGTGTCACCTTTCTCCTCTTTCTTCGACTACCTCTTCTCCTCCTCTCTCCCTGCCTGGCTCACTCTCTCCTCGTCGAGCTGCCACCCGACAAACTTTTTCCTTCTTTCTCCACTTTCTCCATTATTGTTGCGAGGAGGCAAATGGCGCAATATGGCACGAGAGAATGCATCATCGTTATATGAGGAAGGATCAAATGGGCACCAAACAGCCACATGCGCTAAGAACAAACTTAACAACGAGGCATGATTGATATTCATTGCTGCTCCAGCGAATCATCACCCAACAAACTTTCTCATCTCGTCCTCTCTCCCTCGCGAGGAGGACATGACTCCACAAAGTCAACTGAGATGATGACCAAGGAATCTAATGTTCCCATCCATGTGGGGAAGTATATTCTGGAGAATGAGCAGTAGAAATTGGGCTTCCAGCAAGGATAAAGTCTAATGAAGAATCACTGCTTGGCAAATAAACCACACATTGCCCGCGACGACTTTCCCTCATCCGACACCGCATTATTTGTGCACACACCGAGAGTGGGGAGGGACGGATCCAAGCAGCCACACTGTTGATCTAGTTTTCCCACAAGAAAGAGAAAGAAATCCACATCATGCAAAAATGGTTGTTTTGGAGAGGAATTAATTGAATTGGACAGGGAGCTGGAAAGGTTCCAAAGGCAACACGAGACTAGACCACGGGAACAAAGATGGACTACTACAAGTGGAGCAATGCATATAGACGACGACGACGATGGGGACGTGTCGAAGTAGGAGCGGTCTGGTTGGGAGCAGCGAAGGAGCGCCGTATCCATCTTGTGCGTGGTGTTGGGAGGGAAAGAAAAGAGTTGTGGTTCCACTCAACAAATTGGAAATCTGCTGTCTGCTCCAACAACACTCCATAATGTGCTTTCCTCCTCTCCGTCTTCCGCTGCCACGGCCGTTCTGATTTTTCACTTCTCGCCCCATTGCTTCCTTGCTGGGTCAGTGTAATAGAAACAAATGCTCTCCACATGCAGCGACAGAGATGGGAACAAAGCACTTCATCTTCATCTCCATCACAGTCGTCCTTTTTTAATGGGAAAAAGCCCATCTCGCGATGAACATGTCTCCTCCGCCAGCAGGTCGGGAAAGACAGAGTCCGTGGGGAAATTGAGGAAATGGTCTCGCTACAAGATCCATCCTCAGACGACGCCTCCACTAAACCCCGTCGCTCCTCGTCCTCACCAACCTGCATTGCATTCAGTACGTATCTATTTATACGCTCCTCATTTGCCTCCGGTTCCTATCTCATGAGGTGGAGCTAAGTAATAAGTTGTGCACTCTGGCAACCAAGCGACAAAGGCGACTGTAAAAAGGCATCGGCAGGACACGAAGGTCAGATTGACACGGATTCACATGTCGGAACAACAAGGGTGTCTTCATATGAGAGGTTCGTTCACAAGACAGCAGTAGCGAGATGAAGCAGTGGCGACTTGTACGTGAAACCAGCCGATGGAAAGGAGCGTATCAGGAGTTGAGGGACGATTTGTCTCGTAGTGCGTACCCACTCTGCCACTTTGCCGAGGTTGATGAGTAGCTCGGCATCCACACGATTTGACAAAATGTCAGCCCTCAGCTTTTCCGCAGTCCGTGCCGAATTGGAGGAGAGGATGTAGATTTGAGGAGAAGAAAGTGGAGGCGAAAGTCGGAAGAGCGTGAGTTGTGGAAATAAAAAGAAATCTTTACTGCCACCATTAACAACATTCTTACATTCCACACGTCAGCTCTTGTCTGATTCCGTCCGAGCCCGTCTCCAACCCACGAATCTACGCTCTTACGTCGGCCACTGCGTGTCTCAAGATCTGCTTTCTCTGCTGATTTCCTCCCTTCTCCCAGCTCTGATGGGAAGAGAGATTTCCTCCATGACATGTCACCATTCCATGAAAAGATAAGTCGTCCTTCCCTCCTCAGCCCCACCGTCTCCACCTTCCCCAGCCCTTACCCCACCCACCCAGCCGCACACACGACCGACCCACCGACAGAGTGGTGACAAATGACATTGCCGGACCGACTAAATGGTCCTCCACTTCTCGTCCAACACAGGAGAAATGTGATGCAAAAAAGTCCACCCAATTTTTGTCACATCACGACTCGATCTGCCCCCATTACCCAACCAAAGTGGAAATGGAAACATGAGGAATTTATGATTTGTATCGAATTTTAATGTATCAATTTCCTACGCAGGCTTCCATCCATCACTCCCTCGGGGAGAAATGTGATGCTGCTTTATTATTGGTCTGTTTACGGAGAAGCAGCATAGACTCGCTTGTTCAAATATCTGGCTCTTATGAAAATGTGACAAGTGCATCATTGTTGCTCTTAAAAATCAGATCTCTCGCCCAATCTGCTTCTGCTGCTGCTGCTCTCGTCTCCGATATCCCTCCACTCCGACTCTCTCCTCCACTTACTTTCACCCGGTGTGTGTGTGTATGGCTGGAGGGGAGAGCGTCTCACTGGCACTACACATCACCCATCCATCCACTCTCTCTCCCTACCTGCTCCGGGATGTGGGTGTAGTGCTGAATATGCACGGCTGGGCATGGGTTGCAGCTGGTGAAAGTGTGGCAGAAAGGAAGCAATGGGTTGTGACATCCAATCCAAAAAGATGATTTCAAGAAACATTCAAAGGAATCGTATCCTTTTTGCCGGGGGTTCTTCACACAACGGGAGCGGGATCAGACTCCCGCCCCCACGGAGGATGGGATGTCGGGTTGGGTGTGGATTGGGTGGATGTTCCCGCACTTTTGGGAGTGACAGGAGCCAAGTCTGGCAGGGAAGGATCGGATTGTGTGTGTGGCTGGCTCCCATTGATGATGGAGTTGGATGGATGGATGTGACGGAGTAAATCAATTGAAATTGGATCCACTCTGATTGCACAAAGCACAGCCAAAGGAAATATGACTGCTCTTCTCTCAATCCTTCTCATCAAATATTAACCATTTTTATGCCCTGTCCAATCCTCTCTCTTTCTCGAAATTCAAAAATATTTGCAAGAAAATCCATCTCGATCCCCATCAGTTTGTGCTCGCGTCGTGTGTATGCATGGAAGGAGACGGACGGACATGGGTGGAGGAAAGGGCCCGAGGCTGTGTGGACAAGGAGAGAGAGAAGCATGAAAAGAGAGTGAGATGAAGTGCGGAATGTAATAATTTGCGGATGGGAAGACATGATGATGGTCGCAGATCTTGTTTGCGGGTTGTTGTTGTTTGGAATTGGGGTTCATTTTATTTTGCGATATTGGGAGCTCTCCCGGTTGATTGGATTCCACTGGCCCCAAAGCAAAGGTCCACTCGGAGTGACCAGGTCATCTTCTTCCGTCTCCCATGATTGCCTCCTCTCTCCCAACAAACCATTCCCAAACTTAATTGAAAGAGAGCGAGTTGAGGAGAATTGAGAAATGGAGCAGAGCACGGGCGGCGAGGACGACGAGTGGGAGCTCAAACCCCGTCGGCACCACTTTCTCCGCTCACTCTTCTGTTGTTCTTTCTCCTTATTTATTTTCTTTATTGGCTCCACAATCAAAAGGTTTGGATTGGATCATGATTCGGCAGCCAGCAGTCTTCTGACCAGGATCCTCGCCATCCTCGCCATCCTCGCCCATTCCTCCCTCCAAGTCACGGTCCTTCGTGGAGGGGAACAAAGAGCTGAATTTGCATGGCTTCCCCTGAAAGCATCTGCTCTCGGCTTGGGAGTGGTGAAACTGCAGATTTGAAAATGCTCACGTCAGCAGAGGCAAATGAGCTGAAAAGTGCAACGTGGTAACCCAACGTCGCTCCCTGTGAAGCGAATATTTCTTGGCTGCTGGGAATGGCACCTACCCACACATGCACCTACCTACATTGGCTACATTGGCTACACACTGGCTGTTGAGTCGAGATTTGAGATGCGCCCAAATTGCCCTCACCAACCACTCAAATGGCCGCGTTTCGGTGAAAGTGGGGGCATTGAGGCGGAAATACGCTGTCCTCGCGTGGCGTCCACGATGTACTTCTATCCCCGTGCTGCTGAGTGATGAGCACTGGACGGATGGTCCCGATGGCAGCAGCAGTCCCACCACGATGATGACGATAATGACGATTCTTTTCTTTTATTTCCACACTGCCATCGATCCCACTCGCATTAGCGCTTAGCCAAGTTCTCGAGGGGTGCGGAATGTGTGGACGGGCCGTTTTCCCACAAGAAGCCCATGTTGACTTTGTGAAGGATGATGTTTTGGTTGGTGGTGGTGGTGGTTGGATGGAGTGGAGGAGATAGAGAGAGGATAATTTGCTCCTCTACTTACTTACACGCGGAAGAGAGAGAGAGAGCCTAATAAATCCAGACACTCTTCATTTATTAAAATTTCGGCACTCCATCCATCTCCGTCCGTCCGGGCTCCACGTGGCTCTCCTGCTTTCACTCTGACTTTCACTTCCCAAACACAGCTAAATACACCGCTAAACAACCAACAAATCTGAGCCCAAGTCTTGGCTGCCCAAGCGGCGGACGGGGTTTAACGGCCTATCACCACCCTTAATGAGCTACACCACTCTCAACTAATACTCCAGTCCCACCCACAAAAATGCAATCATAAGTTGTTGCCATTTCTCAGACACAAATTCTCTCGCCTCTTAGAATATCAGCGTTGCTGCCAATCCCTCCTCATAACGCCACGTCAGCGCATTTCATCCTCCGCGCATTAACACGAGAGTGATTGATTGTCCCACTCGTGCATGGATCCAGACTATCTGACATGGAGTGAAGGAGAAAGCCTGAAACTTTTGCATTAATGTAATAATCGCTAAATTGTAATTGAGTTGCTCCACTTGCTGCATGTGATCATGACGAGGAAAGTGTGATGTACACGTGTAATTTAATTTGACAATATCCGGATGGGTGGGTGACACCACTTTCTCCTCCGTCCTTCCCATGGCACTTTGTTAGTTTGGTAGCTAATGGGTGGTAGTGGTGATGGTGGGGGGAAGACCAGGAGGGCATCGCCGCTGCCGCCGGCAGGGTGGAACAAAGCGGCGAGGAAGGAAGTGGACATTAATGAGACGGGAGATGAGTTGGTAGTGGTGCTAATTGCACTCTCTTTCTCCCCTCAGCTAAACAGAATGCCCGGCGTGGTGGTGGTGGGAGCAAATCCCGTCCCATATTTCCATGTCAGCAGCCACTCTCTCTCTGTGCTAGTGAGTGAGCAGTAAATAAGTAAGTTTTCAGAGCTGCTTTCTCTCGTCGGCCTCTTTGTTGCTTCCAAAAGTTGCCAACTTTACTTGCACCAACTTTTAAGTGAGACTCTGTCGTGTTGGACTTTGAGCAACTTATTGTGTCGTCGTGTATAAATGTGGGCCATCACTGGAGATGATCAGGCAGAGTCTAATCCATACAAATAGTGCTGCCTGAGACGCGTCCAAGTCTATGCTCAAATATCTCGGCTATGGGGATGAGCTCAATCTGTTAGAGTGGATGAGTGACTAATATTTATCGCATTATCATCATTATTCCTCCTCCTGCACAAAGTGTGAGCATACTGATGAGCCAGAGATGGCTAAAGTGTATCAAAAAGCAGTTCCCATCCCATTTATGGCTTCCGACTTGTCACATTGCTCTCCCTCCGCCTCGTCGTCTGGTCTGGCCGTGGTGGTGGAGAGAAAGTCCCCCGAGTTGACAATGAAAGTGAAGAAGTTGTCTTGGTGGGATGTGTCCCGAGGGAGCTGGGCTGATGGTGATGAATCGTAATCATCACACCTGCCCCGTCCACGCAGGATGAGAAGGAGCGTCGTCATCCGAGGTGGCTCTTGTTGCGAGACCACCACCAGCCGCCTGGGTCGCCCCGTGTCCCAAAATAATATGAATCCGTGGAGGAGAAAGTTGATGATGCTTTCCTTCCTTCCACTCCTCACTCGCCGCTCCTCTCCCACTTACTTTCAGAGGAACAAGCTAATGAAACTTGGTCATTATCATTATTGATCTGGTCCCCCGCACACCAACAACAACAACAAAACATCACGTTTAAACCGCACCACACGACCATGCCAAACTCCTATTTCTCCTATTCACCCTCCTTCATCTCCTCATGATTCTATTTTCGGAAATTGTCACTGGAATTGTCTCTGCAAGGTTGTCACCATGCCGTGTGTTTTTGTCTTTGCAGTCTGCCACCACTTCTCCCGCGGGGTATTCGCCATGGTGGGCGCCGTGAGTCCGGAGTCCTTCGACACCTTCCATTCCTACGCCAACACCTTCCAGATGCCCTTCCTCACTCCCTGGTTCCCTGAAAAGGTGAGCAAACCTCTGCGGATGAGCACAATCCACGTATTTATATGCTTGCTTGTATATCTGGATAATGTATCAGATTAATACTGTTTGCTTTCTCCTCGCCGCCGTGTTGCCGTTTTGGCTCTGTTGCTCCAAATAATTAAGGAGACATAAATTGTGGCTTATGATTTTGGTGGGGAGGGCAACAGCAGCAGCAGCAGCAGATTAATGGCCTCCTGCACATGAATCATTTCATTTAATTTCTCTCTCTCTCTCTCTCCAGACGAGAATCAATTGTGTGGAAACAAGTCTTCTTTGTTGGAGAGAGAGAGAGAGAGACTGGGCGGAAATGGAGTTTTTTTTAGTTTCATCCAATTCCCCACGAGACATTAGGCCGGCATGGCATGTACGATGCCACCCAAGCAGCCAATCCGCTCCCAGATTGCTTTGTCGTCAGTCATGCAGACATGAGGCTGACGTGTTCTCTTGTTCCTCTGTTCTAGATGGTGTCCTCCATGCTTGACTTTGCGACGAGCATGAAGCCAGAGTTCCACCGGGCGCTGATTGACACGATCCACTATTACGGCTGGAGAAGCATCATCTACCTCTACTGCAACATGGAGGGTGAGTTCACTCTGCTGGGCTCCTTATTAATCGAGACCATGTCATACCAATTACTTTCCAGCCTCGCTCCCCACCAGCCCCACAAATTCCTCACGGAAAACACAAATATGGTTTCTCCTTCTTTGATTGTACCTCAAAACAACTTATTTACAGCGAGTAGAACACGGAACTGGGTTGCATGGCATGAGTACTTACACGACTCTGTGGATTTATGTTGCCTTGTCGTCTTCTTCCACTTGTTCTGGATCTCGAATTATATTGTTTGGATTTGCAAAGATTGTGGAGTTTGGAGCGGTCCCTCGGGTGAGATAGCAAGGAGTGGATATCGCCCTCTCATTATTCATGCCCTCTCTCCCAACAACTTTCCACTCTGAGCTCTCTCCGCTGGGAGAAGAAGGAGCTCTTATTAAGCAGAGTGACCAACATTTGCTCTCGTTCTCTGGATGGACTACGAGCCGTGTACGAGGAGCAGTGTGACCTCATCTTGGGTACTCACTGGGTTGGGGAAGAAGTATTGGTCGTATTGGGCTGATGACCTGCCAGCAGCCAGAGAGAGGTTTCTGGCCTCATGATGGAGCACCACCCACCCGCCCAGCCTCCCAACTTCATTTCCGGCGTTTTGGTCGAGTGAGCAGCATTTCCATCACATCAGTCTTATCTTATCCTCTCCACCACTCCATCCATCCTCTCTTTGTCTCCGCATCCAAATGAGCACCCAACCAGCCAGCCCGAGAGACGACTAGCTGCTGCTCTCCAATTGTTGACACTCATTGTTGCTCCACGGAGAGTGCAAATCGAGAAAGGTGAGGCAAGCTGAGACTCGGTCAACCCATTCCCTACGTGCACGCAGAATTTGTTCTGCTGACTCTTCACAGCAGCTTTCTCTCCCTTCTTCTCGTCTCGTCGTCGTGGAGTCGATAATCAAAGGAAAGTGGTTGGAGCGGAATGCAACTCCTGTGGCTTATCAAGTGGAGAGTTATCAACGCTGATTTGACTTTAATGTGCTCTTTGAAGAGAGAGAAGAAGAAGGAAGAAGCCCACTTATCTCCACCAGGAATCTCTCTCCCTCTCCGCTCTCTCACAGGCAGGGAGTCACAACCAGCTTTTGGTCAGAGAGATGTGCGGGGAGAGAGTTGGACTGTTACGCGAGGACTCTGCTTTGACGAATAATCTTTCCTCCTCCTTTGAGCAGGAGGAGAGATGGGAGCGAGTAAAAGGGAGACGACGATGGATGGAAGCAAATTAGATTTAAATTAAAGAGTTCAAAGATGTCCTCGCTCTACAAAGGAAAAAAGAAATCTTCAAACAAATGGAGGATGCAGCTACACATGGATACGTGCGTGCCTACTGGTCTGATCCGCTCAGAAGTAGGCTGCACTTGGATATTTCATTCCCTCTCCTCCCAAGCCAGAGAAACCACCAATTTCGTAAGCACAAGTCAAACAAGCAGGGAGGAAGTGGGCCTTGTTTTCTGGGGAAAAAGAAAAATGAAATAAGAGAGATTTTGCTCATATAGAGATCGAGTGAAGTGAAAGCTCACACGTTGACTCGTGCAAAATGTTTCGCAGGAGGACGAGGAAAATGACTCGAGGAGATTTTTGGATTTCGTTTTTTGAGCGCATTACTTACCAGGTCCGACTTTCTCCCTGCTCCTTTGGTTTATTGAGCTTCAAAAGAAATGGGATTTGTTTGTTTTTGCTGCTACACACGCTCGCCTCCTTCCGTCCTGCAGAAGAGGAGCCAGCCTTATTACTACCACCAGCCAAGGAAGGATAAGGGACATGTGTGGAATAGGCTGCAAATGCAAATGGAGATCCGATTTGTTTACTCTGCAACAAAGCCACTTTTCTCTCCAAAATGGCAATTCCCTCCGTATCCAGATTTTTACCCTGTCTGCCCGCCTGCCAACCAGCTTATGAAATGAGTAAATCATCTCCTCCACCAGTTGCCAAATAGCGGGAGCAGGCACACCCATAAGATTGCGTATACTCTCTCCATTAAAGCGGTCTCCGTCGGGCCCACCCAACCCCCGTGGAGGAGGAGGATTGGATCCCATTGTTGCAGTCTCACCTAGATACGTCTCTGCCTCGTAGATAAATGTGTAGTTGCACGCGTGATGATTGAGTCAATATTTGGCTGGGTTGTTTCTTATCGAAAATAGGGAGCAGGTACACACAGGGGTGAATAGAAGTCGTCTTTGGCCGTGTCTGGTGGGGGAAGGGGCAGGGAAAGCAGGGCCACACTCGAGGGATTTGCATCCCATTTTTACTCTTTCACTTTCTGATTTACGGCAGACTGCATTTCTCTCACATCCTCCGCGCGAGAGGAGAAAGTCGGAGCAGTCAGTCACACGAGGACAGAGTGAAAGTGAAGGAAAGTGAATTACATTTCTGGGATGGTCGTCCCATGTGTGTGGGGCTGCCCTGCTCCTCATCTCTTCTCCATGGCTCACAACTTCCCGTCCGTGCGAAAATAGCGAGAGGGTGGGGTGACACGAGTCCACGTGATGATGATGATGACCGTTGGTACTAAATACTAATTGTTGTGATGAGTGTCACACTCGTTAGGCTTAAAGGGCGAGCTTAGTATTTAGCAGCCATTCTCAAATTCCAGTTTGTGTGCTCTTTCTTCTACAAAGTGAAAGCATAGGATAAGCTGTTTTTGGTGAGCTATAAAGTAGGAGACCATGTTTGGTTTCCGGGTGGTGGTCGGCCTGGCACTATATTTCGTCCTAAGATGACGAGTGCCGTGCGGTGTGAGTATTTTGGGAGTGAGAAATGACCACCACGCCGAGAAACTGACCAAATCGGATTACGTTCTCCTACCGCCCCCACCACCGACCACCGTTCGGTCATCCTCTCTCCCCTAAAAAATAAAATACTGACATTTTGTGTTTGTTTGTGCGTGGGTTGCAGGGCTGTACCGCCTCCAAGGGCTCTTCCAGGAGCTGGCCCTCACCAACGAGTCCATCCACATCCAGGTCGTGCGTCACGTCTCCTCCGCCGAACAGGTGCTCGCCATCCTCGTCCAGGTGGAACAGGCGAACAGGTAGGACTCCCATTCATTCACATGCAGATATCCCAACCCATCAGCATAGTTAACGACCTTTCCACCACCTCATCACCATAAGCAAACAGTTGGCGGCTGGCTGTATGACTCGTCACCAGCAGAAAAGTTGGTTGGATGACGAAGCAGGATGGTAATATACAGAGGATTTCATCTCCCACCACCTGTTCCTTTCTCCGCCTTTCTATTTATGCCTCCTTAGTGAGTACGAGGCTCATTTTGTGGGCGACTATATAAATATTTCCACGCAATAGTGGAGGATTTAAGACTGGGTGTAAGAAGAAGTGAGCCTCCGCCCCATGCACATTATAGAAGAGGGAGCGAGAGAGCTGGTTTTAGGGCTGACGGTTTAATGGCCTTTAAAACGCTCCCAGTCTGATTTATGAATATTTGCGCCCCTTCCACATTTCTTGGAATTACATTAAATCTCACTCTAATCTGACACCTCGTACACATTTCTCGTGTGCGAATTCCTCATATGCGCGTTCTCCTCCACTTTGGCCTCCTCCGCTGCACACTCCCTGGGTGCTCGTAGGCTGAACGTGCGGTGGTGATTGTCCCCCGGGGGATCTGGTCGTTGGGAACATGGGTACTTGGAAAGTGGGATGGGTGTGGTGTTTGCGGTGGTGGGAGAGGTTTGCCCAGAGGTCTGGACATGGAAACCCACTCAACTTTCCCTCCAACTTTCTCCTCTAGGAGAGGAGATTGGCAGTCATTGAGGGAGTGAAAGTGTGTGGGTTACACTTGTTGGGAAAGTTTAATTGGGCTGATGACGAGATGCTATGTGCTCATCTCATGGCGTGGCGGTGGTGGGGGCCATGATTGAATTAGTGGGCGAGTGAGGCCGGGTTAATTAATGGGTGTTGGATAATGATCTAAGGATGGCCCATCAGCATCACATCACATCTTGTTCTACAACCAGCAATAAGCTACCAAACTTTCCAATCAGGTTGACTCGCTGGCAGACTGTGTATTATTATGGGGCCGAGGAAACCTTCCTCCTCACAGTCCTGCCTGATGCACAGCCATTTCTTGGCCCTTCAACGAAAGTGGCAAACTTTCTTCCTCGTGGTTTGATGGATGGAGGCTGGGCGTCTCAATAAATGAGTGGGTGCCACACATTCAAGTACTTTAAGCTAACTCGCACGTAAATAAATTCCAGGTTTGGTCACAAGTACGTCGTGCTGGACTGTCCCGTGACGCTGGCCCAGGAGGTCATCGTCACTCACGTGCTCAACCCCACGATGGGCCGTCGCACGTACCACTACCTCATCTCCGGCCTTGGAATGGACGAGCCCTGGGAGTCTTCCATCGTGGAGTACGGGGCTGTGAATGTGACGGGATTTCGGATCGTGGACCCGGGCAGGAAGGTCGTGCGCGACTTTATGAGCAAGTGGAGCGCCCTCGACCCCACCAACTTCCCAGGAGCTGGAAAACCCTCCATTTCGGTCAGCCCATACATTTCCTCTTTAAATTAATTAATACTACTACGAAATATTTGGTATAATGATACTGAGGAAGTGAGGAGTCGCAATTTGGAGTTGGTGGGTTTGATGAGAGAATAATGTGTGGATTTAATCCTGCGTGATTAACGACTCGGTGGTCGAATTTGTTCCTCATTGTTTGTCTTGCTTATTATGATCTCTCTCTGGAGTGACGGGGAAGGAGGAGACAGATTATGTGTGCTGCTGCTGATGATGAGATTAGAGCGATTAGCTTCGGCCTTTCTCCTCCTCCGCTCCCCACGCCAACGCCGACTTGCCTCCGACAACCGGCTCCTTTGTTTGCTACCGTTAATGAGGTGGAGGAGAAACAAACAGGACGACTCTTCCATTCTGATTGCACCGCCACCATTTATTTATTCCACTCCAACGCACACCACACGACGACTACATGTATTGCATTCCTAGATACTCTGCTCATAATGATAACAACATCGTCACCACCATTATTACCGAGAGAGAGATATAATATAGATTACAGAGAGAGAGAGAGAATAAAGGCCACTGGCAGAGTGAGGATAATTAATGCGATTCGAAATATTCAGAGCTGTCGACAGAGGAGGTTCAAATCCTGATGTGGAAATTAGCCAGAAAATCGGGTGATCTCGTGATGACATGTTCTAGAGGCAAGAGAGAGAGAGAGAGTCAGATAATTAATAGTCGCCTTGTCAGATATGGGCACAGAAGGCAAGGGCAAAGGAAGCGAATAAAGGGCTCGGATACGTGATGCATTTATGGTTCGTGTATAGTTACCAAATTCTCCAAAGGACAACTTCCCATCGTCGTCGACGTCGGCCTCCTCCAGGACTTTGACACTCACGAGGGCCACTTCGTCAGGGGCTAGCTCATCCCGAGTCAGGAGTTTCAACGTCTGCTCCAAGTCACCCGTCCCCAGAAATTGATCCCCATCAAAATCTACAACACATGCACACACACACACACAGAATGCGTTGAATACTAACTCTGGCAGTTTGCATCATTGTGTTGTATTTACCATAAATTCTGAAGGCGTAGTAGACCTTGATGTCCCGTGGGGCATGTTCTGAGAAGGCGGAGAAAATGTCGAGGAAGTCTTCAAAACTGATTCCATTCCCATCTCGAGAAAACACTTGGCATATCCGATGGCGAAACGGGTTCTCCTACAAAAAACACATACCATATTTGAGAGCAGAAATTTATCATGTTTGAAGCACGAAAACAACGACTTCTTTAGAACCCCACATGACCCCAGTGGCGAGGAGGACCCATACCTTGAGCTCCGCCATTTTGGCCACCGTTTCCAACGGCAATCGGACCGTCATTGGCTCGTTGGCTGTCATGGACTTGGGCACGATGGAGGGGTTCAGCTCTCGGAACTTTTTAAACACCCTGCAAAAGTAATCATTCACCATGTGTGAATTATTAGTGCTCATGTGTTTGGTTAAGGAGCATACGATGATGAATTTGCACATGTTTACCTCAGAATTTCCTTCCGCGTGAAGAAAGTGCAGTCCTGAAGGAATGGAATAACATGTGTGAAGAGTGGAGTCCTAATTGGTCTTTGAGTATGTCTGGGTCTCACCTGATAATCCTCCAACTGCTCCTCCGTGAAGGTGACGATTTTGTTGCCCATGGTCTGCCAGGTTTGCTTCCAGGTAGGGCAACCAGCCTTGAGCTCCTTCTTACTCGAGGAGAGAAAGCCAACTGACCAGAAAGGACCACGCCCAAAATATGAAGCCAGCCATTAGTTGGTTAGCGATGCTGCTGATCTCTCGCACTTCTGCACCTCCGTCGTTATTGCATTCATATTGCTATTCATCCATGCGCTTTGTACTTTCCCCGTACGGCTGAGAGCAGGTAGGAAGCAAGTCCAGCAGGGAAAGCAGCATCAATCATAAAATGACTCAAAGTCAACTTTATAGACGATGGAGCAGTAAATGGATGGCGTTACGACTTCCGTCCGCCTCACATACGTATTACCTCCTCCAAACGAACCTATTTCCCTTATAATAGATAGATAAACATGCACATGTAACTCACAATATAACGCAAACCAAGTGAAAGTGAATTTTGTAAAATCAAGCAAATAAAAATGATTCTAAGAATATATGTTTTCGGATTTTTCAACTCGGGCAAAAATTCTAAAACTTGAAGAATTAAAAAGTATCTACGTAAGGTTTTGCCTATAAAATATTTTACTCCAATTAGGAGTAAGTTCAAAGTAAAAATTAAAAAGAAAGCTTATGATGAGTTAACCAAACTCTGTGGGTCACAAAATATCTGGGTTGAACATGTTTGAGTTCCAATGGTGCATATTTTGTGGACCACATCAAATTGATCACAAGAATTAGCAAAGATATGCCAAGTAATGAATGTTAATGCGGAATGGGTACGACAGGCGAACGCTGCTCTGATGTACGATGCGATCTCCGTCCTGGCCGAAGCCTTTGGCAAGGTGTTGCGGAAGAAGCCGGATTTCTTTGTTGGCGGATCCATCAGCACCACTTCCGGCGGAGCCATGAGCACCAGCAACAACAAGACCCCGACATTCCCGTCCTCCTCGTCCTCATCGACGACGACGACGAGTTTCAATACGACGATGCGAGAAGTTCACTGCGCCACGGGCCGGGACTTCACCGACTCTCCCGTCCCTTTCGAGCTGGGTGAAAAGATTTCAAAGTTTATCAGAAAGGTGAGTGCGAGCGAGCACAAGTGGACTTTTTCCTCTCTCTGCCCAACTTTTGCGGTGAAAGTGAAAGTTGTCCAACTTTGCGGCCTTTCTCTTTTAAAAATCGCTTAAATTCCGTGTCAGAAAGTTTAAAAATAAATTTACACGACCGACCACGGTGCGTGGCACGTTCGTTCATAAGTTAGTTTACTACGAAGGGAGAGACTTGATGGGCTGAAAAAGTTGGAAGAAAGCAAGGAGCCGAGTTCATGCTCCTCTGGACAATAATACGTGAAGGAGGTTCACTGTGTGTGTATGAAGCAAGCGATGGTTATCATATCCAGCCCACTCGCTCCCCTGCGACCCACTTTCATTGATGATGTCACAATTATTTACTATTGAACCCAAGTCAGCGCTGGGGTGGCTGATTTGTGGTGGTGAATGTCACTAATTAGTGAGGATGGGATTGATTATACACGCTCCGTGCTGTTCTGCTCTGTCGCTGGGGAGCCATTCATCACTTGAATCCGTTTCTAATTGTTATTATTAAACCCCTCCAATTAGTCAACGACACCTTGAGCACAGAATAAGCTCCAAAAGTTGAGCCCTGGTTGAAATTTTGATCATTTTCTGTAGAAATTCCACCAAATTTTCTGTAGAACAACTGTATTCAGAGTGATGTGTGCATATTTAAAACTATGCAGAATTAGAATAAGCGTATAATATGCATCGAGCTTTTGTTGATTACTGCAGAATTCGACACTGATTTCTACCAGGGGGTGAGAACCCATGTTGGTCTACCGGATAGCTTGATATTAGATATGTTAGATATGTTAGGTAGGATATCATTAGGTCACGACGACAAGTGGACACGGTTAGCTAGTAGCGTGTTTGATAATAATGGTCCTCGCGTAACTAGGTGGAGTTGGAAGGGCTGACGGGCACCATCCGATTCACAGAGGAGGGACGACGCCACAATTTTTCCGTCGACGTGATGGAGCTCTCCGTTCACAGCACGAAAGTGAAGGTGGGTGTGTCACCGATTTTTCGCGGCAAAATGCATATGCTCGTCATACATATATCTTATTTGAATATCTATTACAGATTGCTGAGTGGAGTGACACGCAGGGTTTTGTCAAGATTCCCCCAAAGTACGTGCGACCCACAACGTTCTCACGGATTCAGAAGAACCGCACCTTCATCGTGACCTCCATTCTGGTTCGTCCTTTCTCATCTCTACAACACATAATTGTACATTTATTCCCACATTGTGTGTCATCTTCCGCCCACAAAAAACTTTTCATAATTTCCAACCCAGCGGAACAAGTTCTTAATTAATTGGCCAACGCTCAGTTCTTTTCTAATTAGCATTAATACCTCTTGTCTCGCTTTCCGTCCCCTACCCCTCGTGCACGGCATTGTGCATGGAGAGAAGCCCTCGACGTTCACAAAAACCTTCTTTTCATGACATTTCTCTTTGTTCTCAATGGCTTCCTTAATCATTCTGCTCATCATTTCCCTCTTGCCTCGTTCCTGCAAAGTCAAATAATAGCCAAACCCCATACGTCCCCACGCCCTCCAAGTGCCCCGTAGAACGAATATGCTCCGAATTTGTCCACAGGGCTGGATGTGCATGCATGTGTCTTATATTTTCGAACGGAAGACAGCGTTTGCTTTTATCAGGTCCTCCAACAAAAAAACGACGTGTTTGCTTACTTGACAGCGAGTATCGTGTGCACGGCTCGTCGTCTGCTAATTAAATTGCACCAACACAGCATAGAAGCATCTTGGTATTATTTTATGGGGCGCGACCCACTATGAAAATAATAATCTCATTTCCCAGTGGGAAATTCCCACCATGTTTCCCTTGGCCTCCAAAAATGCACTACTAATATTTATACGTTAATATTGACACATTACTAATCGTCCTCATCCGTCTCGGAAACTTATTTCTAATTCCAAACTATGATTTCTGGATTAATGATTATACAAGAGTACGGTCAAGTGACGAACATTTGGTCACTGGGACGTGAAACTCATCATGATCCACCAGATATAGCTTTTTCAACCGGTACGATTTACGAAGCCTGGTCTCACTTCGAATCGTTTGGTCGTTATTATTTTAAAACGTTTACACGACCATGCAAATTTATCTCAGTGGTTCTCACGTTCTTAATCAGTGCGGGAGAGGTGGGATAATTCGTTGGTTCGAGAATGCCATGTTGAAGACGAGATACAGACAACGACTCTTGAACGTTAATCGCCAAGTCTGGTGTTGTTATTTCAGGAGGAGCCCTACCTCATGCCAAGGACGCCGGAGAAGGGGGAAGTCCTCACAGGCAACGATCGCTATGCCGGATTCTGCAAAGACCTGGCCGACAAGATTTCAGACAAGTTGGGAATTCAGTGTGAGTCGAGTTCTGCTACGCAAATATCCTCCAAAGTGGCATTTCAATGTATGTAGAAATGCATAATTATTCACGCAGACGAGATGCAGATCGTGAAGGACAACAAGTACGGGAACGAGAACAGGAACGGGGACTGGGACGGGATGGTAGGAGAGCTGATGCGGAGGGTAAGTGAGCTCTACTTTATACGGATAAGTATGATGTAAGATAAGTGGGTGTGGTTTTTCAGGAGGCGGACATTGCCATCTCACCGTTGACCATCACTTCCGAGCGGGAGCGTGTGATCGACTTTTCCAAGCCCTTCATGTCCCTCGGCATCTCAATCATGGTTTTCAAGCACCCGAAGCGATCCCCCTCCGTCTTCTCCTTCATGAGCCCCCTCTCTAACGAAATCTGGCTCTGCGTCTTCTTTGCCTACGTCGGCGTATGTCAAGCTCACCCATTCCTCTCGCTGCTGCATATCCACTTATTCGTCCTTTATTCTAACATGTCACACTTTTTTTTATTTCCTCCAGGTCAGCATCGTCCTCTTCCTCGTTTCCCGGTTCAACCCCAACGAATGGAAAACGGGGGCCGATGGAACCATGAGCACATCCTCCGTGTCGAACGACCCCATGTGGTTCTCTTTGGCGGCCTTGTTGCAACAGGGGTCGGACACGTCGCCGCGCTCGACGGCGGGTCGGATTGTGGGCGCGGTCTGGTGGTTTTTCACCCTCATTCTCATCTCGTCGTACACGGCTAATTTTGCCGCCGTCCGCACAGTCAACCGCATGGTCACACCCATCAACTCGGCCGAGGACCTCGCCGCCCAAACCGACGTCGAGTATGGCACCCTCGATCGCGGATCCACCTGGAACTTCTTCAGAGTAATTCCGTCAGAACATAGATCTGCTAATAATTTAATGCAGGGGTATTCTGATATTTGATGTGCCGATATAACCCCAATGTTTTTTTTTGCAGAGGTCGCAAATGCAAGCGTACACCAAAATGTGGGACTTTATGTCAGCTCGACCTCACGTCTTTGTCCGCACTTATGACGATGGGATAAAGCGAGTGAGGGAGAAGAAGGGTGAGTCCCCGGATAGCTCATTTGCATTTCCCATTATTCCGCCCCCTCTCAGAGGAAGCCATGTAATCAGGATGTATACAACGGTCGAACTGTGTAACTAACAAGCATGCACAGTGCAACTTGGGCGATTTGAATGTGATCAAAAGCGGAGTGGCTGTGACCCATTTCACAAACGAGACTTTTTCCGCCTGGTCCTTTTCTCCCAGTGGAAGCATCATCGTCACGGTGCCCAACTTTCTCTCTGTTCCGCCTCAGCCCAGGCGAAGGGTTCATTTAGTAGTGCCTGCCTCCACAACACATGCTTCTACTTCCCATCAAACCACTCGTCCCATTCAGTATGGAGTCAGACGTCGAAATTCTGTCTCGATCCTCACCAGACGACCAGATCTTGATAGCATTGAATTGCAGTCATCGAATGCATGAAATTGTATGCACTCTGCTGTGCTACTGGCTCTCTCAATTAATTGGCCTATTCTATCCATCACAGTCCCGTGCGGTGTTTTTCCCCTCGTGCAATTGTCCCAACAGAGAACGTTAATTAACGTTGGTTACCCATGCCTGTGCTGTACATTCAGCAGCGTCCCGTTCACTAAACCCACTTTGCTAGCTGTATAAGTAAATAGGTAACTTGGGAGGACGAGATGCGCCTGCAAAGTGGAGGAGGAAATGAAAATTTGAAAATATTTGGATCGTTCGTCTGAGTAGTGAAATGCTCTCACTTTCTCTCCTTCTCTCTCCATATTGTCTGCCTCTAATTGCACCATGAATGTGTAGAGATGAAATATGTGTATGCTTACAAAAGTGGTGCACATGGCGTTGTTGGTGGGTTTCGACATGACAGTGATTCATGTTGTTGTGTTCTCAGCTACTGTTCCGGCTCTTGCTCGCACAAATCCAGAATCACTTTCCGAACCCAATTTGGAGCCTTGTTTTACTTGTTTCGTATGACTTGGTTGGAATTTGCATTCATCAACTCTCTCGCTCGCTGCAAAAGAGCATTGATGGTCCTATTTACAAACGGGGTACTGGCCTTGTTTTACACGTTCCGTTGATGAAGTCATTCCCATATGCGTCACATACGAATTTGGAACGGTGATCAAATGGAAATGAGGCTGCACATGAATGTATCTATCTCCAAAGTGTATGGACATGGCTGACATACCCGTCCCCATATTATCCTACGCGTCTATTCTTTAGCAACTGTTGTGGTAGTGGCAGTTGTATACATGTATCTACAAATCTATAGTCCATAAAATTAGTCAGTTGATGGCAAATTGTTTATTGTACGTGGACACGAGTTGTTTTTGTCTCGCATGACGAATGCTCCTGTCTTATTCTAGGAAAGTACGCGTTGTTGGTCGAATCCCCAAAAAACGACTACACGAATGAGAGGCAGCCCTGTAACACGATGAAGGTGGGGAGAAATCTGGACGCGAAGGGGTTCGGCGTGGCCACCCCACTCGGCTCACCCCTCAAGTAAGTAGACTTTCCTGTATCCATAGTCCATAGGCATATCGAGGCAGAGGTCGGTACGATTAAGCATAATTGGTCTGCGTGACCACAGCAAGGTTCATGGTCTCAACATATGTTTTTTTGTGGGTAGGCAGCAAATCAACCTGGTTGTGCTAAGCATGAAGGAGAGTGGGACGCTGATGCAGATGCAGAACAAGTGGTGGGTGGACAGGTCCGAGTGCCCCCTTCCAGACAAGAATGCGGCCGAGGCGGATGACGAGCTGTCGTTGAAGAGCTTGGCCGGGATATTCTACATTCTCATCGCAGGCCTCGTCCTCGCCGTGGTGATCGCTCTCCTCGAGTTCTGCTGGAACTCGCGGAAGGAGGCCAAGCGGCGACAGATTTCCCTCAAGGAAGCCATGAAGGTCAAGGCGCAGATGTCCATCTCTGGTATGAAAGTGCAGGAGGCGGACTCGGCCACGCAAACGACGAATGGGAACAACGGCCAGGGGTGCAGCCAGCAGTCCACCCTCAGAGCACGACTGCCCACGACCACGCGCGGGGATGCGCGGCACTACTCCTCCTCCAGACATCACCACCCCCACGACCCCATTCCCAACCTCTGACGAGAGCTCAAAGACTAAACGCAAAAACTCTCTCTTCCTCGCTCCCCACAAGTACCTGAAGTGCCTTTTAGAGTAGTAATGACAGCGAAAAGTGGTGTGCACATGGTGGTTCATGATTACCAGGGACTTGAAGGCCACTCACACTCACGAAACTGCTAACTAACCGTCATAATCGCCAAACTTTGTAATCGTACGTGCCAATATCTGTGTAGATAGTGAAAGATGAAGCTACATATATGTCAACTTTGCGGATGGGTGTCTGAATTCTCTGGTATTAAATAAATAACTAGTGCATGGTTGGTTTATATGGGTGCAATTGTTCTTAACAATGTTACAAGTTTTAGAGTCATATCACTTATCAATCAGAAAAGGTGCAGAACAGGCACCATTATGTACATAATAGTTCCTAGCTTATTGGAGGACCTTGCCCTATCAATTTGTATAGCATGTTTAAAATCAAATCAAACGGGTCGGTCCAGGAAGTGCGGTGGATAGAGTAGCAAATTTAGTAGAACCACTTCTCTAGCGCAATCGTTGTCCTTATCCGTAATTACATTGTATAGCTTCATCATCACATGCGCAGCGCCCTGTGCAAGGATTCGTCATTATAATTCATAATCCTAGTTTCTACTCTAATCAAGTTCTAAATATATGCATAGTTAATAAATATAGTTAAGTATGTAATAATAAATAAAGAACAAATATTGCTATTCAGTGTGCAGTGAACCTTAGCTACATCAATTTTCGAACGAGTTTGCACTTTTTAGTGGCGACGTGACGCACGGATTATAAGGGAAAGCCTGCGTTGTGTGATTAATGTCGAATTATTCTATAATTGCACGCACCAGTTATCTAAGGTTAGAGGTTATCTTATCGTTGGCCTCATCATACCTCGTCATCCAGTAGGAATAATTGAGCTTGGAAAATGTTTTTATCGGGAGTTCATTCTTAACTGTAGCTAAATTTTGGTAATAATGACTTTCAAGAAGGTATATATTATATATACCAAAATAATGCATGTGCATACAATTTCAAACCGCAGAGTAATCATTAATCCAATCATATATGATATATGATTGGATTAATGATTACTCTGCGGTTTGAAATTGTATGATATATGTATGTACCAACAAGTCGTGCACATTAATCACAATCATCATTTCATTTCGCACGGTTTTTAATTTCAGAAATCAGAATAGAAGCCCATAATCATATGTACATATGTATATCCATAAGTTAAATTTAGATTGCAAACCATACTTAAGTAACATGGATCCTATATTGCAATAATATTAACTCAATTGCTGTACATGAATGCAAAAAGCAATGTTTCAATTTAAACAACTAAAGAGCAGTACCAGATTTGACCTTAAATAGATTATCACAAAAAACTAGCACAACTTGACATTTCTTCATTGTCTACTTATGCTTACGAAACGTTCACAACTGCTGCTAATGGACCTAGATGAAAAAGACGTGAAGGGTAATAAGGTACTAACTAGTATGTAATTACAGTTTAATTTGAATGACCGTAACGACTAGGCAAATCAAATTATAGTCAAAGGTTATAAATTACGTACAACCAGGCCAATAGCTCACCGTCTTATTTTTTACACTTATGCACAATATACTTAGCAATTACGTATTGGGTTTATGTAGTTAATGTACAGAAAGTCAATTGAATAATTAAATAAAAATCTGGTGGTGCGAGGATAATGGGTCCTGAAGCTTGTTTGTGGCGAGAACATCATGCAAAAAGAGAGGACAGGACAACAGCAAGTGTATTATGTATAGCTAAGGCAGGAGGAGGAGGATTGACATATTTTAGTAGGAGGACGACGTCACGTAAACGAACAACACCAACAGGTAAACACTGAACTTCGGGATAATGTCTCGCATTATTGTTGGATGTTGTTGAGCAAGGAGTTAGCTAAGGAAATAATAAGAGAGGGTTATTCTTATTAGCTTCATATTATTAGAAATATCGCGATTAATATATGAGCACTCAACCAAACGCACATTACTCAAATTATTTACATTCTCTCCGCCACAACTAACACAATTGCTTGAAATAATTTACACAATGAATGAATGAATGAACACGGATCAACTTTAAGAATTACACGACAAAAGACCTTTGTACAATTTTGAATAAAATCTGTTGGGAAAATAAATAGTCAACTTGTACGGAAATGAATGGTTAGAAAACTCGCTCACAATTCATCTTTGAGTAGAGTGTATCGATTGGAGGAAGGGGCCAATTTTTTAAAGGTGGATTCTGGGGGCGACGTCCCCTTTGGTTGGGTCAATAAGTCATTGCTGGGGTCTGAGTTGGGGTCCGGTCCGTAGTGGAACTCGCGGTGAAGTTTTCCCGAATGAAGATCTGCAATAAAGTTTTTCAACTTTCCAGGAATGTCCATCTGGCTCGCATCCTATATAACAAAGACAATGGTAATATTTGTAGAGATGTGAGGAATCTCAAACATGCCAAGAGGCAAACTGATGCAATATTGCGAGCCAAAATTAAATCGGCATTTATAATTCCACCCCACCCCCACCCCTGTGTGAAAAAGTTGGAGGAATATGAAGCCAGTATGGCTCAATCCTCAAAAATAGTGACACCTGAATCATCCCGCAAAAGAACCGTTGTCAAATCTGATCCTCAACCTACCTCAGACTCGGATTAATCCTAACATGTATTTGTACTTATGGTTTTATTACTATGATTTAACTAAAATAAAATCTAAGTTAATATGAATAAGCCCAGTTATCCATTTATTTACTTACCGGAAAAAGGTACATGTGGCGAAAACTGTATACAAAATAAATTTCGAAAAAGTTCAAGGCATGTATTGACTGTGTGGACCAAGAAGTAAGCATATGTTCACCTATCGATGGCAATGAGGGGTAAATCCTTCTCAGATTTTCCCAAGTGATGAAGGGGGTGGGCGAATCGCTTTCCATCGGCAGTGAGGAACGTGATGGCGTGCTTTTCACCCATCAATTGCTCATGAACAACTTGGTTGTAGCGTCTAATACTGTCCTTATCGTCTGGGTTGTGAAATAGGATCATGAATGGGAGCCCCTCCTCTGTCAATTCCTCTGCATTCTCGAATGTGATTTCTCTCACGAGTGGAACACACTTGGTTTGAATCCATGTTAGAACCTCGTCAAAATTTTCAGAGTTTCCTTTAAATGTCTCGTCGAGTTCTACAGAAGTTGTTCGATCTGGTCGGAAAGCAAGAATGTCAACATCCGGGGGGTGCATGGTGCGTGATGCCTCACTGTAATTGAATCGTCATGAAGTTAAGTTAAACATTTACCATTATTATATATGATATGCAACAAAAAAAACCACACCCAAATCCAACGTAGAAAGCACAATCGTCCTTCAAATTCATGGCGACTCGGCGATAAGTATCATAGGTTCTGCTTGTATTGGAAGTCATGTAGCCAATAAATATGCGTTTCGTTTCGTCAATGCTGAGAACTTCTCGAAGGTGATGAAATTCGTGAATAGGGTTTTCCATCTGCTTGACGATGTACTCCAAGAAGGCTTCCGGCGTCCGACCACCACGATACTCTTTTTTGACAGGAACTCCATTTCGAATTAACTTGAGCGTTGGATACTTTGATATCTTGTACCGAGATGAAATCGAGCCTGTTAATTAACAAACCATGTTTAAAACCCTGATAGAATGGGATTTGGATCTAGTCAAGAGAATAGTAATAGCTTACTGTGCTTATCACTGTCAACTCTTCCTAAAGTGACTTTAGTTTTGTCTGGAAAAACACCAGAGATTTTGTCTGCAGCTTCATCAAAAATTGGAGCTAGAAGGTTGCTAAATCGACACCAGTCGGCGTAAAAATTTACAAAAACGAGCTCCGAATGTGCTGTAGAGTGAAAATTGTATATGTTAATTACGTTTTTAATTGTAGCTATATTAAAGTTTAGATTCATCTACCAATTGTAGCATCAAAATTAGATTCGTCGAACTCTACAGCTCCACTGTCAGTTGGATTATAAAATGAGATCACTACCTGCAATGATAAATAAACAAACAGTCACGAACCACACTAGCAATTGACACATTAATCTATGATGACTGATATTATGGACACATACGAGATAGAAGAGGACAATCCCCCATGATTTTCTTGAGCAGGATCGTTGCGGCATAAACGACATTTCTTTATTTCTTGGTCGCCTATTACTATATGTCATATGTTGCCGTTGTAGAAAATTGCAACATCAACTAACCAAAACTGCACTTCTAATCGAAGTCTTGGATGGAAAGGAGAGTAACTTTTTTGTAGTGTGCCTTGTATAACTAAAAAAATATAAAATTTTATGGACTTTTATGGACTCAAGGGAACAATAGGTTTTTGTTGACTGTTTTTTTATTTGGAGAGTGCTTTGGCTACGAATAGCGAGTAGCAAGGACATACAAATGAGGCGTGTTGTATATAAATTGTAATTTTGTGAGAAGAGACAAATGACAAGACCCGGCTGGTGGACTGAAATTTTGATGAAACTTGTTCAGCAAATTGTGACAATAATAATCCTTTGCTGGACACGTTGGCTGATCTCTACGGCCGGAGAGATGAGGAATAAAACAGCAGCGCGGAATCCGATTAAACAAGGCGTCTCATTTTCCTCACTCAAACCCAACGAAAAGAAGCCACATATTTTTTTAGCGATAAAAATGTTCATGAAATATTAGTAAAAATAAAAATATATATTTGCAGCAGCGACATACTCCTCTACAACTTTTCTTTGATGTTACTATCTTCTTAAAATAAAATGACATGTTTATTATCATTTTTGAGTAACGATTGCTTTTACATTTTAATAATAGCTCTGATTATATGATAATTGTGATATATTATGAGTGTATACAATACACTCATTTGGTCACTTGATGTATTGCGTGAGCCAGATAGTCGACATTTTTTGTGGTGATACCGACAATGGCGATTCTGCCATCTTTGGTAAGGTAGACGCTGTGCTCTTTCATGAGTTTTTCCACCTGCTCTGGTTTCATGCCAGTGAAGCAAAACATGCCGATTTGATCCGTGATGTGTGACCAATTTCGAGAGGACCCTTCCTTCTTCAAATTGTCTTTCAACTGGTTCCTCATGCTGATTACACGGTCAGCCATCCCCTTCACTTCGGCCAACCTAAAGTTCATTTCGAAAAGTTGCACAGCTTAAACTTGGTTTACCTGATTACTGGACCATTATTGTGAGAGAGAATAAATAATTGTAAATACCATTGTCCACGCAGGGATGAATCGTTCAAGAGTTCAGCTGCAATTCTAGCTCCATGGACAGGTGGATTAGAGTACAAGGGACGGATGACGATTTTGAGTTGGGACATGACCTTGTCCGCCTCTTCCTTTGAGCTGCAGATGAAGGAAAATGCTCCCACACGCTCACCTGCAGTCATAATTCCATAAAGTGTATTTAACAAATAAGTAGAATCAACTTTTTTGCACACATTTTTGTGAAACTGTCATTAGTACTTAAGTACATATGTCACCCACCATACAGTCCCATATTTTTAGCAAATGATTGTGCCAATCCTATTTGATGTCCATCCTTGAGGAACAGTCGAACAGCAGCGGCATCCCGATCCATGTCACCTGAAGATTTTGCCATTTCACATTTTGTGTAATGTCTATACAAGAAGAAAAGTTTATAAAATATTTACCAGAAGCAAATCCTTGGTAAGCCATATCAAAGAAGGGGAACAGTTTTTTCTGCTTGATTAACTTTGATATTTCTGCCCATTGTTCTGGCTTGGGATCAACGCCTGTTGGATTGTGAGCACAGGCGTGGAGAAGGATGATTGAGTTTTCTGGGATTTTCCGAATGTCTTCCAGTGCTCCTTGAAAGTCGAAACCGCAAGTTTTGGGTTCATAGTAGCGATAAGTCTTGACATTGAGGCCAGAGTCTTTGAAGAGAGGGATGTGGTTGCCCCATGTGGGGATGGGAAGGTAAATATCCTTATTCCCAGGGAAAAAACGGCGGAGGAAAGCACCCCCAATTCTTAAAGAGCCCGTTCCACTGATACCTTGAACTGTGGCGTTGAGTCCACTGGATGTCCATGGATTTCCTTCCCCAAGAGCAAGATTTATTGCTGCCTGCAAAGTTTTTGCTTAATTATATTTGGTTCACAATTATTAACCTGCTCAAGTGGTTGGCTAACCTTGAAGAACTCGGGCACTAGTAATTCATGAAAATTAAAGAAATTAAAAATTCATAAAATTCCTGAAAACTACAATTATGTACGTTGAATTGGTGATTTAATTTAGGATGTAGCAGACGTGACACCTCTGCAAAACTGGTCGTATTTTACATAGGTCGGGTAAACAACGCCCAAGTAGCGTTCTCTCTTTGTCTATTGTGTACTTTTGACCAAACCACAATTTACCTAAAAATAACTTCGTTCGCCTAAAGCATACTCTTTATCTGAAGCGTGGCTTCTTATCTTTTGGCTTGGCTTCTTACCTGTCGCTTGGAAATTCTTACAAGACACTTGGCTAAAATTCGTTTATTCGGTTTGTGCCTGAGGGACGGACAACATCAACTTTCCTAGTCTTGCTTTTTGGACACATTTAATCAAAATTAGTAGTAATACTCTTGACAAAATGTCTGGAAACCAGCAGAAAACTCCTGGTCCATCAAAACGGAAGGATGAACCGTCTGAGGAGGAGAAGGACGAGACTGAGGACGAGACTGACGATACCGGATCTGAAGATGACCAGGAGTACAATAAGAAAGAGGTAAAACAACATCATTTATGTATTATATCTCGTTACCCAGAAAATTTTGAATGTGAAATCTACACTTCGTGTTCTTTAACTAAGTTTTTTATTATATGATTCTAGTTCAAAACAAAGGGTGAGTTTCTCCTCTCGCTACGAAATATTACAAAGGACCAGTTCCGGGACAAAAAATGGTTCGCCCAAGTCATCGAGGACGGTCAGAAGCGAATCAGGAGCAAAATCAAACGAACTCATATGACGAGTGAAATGTTTAAATGGGAGGATAAGACCTTGAAATACAAAAATGTCAATCAGTGGAGTACGTTGGACTCTGTTAATACTAAACGAATACATAGTATCAAAAATTCGGAGACAAGAAAAAACAAACGCGAAGCTGAAGGGGCACGAAAGCACCAAACATATATATGCATCACTTTGGAGAAGGATAAGATCAAGGGTAACTTTATATTTGTTAATTAACTTTTAAATAAATTTCAAAATGGTTTACTCGCCGATATGTTATGAACAAAATATATATTTTTTGCTTAATATTACTATATTCAACAGGAATGACGACACGAGAAATATGGGACTGGATAAGAGCAGAAAACCCTCCGAGAGGAACGTATGTCGGCGAGACATTTGGAGCTCTCATTGGAGCTAGAAAAGGTCATTTTAACAGATATCAAGTAAGGCTAACCGGTTTGGCATTGCATCTGCGTACAACTGGCGATAGCTGTTTCCAAGTGGGTGTTATCATCACGGATTCAGAGGATGAGCGGAAGGATTTGGAGGAATTTATAATAGTAAGTCTCAAATTTCATCTAAATACTATATATTTCACTACATGTTCTCACTTTCAAATTAGCACTATCTCGCACAACAAGAAGAAGAAAATTGTGGAATGAAGCTGATAAACAAGAAGACCGACTTCCGTATCGACCCCGATATGCGTTCAACAGCTCGAAACTTGGTCCATGCTGGGATTCCTCTGATCCGATTTGAAGAGACCGGAGTTATTGACGTTGCCAACAGATATGATCTAAATTACATATGTACCCCTGAAGATTTCATCGAGAAAATCATGACTGGATAAAACTAATATTTGATTATGTTATGAATTGAATTTGATGAATTTTATGTTTTACTCAATTTTTAGACTTGTTTGCTATGCTACGTGGTTTTTTTAACTGTCTAGATTGACGAATCAATGAATAAATAGTGTTTCATTATCCTTAATTTCAGTGTTTCTTGTTTCCATCATTTGCTAGAGAGGCATACATATTTACGTAATTCATATCTGCATGTATATCTATAACCTAACCTCCAGTAATTCCAGCATATTCCTTGTCCAAATTCTTTTTGATAACTCGTTCTTCAGCCTAGCAAAAAATATAATACGGCACATGGTAAAACATGTTATTTAAAATTCTAATCTCGTTCTATTCTATGATGATCTCATTGTACGATGCATTGATGATCAGCTCACGATTTTAACAGTCGGAAGAACATAAGGTTTGCCTTGATCATCTCGATAAGCGCCAACGCCCAAGTTGATTTTTTTGGGGTTGGTGTCCTTCTTGAAGGCTTCGGTGACCCCCAGTATGGCATCGGGTGGACCCATAGGGACCCCAGCCCACCAGGAACTGCATCATTTCAAATATTCAAAATAAAAATAGGTGCAAAAGTTTAACATCGTATGTTCTCTGTTGTATAAGGATGATGATAATAAACGTACCTGGACCTGGTGGACGCAACAGGGAGTTGAAACAGGCGAAGAGGACGGAGTGTGTTCATCATGTCTCACCCAGGCAGTAAATATTACCGGTCACTAAATATATTTCTTTGGGCACGGCCGTTCGTCAGCTGATTGGATATGAGTTAGCCGAGGAGTGTGTTGTTTTGTTGACCAGGTTGAAAGACTAGATTTAATATGTTTAATGGAAATGGAACACATGCACACGTCTTCCACTCGTGATCATCACGAGAAGAAGCAGAAATAATAAGATTATGTTATGAGATTGCCAAATCTGTCTCGTCCGCAAAAGATTACATGTCTTTTTCAACTAGCCCCTGGTCAGACGAGGCTCGTCTCCGTACAGAATTGGAAGATAACAAAACTTGCATCAAGTTGCATGTTAGCGAAGTATACATACATATTTACATGCATTATGTCGTGTTATGAAGCGAAAACACTTTCACCTATGGGTCCGTTTGTTCACGCATATAAATTTAGCATTTTATTCAGATGATTTCAAATTAAAACAAAGTGAGCATAAAGTGAGTGATTTCATTATGGTTTTACTTGATCATAGTGTTGGTCAAGGTGCTTGTGGTGACGACCCCTTTACCTTCCACCCTCCACAAGAAGGTTCCCTTGTAGGTGGCTTCCTTCTTCTCGTTTGTCTTCAACTCAGGGGCTACAGTTTCCCAAATCTTCTTCTTGGGGTTCAGAACGGCCTCCGGAGCACGAGGAAAGTTGTCAACTTGAACCACGTCCCCAGGAACTGAACCTTCGGGTGGGAGAAGGATTTCCACCTTCTCCGGACCACTAGCACACATCACCATCCCTTCTGAGAAAATCCCACGCATTTTAGCCGGCTTCAAATTTGCCAACACCACAACGAGTCTGTTTCGCATTTCTTCGATGGGGACGTGTTTCACCTATAAGTTAAAAATTTCCATATTCAAATATTTGAAACTGAGGAGAAAAGATATGCGATAGGGTGGTTACCAGCCCACTGATGATGGTCCTGTCCTTGCCCTCACCCAAATCAATTTTTTCCACATACAGAGAGTCGGCATCGGGATGTGGGTCACATGCCCTGATGAGCCCGATACGGAAGTCCAACTTGCTCACGTCCACCTGATCGTCCCCAGCAGCAGCGGGGGGCGGTGGCGGTGGTTGACTAGAGGAGGAATTTCCTCCTCCTTTTCCTTTTTTTGACACCTCTGGCTTGGACGTCTTTCCCCCCACCTGGTTGGGCTGCAGCTGTTGAGTACCACTCCCAATTCTAGCAGGGCTGCGGCTGCGGCTCAAGGCTGCTGAAGATTTGCTACTACCCCCATGTTTTCCTCCCTTGTTATTTGTCATGGTCATCCCTGGTTCCGACTTGTTCAGTTTGAGTCCTGTCCCTTCGCTCACACACTTTTTCATCCCCTTGTCCACATCCTTGAAACATGCGGCATTATTAGATAGATGTTATAAATCAAGAAAATCTCCAATGACATGACATTCTCGACAGAGTCGTTGATGCATGGCTGTAATACCTCGGTGTTTCCAAGAACGACTTTGCCACCATTGCGGATTTCGCGAAGGAGGAGCAGTTCTTTCCACTTGGCGACTTCAAGGCGCAAGTTTTCATTCTCCTGGCGAAGGTTGAGCAATTCGGGTGTTGCTACAGACGTCGTCGTCCCCACACTGCACCCAGACTTTTCCAATTCGGACAACTGCAACACAAAGCATCATTATATTAATAAACTAATTTAAAGATATTTACTATTTGTAAACCTTTGAGTAAATGTCCGCGATGATATTTTCAGCCAGCTGCGCATTTTTTTCTAGTCGATCCATCTGCTCGTTGTTATTCATAATAACCTTACTTCTGCTTATATTTGTATTTCTACAGGTTAAAGGTGATGAGTCGTGTTGGTGGACAGATATCGTCGATTTACAGCAGATATTAACCCCTCGTTTAGTTTGAAGTGCAAGGCTCTGTGTGTTTCCTAGTAGTTGTCGTAGAGCGCTGTTGATAAGGGCGAAGGGACGCAAGGTGACCACAATCATTCACTTTATTTGTACAGGTAAGAAATTAAATTACGAATTCAACGACTGCAGATGGTGAGGTGAGAGCCGGTCGTGCACTTCGTTTTGTATCTACTGTGCTCTTGAAGAATCTCAAGTTGCCTCTCCTTCCCAAACGTCATTCACATGCATATTTATACATATTCGCAGTTTTTGCTGGATATTATGGGAAAATCAACGAGATGTATATATTATAAATGGGGAAATTGATACACAATAATTGCGATGCCACTTTTATAAACTTTTCGTCAGGGGTTGTTCTCTGTTCTCGACGCTCGCTGGAGTTCGAAATTAATGAAGAATGACTGAGTAGGACAACATGAGCCCGTTCTGCAGATTTTTGTCTTTATTTTTCCATCTGGAGTCCAGATTCTGGACGAGTAATCAAAATTACTTTGCACAGGTGGATAATAATCATAAAATAATAGATATCAAAAACTACCATCAACGAGCTGGGGCAAGAAGATGGTCCAGAAGAAGGTTCACCAAGTCAAATGACTGATCGTCCACGAGAACAATGTCAAATGCCGTCATAAATTCCTCCAAGTGTTGTTCAAACTGTAATAAATAGTGGTCCATTTAAACATGGTCTCAACTCTCACAATCAGTTTAATTGGTTATTTACATGGGCGTTGAGGAAACCAATCTTAAGCACATTTTTAGGGTCAGCCACCCCATGATCCATATTTGAATCGCCTAGTGAGTCCCCCAAAAGTATTATGTTGTGACGAGATCTCAGGTCTTTGAAGTAATTTGAGTTGTCGTCATGAATTGCAGCCTCGTTCTTGTTGTACATGTGACTAGGGATAAGAGTTAATGGATGATTAAATCGATGTTAATATATTAACGAGCAACTGAAAAATAAGCATAAAATAGTAGCATAACACAAACATGAGAGGTTCCTTGAATCCCACAATGTTTTCCATAGCGTCGTCAAACTGCATAAAGTTGGAGATTACTTGAACATTTGGAAGGTCGATGCCGGATGCTTGAAGGACCGCTTGAACCACGTCCCCAATGCCTGCAGAGAGGACCAAGAGTGGGATACCGGCCTGGGACATTCGTTCAACCGCTGTCTTGGCGTTGTCCCTCAACGTTGCGGTCGAAAGTTTGACCATATCTTGAATGGAACTTCTCTTGAGGGGTGGCTGGCATGAGATCATGTACTCGTGAGACTTTTCATACCATTCAATCCTGTAGGTACGGCGCATCATATTATGCATTCAAAATATTCAGATAATGTCTCATATGGATGTACCCACATGTGTGGAATCTTTTCTTGTATGGTCATCGTTGGGGTGACCTCAATTGGGTAGTATTTCTTGTAAAGTTCCATCGCCTTGTCCCGGTAATCAGAGGAAACAAGTGGGGAAGTCGCAATGATTCCTTCATCGTGTAAAATTTTAAATGCATTTCTTATAACAGTCACAAATACATCTTCATAAGCGTGCATGTTGTGGAGGAACCTCATTTAATTGGTTCCTTGCATATTATAAATACAAACATAAATATACCGTAGCTGCTATCGCACTTGTTGCCATCCAAATGGTAACGAGTAAGCGTGGCATCGAAATCCGTGATGACCTGAAGTGCAGGTGCTCCATGAGAAATAATGGAATGGATCTTTTCATTCACAGCGGATTCATCCTTAATGCGAACAGAGTCTGGCTTGGAACATGCTCCAATGACCTACGCACAAAAGAGGTCGTATTCAACCTCACAAGTTTTCCACTACTTTTAATTGTCACCCACTTTTTGCTTTTATAATAACATGTGTCAAATAGAGCTACAATACATAGGTAATACAGATGCAAGTTAGTTAGGCTATACCTGATGAAGGAGTTTTGATGAGACCATTTCGTTCCTGTTTTCTTTTCACTGAAAATTTGCTGTAAATTAAGGGTCCTAATTACTTAATCATTGATGAGGTGAGGTTGAGTGATTAGAATTTAGAAATCAGGAATTACATAATTAATTACTTACTCAATCAAGTGCTGCGAAAACTATATATTCTCGCCGCTTCAGAACCGGGGGACTTGGAGAAAGGGGGAAAGTAAAGCTATCTTACTTGTCTCATCAGCGTTGGACTAATTTTCAATATTATACAAGCTGGTTAGCAATATCTTACCACAATTAATAATATCGCGTATTCATGCAAAAATATTGAAGTACTTTATCAATCACACACGCGTCGCTGGTGGTGATGATCTTGGTTTCCATCGCCCCAACGTCGACAGAGCACCACCCGCGAGACATTTCTTTCATCGTCCTCCACATCTTTCCTCCACTCGCCGCAATCTTTCGTGGGCCTTATGGTGACCGTGCCTCTCCTCCTGGGTCGAATCTTCCTTACCGCCCGCTCGTCCTCCCCACTGCTAGCCGCCTCCTTTCGCACCACCAGAATTGCGCAGTCCACAGCACCAAGTACTTCTCGTCTCTTGGCATCACTCGGTAAGTCAACAATGCAATGTAGATTTGATAAAATGACAATATTATTCTACTGACTCGACTCGACCCTATTTTTCATAGCTTCCAGTACAAAAATGTCTGAGCCTCGATCACCTGAAGGAGTTGTCATCAATTTGGATTTTAATCACTTGGGGAAGGATGAACTCCTCAACATCACCCACAAGTTAGTAGTTTTAATTGCCGTACGAGCCGAGCTAGCTCCTGAACAGCACTATATTATCACAATGTTTTGATTAGGTTAGTGGACCGTCTCAAAAGTGGAGTGGACTCGATTGTCGCCTCGCCGACTGTTTCATATTCGTCCATACTTGGAGTAAGATAACAATTACTTATTGCTACTTGTAACCCAAGTATTTCCATATTTGCTTACATACTACACGATAATTTATTATTGCTATTTTCTGCAGCCTCTCCTGGACTTGGAGCAATCGTTTCGAACCGAGTCTGAATTGGTCACGTTTCCTTTTCACGTTGCAGTTGAGCAAAGTTTGAGGGACGCTTCGAGAGAGGCGTCCTTACTCGTGGAGGCTGCTGTGGTGGATGTCAACATGCGTGTAGATCTGTTCCAGAAGCTCGTGGCGTATAAGGAACAATGTGCAAAGGACAATTTATCAGAAGAAAAGCTCAGGGCGTTGGATAAATTAATTCGTGACGGAAAACGAAACGGTAAACATGAAGTTATACTTGTGTAACATATGATTGTGGTAACGACGTAAGGAGGACAGAAACGTGAATATGTCACGACCATCTTTCCAATGCAAATGTGCATGATGTAAAATATCTCTGTACATATTTTAGGACTAAATCTGGATCAAGCTACACGTGATGAAATAAAAACGATCAAGAACGAGCTTAACGAGAAAGCACTGGAATTTGCCAAGAATTGTGCCGAGGTTTGTTGTCTATGAGTGTAAATATGCAACACATAACGTGACTAAACATAATGTCTCTTACAGGACAAGTGGGAGCACCTTTTTTCCGCAGAAGAATTGACTGGACTTCCTCCCTCTTTTCTAGAGGGGTTGGACAAGGATGCGACCACTGGGAAATTCAAGTTGACCCTCAAATATCCTCACCTTTTCCCTGTCACCAAAATGTGTTCCGTGCCTGAAACGCGGAGAATTATGGAGACTGCAAATTCCTCCAAAGCGATGGAACTGAACACTAAAATTCTGGAAGACATTTTAGTCCTTAGACAACGGGAGGCGGAACTGCTGGGTTATCAAAACCATGCTGCATACGTCCAAGAGGTATTAATGGCCGACTCTCCTGTCAAAGTGGACCAGTTTTTGCGTGAATTAGCAGAGAAGCTGCAACCCCTGTGGGCGTTGGAAAGGTCACAATGGCTGTCCCTCAAAAAGGCCGAGTTTGAGCAGAATGGGTGGGAGTTCAACGGTAAGCTGGAACCCTGGGATTCACGCTATTATATGCAAAAAGTTGAGGAGACCCAGTACTCCATCAACCAGGAGGAGTACAAACCATACTTCCCCATTGAGCAGGTCACTTCAGGCTTATTGGAAATTTATCAGACACTCCTTCACGTCAAATTCACATTGCTCCAAAATGTCCCTGTTTGGCATCCGGAAGTACAAGCGGTAAGCAAATACTGATCAGATCAACCTCATCTGGTGGAAGTTATTGCATTCTTACTTAATTGCTGACGACATTATTATTTAGTATAGTGTTCTATTGTTTTTGGCAGTATGAGGTTCGGGATGCACGTGACTCTAGCCTTATGGGCTACTTCTATTTGGATATGTACCCTCGGGATGGCAAGTACACACACGCCTGTTGCATGCCCCTTCAACTGAGCTGCGTGGGGTCGGCGGATGGGAAGAGGATTCCTGCCGTTATCGCCATGCTCTGCAACTTCCCAAAACCTTGTGGTGACCGACCCGCTCTGCTGCACCACAACGAGGTGGAGACGTATTTTCACGAGTTTGGCCACGTGATGCATTCCATCTGCAGCAGGACAGAGACGGGAACTTTCTCTGGGGCTTCCGGAGTGGAAAAAGATTTTGTCGAATGCCCTTCACAAATGTTGGAGAACTGGGTGTGGCACCGAGCCCCACTCGCTCTGCTTTCCAAGCACTACGAGGTTCACAAACCATAATTATTTCATATACTTGATAAGTACATGGTCCCCTCATACAATCTCTCTGCCTTTTTCTTGATTGGGTTGGAGGTAACTTATTACTTTGTCTTAGACTGGAGAAACCCTTCCATTGGAAATGGTCGAGAAGCTCGTCCACTCGCAAAAGGCGAATGCTGGGGCTTTCAACCTCCGTCAAATTGTGTTGGGCCTGTTTGACCAGAAGATCCACACTGCCCCTGCAGGTGAGCGCTGTGACACGGCCAAGTATTACGCGGACACGGTGAAGGAAATTCTCGATATGGAGGCCATCCCAAATACCAACTTCCCTGCAAGTTTTGGTCACTTGGCGCACGGCTACAGTGCTCGTTACTACTCTTACTTGGTAAGAAAATCACCAAGATGTGCCATTCTTGTCCATATGAACAATACAGTGATAATGGATCCTTGATTTTGAGTGCCACCCACTCTAAATATTTATTCATGCATTTAGTGGAGCGAGGTGTTCAGCATGGACATGTTTGACACGGTTTTTGGCGATGAATTGATGAACCCTACGAAAGGATTGCTGTATCGACAAAAGATTCTTGAGCCAGCTGGATCCCGCGACGCAACGGCCCTTCTGAGCGACTTTTTGGGGAGAGACCCCAAACCCGAACCTTTTCTCAAGAGCAAAGGAATCGAGGTTGCTGCATCCAATTAATTATCATTGCGTTATTATCATCTACTTATCCATTTCTACTCTTGGGACAATCTTTTGAATTATGCAATACAATAAATCGTTGAATTTTTTATGGGTGTACATTTCTACTGTTTATTGTGCATATAAAGTATATAGTTTCCATTATTATTGCCAACTTTGGGTATTTTGTGTCGTTGTATACATACTCTCTATTAACTATGCTTCACATTTGGACTAAAATAAAATAAAAAAAGGACTAGCGCAAGAGTTATTATAGAACGGGCTAGCTCACAATTAAGTACAAAACAAAGTAACAATCTTTAACGAAATTCAACATTTGGTTTGTATAATATTCCACTCATTTAGATTCTGACATGTGTACGTACTTTTACATACGTACGTATTCGAATTATTTTAATTATACAAAAAATATTTGAGAACCAATATTTGATTAAGATTCACATTTGCGGCATTAATTATAATAATTATAATCCACTTGCCGGAGGTCACGATTGATCCGAATTGATTTTCTGGACCGCGTCTCGAATATAGGTCACGACTCCCTCCGCTCTCAAGATTTCCATGTGGTTGACGCCTGGAAACTCTTGATGATGGACCGCCGAGCGTTGTGTCCTCACACCCTCCTTCTTCAGTTCGGAAACCCAGTTCCACTTGGCCAGTCGGTCGTAGTTGCGACGAGGAGAGTGGGAGCGACGTATGACAGAGAGCCTTTTTTTAGGGGACCATCGCATACAGCCTCGTAAACTTCTAATGTTGACCGTCCCATCCCCATTGCCAAAGTTGAGGTTAGGCTTGTCCGGAAAGTTCTTTTCTTCCTTGTAGATCATGCTGTGAAGTAGAAGGAAATAGGTTTCAATGGGTTTAATCTTTTCGGCTTCTTTACATTACCTTTCCACGGTCGATACCCCTTGTCCATGCAGACAGTGAATTTCCACTCCTAAATAAATATATGGGAATGATAATAAATAGTACTACTTATCATATTATGTTATCATTTATAATAAATAATTATATTGTTATTTATTACCTGGAGGGTCCAATTTACCCAGCAGATCCTTCGTGTCGTTGTGCATCGCGTACCCTTCAGGGTAGTTCATGTCCCGAAAGAATCGGTCGTAGTCATTCACTGTGTAGTTTCCTTTCCCAGGACAAGAGACCAACGTTTCGTCATCAGCCCAAAAGTTCTTGGAAGGGAGCAGGAATGCTGTCGAGGGCTGTTTAGTATGTGGTGAAAAGCAAATTACGACTTATTATTCTCGGCTTTGTGAAGAAATAATTAGTGACAACAGAAATACCGACCGATGTTCTCTGCATCCCACGCATGGTGTGAGCGGGGAGGACGTACACGCCTAAATGTAGCAAATTATCAATGCAGGTTAGGTCAAGACTACTGCTATCACGTACCAAGGTCATCACCAGCCGCAAACACCTTCCAGGCCTTGACCGACCCACCCCAGGGGGCTGCCAGGGTGATGATGGACTGCATTTACAATGACACCAGGCACATCATGACGGAGTCCATACAAAAGGAGAGGAAATAGAATATATAAGCTCACCCTAATGTACTTGTCCTTCCACTCTTGCTTCATCTTGTGCATGAGGTACAGGGCCATGGGTCCACCCATGGAATGACTGATGAGGATCACGGAACTATTCCCACCACGAGTGAACGAGTCCTCGATCAGGGCTTTAAAATCGTCCATCCAAGTTTCAAGCTCGTTAGGTGCTTTCCGAAAGTCGTACGGAGCTGCGGCCCAATAAATTGCAAGAACAAATAAGAGGAATGCCTACTATGGAATAATGTCTCCCTCTCTGTCCGTGTACAACGGCCCCTTACCTCCTCGAATGTCATTGTCTCGCACGTAGCCCAGCGGAATGAGGGACTGTTCCACTGAAAACACAATTTAACACATTAGGATATTAATATTTAGGTGTATCTTTTTCAGGGCAAACTATTCAGTACTTCTACATATAATCCTCACCAATGTGGTTAAAGTAGAGGCCGGGGGATGCCTGTGATGGATCGAGATACTCGACGGATGTGGTATTTCCAAAGCCTGGTACTCTGGAAGCAAAGAAAGTAAATAAATTGAGTGCTCTGTACGTAAGCATCCTTACGGTAGGTACAGGATAATACTAACCTGATGTCCACTCCTGGACTGTTGTCCGTGGTGCGCGAGGTGAAGTTGTAGACGAGGCGGACATTGTCAATCTGTGCAAAACCAATACAAGAAAAAATGCATGCCTAATCATAATGATTTCCATGCTGCAACTCGGACTTACGAAGCAGTCAATGATGAGAGGGACGAGGAGTTCCATGTTAAGCCAGATGTTGTAGTAGTCATCCGTTTTCTTGGTGCAGAGGTAATGCACCACTGAAGGCTTGTCCAGCTTTGCCTCCAACTGCATGCAAAACCCAGTAAACCGATTAATGAGTTGAAAGTAATTGACCGTCTTACTTGCCGATCTCACTCACCTGTGACCCACCATCGCCTGGAACTGGATCAAAATAATTTGGCGTTGTTGAATTAATGTGTAAATTACATAATTTTTGAGATGACCTCACCAAGAATGACCGGATGAAGAAGACTCCCAACGCCACCAACCCCAATCGCACAAATCCAACAAACGGCAAGAGCAACAGTGTAAACTGCGTGATTATTGCGCCCCAGAATCATCCTTGTAAGGGACATGTGGCGACGTATTAACGTACAAAAAAAACTGCGTCTTGATCTTGCAAAACTCGCCGAGTGAATGCATCAATCTTTGCAAGAGCAGGAGGAATCGGATGATGATAATCCATTACGACTCAACAAACAACCCGTGTGCCTCCGTCTGATGACATAGTAATGTCCTGCCAAGAAGGAAACGTAATAATGTGCTCTTTCCCTGCCTACAATAGCTGGTTGGATCAATAAAATCCCACAAAACCACCACTTCCACTTTGCACACACGAAGAAGACCATGATCTAATATTACGTATGTACGTATGAAAGCAGGTTAGGTTCCAAGAGTCAGGTGGTACTGTGTAAAAAGAGGTCTTTGTTCATTCATGATTTTTTGTCGCAATTCTCCGTCGTTCATAACCACTAGCCACTCACTCGCAGCATTCGCACAACATGGACTGATGAATGGGATGATTGACCATGATTACTAAAAATGAGCATAGATATGCACATACTTATCTATATAATACGATATGAATGAATAGCAATTTATAATATGCACCACCATATACAACTGTATTTACGAGATCCGGTGCGAGGCTGTAAGTGAACTCTGATTACTGATGTACATTACATTACTCATTTTATGGATGCACTGCGTGCAATACATGGGATTCGCGAATTTGTTCCATGTAAAAAAGTTGTACGTATGTAAAACACAGGGGTCATATATATTGTAATAAAGACGGCATTTATTTGAGATCTTCTGCCGTAGAAAATTCATAAAAAATATGAACACATATGCCTAGCACTTATAATCCACATATATTATGCTCTACGGATTTATGTCGTAGTATTAATAGTAGGAAAATTCTAATAATGGCTGCTACTCCTAAGTAACAATAGCACCATATATCCAACACACTTAATTAATTTGTTTACAAATCAGTCTATTACAGATCACATTTAAGTCTTTAAGGATGCTCCCCAATTGGTAGTATTTATTATTACAATACCAAGTAGATGAGCTAGACGTAGTCTAACTCGTCCTCGTCGTAGTCGTCGTCGTAATCGTAGTCATCGTCCACTCCAAAAAAATCGTCATAGTCGGGCGGACCACCGCTGATGTCACTCCCGCCCCACTGGCGGGGTTCGTCCGCATCAGAATTTGAATCCTGGTCCCCGTCTTCCCCACCCTGCGCCAACAAAACATCGAATAAAGGAGAAGCATTTTTGATATTAACTCTTAAATATAATCCTTAGCACTTACCAAGTCCACCAACTTGCGAATTCTGTGATTAACTAGTTTTAATTCACGTTTGAGCTCGTGTGGGTCTTCTAGCCCAGACACGTGCACGGCAACAGATTCTAGACTAGGATTTTGTTCAACAATCTTCTTAAGATCGTCGGTGGACAACTGAAACAGTAAATAAACAATAGGGGACATGTCCACATCAAAGATTTATCAAGTTTATCAATTTTAGCTTGTCAAATACTTATTGAAAGTTGTTTAGGATTTATTTACCGCGAGAGATCCCAAGTATTCCAAGCTACGAAGATAGGGATGTCCAACAGCTGCGAGAATCCCCCGAGGTGTAATGTTGCATCCTTTGATGGAGAGGTGAACCAAACCTGCACAACAGTGTTGAAGTACATAGTACAAATGAATAGTAAACAAAATGAAGAGGTGACAATGAGGAGGGGACATTAATTGTTTGCCACCAATTTTGACGAGAAAGTTTAGCCTTATACCGTTCAAATTCTTCAATGAGACGCCCACAACTACTCCGTTCTCGTCTTCGCCTGTAATGGCAGCATTCGTTAGAGCAAAAGCATAGCTCAATTCTAACTTTCGCAATTGGGTACAATGGCCCAGAATAAAATGGACCAAATGGTCATTCAAACTACTGTCCCCGCAACGAGTCCAGCTCAACTCAGTGAGGTTGGTGAAGCGAGAGAGGATGGCGATCTTGTCCTCGTCATTATCGAGCACTCTATCTTCCTGAACGTCGAACCAGAAATCGCCCAAGCCCCGAAGTCCTAGTTTGGAAATGCTTGGTGGGAGGGCCTTAAGGAAGGAAACGCCAGTCCCTTCGATGCGATGTCGAGATATTCCCAGTTCATCCACCTCGTTTTCCGAATATGGCCGGCAAATGGAAAAGTCCTTCAGGGAGGTGATACTGTTTGAGAGGAAGTCCCATTGAATGGGGGGAGCAGCAGCAGGTTGGTCTCCAGCAGCACCAGCAGCGCCCACAAGATAAGAAATGGGACGGTGCGGAAAGGTCTTTATGGTGAAGTGGAGACTTTTTAGCTTGGTCCCTCTCCCCTGCACAACAGTGAGTAATTTGAGAGAGAAAGTCTCCTTCATGCTTATCCATAAATGTTCCAAGTGAGGTTGGTGGGAAATGAAGGCTGCTACCGCCTCCCCATCCACTCCGTAGGCAGTCACGGACAGGCGTTTGAGCTTTGGGCAGTGAATGACCTGCATTGACTCCAACTTCCAAACCTCGCACATGTGAACACTGCAAGATTCACACAATACATAATAATGCATGTAAATAAATACTAGTAAGAATAAACGAGTTCGAGATACAAAATTACAACTCTTACTATGATGACTTGTTTAGTACCTTAATTCAAGCAGTGTCTCAGAAGTGGAACCAATAATTGCTGGAATAAACTTGACATGGTCAGTTTCAGTTCCGTTGACAGTACACATTTTCCCAAGAGACAAGCTCGTCAATTTGAAGGCAATGCAAGACAGTTGGTAAAAGTTTCTGGGAAACTGTATGCAAAATAGGTTCGTAACTAGTATATTATTATTTTAGAATATATGCAACCAAACTAATCCTTACAGGCTGATCTTCCCCCTCGTCGTAATCCAGATAATAGGTCGCATCATTCTTTTTATTTCCCGTACAAATCTCCAACGTTTTTAGTTTCAAGAGCGTCTCTTGCACACTCGCATCCGAGAGAATATCATGTAGAACTTGTTCCAAAAAGACAGATTCCAGCTGTAATAAAAAAAAATGGTAACCAGACATGGACAATTTTACTAGAAATGCTAATCACCAATATTTCGATGTAAACTACTCACTTGGAGAAATTTTAACGCCTTGGTGTTGGCAAGCAGAGTGGTGACAAACCGAGTTAAATCTTTGCCCTCCACTTTATCCGTCCGGGCGAGCCGTAAATACAGTCGAGTGACAAAGGGAAGAACGTCCATGATGAGGTCCACCACCGTTGGCGGAATGGTCACATCGATATCCAACCCCTTCCAGGGATACTCACATGTCTCCACTAGAAATTTATCCAACAAGACAGTCTCCTTGCAAATGAGAAGAGTTGCTTTTTCCGCAAACGCTTGACTATTCCGAACCATGTCATACATGCCTTTGGTCGAGAGGCATACCACCTTCATGTCGGCCAGGGACAAGTGCTTGCAAATATTTTCCCCAATCTATCCACACAGACAACAAAAATAGTAAATAAAAACTACCAAAATGCGAAGTCATTAAACTCAATCCAATTCAAAATGTAAAAATGTCATACAAGTTTTACATCATACAACAATCATACTACAATTGTTTGTAACTTGCCACTGTATTATTGATAAGCTTGTTGAGTAAAACTTCTTGTTCTGGCGCATCTCCTCTTCCTCCACTACCTCCGTTTGGATCCTCCTCCTGGTCCATTTTCTAAGCTTAGGTATGGTTAGGATTCCTAACTTAGGAGGATGAACTGAACACTGAGATTCAAAATGTGATTGCCACTGTTAACTGGCGACTTTCCTAATTAATAATTAATTCGGAAGAACGAAAGTAATTATTACTTTCGTGAAATATGACAGCAGCCTATCGCACGTGCGGCCTATCGCGTGTGAAAACGGCAGCGGGTCACTCGTCTCACACTGGGCTTACTCGATGAATTCAGGCGTAGCGGGAGGGTTTGAGTTGCTGAGGAAACTCCAGCAGAGGAAGTTGCCGATCCCACACTAAAAATTGTGTCCAACAACCAACCCCACCAAGAACGATAAGCAGCCACCCACCAACCATCTCATCATGGCTTCAACATCCATGCAAAAATTATCCTTTGGTGAGTAAGTGGGAGGAGATTACTAAATTACTACGGATTTTGCTTCTTTTAAGTGCTTGCCGAATAATCTTGTCCGTCGTGTTGCAGGCGTACTTCCCCAATTGCGAGCGAGTCTCATAAGCGCCAGGTCATGCTATTCTGCCTCTCGGCCGAACCTGAAACTCACTAAAAACACCAAAGTGATTTGTCAAGGGTTCACCGGCAAGCAGGGGACGTTTCATAGGTGAGATATATAAACTATCTCCTACTGGTGAGTATTAATTGCTAATAGCAATTTGCTATGTGGTACCTCTTTAGCAAGCAGGCTATCGAATATGGGACAAACATGGTGGGTGGAGTTTCTCCGGGTAAGGGTGGGAAGGAACATCTTGGTCTCCCAGTGTTCAACTCGGTGAAAGAGGTAAGCAAGAGAGGAAATATTAATCGATTAATTAATAATTTTTATAATATGTGACAGCAACAAGAAAGTAGTAGTAAAATTATGCTAATAAGTAACTCATTAATTGACGTTTTTTGTTTTTATCAGGCAAGAGCGGGGACAGGGTGTGAGGCGACCGTAATCTATGTTCCTCCTCCCGGTGCGGCTGCTGCCATTTTGGAAGCTATTGATGCCGAAGTTCCTTTAATTGTGGCAATCACTGAAGGAATTCCCCAGCACGACATGGTTCGTGTCAAGCACAGATTGACACGTCAAGGAAAATCTCGGCTCATTGGACCAAATTGTCCAGGAATCATTGCTCCGGGCCAGGTTAGTAATGGAGAGATACTGAGATTTATAACGTTTGAATAGATTCAATCATATTCATCGACTCATTTCCTTCTGTAGTGCAAAATTGGAATCATGCCAGGTCACATCCACCAAAAGGGGATCATCGGAATCGTGTCTCGGTCAGGAACGTTGACCTACGAGGCAGTTCACCAAACCACCCAGGTAGGATTAGGGCAAACCCTCTGCGTAGGAATTGGCGGTGACCCCTTCAACGGAACGAATTTTATCGACTGCCTGGAAGTGTTTCTCAATGATCCAGAGACCAAAGGAATCATTTTAATTGGAGAAATCGGTGGCAGTGCAGAGGAAGAAGCGGCAGAGTACTTGATAAAACACAACTCTGTAAGCACAGCAAACCACTAACAAAAATAATGAGAAATATGATAGTGACTTGACTTAGAATTCCTCGTACAAAACAGGGTTCAAAGAGCAAGCCTGTTGTCTCGTTCATTGCCGGACTTACTGCCCCACCCGGTAGACGAATGGGACATGCTGGTGCCATCATTTCTGGGGGCAAAGGTGGTGCTCAGGATAAGATCAAGGCTTTGGAAGATGTAAGCTAGCACTCAACACACAATACTATAATATAACTGACAAAAATCCATTACTTTTCGTTTTCTAGGCTGGCGTCATCGTCACAAAGAGCCCGGCGCAGATGGGGAATGTTTTGATGCAAGAGATGCGAAGTCGGAAAATTGCTTAATGCCAATAAAATCCTCTTAGTGAGTGAAACTTAGTCCAAATGAGGGAAAGAAAACTCATTTCTCTGTAAATTACAACTGCGTTACTATAAATAAGTTTAGAAATTATTATGTGTACGTACGTAGATATGATTTGCATTGTGATTTGTGATGGAAGTGTTGGGTCGGACACCACATCAAAAATATTTAACTCTTGCAATTTCCATTTTCCATCACCATAAATTATTAATTATTATTCATGCAAATGTCAAGCCTTGCCGAGTATTGGGGTAAATTGAGCAGCAGCGCTAACCCAATCATCCAACTCTACCTACACGATAAACTAAATTTATTCTCTTCGCTAAATCCGATCCGAAGCGATTGCCTGTGTATTCAAAAATTGGTGTTACTAATAAAGTGTGCCATCAATTGGTGAAAATGTCGACAACGTTTACCTGTCTAAACTCATTACGCCGGGTGTTTGGTCCAGAAACTGGAAGGGTCTTGTCCACACCCGCTTTTCACCAGTAAGTCCTCGACCTGTCGGCTGGTCCTTAATTCGTTATACACAATGTGTCTTACACATTGAAATACCTTACTGATAAAATATTTACTAGGAACCCCTTATGGTTAAGTCATCAGAGAGAAATGTCACGAGTGAAACAGCGGACAACTCATCCACGGTACACCTGGACCAAAAAGAGGAGGGAGGTTAGTGACACAACTTTTCTATTCTTATTTAAATTATTAAATTAGCTTGGTTGAATAATAGATTTGACTTAATATTTTAACCTTGTGCAGCGTCATGACCAAGAGCTGACCTCCGACAATCAAGCTTTTCTTGGTCAAGTGATTCTTCAAAAGTATGGGCCTGCTTATCAAGATGGGAGCTCTGGGATGCCCTGGGTTAGTCCACTCAAGGATTTGCACCACGAAAGGACAGAGTGGACGTCAAAATCACTCAGAGTAGGTGTCATTGCGAAAAAAATTGGCGTTCACCCAATGTGGGATGACAAAGGAAACCGGTTCATGACCACCTTGCTGCAGGTCAGATGGGACTACTATATATACATACTTGAGTGAACTAATATATATATATATAGCTAATGTGAATTGGGTTGGTAGGTCGTGGATAACCACATTGTCAAGTACATCCCACCCGAAACGGTGGCCAAGAATTATCCAGATTCGAGATTTCGACCAGAGTTGGGAATTTTGTTGGTTGGAGCACAGTCGGCAGATCCTCAGCTCTTTACCAAGGAGTACTGTGGTCTATTTCAAGAGGCTGGAATTCTCCCAAAAGTGCGCCTTCATCGATTTGCCATCACCCCGGATGCTTATCTGATGCCCGGTACCCCACTGTATGCCTCTCACTTTTTCGCAGGCCAATATGTGGACGTGATTGGGAAGACGGTGGAGCGTGGATGGCAAGGTGTCATGAGGCGATGGGGGTTTAAAGGAATGCCAGCCACCCATGGGGTAACCAAATCTCATCGACGAGGGGGGAACACGGGTGGTGGGGGAGAAAAGGGTCGTGTCTGGCCAGGAACAAAGATCCCGGGCCACATGGGAAGTCGATGGAGAGTTCACAAAGGGTTGCAAATAGTCAGGATCAACTCAAAGTACAATGTAATTTACATCCGAGGTGTGTCGGTGCAGGGAGATCCAGGCTCATACCTTTGCCTACGGGACACTTGCCTACCCCTCAGGTTTGTACAAAAGTCTATATTATTCGAACTGTATGCATTGAGTCATGACATGACGTACGACTTTTTTATTTTATCTAGACGGGCTGCGGTCGCCTCTACTCCTCCCCCTTTCCCCACTTACTTCCCGGAAGAACTGCCACAAAGTCATGGAGAAGGAGATTCCTATGCCTCTTCAGTTTTCAAGTTCACAGAGCCATCCATCACGTTTGAGGAGAATCGATAACCAGAAACATCATAATATGAGAAATCAATTGTCTAATCAATCGTTTCCTTTAAAAAATAAAATTCATGGAAAAGACGAAAACCAGTAAGTATTGTAACTTGATTGCGAATTTATTTATACTACATCTTTTTGAAGATATTTAAACTACAATTACTCTTACTGTTATCACATTTGATCGGATCAATAAGATCCTAAAGCTATCAATAAATTGTTGTTTAAATTGCTATGAATGAACATCAAAGATGGCAAAAAAGTGAACCCCATTTGGATCCCTACCATCCTACCACTTATGAAGACCCCATAATTACCAAGGAAAATATTATTATTGTATGTATCACAAAAATTTGTAGACCCCATTTTTGCAAATTATGTTTCTGCAACCCTGATGAAAACAATGTACAATCGGGTCCAGAATCACGAACCTCACAGAAGAGAAGAGGGCGACATCCTTTTTATTGCAGAGAATGAGTATTACTGTTCAAAGAGGGAATGTAGCATCCATTTTAGGATCCCTTCCAAAAGGACACAAACTGGAGGAGATATTTATGTTATAAATAGTTTCATTCTTATGTCTATTGTAGTTATGCTTATATTACACATTTATGAAAACAATTTGAACGAAATCGAAATGAAAATATGTACAATTGTTGAAAGCTTGGTTCTAATTAATAAAACTATTCAGTTTTGAATATCAAGTCCTCATACCGTAAATTCACACTAAAATAAATTGTTGTTTGAAAAAATGTCCTCCCAAACCGTGCAAAATATACGAAAGAAATCATTATTGCGTTGCCCTAAATTGCTTATGTTTAGCGTTAACTTGCTTATCGTTTGTTTGAGCTGACGGGTTACGACTGATGACGAATTCCTTAGGCGCAACTTTCTTCACTCTGTTGGCGCAAGAATAATGAGTTAAAAATTTGAAAGTAAGTAGTCAAATTGAAAATCCTCCTAAACTAACCTAACTAAACTAAACTAACCTCTGGAATCGTCCATATTCATCTCTTGGTTGGTGTTGCGACCAGTGTGGAGGCATCGTAGTGAAGCCACGTACGTTTCGGAAAATTAATTAGATTTTTGGCGATGAGGGTATCAAATCTGGAGAATTTGGGGTCTTTGAGGAGTGTGGAGGGCGTACTAACATGACCCGATGAGATAGGAACAGAAATAAGCCAAACTGTGCAGGTCTCTATACAAACGTACACAGAACACAGAGGCTAATTATAATACCCACTGCTATTTACATATGTATCTTCGTAGTGACTTTCTTGCAGGACAAGAAGATAGTACTGACACTCGAACTCGTTTGACTCGCCCTCAGTGGCTGACGTAAACTTTGTATGCAAACACCGATCACCGAGTTGGTCGGGATGTAATCTGCATGAGATTAAGCATTATAATATGATCATTTTTCATTCTCTAACTACTCCAACCTCTCCACTACTTGCCTGCCTTCCATATACTCCCCCCAGGCAGGAATCCGGTTGAACCATGGAGTCGATATCCCCCTTCATGAAAAACAGCTCTGTTCGGAGATTGAGTTTGGAGTTGGTTCACAAGTTCGCCACAAACCTGCTCACATCGTCCCCTGTGAGGGAAGGAGTGCTGTCCCCTTGTACGCCACGGCCATGCTCAAGTCGCAGAAGGGCATCGGACGTTTTCGACTCTACCTCTTCAACGTCCCCTACGACCCTACGACCCTTATTGTCATTGAGCCCATTTGCTCATCAGCAGCCAGGTCACCCCACCGAGTACCAGAAAGGAGAATGGGTGCCATTCGAGTAAGCTCAAAACGATATTACTAATACCATATTAGTCACATGTATGTAGAGTTTATGCGAATAAAATGCATTGCAAAATGTAGGAAGAAGAGGAAACAGCAGGAGCAACAGACCCCCAGGAAGTCTTCAGTGGTGACATGTCACGTGATTCCACCCACCCCACGGCGTCGTGCCTCAATGTCTTTCTCACCTCAGGCCATCTTCTCCATCACATCACCACCACCACTGGAGGGCAAGAAGGATAACAAGCAGGTCTCGCCACTCGTATCACCAACAAAGCGTCGCTTTTCTTCTAGCTCTACTTTTATTGAGTTGGGCCATGACCTTGAAACGGTCGCATTTCGGGTGTGTGAAGGGTTGGCCCTCCGACCTCAAGAAGTGTTGGGGAGAGGAAGCTTTGGAACTGTGGTGGCTGCTACATACCAAGGTATCCTATTATAATAGTTTGTTTGTGCATATATATGGATAAATGAGATGATGGAAACAACAAATCCCTACATAAACCATAATATACAGTCATACATGCATTGCTATCCAACCCAGGTCGTGAAATTGCCGTCAAAGTGTTGCGCCAGGCCAAGTATAAGCACCATCTCAAGGGGGAACTAAATGGTCTTGGTCTTCCTCCTCATCCACACATCGTCTCAGTGCTGGACATTCTTCGAGTTCCACCCGATCGAGCACTTGTCCTTCTTGAGCGGATGGAGCCTCGCAATCTCCTCGCCCTCATCAACGACCCCGACTTTTCCCTCGGGTTCCAATACGTTGTGGACATGAGCAGCCAGATTGCATCCGCTCTCGACTTTTGCCACACCCATGGCGGTAATTTTTTATAATGCATTCTACACCGTTGCTACAATTTGCTACATTATATAATGGTTACGATTTAATGTGAATTTAAGTTCTCCACCTCGACGTGAAACCACAAAATATTCTACTCAGCTACAACAAGGACGTCAAACTCTCTGATTTCGGCAACTCTCGACTTATTGCAGATGTGAGAAGAACAAACAATTTTACAAAGCTGGATGGAACGGTGGGCTACAAGGCTCCGGAGCTGTTTCGGGGAGAAAAACCAACCGAAAAGTGTGACGTGTACAGTTTGGGAATTACCATGTGGCAGCTGGTGACCCGAGAGCAACCTTATTTGGGAGAAAGCGAGCACTCGGTAATTTACAAGGTTAGCTATATGGTATAATGAATGATACTATTAATAGTGTGATGCACGAATAAGTACAAAACTTAAAAGAATAAATCCACAGGTTACAGCGCAAAGACTTCGACCCCAAGCCGTCTGTGCCTTCCACACCCACCAGAAAAACAGTCACGAGCAAACGTTCACTCGAATATACGAAACAGCTTGGAGTGGCAACCCCAGCCGACGCCAGTCCACCCACCAACTTGACAAACAACTCTCGCAGCTTTTGAGCCAGCTTCCAAAAAACAAATCTCCTCTGCGTCAACTTTCCAACTCGTCTGCTAACTAATATAATATTAGAGAACGAAGAAAAGAGAAATAGTCTCCTGGCTGCCTCAACAAACCGATGTAATTAATAACATGTGTAAAACATTTTATTCTCACAAAATAATCAGGAACAAAGAAGAAACGAGGGAACAAGTACAAAAGTTGGTAGTGGATCCGTTATGCGTCTGGCATCTCTCCACCCGGTATCAACTGCAAATCAAAACACATTAATTATTATACACATTATATGCCAACGAGCAACTTTACGTCGTCACACTTTCGCTACTACTTAGAAGTATTAATAATAAGCTAATCAGTTAACTATATTCGTGCATAGCGAGTATATACGCAACTTTCTTTAAACCAATCAATCATGTAACCAATAAAAGATTTTAAATAGAAAATAACGAGTTGAATGAACTGCTATTCGTGGACCCACCATCGTGATGTTGTTCCCATTGAGGAGAATTTGTTCCAGCTTTGTAATGCGTCGCCCTTCGGTCGTCTGCTCATACTCGGTGACATCCTCCAACACCATGTTCACATAGTCGTCAAATCCCAACAACGTCCCCACAATCTCCTTGTCGTTCTTCATTATTATGTGGATTCTGGATCCGATACATTTGTCCACCAACTCTATGAAGGGATAAGGAACCAAACCAATTAACCAATCATTAATATTATATTGCGTGTAAACGGTTGAGCGACTTGGTGGAGCAATCCACACTACAGTGATGCACTTACCGAGTGGTAGGAGGGTTGAAGGGTTTGTCGCTGTGGATGAAGCCATTGCAGCGACAATTTAATCAATAATGATAACTATGGGCTTTATCAGGAGTGAGTTTATTTCTATGAAGGAGTTTGCGGTGAATATCGCGCTCTCGCGTCTCAGTTTGGTAGAGAGTCGAGAAGAGGCAAGTGGTTGAGCGAGCGTGAAGTTGGCCCACCCGAGTCCCGACCCGCTGTGGTGACGCTGAGCGATGCGGGCTAGGGGCCAAAGTCGAGTAAATAGTCTCCGTTTGACTGGGAGCAGTGGTATAAATAAGTGAGTCCCGTTGTTTATATCCACCCGTCCACCGTCTCACCGTCACTCAACCAAGGACCAAGTTCGCAAACCTCTCTGTTTGAATCTCACACAGCAAAATATTAATCTCCCCCTTTGGTTGGGTGTGCCTCATCACTCTTGTTCACTCTGCACGGTCGTAATACTCCATAATACTTGGAATTGGTTAGTGGGGATCGTCGATGGAGATTTGTCGGAATAAAGCTCTTCTTCTCCAAATTGACAATAGGAACCTCAAGTAGTCACCAACATTCAATCACTTCACAGTTGTGGCAGTAGTTTAAGTAAACAGGTAAATTTACTTATATAACAATATACTTGTAGTTGTGTTAATGAATTTAAATCGTAATATTAGACTGGAGATTGGAGGGGATGGGAAGAAGAGTCAGTGTCGATCATACCACCACCCAGACCACCCAGAAACAGATTATCTTGGTCATCTTGATGTTGATAAGGAGGAGGGCTTAATGCGATTCCTCGATGGACGGACCCAGAGCAGAGGAAGTGTTGACCCTGCTCCAGGAACCCGTCGCCGTCGTCACTGGCGGTCGGGATAAACGTGGTGGAGCTTTGCTTCTCCTCCCAACGTCCCCCAAAAGAGAGCGACTTCATGCGGAGGACTTGCGACGCTTGTTTCACTACCTGCTATCCATCCCGCCGTAAGTCCACCTCTTCCTTTCTTCGATCTACTATCTTATCTGTTGTATTGAATCTGTTTAATAACCGAGTTTCCTCTCTCTTTTAGGGAGGATACTCGTGATCGTGGCTTCTCGGTCGTGGTTGATATGCGTGGTGGCACTTGGACGTCTGTGAAACCTATTCTAAAAATTCTCAACGAACACTTCCCAACGGCCATCTTTATTGTTTACATTATTTTTGGCAAAAACTTTTGGCAAAAGCAACGAACCTCACTAGCCAGTCACAAGTACAAATTCGAAACCTCTCTCGTGAGTATCGAGTGTCTTCTCAAGGTCGTGGACCCAACCCAACTCACCCCTGACTTTCAGGGAACATTCAACTATGATCACAAATTGTGGCTAGACTCGAGAATTGTAAGCCATAAAACTTATTGTTATCTCCCGTATTAGTTGGTCCTGTACTTACTGTGGTATTGACAATGTGTCTTTATTCCAGGCGCTGGAAAGTTTTTTATGGGTAGCTGGCGACTTGCTCGATCGTCTCGACGACTGGAAGGAAGACATTACGCGCATGGACTATGCAGAGGATGTGACCACAATCAAACATGGGATCGAAGTGCATGACGAAATTAAAGACAAGATTATGCGTGCTCCATTCGAAGATGTGGATGGGATGGGGCAAGAGCTTCTTAAGAGGTATCATTAATAATATGCGCATAAAAATGAGGATCTTATTAAAGTGCTTCAAACGAGTAGTGACATTGATGTGTCGTTTTATTAAAAAAAACTAATGACGAATTTTCATTTGATTTTTGTGTTTGAATAGACTTAGTTTTGACGCGACCACGGCTAACGGTTCAGGGTACGATTCTGGATACTCGGGACGATCTAGCTCCTCCAGCTCAGTAGTATCCAATCCCGATATGCAAGCCAGCATTCCTACCATCATGGGAATGGTGGAACAGGTCCACGGTGCTAAGGACCAACTAATGCAGCTCTGGCATGGCAAGAAAGTAAAATTGGACCAGTGTTTCCAACTCAAACACTTTGAACAAGACTGTAAAAAGGTGTGCACAAGGATTGGGCTAGAACCATATCTAGAATTTTGTTGGGCATGATTTTAGCTTCTTGAGACTTATCGTGTAAACTGTACGTAGATGCTGGACTGGATTCGCCACAGCCATGACGCATTTTTAACTACATACGTAGAAATTGGACAATCCTTTCAAGTTGCAAAACGATTAAAAGTTGACCACGAGCAGTTTACAGTGAATCTCATGAATGGTAAGTGATCTCCCTTTGGTAATGATTCCCTTTACCTGTGCAATTTTCTTTAGAATGGTTGATTTTTAATGTGTTGTATTTTGCAGGGTGTGTGAGCATCAATAGAATTTTGGCCATGGCTGCTCACATGGTTGAAAATACCCACTACGCTGCCTCTCACATTCGGACTCTTGCTGCTCGGATTAACCAGGCCTGGAAGGAACTTAGTTGTGCTCTGGACGAGAGAAACACCTTGCTTGCCCGTAACCATATTTCTTTCTTTATCAATAAAAGTTATGTCATGTCATGTCCAGTCAGATAAACTTACTCTCTCAGTCACGAGATTACATAGTCTGATTTGTCGTCGTAGTTTTCTGTGAAAAAGTGAGCTAAGCTAATGAATGTTGTTCCATCCCCTACAGTGTCTGTCTCGTTTCACCAAAAAGCGGAACAGGTGAGTTCATTCATTATTATTACTCCACGCACGGAACCCATCACCGGCCTCACGACAAATTTACGGTAGGTTTCTTTATTTCCCGTAAGGTGAGACATGGTGAAGTGAGGCGAATGGCCATGGATTTTTTCACCATGTCTCACCTTACGGGAAATAAAGAAACCTACCGTAAATTTGTCGTGAGGCCGGTGATAGGTTCCGTGCGTGGAGTAATACTGCCTACGTATTGATTTTGGAAGCAGAAATTCGAAAAGTTGGCCAATTGATACTGATGTCACTTTTTGCGCAGTACGCGGATAAAATTTCAAGTTGGAGTTGTGGCTGTGATAATGTAAACATTCCAAACGAAGCGGCCGTGCTGGAAAGTGCAATTCATCAACATCAAACCATCTATGAATCCATGTGTCAAGCCTACACGGAGGTAATTCACATCTCATCTAATGCAAATATATATGCAACTAATTCTTGTAAATTATGGATCAGAGTAATGGTTACGTGCACAATTGTTATTTGCAGGTGCACAGCACTAGCAAGAAGCTCTTGTACCAATTGGATCACTTGGTCCATGTTTGCAACCAGTCGGGAATGGAAATTCTCGCCCACAAACATGTATTGCTATTATTCTCTTTCTTATTATTTAGTTGACGACATACATATTTGCATATTATTTTGTTATTCGGAAAAACAGCAGGTAGACGAGATGGGTCGCGTGATCCGTTCGACAGACCCAGCCGCCGACTACTCTTCCGGAGCCAAGCATGTATTGGATGTGATTCATGAGATACTGGCTAGACATCGAAGTCTCGAGCAGAAATGGACGTCCAAGAAAGTGAAGCTTCATCAACGTCTCGCACTCAAATTGTTCAAGGAGGATGTCAAACAGGCAAGTTTGTAGAAATATGAAGGGAACAGTAACCATAATCTGACCCAGGTTTGATACTGTGGATTTTTTGTGGTTGGTGATTGTTGCACCTAAAAACAGGTAGTGGACTGGGTCGAGAAACACGGGGAGCAGTTTCTCAGTCGGAGCGTGGGAGTTGGAAGGAATCTACAAAAGGCGGTCAGCGCACAACGATCTCAGGACAACTTTGAAAAGGTGGTCCAGGTGAGAGTCCATACATTACCACCACACCACTATTTGTGATTTTTCACATCTCTCTCCCACCCCTCGCCACACACACACACACACTAGAAGTTGGCTCTTTTTTGGTCTAATTTTAGCCAATAATAAATGCGAGTATCTACCTATCTGTACTTAGGACTATCTTACTTATCTGTCCTTAGTGGAAGTTAATGTTCATGTTCTTGGGAACCATATTATCAATACTTGTTTTCATAATATGTTGCCTACATTGACTCTCTGCGTAGATCATTAGATTACTCCTCAATGTGGTGGCTATCTAACGGGATGAATTGAGTAGTATTGTGGCGTGGAGGTGGACTACACGAAAGGTGATGTTAAAGTAGGCTGGTTGAATTACATGCCACATTTTAAATCAGATCGACTCCTGATTATTTCGATGGTGTTAAACCCATTCAGTTATTGACATGCATGAACGTGTGCAAATCAAACCCAATGCACTAGATCTCACAGAAAGGGAGAAAAAACACTGGGTCAACCAGTTCACCAACACACGATTGCTCTAGAACATTGCAAATGAACATTAATATTATGGGTAAATAATAATTCGCATTCTCCTCTTCGACTTTTCATTCATCCTTTTTTTTTACTGTTTCCATTCCTTCCGTCGTAAGAAAGCTGTCACTTGATGCGGTGTTTGAGAACTTGAGTAAGCGATCGTCGACGACTTTGTTTTATTAGAAATGCGCACATCTGCTGCCAATATTCAACCAGGATAAGGTAGTTATCACAGGGTGCAAACACTACTTTTATATTCATTATGGTTGGAATGATAGACAGGCAGAGCGATTTCCTTGTCGTTTAGTGCATTTAGTGAGTGCAAGTCAAACATTGTCCTGTGTCTCAAATTGCCTCAACATGAATTATGTACATGTCTAGTCTGAGGAGAGTTCAGTTTTGCCCGTCTCAAGTTGAGACGTCTCAACATGGAATCAACTATTCTTTTAGCTTCTTGGTAGGTAAGAACGTGGTTAGGTGACTGTGATAAACACTCACAGGCGCAAATTTGCTTGCCTGGTGGAAGTGGAACGGAAATGGAGAGGAGGAATTATGGAAGAAAGGGACAGTTCTTGATCAAAAGAAGAGCAGCATTTACTCGCATTATTATTCATTTTACTATTACGTTACATCTGTGAGGGCTAAACTAACGGGTGTTTTGCCCTTCAGTCGTCGTCGTCACTGCTGACAAGTAGAGAGGCATCCTGAAGGATATGTTGTTGGCAAACATGAATGAGTGAGATTGAGATGATGGTGGTGCATAAACGTGTCTCGTCTTTTCAACTGGTGTCTTTTTTGGTCAGACTCTTTTCGATGATGAGAGTGTTTGCAACTACTACTCACATCTTGCACCCCGTTGTGGTATCTTCCTATCAAGCCAACTATTTTGCGGGTGGTTTGCTGATCTCTGCGGCGGCAGTGGAAATGTGGTCCTCGTCAGAGGTGAAGCTCAGTAGTTCTCGCATCCACGACACTCGCAGTCGAGCATGCTCATAACTTGCTTGTTCCAGGACAGTGTGTAGGTTATGGCTGGTGTGACACAATGTCACTGACATTTAGTGTGTGTAGTGTGTCGTTATCAAGTGCAACGATTAGAAACGTCGATCATTTTAGTCGCCCACGTGGAGTATATAAATACGTGTACCTACTATTTTTAATATTTGACCTGTGACCTCTCTCGCACTATAGAACACGTACACGAACACGGAAAAGTTGCTGAGCGCGGCGGAGGAGTTGGCTCGAACGGGGGAGTGCGACGCCGAGGAAATTTGGGTGTGCGCGAACCAGCTTCAGGCCCTCGTCAACAACTTTGCCTCGCGAGTCCAGCAGCGGCGACGACTTGTAGACTCGGCCGTCTTCTTCTACTCCCAGCACAAACAGGTAAACCTTATTCTTTTGCTTACCTAAAATGTACCGCACATTGCGCAAAAATCACAGAGTGTCATGTCACTATCACTAGTCCACATATGTACATGCGTAAATCTGTGCATGAATCAGTCATAGTATGTGGCTGAGTATGTATTCCTGGAGTGAGATCCTGGAACACTTTTGCATTCCTTCTTGCTGTATGTATGTACCTTTAGACCTTTTTGGTTGGTAGGCTGTTAGGAGTGGTGGATAAACTAAAAATACAACACAAACCCGATAAATTATGGATTTTGATGCGTTGGCTCTCGTTAGGCTGTCATCGAAGAACTCTGATGTCGTCGTAAATCCGCTCCAGCAGCAGCAACCATCATAGCGAGGAGTAGGATAGCCAGCTTCCTTCCTGATTCCCTTTCCCTTCTCCGCTCCAGTGAGTGCCTTGTTGGCCAAAAGAAGAAATCTCGTCAGGACGATGATGATGATGATGAGGGAGCAGGGTCATGTTTTATTCATCCATTTCGCTTCTTTCTTGTCCATCCCCCCAATACTCTCCCTGCTGTGACACTAATGACCAACGTCGTCACCTCGTCCCCCAGTGTTCACAATGACCCCACAATTTTGCTCCGCCTTGTTTCACGTGCATACTACCGACCGATTTGACGCCTCATTTGAGCGTTCTGGTTGCGCTTTGCTTTAATCCTTGGCTAGTTTAATTTCATTCGGATCATCGTCCGAATCTTGCACTAACCACCTTCACCACCAGCAGCAGCATTGTTGTAACATCTTATGCTGCTCAATGATCGCATCTCGAGAGGGACTATTGTTTGTTGTGCCGTGTGTTGCGGAAAGAGTTTTGACGAGCAAGAAGTAAGTTGCGACTCCTTATTTGGCTCACCAGAAAAGTGAGCCCGACGACGACGACGACGACCAATAGCCCATGCAAATATGCAAATCAGAAATCAGTGAAAGATCTCTGTGCCGTCTTGTATAATGAAAATGTGGATTGGATGGATAGGTCCCCTCCCTCCGGCACCCACCGCTGAGGATACTCAGTCCGACATCAGAAGGCGTAAGGAGAAGTAGTAATACAGCTCGTCTCACCTCTCTTTCACAAATAGCTTGGGATTTCAGACAGCTAGGGCTCATTACCACTACCATAAACTTCACTCTTAAACTCGTTTGTTTCAACCAAACCACAAACAAACTGAGAATCCCTGCACGCATGCACACATGGACTTATTGTGCTCCCATGCTCATCACAAGTCTCACTAATAGAGTGGGCAAAATCACTTGGTACACATGATGAGATCTGCATTCTCTGCATTACGAAACATGACCTGTCACATTGTATTCGTGTCACTTCTTAGCCAAGTCAATAATGAATATGCGTCCTACTACGCATCTCATCAAATCTCAGTTATTGTCTGTTCCTCCTTCCTCTGCTCCTGTTACATATTTATTTGCCGAGTGAGTGAATGTAACCACATTGGAGAAAAGTGGGACGACCTGGATCCGTTGTTGGTTTTTCTTGCCCATGATGATGATGAGATGAGAACATATCGATTATGCAAACGACTTTCATCGCAACATCATCACACACGCTTCATCCATTGGCATCTTTCCAGCATGCATGAAGTGTAAAGCGTATTAACGCTCCCGCACTAATGGGGTTTTGGGCCGGAACAAGGAAGGAGTTGACATTTAGGAGAAAGAGAGCTTTTCCAGGTGGCGGCGGCGGCATTTACTTATTGGCGTTTGGCATTTGATAATCCACTTGTGCTCATTAGTGCTCCTCTTCCACTAAAGTGCACTTACCTATTCATTCGTTCCTTGTTCCAGATTGGCGGATGGGTGGACAAGCTGGGTGGGGAGGCGGGTGTGGATGATGCTCCCGAGAACCTGGAGGCCACCCAACGTGCTCTGGATGCTGCTCAGGGGAGTCGGGACCAAGTGGCCCAGTTCCTCATGGTGAGTGGGCGAGGGAGATTTTAATTATTTGAAACCTAACCTAATTCTTATTTGTCCAAAGACCACCAGCGACACGGGGACACGTCTCCTCCAGGACCTCAGGTAACCTAACTCGCATATTTGGATTAGTATATAGCTACGTAATCGCAACTTATACTGTGCCTTGATCGACGCCATGCTCTGTAGGGCTTCCGGACTCACTATGGAGACGGACAACAGTGGATCCTTCGAGGCACTGGAAGCAGCCATGCGGACTCTGGAGAAGCAACGACTCGAGTTGGAGGAGATCTGGGAAATGCGTAAACTGAAGCTGGACCTCTGCCTCCAACTTCGACTCTTTGAACGGGACGCACTCGAGGTAACAGATGGTCCGTTTGTCCTTCTCCCCACATTCCTACCCCTTCTTTTTTGCCCCTATTATTTTACTACTCTTGTTGATATTGTGATTGTGACACACACGACCCCCGTCGTTGATTGTTTTGCGGTGTCACACTGGAGTGACTCCATTCACAGAACTACTACTTTGTCCCAGCAGCCAGTTTCAACAAGTAGCATTAAATCGGGTTCTTCTAGCGGGGGTTAAGTTGCAAAAGAGTGGATTCGCTACACTAACTCTGAGGCATTCCAATCTTTTTGTAATTCCCAACATACCAGCCGCCACCACCACCAACAAGTTATTTCTTTCTTCTCCTGCCAAATAAGAGCGGATGATAAAGATGAGCTGTCAGGCTGGTCGTGTTGTTTATGTAATTGCAATTTATCTCCATCTCCCACCCCCACTTGGCGTCTTCCACCTCAGTCTCATCGGCATTTTCTTGTCACATCTTTCTGTAACAGTCTCTCCGTTGAACTATCCTTCCCCTGCGTTAGATATGATATGATGCATCCACGAACGTCAAATAACCTTACAGTATTTAATAGCTTAGTTAATATTTAAGTTGAACTAACTAGCATGTTGCGCTTGCCTAGATTGCATCTCAGATGGACCACTGGGCGGAGAAAGTGAGTGGGGACAAGGACGTTTCCACTGCCAGCAGGGAGGAAGTTGCCTTCTACGAGCAACAGCTGCGACTGCACAACGACAGCGTCCAAAGGCTCCAGCACACCGTTTACCAAGTGATCCAGCGGGGCCAAGAGCTGCATCAGGTGAGATTGTGAACGGTGGCTTTGAGAATCATCTATCATTTTATCCATATCATTAATTGGTTATCATTGTTGTAGATGTTGGAGCGATCCGGCGTCACCCTGATGGCGAGCAGCCAAATCTCTGGAGGAACTCGGGTCCAGGTCCTCTTGGAATACTTGGCAGACAAGGAGCTGGATGCTGGCGAAGTGGCCCATCTCAAACGGACAAAGTTGCAACAACTCATCCAAATCCACCAACTCCAGAGCGATGCAAACCAGGTACTGACTAACCCAAAATCTCGTCTCAGCCTGCCTCACATTATTTTCGTCTTTTATTAGCTACATATACGTAGCTGCTAACTGAACTGACGGTTGCTTTCTCATGTTTTGATGATGCAAAGATCATTACATAAGGCACCCAATGACGATAATGACAATGCTGATGATATGTGGGTCTCAGATGATTAGTGATATTATGTTACCAAACAATTAATTAATTAACTTGCATTGAGCCTGGGCTGCACCTTGATTGCGTTTCTTTGTGCATTCAGCATGTCGTAGGCGATTGTCTATAGTGATACGTATGTACCTACGTTGGAGAGCAGTTGTGCATATGCATAACTACTGCATAAACAATGTTTATTAAACATCCACCAAGAGTATTACTGAATGCTTTCTGAATGAGCCTCGTTATGCGTAGTATTCGCGTCGCTAATTATGAATTGTTTGGTTGGATGGGCGCAAGAGTGAAAGTATGTGCTCTTGTAGCGTGGAGCGTGGTCATGTGGAACGGGATCACTTATTTATAGTACAACACACATATACCTAGCCCATATTACGTAGCCCTTAAGATTAGCTAGCTTCCGCAACAAAATGTGGCTCGCACCAGTCATTCCCACTGATTGCTCCTAAAATCAACTACATTCAATGTGTTCTCCTCAGGTCATCAACTGGATTCGCAACGGGGAGACAATGCTGGCTGCCAGCCTCGGCGTTCCGAGCTCCCTCCTGGAAGCTGAGCAGATGAAAAAGGAACACGAAAAGTTCCAGATCGCTCTCGAGGTAATAATAATAGTGCCGCACCGATAACTGGTGTACAATATTATACCCACTCTAACTCATGAGTTATTAAGGTAGTATCTCCATTAAAATACTTTGTTTTTCTCTGACAGAAAACACACAACTTTGCGGTGCAGGTGAATCTGAAGGCAGAAGCGTTGGCGGGGAGTTCCCATTTTGATGCGTCCACTATCAAAAAGATATCCGACGACGTGTCCAGTCGGTGGCACCAACTCATCACTGCAGCCGACGATCGACACAAATTATTCAATAATGCACTCAGCTTTTACAAAACGGCGGAACAGGTTTGTTCACACCTTTTTTGCGTAAAATTATTTTTATTTCTTCATTCTTCTTGGGACATGGCCAGCCAACATATGTTGTGTGATTATGTCCGTATCTGTGTACGTCCGACCCGATATATTATCGTGTAAATTTTATTTCACTGATGACTAGATACATACATATCATGTCCTGATGAATATATAATCTGCTAATGGGTTTAATGAATGACAAAAACGGCTGTGGCAATTGTAGGTGTGCTCCGTGCTGGACAGTTTAGAAAAAGAGTACAAACGAGATGAGGACCCCTGTGGTGGTGGCAGATGTGATGTCAACGTTGGGGACACCAAGGTGCTCGGTGATCGGAGGGCCTCCGTCAATCAGCTCATTACGAAGCATGGTGAGCAGAAGGAGGTAATGTTATTGAGCAATTATCATGTAGTAGTAAAAGATGTGCATACGCTATCTACAAATTATATGTATAAAGTTCTATTTTCACTCCAGGCCTTCCTCAAGGCCTGTACGCATGCAAGACATACGGCTCGCAATTTCCTCAAGATCTCCCATCGCGTCACGTACCCCTCCTACCATCACGCCCAGTTTGACACATCTTCCACAACTCCTACCCACTCCCCTGAACCCAAGGTCAAAGGTAATTGTTACACACTCGGCGACCTTATTTGTTGGAGAGAGCGCTGTCTCATCTGTTTTCTTGAAATGTGTAACTTGTAGCAATTTTGGACAAGTTGTTGACTCAGGAGAATCGTGTCATGCAACACTGGACGTCCCGAAGAAAGCAACTCGACCAGTGCCTCCAGTACGCCATCTTTGAGGGGTAAACCGGTTTTACCTATTAAGGGCCAGCTTAGCAAATTTGGCATTAATATTGTAAATTTTCATTTATTGTGAAGGTCTGCCAAACAAGCATTGGACTGGATTCATGACACTGGAGATGTCTACTTGGCCACCCACATTGCGTGTGGCTCCGGAAAAGACGACACTGAAGCTCTCCTCAAAGAACACAACGAATTTAAAACGTCTGCCAAGGTATAAATGCTACTCTACGGTGTAAACTTGAGTGATATTTTTACCCAGTCATCGCCACTCGACCCGATATCATCCATTGACAGATTGACCCATGTAAATTTGTTGTTTTAGGACACGCGGGAACGGGTTAAGTTGCTGATGCATTTAGCGGATAGCTTGGTGGAAAAAGGTCATCTCCATGCTGCGGATATTCGTGGGTGGGTCACTGCCGTGGATAATCGCTATAAAGACTTTAGCTCCCGCATGGACAAATATAGGCGAGTACATATTCATACCTACTTTTATTGCTCCTTGTAAATCAACAAAGTAATTGTGCATTGAACAGCTACGTTCTCACTCACAGTGGGAAATTGCGGTGGTAATCAGTACTAACTGTAAATTGTAGATCTCAGCTGGAGGGTGCATTGGGGATAAAATCTGGGAGTGAAGTGTCGCTGGACCGTCACTCGGACTCGAGTCTGGAGGGGAAGGTGTCCTCCTCATCTCTCCATCAGAACAGTGTAGGTGACGAGGGTCACAAGGTGCTCAAGGATCTCAACGAAGACCAGTCCAAAAGGCGGCGACGGAGAGAGTTTATCATGACTGAACTGTTACAAACGGAACGCTCCTATGTCAAGGATCTTCAAGTCTGTATTGACTTTTACTTGTTCGAGTTGCGTGCGAGTAGTAAGGACCCTTCGGGACTCAAGGCCAAGGAGAAAATCATTTTTGGAAACATTGAAGAAATTTACGAGTTCCACAAGGAGATCTTTGTGAAGGAGATGGAAAAGTACGAGTCTCTACCAGAGGACATTGGTCATTGCTTCGTCACCTGGGCTCACAAGTTTGACATGTACGTCTCCTACTGCAAAAATAAGCCCGAATCGACCACGATGCTCATGAAGGTCAGTCTATCCTTATACTTTTCATTCTGAAAAACACTGGCGGTTGAAATTGATAGCCAAACTCTGCTCAAAGAGATAAAATGTTCTTGAGGCCCGGGGTTTTTGCTCTCAAATAAACAAGTATTTATTCTTGGAGCAAACGTATTTAATTTGGCAACACCGCGTATCAATTAATTGCACGCTGGATTAGATATGTAGTTATTCGTAATTAAACGTGTTAACATGAATTTACAACTCATTTGCAGAATGGAGTGGGCACATTTTTTGACAATATTCAGAGGGAACACAATCTGGAGCATTCCATCCCCGCCTACTTGATTAAGCCGGTGCAAAGGTATAACTAGTTTGCAATCATTGGAGAGTTTTGTACGTAGTTTTGTGCATTCATATTTACATTTATCATCAGAATCACAAAGTACCAACTCCTCCTCAAGGATTTGCTCTCCTGTTGCGAAGAAGGTCAGGGGGAAATCAAGGATGGCTTGGAAGTAAGTATACGTGCACCTTTTCTCACATTTTTCATCTGTCGGATGTTATAGTAATTAACCAAACGTGTGTATTTCGCCATTTTGCAGCACATGCTCAACGTTCCCAAAAAAGCGAACGATGCCATGCATCTCAGTCTTCTAGAGGGTTGTGACGTCCCGCTGGATAAGTTGGGAGAGGTTATCCTGCAGGAAAACTTCCAAGTTTGGGACCCGAAACAAATCATACGGAAGGCGAGAGAGCGGCATGTCTTCCTCTTTGAGCAGTACCTTCTCTTCTCCAAAGAGGTCAAGGACTCGAGCGGGAAGGCCAAGTACATCTACAAGAATAAGCTCTTGGTGAGTGAATGACAGGCTATTGTGAGACACAGTCGGTCGAGCAATCCTTTCACATTGTCTCACCTTCACTTTGTCATCTTGCGTAGACGTCCGACCTGGGTGTGACAGAGTGCATTGAAGGAGACGACTGCAAATTTGCAGTGTGGACTGGCCGTTCCCCCATCTCCGATTATAAGATTGTGATTAAGGCATCCTTGTGTGAGACCAAGAGGAGCTGGGTCAAGAAGCTGAGAGAAGTCATTCAAGAGACCTACTTCAACACTGCCCTTCGTCTGAACCGCAGCCCTTCAAAGTCGGATCGATCGTCGAGGTCAGTGTAAATTGAGTCATACATACATATTTATATTTCATAGCAATGCAGAATATCAGTTCACATGCATCCATACATTTCCAAATTTGCAAATGTATTGCATTAGCGTTGAAGTTTGTCAAGCAATAATTGTATGTAATAACCTCGAAATTATGTGTGTAGGGACTTGGAAGAGCTGGGGTCTACGGATGACTGCTTTGAGATGAATGATCGAGCATCGGAAGCTTCCTACGGGTCTGGAAATAGTGGGCAAGACGGAGATCACCAACGGGTAAGCAGGAGAAGCCCCATATTTCTCGCATCCTTTCCCATGAGCGTCATGCAGAGCTATGAAAAGTCAACCTACGTGATTTCACAGAGACCATACGCCAAGTAGTATATTTAATTCCACGCCATACGCCAAGGACGAGAGAGAGAGAAAGAAAACGTGTTTTAGACAGTGATGAGATGCTGGTGTCACTCGCGTTGAATGCATACTAGGAGAGGGAGAGGGTTGGTCTATATGCATAGATAGGTAGACAGCTGGATAAGGGGACATAATAATAAATTGAAATCCACTCTCCTACTTACTCTAACTCTCACCACGTAAGCACTGGTTTGAGGGGATTGTGTGTGGACTGCTCTGGTGTTGGATAATTGGATCCCGGTGGATTACCCTGGAAATCCATTTTCTCCTCTCACTCACTCCATCACCGACACAAACGTCGAGGCCACAAACGCCACACAGGTGCTGGCGACACACACACACGTACACCTTTCTCCCCTACTTTCTCACTTTACCTACCTGGTCACCTCTCTTTCTCAATTGTTTCCGCCAGTTCTCCTCCTCCTGACTCCGCATTGATGTTGTTGTTGAAGTGGTCATTGGGACTGTCTTGGTGTGATCGCAGCAACAAAAGAGAGCAGAGATCGAGGAGAGCGTGGGAATGCATGGCTCGGGAGCTATGTGCTGATGATGATGACGATGGAGGGGTGGAGAGAAAGCAACGTGAGAGTCCGCCCGGGTCGTCTTGACAGTGGTGTTTCCTAATTCAGTTGGCTGGATGGCCTCCTTCACCTTCATTGCGGGGGGAAGAGAATGAAGGTGCGAGTAGTGGTGTGGGTTGGACGGCGGAAGGAAGGAAGTCGTGGTGGTGCTTCTCTCTCTCTCTCACTTTCTCCTCCTGGCCCAGTAGCAGTGCAATCCTCACGAGCTGCGGTCCTACCTTATTCCGTACCTGGTTTACTCTATGTGCAATAATAATACCATGATAGTACTACACATGCATGATAAGATACAATCGCAGAATACACCCCATGACCTACCGAGGCTTGACACCTCGCACCACTTTGTGTTAAGCTGTTACTTTCTTGTGGTGCGACTGTAGGAGTGCGCCTCTTTGTTGGACAGTGTTGGTTAACAGTACGAGGGGTGTGTTAGCAGTGTGTGTTTGGTAGGATGTGGCGCAAAGGGGGTGGTGCGGATGGGGTGACAGACCGTCGGCGGAAAATTTCCCTTCCCTGGTTTCGCCAATCATCCACCACCAAAGCTGCCCATCTCGCCCTCAGCCGCCAACACACAATTGACGCACCGGGCTCTCTACACTCGTATCAGTCCCCACTCCATGCCAATAAGGTGTGCAGGCAATCTCCCCTTCTTTCACGCGTATCATGCATATGTCCTCCCTCCCGCCTTCTCCCCAAACGTTACCACCGGCGAAGTCATGGTTTTAAAAATGTGTGCTTGTGCTTGTGTTTACAGAATTCGTTGGAGAGCACGTGGGTTGTGACTGACCACATTGCAACTCCTGGCAGCCGAGAACTGAGCGTGTTCAAGGGACAGCAAGTGGAAATCATTTCAGTTGAAGTATGTTTACCATCTTATAAAGTTTACGTGATTTACACACTATTAAGTCATCTGATATTGGTCAAGGGTATGAAAAGAATTATTGACTGTTTTATCCCTCAGGATTTGACACATGGCCACCTGGAACTAAGTCCGTCCTCTGAAATGGCCTTGGTGCGCTTGGTGACCGGATCCGGCGAGGGTGAAGGTTTCGTGCCCCTGGTCGTCCTCAAACAACTCCCCCGCCTCCGCAGCTCCACTGACGCCGACCCAGGTAACATGACACTCGGTATAGGAGTACCTATTCTCTTAAATTCTCATGAGCACGTACGGCATCGTCATCCCAGTGAAAGTCCAAGGTCGCATTCGTCTACAGGATGAATCGGCAGGTATTTAGTGAGTAAAAAACGACGAGAGTGATTGGGCATCCAAATGAAGTGAATGCATGGATAACCACCGAATGGATTTGTGTATTCATTATGAGACTTGACTAAAAGTGGGTTGTCTGTCAGTGAGCATGGCCAAAAAGTGTGTTTTTAAGTGGAAGGGGAAAGTATAACAAGTGAGAGTGGGATTAAAGGTTGTCACTCAAAGTGGAATTGGCTTGCATTTCTCTGGCACTACTACGAGGACTGTAATGTGTGTGTGTGTGTGTGTGTATGTAGGGAGAGGTGGGTGGTAGGAGAGCCTAATTTGGGTGGAATTGGGGAGTGAGAAAGCTGGGATGGTTAATAGAGTGTGAGTGTGATTGAGGGAGAGAGAGCTGATATGACACTGACAGGGCTGCTGGTGAGTGGAAAGCCGTGGCAGCACTTTTACCCCGAGTGAAAGTGAGAGAAAGCAAAAATCAATTGGTGGCCCTGTGGAGAAAGTGCTCGGGCAGAGTCGGGTTCGCATTGCGAAACAGGATTGGAATACAGGGCAGTAGTCGTCTCCCACTTACTCGCTCGTTATAGTCGTCCTTTCACAGAAGGAGCAGAGGCATCCAGCAAATGGCACTTTCCACTCCAGCAGCCAGATTATTGGATTAGTTTATTGCAACCACGCCACCAATAGCCCCCTCCTCGTCCACTTGGCCTCACTCTTCCCCCTCGTACCCCAGAATAGGGACCATTTGTCCCCAGCCTAGTGTCCTCTTTTGAGGGAGCTGTCTCCTCCTCTGCTACGGCCCTTATTGATTCACTTTCTCTCCCATTCCCTGTCAATCAATCCGCTCCTCCGGGTGACCCTTCCTTCTCCTGCGCCTGCCTCCTCGGCTCCCTTCGTCCATCTCTCCGTAGTGCTGTGTACACAGGCTGTTCTCAAGGTCAAAGGTTAACTCTGGCAACCAGCCCCTTTCCTACTGTCCTCACCATCTCTCATCATCCACGTACACCCTCCGCCTCTTGCGACCCTTCCATTCCACTCAGGTGAGTTTAGCTTTAGCAGTAATTGCATATTTGTTTATCATCGCTTGCAAGGCAATCAGAGACCTCATGGTTTTACTACTTGTGCGATTACTGGTGGCATGGAGCAGTGATGGTGGTGTCACTCTGTTTTGTTCAACGCCTCTCGGTGATCCTATTTGGCGACGACTATGTGCGACGACGACGACGATCGTTGGTGTAGCTATTACTTATTACAGAGTGAGTGAGGGACGAGGTGGATTTGTGGTGGTGGCTCAAAAGTTTGCCAAAACATTTGCACACACAGAGACACAGCCAAGCCACTCTTACCCCATGCATAATAGGATTGCATTGTGTTGTTTCATTCGTATTTGCATTCCTGCAGCCAACTAACTCCTCAGTTGTGATGAGTAAGTCATCCTTGCCAGTCGATGCCAGTTAGTAGTGTGTGGCACGTAGAATGATTGTACACATATTTCTATATGGCCATCACTCCTTTGGTTCATCAACCAATCTGTTGTTTCACACGCGTTTATCAGTCGATAGGAGCATATGAAAAGTAGATTACTCACTCGTCAAGGAGGAAGGATATCAGAGAGCAGTGGACAGTGATCATTCATTCACCCACTTTATACCCTCCTGCGGGTTGAATAATAATTCAGAGAAGGGACACCATAAACTGTTGAGAGTGACGCAACAAAAAGGATTACGCTTTGCACTCACAGTTCGTGCCTGTCTCATAAATAGTAGCTGGCCAGAAACACGTTGAGTTCGTTCGTATGTTTGGTGTTAAGTAATAATTGTCTGTGAGAAGAATGTCCTCCAACGACTGGCTGCCTGGCTATTACTGCTGTACAGTTTTGTTCCTGGTCAACTTGCTCGTGTCGGGGTCTCCGCACCAGGGGACGTGGTTGTGGGAGGAGACGAGAGAAAGAACATTGTTGGTAGCCGCGTAATCAGTGGGTGCAAAGGTGTGGGTGATTTTCGGGTCGTGTGCGTGTGACGAGGAGGATGCGAAAGGAAGGGAAGGGGACTCACCAACAGTTCTCCGCTCTGGGAATGTTTTCAGGTTCCACGTTCAAACAGATTCATCGACGAGTTTTTAAACGATCATCCGCTCCATCACATTGTTCGACTGAAGGTGGCACAATAATACTTGACATAAACATATAATATGCATATGCAATCTATGCCCTAACGTGTAACATATAAAATGCCTGCGTACATCGTACATCTCATTGGACTCATCTCCTTACATCTCATCGTGGAGAGCACGAGTTGATTAAAGGAATTTGATTGTTGCAGAGGGTGGAGAGCCGACGACTCCGACGACTCCAGCAGCACCGGCCACATCCTCTTCGTCCCCAGTCTCCAAACGTCGCGTGTTCAGTGGGAAATGGCTGCCCCCACCACTCCGAAAGCTGAGCCAAGGAAAGCTGGGGGAGTCTTCTTCCGGGGGGAGCAAGCAGCCGGGGAGCAGCGGGTCAGCCAAACACAACTCCTCTTCTTCCGCCTCTAAGGACGCCTCTAAGGACGCCAAGAAGGGAAACAAGCAGCAGCAGCAGCCACCTCCCACAACGTCCAGTACCCTCTCACAACACCCCCCATCCGTAAGCAGAACCATTCAGTATTTATTATATGTACGAGTCCTCCATTGTAACAATAAGGGCGGGTGTAGAACTTTCTCTGTCGGCAGTTTTCTCCCCTCATTTTTACTCGAGTATTTAGTGCAACAAAATTAAGCACGATTCAAGAGATCGTTTGCATCGAAATGACCACAATTTTGAGGAGCCTATCCGTTCAAGAATAATTTTCTCATCACTCCTCGTGGAGGGTAAAACCGTCGAATCTGCTGCTCCCAAGTGTGTAACTAATGATCATTTTTATGATCGTACTCAAGCATAATGTGCCTTCTTCTTCTTCTTCTGGTCGGCTTTCTTCCTGCTATGTGTTGCATTATTATTAGTTATTACTACTTTATGAGTTGATTTTGCGAGGAGATGAAAGGATGTTGGTGAATAATTCACCATCACCACCAGTGATTCACCAGCACTCTTTGTTGTGCCGCTCCTACTCCTCCACATTCCTCCGCCGCTCTGCCGCCCCCACCACCCAAACCATCCTAGCTTCCACCCCATACACATACTTCGCCATTCGCTTGGTGGCCTCACCCACGCCCATAACGTAGCAATGAGTGTGGGGCGGATTGTGGTGTGTGGATGGACCCCACTGTTTGTTTTGGGAGCACTTTTTGATTTTATGATGAGCATGTTGTTTGTAGTAGTAAAAGTTTAGCGATAATAAGTAGCATGTAGTTTGTTGTGGACGTTGTGGAATCTCTGGCTCTTCTAGTGGAGTAGTAGCAGGCAGTCGTCGTTGGTTAGAGGAATCGAGGGCAGTTGGCCAAAAATTAGAAGAATATGCAGAGTCCTCGCCTTGTCCTCTTTCAGCCTTTCACTCATTCGCATGAACGTGTGCCCCGTCGTGGTACGTGCGAGCGTTGCTGCCAATATGTACTTGCTCTCTTCTAATCTCTCGACTTTAGGACAAGAGGAGGAGCAGCAAAGTAAATGTCCCATGTGTGCGAATTATTATGTGCTGCGAATACTTCTCGCTAAAATTCTGCTCCTGCTCCTACATGGATCGCTGATGATGATGATCATCATGGCAAATATTCTCATTCTCCGCTCGTTCTTGGTGAATATGTAGTTGTTATTTGGTAGGAGATCTTGTGGGAGAAGAGGAGCAAGCATACGCCAAGGACGTTTTCATATTATTATTATTGCCATTTATTTATACTCTTCTCCATCCTACTCTACATACAAATCCTCCCATCAGGCAATCAGGAATAGGCACACTCTCCATGCTTCATTGCAAAGTTGCTTCTAGTCGTTGACGTCTATCGTCCTTTTAGAACTCCCTCATCTTACCCGTCGGGGCGCAATAAGTAATTAATTTGCCCGTCGCGTTCAGGAACGGTGGAAATTATTCTTCCTCCGACTTGGAATCTTTGCACGCGCTCGAATAGCGGATATGCACAAGTGGTCTCTCGAATGCATGCAGTATTGCGGACCAATTAGTGTCAGGCGAAATAAAGCGCACATAGTATAGCTAGCTAGTTAAGCGGCCTAAACAGTAACACTATACTATCCAGCTCATATATGTACACACACATCCGGTGTCAACCAAATACCAACCAGCCAGCCACCGTCACTTTCATCAGTCAGATAGGCTTTTCCTCGTGCTGTGCATGGTCATGAGATATGATGCTTGGAAACCGCATCATGTGCAGCAGAGGAGGAGGCTGTTAAACAGTGCGCTAATGTGGGTGGTGCCTTCTGTGCTGTACTCCAGTCCAGCTGTGGCGTGTTATTGTAGCAAAATTTGTGTGTAGTACAGTGTATAGTTTCTAAATTGTGGCTGTACGAATAATCAGGCGTGTCTGAATAAGGACTCTCCAGTTGGGCGAGAGAAGGTTATCGCTCGATGCAGCAGTGATGAAGCGACTTTTGTTATCTCCATTCCGCTCAAAGAAGCGAACTTTGGGTGAACCCAAGGAGGAGGGAGATGACGAAGGGAGGACCAACATTGGGGACGTGGGTCGTTGTGCCACCTGGGGAACGTCCTCACATAATAATAACACGTCCACTGCCTCCTCCAGTGACATGATGGTCACCAGGGGCGTGGGTGACTGGGGGGCAAGGCCACGTTCAAAGTCCGTCGTCTCCTTCTCCTCGCAAGTGCAGGATGTCAGTCGACATCTCAACACGGCCCTCGTTCCATTCCTCACCTCCAGCAGGCGAACAGGAAACCACGACGATGAGGTTGTGGTTGCAGAGAGAGAGAGAGAGACATTCAATGATATTCGACTAGAATAGTCAATTAATCAGTCGAAAAAATAAATAACAACTAACCGTATTCTTTTCTTCTCCTGTTGCAGAGCGACGCTCATCATCCCAACAGTAGCGGTAGTAGTAGTGGAATGGGTAACCGAGGGTCATCCTCGTCCACGACGCAGTCCAGCAATGCGGACAGCAGTGCCCTCGAGTCTCTGAAACCCTCTCGCAGTTTGGGTGGCGGGGATGTGCCACTCTTTGCCGAGGGGGATGAAGGGGACGAGGATCAAGTGGAAGTGCCGCCGCCCATGGCCCCCATCTCACAACAACTCCTCTCATCCGCCAAGGGTGGACCTGAGCAGAGCCACTCCTCCCACGCCTCCTCCCACTCCAAACGGGTAAGTCCAATCAACCAGACATGCGTGACGCATAGGAACCACAATACTTAGGCCACATAATGTGACATTGGAATCATCATCATACTTGAGTGTATGATAATGCTATGGGATACGATCCGTATGATATCCCAGTGAATGAGTGTATGGTGATGGGTGTAACAAGTAGTAACAACATTGTTTGTGATTGAGTGCTGCAGTCGAGCAATGCGCGAGGAGAGACTGAGGAGGACTCGGTCCCACTGGCCACTGAACTTGAACAAATCGTCAAGTCGTCCAAAGAACGAATGGTTCGTCCCAAGTCGTCCTGTGTTTTTTGAGTGTGTTGTAGATTTTATTTTTGCGTTTTACAAGTCTTGCGATGGATGATGCATGCCTGCGCACTTTTCTCTTATTTTATTGCGTTTAATTTAAGTAGTTTATTAAGTTTGTACTCATTTGAATCTTTGCCGAGTTCGTCCACTGATCATCTGTGTCTGTGTGTGTGGTACGTGTAGGAGCAGCAGGAACAGTTGGAACGTTTGGGTGAACTGAGCCTGGAGGGGGGCGAGGGGCGAGATGGTGCTGCCGAGGCATCATCCTCAGCTGGACTGAATAATGGGAATGGTGATGCGCCGCCCGGACCCCTGACCCCCGAGGAGGAAGCGTGTAGGAAGCGAACTTATGTGATTCGGGAGCTGATTGAGACGGAGCGAGACTATGTGCGTGATCTGAGAGAGATTGTCGAAGGCTACATGGCCATTATCCGTGACCCCAATTCCGACATTGCCCTCCCCGAGGTAATACCAATATTCGTCATACTATTACTAATATTTCTTAATTATGCATGGACAAGGAGCACAGGAAAATATTGGGAAGGAGAAAATGAGACTGCAAGTCCTACTATTTACCTAATTTTTAATTTTTACTTAGGACCTTCGCGGTGGAAAGGATAAGATCATCTTTGGCAACATGGAGGCAATCTTCGAGTGGCATCGAGAGTAATAATTATTAATCAATAGCATAAATCAGAATTGGCTTGCTCTCACCTACTCGCTCAACTATAGCCAGGTTTAATTAAATTACTTGATTAATTTCTCTGCAGCATATTTTGCAAAGCGCTGGAAAGATGCACGGAACATCCGGAAGAGTTGGGTGGTCTCTTCAAACGATACGAGAGGAAGTTGCACATGTAAGCAGTTTGCGTCAAGTAGTATTGATTTAGGTTGGAGATAACAATTGCACTATTTTTTGAAAAGGTACGTCGTCTACTGCCAGAATAAGCCAATGTCCGAGTTCATCGTGTCAGAACATATTGACACATATTTCGAGGTACAGGATTTTGCTGTACACATTGAACTTGAAGAGTAGTCAATACTTCAACATAATATTGCTTACTCTGGTTGCGTTTGTCTGCAATTAGTCCATGCAATTAGTTTGTATATATTAATCTACTGTGTGCACAGGAAATTCGACTAAAACTGGGTCACAAGTTGACACTGTGTGATTTGCTCATCAAGCCGGTCCAGCGCATCATGAAGTACCAACTCCTACTAAAAGACATTCTCAAGTACACGGAGCGGATGGGTGTGCCAGACCAGGTGGAAATGCTCAAGTTTGCCACCCAAGTGATGCACGTCGTCCCCAAAGAAGCCAACGACATGATGAATGTGGGTCGACTTCAGGGCTTTGATGTGAGATAACTAGTTCAGATTGATTGTCCAATAATTGGTTGATGATGATTAATTTGCAAGTGCATTAATTGTCCTCAGGGGAAAATAACGGCTCAAGGGAAGCTGCTCCTCTCCGGCCTCCTTCTCTGCTCCGAAGGAACGTCCGCTCTCAACTTCAAGGGGAAAGAGCTCCAAGTCTTCTTCTTTGAACAAAGCATAATTCTCAGCGAGTCCGTGGGGAAGAAAACTCAGTTCTCGAATCCCGTCTACATTTACAAAGCTCACATCCAGGTATTAAATAAATCGGTTGCCAGCAAAGCTGTTCTCGTTCTACTGTCATACTCACTAACAAAAACCAAACTCCCACACGCACACAATTAGTTGCAATGACAATTAAGTGGCAGCCAGTTCTATGTACATTTAATTTTCGTTCTCGTTCTACTGTGTGACAGTAGAATGGCTGAAGCGGACGCATGATTGACAAAAGAACAAAGCAAGTAATTGTAATATTATATATAGCAGTTTGACGAGTTTTGATGGTTATATTTTTTTTCCTTCGACTTGCTCTCATGCACAACTCTGGAAAATAATAGTTTACTGGAAATGTGAGAGTCCCATATGCACGGATAGGCGCGCTGTCTATAGAAGTCAAAATAAATAAATATATATATCCGATGCCATTATGGGGTTGACAGTTGATCAATTACACGGCTGACAAATATGGTCACATCGCCTTTTAGAGCAACAGCAGCAATAGCGTCTCGGCTGGCCACACTACGAGAAGCACTAATCCTAAGTGAACTAAGTCTCCTAACCTGTATTACATATACTAGTCTTACACAAAATCCTGTCACCAACTTTTTTTGCATGGTACCACCAGAGAATCTACATACTTTGAATATTTTTGTACGTTGCATTTGTGTAATAGTTGTAACTTAAACGGGCGTTTCTCCTTTTCGTCTCTCATAATATGTTAGGAATTAAATGAGTGTATGATAAATTTGTCCTCGTGACTGTGACTAAAATTGCCTTATCATGTTGTGTGTCTCTCCTTCCAGGTGAACAAGATGAATGTGTCAGAGAGTGTGGATGATGGAGACGAGTGCAAGTTTGTCCTCCGTTCTACGGACCCCAAGAAGCCCAATTTGGCGTTTGTGTGCCAAGCGTCCTCTGTGGAGGCACGTGAAGAGTGGGTGACCACTCTCCAGTCCATTCTCCAGACACAGAAGGTGGGTTCTTGCATACAAATCTTAAATTCAATGCATGAGAAGGGGTGGAATTTGTTACATTGCACTAACTTGTCAATCTGTTTTCAGGATTTTCTCAAAGCCATCCAATCCCCCATCAAGTACCAGAAGAATAAACTCACCAAGGAACTGTAAGTCAATCGGTGAATGTCCACTCCAGTCAATTTCCGTTACTACAACTACTTGGCTCACTTCTTCTCTCTGTCCCCTCTCTCCCCCCCAAAAAAACACTTTGGACATCCTGGTGATGCGAATCCACTCGACACCTTCTCCCCTTCGTCTTGCTCTTCTCTATTTAAACAAACCACCAAAACCTGGAACGATCCTTGCGCGCTTAAAACTACGTTGTGACGATTACGATTGGGCCGATTAATTATTTATTGAAAAATATGAATGGTGGGGGCCGCAGTTTTAAATAGTTGCTTCAAGGTCTAGTGATTGGGAAAGAGTGTTATTTGTTACTCACCCACCCACCGACCCACCAAACTTGTGACGACGATAACTAGATGTAGACCGCTATACCCACCTACGTGGACTCTGATACTAGTGTGTACTTAGGCTCAAAATATATCAGTCGCCCCACCCACAGAAGCAACGTTAGTAGCAAACAGGTTGTGACAATGACGACGATCGGATCCACTACGTGACGTGGCTACATGAAATTACACCTATATCTGAGCTTTCGTAGTAGGACAAGAACAATAGCGTGCGGTGTATCTATATGGCCTGTCCCTCAAAATTCCTTCTTGTTTTCCCTTTCAGCCTGGGTGAAGGTGTATGGGCTTTGTGGTCAGACAGATTTATATATATTTTTCATGCATACTTGGACTACACGTTTATGTGTCCGCAAAGATGAGTGCCAATGAGCGAGTGAAAGTGTCCTACCTATTTATATATTGTGCTATGAGAACCGCGTGTAGATGTATCTACTAAAAATACCTAGGAATAGAGACATAATAGCACACAATTAGCGTATGTATAAAAGCGCTCGAGAGAGGAAACGCTCTGTTGGAATGCACTCAACGAAATATTTTTAAAGATGTGTTCAACTCTTGTTGTAATAATTGTTTCTCAGTATTATTTTGATGCTTTTTTGGGGAGTGGACACGATCTCTTGAGTGGGTCCAGTGCCATCACACCTCCTTCCCCTTTATTTTCTGTTATGTCTGGAAGACAAGGCTCCGGAGGCTTCTTCCTCACCCCGCCGTGCTTGTGTTAGTGTAGGACTCGGTGTGAATACATATTTAATTGCACTCTTGTGCGTCGTCGTCGGAAACGGATGTGATCATGCATTTTACTCGTGACTATTTTTATTGTTATGATTAAATAATAGGTTGTAGAGATTATGGTCTCCGAATGTAAATATTATGTATGTACCCAAATGTCTACCTATTTCCTAGTTATCGATTGAGGATAGAGTCGTGTTAGGTGCGAGTTGGGTGGCTTGATGAGTGAGTGAGAGAGGAGGATACGCTTTTCATAGTCTTTATAATTATTACTCCATCACCTTGTTGTTCCTCATTTTCTGGTGACATTATCGTCACACACAGTCAGTCACGTATCAAATCAAAGCAAGGTATTCATAGATAATCAACACAAATTCGCAATTCGCTTCACGCAAGCCAGAGCATTTAAAGTTTCAGGGCAGAAGAGGAGGAAGGTCATCCAACAACTAGCTCACCTTTCGCCAGGTTCAGTACCTTTTTGTCTCCCCCCAGGAAATGATAATCTTTTTATCAGCATCTCCCTCCTCCTCCTTCATCTCCCACCACCACCGCCCTGGGTGACGGAGAAAGAAAGGTCGTGTGCCATAGAAATTGTATCCTCTACTATTCTTACCCAGTGATTCCATTCCACGACCATTATTTATTGTAACCTTGTGGCATTGAACCGTGCTTGCAAGGCAGGTGGCGAACGTAGTGGTTGTTAATTGTTGCTGTGCGCACCTGGAGGACGAGAGGAAACTGAAGCCAAATTATATGTTTAGATAAGATATACAAAATACGACTATTCTATAACGTGTAATGTAAGTAAGATGTACTATGGGCAACGATGAATGCTGTCGCCAGTACGTTTCTCATCTCTGTTCTATCTCTGCATTAGCTATTATCTGTAACTTATCATATTATGGGTGGACATGTTTCTTATTCACAATAACAAAAGGAAGAGCAGAATATATTGACTGATTTTCATACCGTACAAAAAAACTGCAAGTTTACAAATTCTTCATCTGTCATTTACTTACACACACACGCTCCTTATTGCATTCCTCAAAATGGTCTGCAATCTCATCGATATATACTTATCTAAATATGTACATACTTTTAATGATCTATGCTTCTTCCATCTTTGAGTTTTGGTATTTAATTTGAGTCATTGTTGCCAAGTTCTTGCTTGGCTATAATTCTGGTCTTTTGGGCTGCTCTTCCGCCTTCCAGCCTATTTTTTATACAATGTATTTATTTATTGAGCTTAATATTTCCGTGTGTTAGATTTGAGTTGATTTTTTGAGGTTTGAGTTTTTTGTGGTTTGTTTGTGATGCACGCGTTTAGTTCTGCACCAGATTTGTGGAGGAATGCGAGCACTTCGTCGCCTCCAACATTCTCTCTGCTCCCCTTTTCCCCTGAGATGGAGTCACCCCACCCAAAGCTAGAAGCACCCACGACCACGACGACGAATGGGCGAGTGGTGAGGAATCGTATGCATTCCAGTGATGGTGACGACTTGAACAACACGGGGTCGTCAGACGCGATGAAGCTGAAAGCGCAAAACAAAAAGACGGTACAACTAAAATCCACCCACCATCCATCCAACTAATCAAATCCATTGAAGTTGCTAACTAACCACGTCGTGCACATTTGTAATTACTAACTCCTCGCGTTATCATCGCTGCTTTAAAAACGTGGCTTTTTTTATCGCTTGCATGCATGCCTGACAAAGTACTTACACTCTAACCCTTGGCATATGATTTAACGTAGTGTGCAATTAACACGTGTAGAGATGATATGTGTGTGCAGTCTAACCTTGTTGCGTTGTTGGACTGATCTGCATGTGTGTTGTAACGCTTGTGTTTGTTTGGTGTGCACTCCAGCAGGGCGACGTCATCGCCGAGACCCCCTCAGGACGAGGGAGGCAAAGCAAGGCACAAGGCATACCTCTCCCGCCCTCTTCAGTTGTGAAGGTGAGCAGGGACTTCAAAACCTCCTCCCCTTCGAAACATCCCCATCAACTCTCCGTCACTAAGGGGGAGTCGGTTCAAATTCTGGGGGTTGACTATGACCAGGAGCTCTACTTTGTGCGACGCCTCATCTACCCACATCACGACGGCTGGCTTCCCGCTACCATCTTTACAGAAGTCCCCAAAAAACCAAACTCGTGGTCCTTTCCTGGTTTCCGAAAGAGGAATAGTCTCACTTGTAATAGTCAACAAGTTCCCAACAGCAGCACCAATCAGAATAATAATAATAATAATAGCAAGACCTCGACAACACCTTCTCCGAAGACCCAGTCATTGTCGTCCCATCAGCAACGACAAACCAACAAGAATGACGACATTGACGGCGAACCCTTTCAATTGCCCGGCGTGGTGAATATTCACAACAACTCGTAAGGGACTTATCCCTATTGCTAGTTCATAATACACTCGTACTTTTCCTTGCTTGATATAATTTCATACTTCAGCTCTAGAGTTAAGGATGGATCAACGGAAAATACGACGTACTTGTTTGACGAGGCCCCCGTGTTTTGTCACGAGCTGCAAAACATCAAGGTAGCTTCTGGAGAGGAGGCCGTACTCCAATGTCAACTCTGTGTCTCGTCCTTAGTTGACTTGGAAGCCACCTCCCACCACCCACTGCAGACCCCATCACCACCACCAGTCATATTTTGGAAGGATGCTTTTGGACATGTCATCCGTCACTCAGAGTCGCACCAGGTCACCTTCTCTCAAGGGAATGGGATTTGTAGCCTACGCATTCTCCAGGCCAGGGTTTCCGATTCAGGGAGATATACTTGCACCGCTTCTAATGAGCATGGCAGTGCCTCCAGCTCGGCGGTCCTTAGTGTGACAGGTACGTTTATTAAATAATATGGTACACTCTGGGAATATTGACACTCGATTAATTCATGAGTCTGGGCTTGCGTGACCGTTGACTGTTGGTTGCCTATTACTCAATTGGTGGATGATAAGCCACATTTGGAACCTTGTTCTTGCGTCCAACCATTCGATCCTATCTAACCCCATGTTAAAAAACTAATTGCAAAAGTATCAAAGAATACATATCATAAATATTCTCATGAATGTTTGTTGTATCATTTTTCTCCACAGCGGTTGCACCGACGGCACCCTCAGCACCAAAAGTCACGCCAGTGGACAAGGACAACAGCGTCCTGCTTACTTGGGAAAGTGACACGAATGGTGGTGACCAAGTCGTCAAGTTCTACACGGTGGAGACGTGTCTAATGGAAAGTGAGGTATGGACGAGTTGTGCCGTCGTGGCACAAAACTACTGCAAAGTTCAGCACTTGAATCCTGGATTGGACTACTCTTTCCGAATCATTTCTCATGGGGAGGGGACGACAAGAAGTGAACCCGGTCCACCCTCAGAGTCTCTCATCTTGTCTCCAATCACCAACCCTGCATCCACCCCCACCACCAGAAGTAGCAGTGCACAGCAGCAGCAACGCTCTCCCTCGCCAACGACCACGTCTCCAAACTTTGAGTCCAAGTACACGGAAGGGGAGGAGCTAGCACGCGGGAGATTTAGCATCGTTCGCAAATGTTTCGAAACCTCGACGGGTGTCGAATTTGCCCTCAAGCTTATTCCGAGACATCGTTGGAAACGACAACTGATTCTCAAAGAGTTCCAGATCCTTGCTGCCATCTCTCACCCTAACGTTCCTGGTACCAAGGAGTTTTGTGACACGCCATTCAATTCGGTTATCGTTATGCACTTGTGAGTAATTGTCCTTGTCCTCAAGATTTTCATACTTGCCATTCTTGACACTATTGACAATGTCGAGCCTATATGTATATTCCTTGTTTGTGGCAGCGTTCCTGGCTGCAACATTTTGGCGTACCTTTGCGAGCAAGAGTCTTACACCGAGTACCGAGTGGCGTCCTTGATGCACCAGTTGTTTTTGGCCTTGGAACACATTCACAGCCTTGAAATTGCACACTTGGACATTGAGGTTGGTTAGACTATCGCAATTAATTAATTTACAAATCCAGTGTGCTTTGGATTTAGACTCAAATAGAATATTTACAAGTTATCCTTTATCTATGTAGCCTTCAAACATTCTGGTGGATAAGAGCTTGTGCCCTCCCTCTCTCAAACTCGTCGACTTTGGCGACGCTTGCCACGTTGCTTTTGGATCACCCGACTGCCTTCCTCAAACGCTCCCCTGTTACGAGTTTGCTTCTCCGGAAGTCCTCCTTCGCCAAAAGTGTTCGGTTTCTTCTGACATCTGGTCCACCGGAGTTCTGATCCATTTCCTACTCAGCGGTCACTTCCCCTTCTACCACGACACGTTTGAGAAAATGACAGCCAACATCATTAATGGGAATCTCCGTCTGCCTGCCCAATTCCAGCCCATATCACTCGAGGGGAAGACATTGATTACCCAACTCCTCGTGCCGCCACCGTCAGATCGACCCAGCGCCGCACAGTGCTCCAGTTCTCCTTGGATTGCTGAGAGTCGAAAGTTTGTAACGCCGCTGGAAAGAGGTCAGTTAGAAAAGTATTTGGGAGGGAGGACCGTTGAGGATGGACTCAGGCGATATACCAAATGCACAAGTAGTGCATAACTTGTGCAGTACATCAATCTAGAGCAAAGAGGAAAATCGAGTGCATGCATCCGTCGACGTCGATCATACCAGCATACCCAGCAGTGCTGGGCCAGCACTCACCGTATACTTACCTTACTAAAGACTGACACTATTTATTATGACTAATTTAAGAACTCGATAGATGTTATGTATGCACACTTGCACACACATACATAATATGCACTATGTAGGCATATGTATGATGGGATTCGAATGGATAAGTATACTTCGAGTTGTGTGAACTATACCCTTTCTAAATTGTGATCATGTTTATTATCAAGTGCAATCGATTATGCTATTATATTATATTATCCTGACAATAAGAATTGTTTCTATATTTTTATATTACATATATATGCTGCATTACATGTACTTGTTAGTGAATGGACTGCGACTTGCGGAATGAGAATCTGAATGTGCAAAAATGACATTTATTCGTTGTTAATAAAAATTACATTATATCCTTTATCAACTATTAATTATGTATGCCTATTTCGCACTTACGCTCTCTCTCTCTGTTTTGTACGTCCCCCACTCGCTCTCGAGACAAAATTTGTACTTGAAAAACCTTTGATGCGAGTTCAATCAACTGGTGCATGTGCAACAAGTACACGTTGTGTTCAAATTTAAAGCAAAACATTATGGAATCAATTTGTTCAACAATAATGAGGGAGGCTTATTTGGGACAACTTATCGTACATAAATAAATAAATACCGTAAATATGACATCGTATAGTCAGTGCTAGAGCTAAGTACTTTTGTTTTACATATATTTACTTAATATTAGTACATTAAAAATAAATACAGTTTGGATGTTGTAATTTATAATAGAGTCCGTAATAGAAATAGAATGTGAAAGGAGGAGGTAGGCAGGAAACCCAGATCGTGTCGTAAATATTGCACAAATGAATGACGATGAGAACAAAATCTATCTAAACCTGGACTCACGTTTTTACACAAGTTCAGATTTATAGAGGATCATTGGCTGTTTACTCTGCTGCTGATGATGGTGATTGTATAGTAATGGTTGCGACTCTGTCCTAATTGGCTGATTGTTATGAAAGAGCAAGTCTTCTGCTGGAGAAAAGTCACGGATTTCATGAGGTTGTACCATAAGCAGAGACTGGACCTGGTCTTGGACGTGTTGGTCAGTGTGCTCCCTCATTTTGTGAAGAAGTGCTTGGTAGAGGTGGGGAAATTTAGATGGACAGCAGTCACATTGATGAGTTGGCTTCGAGTGATGCCACAGCCGATGGAGAATAAGATCCCTCATCCGTTTGAACGAGCGAGGGCTGGGGCCCTCTACACAGGCAATGTGGTGGCACTTGAACTTGAGTTCACGACGACCGGAGCGAAGTAGCCATGAGGGTGAATTTCGATTAAGGACACGACGTGGTGTGTTGTTGATTTGGAGGCAAAATCGCAACTTGTGCTGAGCAGGAGAACAACGAGGGTTGTGGAGTTGGTGAGAGGAAATCACAGGGGTTACGAGCACTTCATTCAGATCTGGGATCACTTTGAGCGAGAGTCGAGCCTTCTGGCGTTCCAAGGCAGACAAAATGGAGGAAAAATCAAGGAGCAAATCCAGCTTTGGTTTCTTTCGAGGTGGTTCCAACGAGTTTTGAGACGGGGACAAAAGTAGCGTCGTGTTGTTGTTGTTATTATTATTGTTGAGACAGTCGTCCAAAGAGGAGGCATCATCTCCTTCCGTATTGATGCTGATGCCTGAAGAGCTGTTCTCCAACTTGATTGTGTCGTCCCCGAGGTTGTGAAGAATGATGGGGTTATGATCCAAGGGAGTGCAACTAGGGGAGGGCTGACTCATTTCATTAACAAATTGATCTGTTGGTCTATTCTGCTGCTGTTGTTGAATCTTGTCTGATATACATACATGGAATCAATATAATTTAATACAAACATAGGCATTCAAATAAGTAGTACAAGTATTACAAGACCCACCATTTTCGTCAATGTGGATCACAGGTTTTGATTTAACTTGAGCGTCTTCATTGAGGAGCTCTAGCATGGACTTGGCAATAAGTTGGTGAAGATCGTTCTCCTTGATTCCATACTTGATCCTGTATAAGTTGACGCAGAGACTGCAAAGATTCTTGTGATGGGATCGCCAGTGGTAGGTGAAGGAGTTGGTCGACGGTACTTTGAGACCACAATGTGGACATCTAGCAAAAATTGTTTACAAATAATTTAGAACCAATACGGACACAATAAGACCGTCGGGGGTTCATTTAGTGAGTGTTATGACCCACCTGACGTTTGGTTCTGCAGCATGTTCCAAATGGATATGTTCTTTGAGAGTATTGTCGAAGGGGGTGGAGAACATGCAGCCATCGGCCTTACACACTAGTTCAAGTCCGTTGTGTGCACGTTGGTGTTGCATGATGAGACGTTTGGTGGACGCAGTGTAGGAACAAGTGGAACAGACGTAAGAGCGAACAATATTCTTTTTCTTGGCTGGGTTCTCCCTGTCGTTGGGCCCTTCTGTCCAGTGGAGCTTCTCGTGTAGTTTCAGCGACGCCTCGTCTCCAAACTCAATCCCACAATTTTCACAAAGTGTCTCGGGCTCCGATTCTTCCTCTTCTTCCTCCTCCTCTCCCTGAACCAATTCTCCGCTCAGAAGGTTTTCATGACACTCACCCACACCTACAAAAAAATAAACCAAGATAACCAATCAAAGTTTAGCCCAAACCAGTTTTAGCTATTGGCGAGCAGAGAGGAAGTTATTTTATTTAACACCCAACCTCACCTTCAATGGATTGAAGGCCAGGTTCTATTTTTGGGATGATAGTGCCGTTGGCGTCTTGTTGGAATGTGATTGGGGGCATAGCATCAGAAACTGCGGCCACCGTGGCTGCAATTGAGGATTGGCTGAGTGGATCCCCAGAATTGAGGAGAAGCGATTGCTGTTGGTCCAAAGTTAAGGGCTCCGAAAGTTGCATGTGATGTCGGGTCGGAAGTTGCATTTGCTGGACGAAAGGAATGAAAAGAATAAATTTATGAAATGTGTATACAAGAAGTAACGCTGCGGAAGTAGTTATAATAATTAAAATTCTGCTTACAAATGTACTGGACGAACTATTGTTGGCGAGGGACTGAGCTGCTGCCGCGGCTGTCAACGAGAAAGAAATGCAAGATAATGACAGACACGTAAAAATATGTAAATGTGGCAAAATTGTTGTGCTACCTGCGGCGACAGCACCCATTCCAGGTTGGAGGTTATGCTTTTCCCTCAGATGAGCCTCCATCGACAGCTGCTCAAAAGTACATTTAATTGTAGGGGATTAACGGAAAGATATTTTAAAAGATTTTGTGAACTCACCTCATCCGTGGTTCGAAAATCACAGAGATCACACTGTACAATCACTTTTTGATGCTCAAGGATGGCATGGGCTTCCAAATCCGCACGCAGTTCAAAGTACTCTTGACACACGTTGCAGTTGAACCCAGTTTTGACCAAGGGATTTTGATGAGCATCCTGAATATGTTGCGAAAGAGCGTCCGTGTCGTCCGCAAGGAATGAGCATTTGTGACATACTCGTTTATTATGCACCTTCAGCACGTGGGTTGCAAGGCGTTCGGAACGGGCTGCCTTGTAATCGCACAGAGCACATAGGAATGGTTTGATATGAGTGTTGAGGTGGCGCTAGTGAATTAAGCCAACAAGAATATACATACATGTAATTACAGCATTAATGAATATACTGAGGTCAAACTGAGACTGCTGACATCGACAATAGTTAATTGTCACACCTTACCTTGAGGCACCAATTGTCCACTCCCTGCCAAGGGCAGTAAGAGCACGTGTACATTTTCTCTCCCACCTTCTTCTTCATCTTGCCCTGTTTCGACTTGCCTGCAATTACCATCATTTTTATTACAATCCAACTATATATCATATCACAATTTAATTATTGCTAATTAAAGTCCACTGTGATTTGCGCACTTTCTTTTTTAGTTCCTCCAACTCCTGCGATTCCCTGGAGTGGACCACTTTGACCGGGCGTGGACGGTGGGTTGAAATATGCAATATGCGGAATCGTCACAGTTTGGCCGGATGCATCGAGCTGAAGTGAAATAGTCTGCTGTTGCTGTTGTTGTCCGGCAGTAGAAACGTCAATCTGGTGATGTTGCATCAGGTCTGCCTCGACTACTGCTGCAGCATCTCTCTGTTGTTGCAACTCCTGCTAGTCAAAAAATAAATAAATGCATAAGTTGGTCATTATTCATATCATTCATATATTTACTGCAAATTCGCTCATAATTTTATTAATTGTACCCGCTGTTGCTTGGCCAGCTTGCTGTACTGGATGACTCCTTGCTGGGCGTGCTTGTTGAGGGTGTGTTTCTTGATTTTGTTAATGTCGTAAGGGTGCTCACGGTGCATCCTATAATGGCATCACCAAGAAAAGAAACATGTATTACATTTGTGACTGATGGCTCACTGACAGAATGAATTATTGGTATTATTCGGTTAGTTTAAACTGTATCACTTGTTACCGGGTAAAATGTTTCTTGACATGGTCCGCCCGATTAAACTGCTTCTCACAGACGTAGCAGACGAAGGGCTTCTCCTCCCTGTGAATATTTTCATGACGATTATAGAGGTCTCTTCTCTCTGTGGTGTAGGGGCAGTATGGACAGAGATACCTACAACAACAAGCCCCGTCACTCCCAGTCAAAACCACCCCCGCCCACTCGTCACAGCATCTTTTTACGCCTTTCGCTCTTCTAGCTTACTGTCAACTGTCTCGCAAGAGGCTATAAATAAATCTACCCCTAACAACCTCCTTAACTGTCCTCACTGATCCATCCAAACCAACTACACGATGAAAAATGAAATAAAGCATAAAATTGCAGCTACCTCCGCTCACCGCCTTCACCTTCCACCACTCGTGCCTCCACACCTCCCTTGAGAGAGCTCAAATATTTGGTCACCTATGCATCACATATTAACAGTATGAAAATATGTAGTCCAATTGGTGAATTTCAATGCACAATACTGCACAACATGCTACATGATGGTTAGTTGCGTGTACCTCTTCGAGCACCGGATTCTCCTTCCACATGGAATTGTCGTTCACCGTCTCTCCATGTTGCCGAGTGAGATGCATTCGAACACAACGAGCCCAAGCAGACGTGTAGGGACACCGAGGACACTGAAAAACGCGAAGGGGGGATGCATGATTTCCTAACCAGTGCTCGGCCACTCGAGACAAGAAACCCACAAAGTCGCAGTCTACGCAGCGAAATACTTTTTGGCTGGGGTTGTACCTAATTTTTAAGAAATAAACCAAAATCGTCACAAATCTGCTGGAAATATATGCCATCACAGATTTGTATATTAAATGTACGCATACTTCATTACCTTGCAATTTTTGATGGAGTCCAACTCAAAACGTCCTCACTTTCAAACCATCGTTCTTCAATCGTGGGGTTGGACGCGGAAGTGGAAGCAGCGATTGCTGGGGCAGCTGGTGTGTGGACACTTTGCTGTTCAGGCACCAGTGTAAGTTGCTCACCTACCCCTTCCATGGACCACAAGCGACCTATACGCATCACAAAAACGGAAAGAAATAAATGATAATAAAATCCATAGCTAGAGATTAGAGATTTAATTCAGGGCAACGCTTACCATCCTTATCCTGGCAAATCTTCCTCTGGAGTACAATAGTTCCCGGTGGGAGGGTTCCATTTGGAGCGGAGAGGAACGTGACACCTTGACCCCCCAAATCTGTCCTAAATGCATCCGTATCATAGATTATGTTGGCCTGCTGAATATTTCCGGACGCATCAATCAACTCGGCAAAACCTTGATCGTCCCCATACAATTTCTTGGTGATTTCTACAAGGTGACCCACAGCAAACAGGGAAACATAGTTATTATACGCTTCCAAATATCTTTAATCTGTGACCCAAAAGAATGGGAAGAGGTGAATCAAGAGGACATTGTAATTTACCCTTAAACACTTCTTCATACGAGTCAGCAGAGAGAGAAAAAGTAGTGGTCGTTGTGTGCTGAGAGTTTGGCGCATGACCTTGCGTCACCACGTTCACGTTCAACTGTTGAGCCTGGGTAGTGGTGAGTTGGAAAGTGGCGGTGGTGGGAGTGGTCATTACGTTTTGGACGCCGCTGCTGATGCTCGGATCCATTACAGGCGTGTATTTCTTTGGATCATTATTAATAATAATGCACTACAATATATTAGCTCCACTTCCACTCTTTGTTTGACAACGTCCTGCTGGCGTTCCTCGTTGATTTCCGATATGCATGCTAAAAACAATAAAACAAGGACAAGGGGTTGTAATAACCACAAAATCCATTCTTATCTAGACTCCAAATATGTACAACAGGTGGGAAAATGGTTCAATACCATGATTGATAAGTACCACGACTATTCAGTTATCGATACAACATTATGCACTATTTTTCCTCCATCTAGTAGATCAACAACTCTGCAGTATTACTTGGCTTGACGAGAAAAAGACAAACTGTTGCGTGAGAAATCGGCTTTGAACCCCATGAAATGAACAATACTAAGCAAAAAATCGCTCTTGTATATAACTCACTTGAGCATGACCAGTTGTCGTCGTAATTTGACTCAGTCAGTCAACTGTTTTGTGGGGTGGTCGGACTATATAAAAATGGCATGCTTTATATATTTCGAAACTCATCTTCTTTCAGATCTTTTACTTTGAAGGCATTAAATCAACTGGCTTTTGCTTGGATGAGGTATGTTCCTTCATTTCGGCTGCTAATAGCTCATGTAGCCAAAGAAATCTACAGTTGCATCGCATTGTTGTGCGAGCCATTTAAAGCAAACATTGAGATCGACGCTAGAAATGCAGCGACTGGTTGAGTGACTGCACTGAAGATACAATGACCCAAGCATACAGCCTGAGCCACCATATCACCATCACCATCGGAAGAAGCAAAAAAAGCGATACAAAAAAACTATACACTTTTCCTTTCAATCCATTTTCTCTCATCCTAAAATCCTGCTTATATTTGCAAGTACTGCTGATTTCCACATTCGTGAGTGCAATGAATCCTGCACACAATATGCAACTTGCATTATAGGGAGCCAAAGGAATACGGATTGGAATGTGAATAAAAAAAGAGGAATTTATGAGAATTTGGAGCAAATGATAAGAAGGTGCTTCCCCCCCCCCAGGCCCCCGCGAGCCGACAGGTGATGTATAAAATAACCTAAGCAGTTGCACCGCTGCTGGTATGATACAACTTTTGTGTCATGTCCAACTCTCAGCTGGTGGTAGTCTGGTTGGTAGTTATTAGTTGAGGTCATCTATCTATCTCTATTTGCTGAATCCAGCTGGAGCGAGATGAGCGACCCAAATCCATCCATCGCGACGCCTGCTAAATTTGTCCGTATTCTTAACGCTCAGCTCCGGTCGTGGGAAAATCATAATATAATTGGGAGGAGGGAGAAAGGTTTGGATATTCTATTATTGTGGGACTCTTGTATATATCCACTTGTATATAGTGGCGTAATAATATAGATTTGTATGTGTGCAGGTTTACTCACCAGCAGGAATCTGATGATGCTGGTAAAGGGAGGAAGGCGCTGATGATGAGTTGACGATGGGTGTCCGGAGCCCTGGTTTTCTCGTCTCCTCCAAGATCCATCCAAGTCCCCAAGTGGAGTTTGGAGTTGCTTTCGTGTTGGATGTTGTTGATGATGAGCTCTGCAACGTACTGACCCCAAACCCCGAAACGACTCACAGCGTCCATCCCCACCCAACCTCCTCCACAGCGTTGCCAGCGCCACTCCCCGCCAACACAAACCCCCTCGCACAATGCCCCAATCCATATCACCCCACACTCTCCCCCTGTCCGTCCCCTTCCTGGGGGTGGTCAGCACCTGGGCGCCTTGTTCCCTACCCTTGTGTCCACGGTCATGACTCCCACAAAACAGGACCCATCCCTCGGCAGATTCATACCACTTTGATAGTCGTGACAAATACGGCAACGCTGCCACCTCACCCCCTCCCACAGGGGACCATCTAGTATGCAACTAACTACATGTAGTATGCCAAGCTCGTGGATGCTCCCATCCTAGTTCGTGAGGGGAGCATTCATGAGAAATATGCCAGAGAAAGTTGGCATCCGGATCAAACAAAGTGAAGAAAATAAGCCATGTTTTTTATGTGACTCGTCATGAATCACGTTTCACGATTATGATGTGCTGGATGTTTTTAATTTTATTAACGACATTTAGTGTTACGATTACATGATGTCCTATTATGGGCCGAGACTATATGTAAACTGTACAATGCGTGCTTAGTTGGTATAGTCTTTGTGTAATTTATTAAAATATCTTTGATTCCTTTTGGAATCAGTGCGGGGGAGGACTAACATGACTACACAAGAATTATTTAATCATTTATCTCATACCCAAGGAGCTATTTGGCTACACGATTATATCTCAACGACACATTTGCTCTTTCTGGAAGGACACCATTCTCAAGCGCACATTTCACACCTTGTTATTTGATCAGGAGGAGGTACTAACGTTAACAAGTCGTTTTGGTATCATAAAACATGATCATGATAGGGCAAACAATAACTAATTTCATACTAATTAAGGTTATATATCGATCAGACGCAAGTACTGATTAGTCTAGATTTGCTTTAAAATATGCATGTACAACCTTTAAATTGTAGTAATACATTCAAATTCAAATACATTCGATTGATGTGGAACTATGTAAAATGTTTTGTGATTTTAGAGTTTAACAGTTAGAATCGTCTGTTAGATTAGAGTGTATAGATTAGTCTATAGATTCGGGACTACACTTCTAAATGTGTGTATATACCAAGATCCTTTTTCTAATGTATCTAAAAATGTACAACTCTGTTCAAATTCAGCCTTGCGTGGTCCGTACCGTATTATGAATAACCAGGCGCTGAGTTAGACTAACAAGACATTACTATAGATTTAAACATCTTAAAATTTATGATGGATTGTTAATAGGAAATATCATCTTAGAAAGCGATGACAATTAATTAAAGACGATCTCGCTCGTCTTGTTCATTTGTTTAGTGGCAACTATCTCTAACAAATTTGAAACAACTATTGACCTAAACATCATGCTACTTAATTTGATAATTTTAAACAATTTGAATCTTGGCAAAGATGCCAATCAACACACTACTCCAAAACATGATAAATTTCTTCAAACTACAATCTGCTTAAAATGCAGCACCTCTCAGAAGCAACGAATAAACCAATTGTAATATATTAATCTATCCCGCAAGGTGATAATTTGGATAATATACAACTTTAAAAAGTTTACATACAGTTTACATATATATATATATTTAATATATATAAATAAATATATATAAATATATTTATAATATATGTTAAACATTAAGTCCTCTAACTGTATAAAATACCATAATAACCAAAGGATGGAAGGAAGGAAGGAAGTGAAATTATAAATATATTTTAAACTTGAAAATCTATCTTAAAAGTTCATGCCGAGTGGTTCACTCTGTTGAATTCACTTTCTCTTCCTCCTCCCAGCCCCGGTGGGCACAGCGGGGGATGGGGTTTGGGGTTGAAGTACAGTGGGTGAGGATGATGTCGTGGGGGTTGTCAATCCGCTGTTGTTCCTGATGATCTGAGATCCATGAGCCACGACCACATTGTTGGCAATATCTTCTCCGTTCGTCGAAAGGTTGGAGCTCGAGCTGAAGCCTTGCTTCTCCTGGGTGGTAGACTGCTTCAATTTTTCTCTATCTGTGGTCAACATGCTCTGAAGTTCATCGTCGAGAAACATGTTGCTGGAATCGTCAAAGAAATGAGAATCGTCCTCCGTGAGTTCAAACAAGCTCGGGTTGTAAGAGACCAATTCCTGTCCGGAGGAGGAACTACTCGTGCCCACCCCTCCGTCTGCAACATAAACATCATCGGACAGATTGAAATAAATCAGTAATATTAAGTTCTTATTAATTAATCAGATGAAATATTATTCTGCCTATTCGTACCATTCCCATCGTTTAATTTTGAAAAATCCAAATTCAGTTCACCATCTCCAAAGAGCTGCAATTTTAAAAATAATAACACCAGCATCAATACATGATCAGTATTTGTATTGCTGGCGAGAATGTATCAAATGCATAGTCCTGCACACAGGAAAAGTACATTGAGAAAAAGCATTTCAAAGGTTTCGCAGTGGTTTCAATCATAAGGATGTCTCCATCTCTATCAGTACACGTTGTATAAATTAATTAACACATGCTGATAATTAATTCTATTTTTATTAGGCCACTCGCAAGAACCCGGCACACCCACAAAAATTCTTAATTAGAGTTAAGCGACAGTTGAAACAGAAGAGATATACGATAAGAACAACAACTGAACAACTGAATCATCCAAGTGTTAGTTTAATATAAGAAATTATGAACTGATGAGACCCCTTGAATACTGGCTCTGAGTCTGACTGATCCTGAGTGAACTATTGAACTTTAAGCCAAAAAGCAAACAACGCTACTCAATTCAGTTGGTGTTTATTTGTAATTGGTGATGTTGTCATCCCTAGAATTTAAAATCAAGGTACTTCCTTTGAACTCCTTTTCTGCCCTTTGTACCTGCAGAAGAGGGTCTGAAAGTGACGAGGCACCACTCGGCCAGCTGCTTACCCCAAGCAGAGTCGACGTGTCCATCTTGTACTCGTCGCTCTTCAAAATGTCACGCAAATTGTCCAACCCCAGTTGCATGTCATCCAAGTGGGCATCCAAATCCTCTCTGAAACAATGAAAATACGAGTGGTGAAATTTTGAAAATGCAATTAATAACAATCATAATGATCGTTATTGCTTGCAATAAGCACACGACACAGACACCAACGCAGGGGGAATCGAATCAATAACAAGGGTTTTTGACCGAATAGTATTCTTTAGATCATATACTAATACTTCCCTGGGTTATATAAATATTTATAACTTACTTCTTGGCAATAGTATTGTTTCTTTTCAGGTTGTATTGTGGACTCATATTTCTAAATTGTATGGGAATCACAACGATAGGAACATTTAATAAATACTCCAATGCGGGATAATTTCCGACATAAATACTATAACTAAACTAATAAATAGCATGGCCGCAGTAATTTGAGTCACAGACCGACTGAGGTAAGTAAAATATTCATGCGTGTATCAAACCTTGAAGCTGTGGCGCTAGCAGTGGGTTCCACAAATTGTTGTTGCTGTTGTTGTGGTGTCACCATCAATTCCATTCCAACTGGCATGTTTCCACTACTTGTTGTCGTTGCGATTGGCAGAACAAGGTCATGCGAGCCTTGAGTCGTCGTAACTTCCGGAATTGTCAGACAAACTTTCAGGGGTTCACCATTGGCTCCCGTGATGTAGTACGTCGTTTCTCCAGTTGGTTCTAAGAAACCATCTCCGCTGTTTTCTTCAGACTCCTCGATAGCGACTAAAGCACCAGAAATAAGAGAATAAACACAAATATTAATTATTTAATTATACGATTTGCATCGAGTATGTCATTATTACCTTGATGGTTTGGTTGTGCCACGCTGGTCGGCTTGCTCATTTCAACAACTGATGTAGTAGGAGTCTGTGGGACCCGTTTTCGACTAACTTTCTCTTTTCCTGCTTGAAATATACTTGATTAATTGAATATCAGGCAGTAGTATATCTCCAATAAGACTCACCGGCACTGCTGCTACTACTACTACTAGGAACGGCTTGCAGCGACCTGTTGGTCCGTTGACGACCATTGGGATCTGCGGACAATAGTTCCGCTGCAGCAGTTTCCAGATGATTACTAGCCAAACCCAATATGGATTCGGGTGCGAGGGGTGAGTCAACTTGTGGGTTGCAGCCTTCACCTCCGCTGTCATAGTCCTCACCCACCCCACCGTCGGAATCTTCGAAAAGTTCAGTCACGTCATGAATAACAGGCCCTGATGCAGTTTGAACTTGGACTTGTCCCTATAACCAGAATGATTCGGTATTATTATTTGCTATGCACTGTAATCAGCTGATGGCATATTTGATTTTCTGAGGCTGCGACTAGTGCCTACCTCAACCTCATTACGCCGACGAGTCTTCGGCTTTGTTTCGTCAGTATCATTCAGCATGAGGGGCATGCTGCGCCTTTTGAAACCCAGCCTGTGATTTCGAGAAGACATGACGCCCACCAGGAACTGTAAAATCTATACAAGCACACCCAAAAACTTTGTACATTAATTAAACTCTGAGAATTCTGCCTGTTTATCCAATATATTCCTCTCTATCTGGTTGTCTACTAGTTTAACTTTTCTGAATGAACAAAGAAATACAAAAAACGAAGGATCACTGATCGACCTCACCTTGCTTAGAATCGTCGTCTGGTTGGCATGTTTTTGACGAAGTGTTGCTGTGAATAGTGTAAAAAGAGCTACAGCATATTCAATCGTTGAAATGTGTGACTTGAGTAGAACTTACCGAGTTCTCTCCACAAAGCCTCATTCTCACGTTTGATAGTGAGCAGTTTAGTGTCCATATTTTCTTGACGGCCCTTCATCTGCCTCACATCCAGCAGCACCTACATAAGTCGAAGTTCTTACTCAAACATTGTCGTATCAATAATGAGTTGTAGATAAACTTGGGATGCAAACCTTTTGGAAATTATCCGGACGACGCGTGTCATCATGTTTTGGAGCTGGAATCTAAAGTAGTGGACAAATCCAAATAGTTTAAACTCATATTAATTCGAAAGGCCTTCTTATCCTTATTCCATTTTTAATACCTTTCTCTTGATGAGCTCCAAGGAAGCCTCATTTCCCCTGAGAAAGAAGGGATGAGCAAATTCCTGCTCCAAAAAAATTAAACTGTTGATCTTATGCGAGGATAAAAAGTAAGTATTATTATTAATTAATCGAACCATCTCGTCCTTTTCTAATTTGAGTCCACCCTGTTCCACGGAGACCACTTTATGGAAACCGTCTATTAGACAGACAATGGAAAATATAATAATATTACGAAGTAAATGACCTCAACATACATGCAATTTCACATTATTTGTATAACTAAAAATTTATAGAAAGCTAAACTTACACATATTCAACTGTCGTACGAAACTAGCCATGTTGTTGTGCTTGTAGTAAAGTGGGAGTAACTCTCTGGAGAATTTGGCTTGGTTTCGAATCACAAAGCTGTTACCAGGCTTGGGATTAAGATAGTGACCAAATTAGGACTATTTCAACATCATTTGAAGTATTATATTTAGGAGAAATTCTATGTATGGTATTATTTCTCAGTGGAATGGCGATTTGATTGAAGATGACGTGACATACCAGAGATCTGTAAGGACTTACCTCACTCCAGTAAATCAGATCATTAGTGACCGGGTCGTCAACGAGTTTCCACAATTTGGCGAGGAAAGCAGGCACATGTGCCCCTTGACCTCCGCCATTCCCCGCATTCATCTCTACTAAGGTGTGCATAATCGCCCTTGATTGGTCCGAGTCGTTCTTTCTCTCTTCCTCAACTTTCCTGTTTACTTTTAAACACACTTTTTTCAAGGTTGAAGGTCGTCCCGGCTCCTTTGTGTCCGTACAGTGTGAAGTGGTGGGTAGGTGATCAGGTCAACTAATGTGAGGTCAGTTAGTCTGGTGCGATTCAGCTTTGAGCAACAATTAGAGTTACAGCCATGTACAATAATAATGGAAATATAACTTGCTAATTGTTGTGAGCTTTATTTTATTTTCTGTGTGTGTATAACTTGTTGTCGTCGACGTCAGGTGTTGGTGAGTGCAGCACCACCAAATAACTTGCACTTCCCACACACGGAAGGAGCATCCACACTATGCGTCTCTCCAAGGCTGGATCCAAAGGCCTGACGGTACCCTTCGTACTTGACTATCGATCTTGGATGGGCTAGAGCTGGCTAATAGGGCCGACAAGGTCACACCTGCAGCTCAATGGTCATGACCGTTTAGTGTCGCATTAGGTCACATCCTCAATGAGCGCCCCATTCATCCCATTTATTTTTGCACAGGGAGATTGGCCCTCTGGTGGACTGAATATTTCATCTCTGCAATAATTCCATGCAAACTTCATTCTGACGACATGACATTGCAAATATCTGACCCGGCATTAACCACTTGTAAATATCATATAATATTTTGTGTCATTTTATTGAAATTTATTAGACGTGGAAAGATTCGTAATTAGTGATGTACTCATGGTTAGTTTGATCGGTTTTAGGAAAATCCTTCTACTGCTGTCATTAAGTACAACAATCCCGTAAGTTACAGACTGTAATGTAACCCCTAAAATTGTAAAAAAACGACCGAATTGAAATAATCCCTCAACAACATGGTTCTCGTTACAAATGAAATACGTTCGGTACAACTTTTAGTACGTATATCTTGATTACAAGGTTGGATTTGTCTTTATAAATTGTAAGGGACACAGTTTATGCAGATAGAAAAGATTTTGGCAAGCGACGAGGTACAAGGAACTTTTGCAAATTTCTTGCTTACTTATATGTTACGTATTAATAATGTCTACTTGTGTCGTTAAAGTCAGGTTACAGGCTATCTTAAAACAAAAGCTTAGCTTACAAGGCTGAAGTTTAATATCACCATAATTTCAATTTCACGAGTGTCCTACTATTTAATTATAACATGATCCTTAATCAAAAGAATGAGAAATTCATGTGATGGTCAGTCTTGGCCGGCGGTGGTGGTTGTGTCGAGAGAACCAAAATCCATCTGTGTCGTGCTGGAGGATTCTTGCCCCAGATGAGCTCTCTGTGCAATGTCTCGCACAATCTCCTGAAACGTGTCATCGGTTTGGCTTGTTTCCCCCGTCCGCATTTCTTCGTCCATATGAGCAAGTCGGAGAAGGGTCACAATGTCGGCGTGCTCGCTCTTTATCGCCATATCCAGTGGAGTTTTCCCTTCGCTGTCAGATAGTTGGTAGTCCGCCCGGTTACGGAGAAATAGACATATTTGTCCCGTGTGACCTATAGACAAAGTGAAAAATAAGCAATGGTTAACCTGGTTCATCCTTCTGCTAGAAGATGATGTGGTTTAGTTAGTGACCTTTTTCCGTTGCAAGCCAAATTGGGGTTCTTTTTAATGAGTCGACAGCATTCACTCGAGAACCATTGAGAATTAGAAACTCGCAAGCAGTCACGGACCCCTGCGATACAGAACAGATTGATGAGCAACAACGGCAACAACTCTCCTCGTGCCTTAAAGAGTAAATGTTTGTGTACTCACCCCAAGAACAGCTTGGTGCAGGGGAGTGGAGGCTCCCTCATTGTAGTTGACCCAGTTTTTGTCCGCACCCAGCGCCAGAGACTCCAGCATCACCCCCACATTTCCCACTCTTGCAGCCTTGAAGAGAAGCATGTTAGCATCTAGCACCTCCAAATCTTGGTGCACTACACGTTAGCAGATCGTCAGTCCAAAATTTTCAAAACAAGATCGGGATATGTACTTATAGAATACCCAAATTGGAGATTGGTTGCTCTTCCTCCTCACCGGATCCTCCAGCCACGTCATCCTCGTCAGGTCGAATGCTTCGAACAATGTCCGTATGACTGGGAGGAAGGTCGGAGCCGAACACGAGGACGGCTTCCTGGTCTTGGTCACTCCCACCACTCGCCTCTCCTCGGGTGGAATACACCGACTGGAACGAGTCCGTCTCGGACGTCGTTTCATCGCTCACCTGCAAACCACGTCATTCGTTACCCTCCAATCAATTACCATGCAGAGATTATAATAGAGGCATAATTTCATATTCATTCTATGTACTTTGAGATTGATGTTAGAATCTGGTGGTGGTAGTTCTACTGCTACGTCAGGAATGCTCAGGGCAGAAGTCGAGGGGGTTTCTCGGTTCTGTTTTAAACTAGTTTCTTCACTCCCACTGTTTATCTCCTTTGTTCTCCTCCTTCTCGGTTTCCGTACTCTCCAACCAGATCCCATACTAATTTTTGGATGGGCCACAAATGCACGGTCCACATATTTTGCTCGAATCCATGTCTCCCGAACGTCACTAAAGCCAAGTAAATAGGTTAATATAGTCAGTCAGTCTTGAATTCATTACAACCCTAAACTAACCGAGGAGAATCCGGACAAGCCTTCTCAAGCCCCAGACCGTCCATCACATCCACTTTGGCGAGATAGATTCGATTGACAATGTCATTGCCGAGCTCACACATTACTTTCAGCAGGCCCTGGTCCCAAGTGTCCAAAATCAGAGACTTCACTTTGGAGTGATGCACGCCAAGACTGCGATGAATCCCGGAGCATTCTGTGTACAAAAAAAAACTACAAATCCTGCAAAGTGTTGAATCTGAAAGTTCAAAGTTGTTCTAGGGCTGACCAATGCAAAGTGTTATTCCCAAATTGACACTGGCCCATTCAGGACTAGTCGCACCACAGTCACAGCATGCAGTATTTCCACGGACTTGCATAATCCTTTCCAAAATTCTGAAAGTATTTTGATAAATAAATATAAATATTTAAATGGCAGTGTGTGTGTGCGTATCGAACTAGTAGTACGATTAATATTGTCTCAAACTTTACTCAAACTCACCTTGCTTTTTCTGAAGGCATTTTAGGCTGTTCCTTTACTCCCGCACCGCTGAGCGAAGATGGAGGGGATTGATTGTCATCCTTCTCTTTGTGAATTGCAAAACTAATAGCGGATTGGAGTGCCTGAACCCAGGCGTTGAAAATTTCTTCACGATCTGCTTGCAAAATGTGAATTCTGTGTGGGAAATTAAGTAGACGATATATTTCGTTATCCATATATCCATGATATCAGCCGATGCACTTGAGTTATTAGTAAACCAATTAAAAATGCAATACTCACTTGTTTGGAGATATGAGTTCAAAGCAAAATCTGCGATCACATTCTGCCATTGGTCTGACTAGACATATGCGTAAATCGTCCTCCATGACTGTGGGGAGTTCGTCCACTCGTTTCCTGTACACGAGTTGACCTTTGTCCAACAGTTCAAACCTACCCATAAAAATATAGCGCCAGTCACCAAAAATGACAGACTTGTTCAATATCATCTCATCGTTTTTCTGCTAAATTATTCTACTAACCATCGCCTTTTCCAGGATTTAAATGTTTTTGCCGACCCACGTTTGTAAAGGTAACCTTGCATGAGCACATCCGACCTTGCTCCAGGCATTTGGGACGTGACATAATCAGGCGTCGCGTGAATAAGAGTGTCACGGTTTGCCAGCATCGTTTCTGCCTCTCTGCCCAGGGTTGAGCGCATATTTGACAACTTGAGATTTATATGAACGTTATATTTTTAGTACTATCCCCGTCGTATAATTTATATCAAATAATGATTCTTTGTCTAATATGTATATATTTAAATTTTGAAATCATACTTCTGTGCTGAGGCTTTTTAGAAACGGGTCTGCATCTTTGAAAAAGAAACAGCAACAAATTAACGAGAGTGATCAACAAATTTAATGCATATAAATGTTAATACACACATTCCCTTACCTTTGAAAAAATCAGACCCCTGATGAAAGTAGGTTTTCTGGGCTTGCATCACAGACAATATCTGCACAAAAAATACTAAATGAGTTACTAAACTTAAGTGAGCTAGGTATGTGCTGTGTGGGGAGAGCCTAATAACGAGAAACCCCGGCCTCAAGACAAGATAGTTAGAAGGCAGTTAGTTTTGTGGATATCAGGCTAGGTTCCACCGCACAGAACATAACTAACTCACTTTAATACGTAGCAGGTAACTCAACCTGCATGCAAACTATGAACTCACATCATCGAGTATTTCAAATCGCTTTCTTTGTTGGAGCAGTGTGATTGTATAAACGGTGTCTACGGCAGCTGACCGGTAGTTGACTCGAGCCACTGAGACTGCGTTCAGAGTCTCTTCAGATTCAACAGTACTTTTCCCTTTCGCCAACGACGAATTTCGCTGGAGTGCGGTGTCGTAGTCTTGTTGCAACTTTTCCAAATATGACTTCATGTCCTTGCAGGAGCGTACCTCCCTGTGAGGAAATCGTAAAGTTTTAGACAAATAAACAGGGCACTAGAAGTATCCAATAATAAGGAATGCATCCTACTACTATTACTTTTTGAGAAAGTCTGCCATGTTACGACATATAGCCCTGTGAACCTGGTCGATTAGGGTTGAGTGGAATTTGGCCAATTCTATGAGCCCATTGCAACATTTGTTAAAAGCAGAGTAGACGGGTGGATCTTGGCGAAAGTGAGAGCTCACATCCGACATGGCGTTGATGAAAGTACTGCATCAAGAGACACGGTATAATTTAGTTTAATTGCCTAGTTCGATATTTATAAAATTACCATTATTGATTTTATGTTATGCACAGCTATTGTTGGTACTTACTGCTGAGAATTGAGGTGTGTTTTACCAACGTCGATCATGTGATTAGACGTTTTGAGCAGCTTATCCAGTTTTGTATCCAGATTATCTACTTTGTGAAGTTGATCTTCTAATTCTGAACGAAACCTGGGCGAGTCCCTCACGCACTCTCCAAAATCAATTACCGGTCTCATAGTTCTTGTTAAAGTTTTAAGTAAAGTGGATTGAAAAACCTAGGATCAAATCAAATATTGACAATTCAAAAAACGGAAATGAGTCACAAATATTATTATGAGCAGTTGAACGTTGCCTTCTTCCGGGTGGGAGTGGGGTGACGAGTGACGACTTCCATGAATTTCTACTCATTTCTACTATTTTCTACTAGGCATACTTCCAGACCCATTAGGAGTCTCAATTTTCATTTTCATGATCCGTTTCTGGTATGAACAAAGTCTTCTAAATGTACGATTGGTCCCTATAATTTCTCGGATATCGTCCTTCAAAAATCTATAAAGTGATTTTATGATGAATGAGGAATGGCACATTAATTCATGGAATGGACGTGGAATTATTGGCCCAGCATTATGGCTTTCTTTCTCTTTTTTGTGAGTGTCAACGCATGTATTTCCTTAAAATAAATATGTACATTTATATGTATAAAAGAACAAAGAACACCAAGTTATCCTCATTATTTTTCGCGATAACCTTTCCGTCTGGATGTATATTAATATTACAATTATTATATGCAATTATATGCATTATATGCATATAACTATATTATAACCATATTATAACCATATTATATGCATTCCCTGGCACAAATGCCCTCGTCGTATTGTTCTCCTCATACTGTGGTCTTCTTATTTGATACTATGTATATAAAATACATTCTCTGAACGTTTGTGTTTTATTTTTGTTATATTTTTGCTCCCGATGAATGGATCATTCCTTGGTGTTGTTTTGCATCCCATTTTGCTGGACGACCCCGTTGCTTGGTTTGTTGGGTGGATCAACGGTCATGCCAAGGTCGATAAAGTTCAGAGTAGCAGAGGCCTGTTCTTCCTTGTATAGATCGTCCGAAAAGGTAAGGTTGTCACTATTGACGTTGAGAGGAAGTTTGTCCATGGACATCCTCTTGCCACAACTACTGTTATCATCTTCTGGGACATCCTCGCCACTTTCATCCAACTGTTACAATGACACATAAACTCATTCAAGCACCATATTTGACCTGATTGAGCAGTCCTACCGCTTGCAGTTCCGACGGTTTGAACAGTCGCTCAAGTCCAAAGAGTCTCAAAGGGACGAGAAGGATGAGCAGAAATGGTATGGCGAGTGCAGCCGACGTCTGCCTCACCCCCAACAAGGTGGCCAGGCAAAGAACCTGTATGACCGTGAACAAGTGCATTTTACTCGTCTTGACACGTTGAACGTAGGGCACCTGTCAAAATAAATGCGCGATAAAGGGACTGCCATTTATGAAATATTACATTACCCAATTTACGAGAATGGCAATTGTTGTTACATCATTTATTTATTATTACTTATCGACATACCTGCGGATGATTGTTTACTTGCTTGAACAAGAGAGAGCATCGTTCGAAAAACTGGATTCCAGCCATGGAAGAGATTCCCATGTACCTGTTTGTTTAAAGGATTACTGTTAGTTCGATATATTTACAATTAATTGTGTCCCACTCGACTAATTATTTTACAGAAACACTCCGAAAAGGACGGCCATGGGAATATACATCAAAATGGGTGACACGAATACAGACAAGCCCACGAGGATTGAGATGATAAAGTTGGACACGCGTTGCTCTAAGATTAAAGAGACAGATAGCGTCAAATTTAATTAATAATTAAACGAATTTAGACCAATCATGAGGACGGACACATGGATGCTTACCCTTTACCCCCACAATGGAAGGCTATTTGGGGGAGTAATATAATATGTAATATAAGCTCGATATAAAGGATACATGAACTATAGTTCACTTATAAAGAGATTATTAATATTTCATATAGTTAATTAATTAATTACCTTCTCTCCAGGAGGATTATTTGTAGAAAATACGATGAGGCTCGATGCGTGGGCCACGGCACGGACGGTGGCTGCACAAACCCAACAGCCCCCAATACATGCCAGCCCACCGTTGATGACACAGATAAGAAAAATGTCGAGATGATAGCCTCCGCCCTTTTGTAACTTGTTCTCCTTCTTCCCAATGATTAAGGCACAGATGCAAGTCTCCATGAACATGAGTCTGCAAAATTCAAAATCCATATTTCCTCAAAATAAGCTGAAAATAAATGCTTGTGCTGCAGCTCATTCGATACCAAAAGCCTGTCACTATCCGTCAAGATGTACATACATGAGTTTATCCGATCTATGAAAAAATTTAAAACTAAAACTCACATGAAGACCAATGTGGCTGGGACTATAGCGAGGAAAGCCATGTGCCAAGGAATTGGGCTAACGTCCACCATCCAGGATGATCTGCAGTAGTTAGTTTTATCTTTAGCGATTTCCGTGCATAGATATTAAGTCGTATAGTCATTTATTATGAGCTACCGTGGCTTCGAATTTTTCAACCCATCGGGCACCTCCAGTTTTTTTGTGGTAGCCCTTTCCATGAGACTATAGTCAATCCCCACCATCAACGCGATGGCGATGGGCACTGCAAAATTCCCCAGGAACTTTCGGATCTGTGAATATAGATACATAGGTGGAAGTCAAAATCAAATCTATATAGCAGCGTTTTTACTGTTTTTACGCCTGTGTTTGGAAATAAAATATGACTTATTATTACGCCGAGTGTGAAGTAGGTGGACGTTCGGGCAGCTCGTAGGGTGTAGGCTATCCCAAATGTGCCAAAGGTTAGCAATGTGGACAGCAAGGCAGTGTTGGGAGAGGGCGACGAACCCGCTGATCTGTTTCCATATGATTGTTGAACTGGGTGATCTGTGTAAACCTGAAAAACAATTACACAATTAACGTCAAGAGTGGAACTGTACTTTGCTGCATACACCTTGTTGTATTTGGTTGTACCTTGACAATATTTTCGATGGCCTCGGAGATGAACATAATGGAAATAAGCGAGGCAAATATTTCCTGGACAAAACGACTAAAAAATCTGGCTATGACACTCCCGTCGAACGACACGACAAACATTCCAATCATGACGACCCAAAGTCCGATCCAAAAGCGGAAGGCGAGAAAATCTACATCGTTCTGCTTGCAAATCTGCAAGTATCAAGTATTCATTGCATTTTTATGGATGTATGTAGTAGTTGTAGCGTAGCATGGCACATTGGTTGGATAAGCTCCTCACTTTGTACAAACTTTCATCAAAAAGAAGTAGCGGACCCGTCGTGCCGAGAATTACGAGGGGCTGGCCAGACATGAGAGAGAAAATCAAGCCGGATACCGAGGTAGCTACCAAAGTCTCCGAGATTCCAATGTGCTTATCCGTTCTGTCACCTGTCTCACCAAGAAGAACGAAAATATTGAGCAGAAGAGTAACATGTACTATTCATATTTATTATTTAGTGTCCCACATATGTAGGGCAGGTGTCCGAATAAAACTTGGATGAAAATAATCTTACTGAGAATGCCACCAATAGCAATGGCCCCAGACAAGCAGGCAAAGTATATGAAGACAACTGATGCCAACGTTTGGAAATTGAGACCGTCCTTGAGGTCAGACCAGTAGCGTTTGTAGCGTCGCCTCGCATCATTCATCATGCCACCAAAGAGCCTCGAAGTTCGCTTGAAAGGGTTGTCGTGATGGTCCTTGCTGGGGCGGCGGTGGTCCTCGGGTGGTTCTCCAAAACCACAACCTTCAGCCCCCTTGTCGTCCTCCAAAAGTCCAACCCCTTGCGTTCGAATGCTACTCTGACGGCGTTTCGATTCCTTCCGTCTACGCAGCGCGTCCCGCTTCTCCTTCATCTCTGGGAGGTGACAAGAGTTTTGGTTCAGTTGAAATTAGTTCATTTATTTTTTTTAGAAATGAGCAAGTTCCAGGTTCGTAATAGTTTTAGAAGGCAGTGAGGCATACCTTCGAAGGGGAAAAGTTCGTTGTCCCAGTCCCCCGGGGGCAACACGATGGATTCGTCCAGAAAGTCGTGAATACCTTTGAGCATATCGCGCCGGTCGTGTGCTTTGTACGCGATTTCGTGAAAATGCTACACACAACCCATGATAGTTTTTAGTAGACATCAATTAGTACAAGTGCCAATTTTCTACCGTGTGTATGAATTTGCATATAACTGATTACTCAGTTCTGATAGGCTCCGCATTGAACTGACTTTGAATCGTGCGTTGTGCTTAAAGTGCATACCGTGTTGGACATGAGGGTCGAAATGGAGCGGCCAATTTCTTTGTAGTCCAGGTCAAAGGAGCTGGGGCCTAAAGATCAGCAATCGATTCATTTTATTTTCAAGTGAGTAAATAAGGGCATTAATATTATGCATAAACTTACCCAACACAACGTAAATGAACCGCACAGGAATTGGGACCTAATGACACCATAAAAATATTAAGCTAACTGCAGGTACGCAGTTTGGACACCCATACATTAATGCATGATAACAATGATACCTCTGTGATATTTGGCATGTAGGAACTTTCTGCAAGTCGAATAAACGCCATGATGGGTCGCTCCAACTTGTCATCTTTCCCCACGAGCACGATGGAAGCTGTGGAAAAGTAAATTAACACTCATTCTCATTTCCCCTTCAGAAGATGTAGTAGTCTGTTTCGATTCGCACCTTCTGCCCCGACAGGAATTCGCCGCAAGAGGTTCTCCTTGTTCAAAACCCACTTGACATCCTCCTCGGTCATGTTGTTGAGAGATAACTGGGTCATCAGGTCGTCCTAATTTTTATGTATTTAAATAAACTAAATAAACAAACCTAAACTTGAAACAAATTTCATGAATTGAATATTAAGTAAAACCTATTGTGAAACAAAAAGTGAAAACACTCCCATCAACTCTTAATATCCTGACTCGGCGTTATTATTATTAGCCTAATATTTCATACGCCGTGTGAATTGCACTAACCGATGGATGAGTGCTAAGTGGGGATATGGCAGAGTCTTCATCAATCAGAATCCGCTCATGGTGGAGATCCTCCTGCTGGTAATCCTGACAGGTCAGTCTGGATGCAGCACTATTTCTACGTGCCATCTTTCCAGCCACTGCAGCAACCATTCCACCACCCGCACCATTCACCAGACCGTCCGGTACCGTGTTGCTGTTTGGTGAGGCCATCAGGGCGCGATGGTGATTGTGACGGAGCTTGTCTTGCTCCATCATGGCGTGCAGACTGGTGAGACTGCCGTTGGCCGTCGTATTCCTCCGCAAGTTAAACTTCCATGGGCTGTCGTTCTCATTGACGTGCTTGTGTTTCAAAAGGATGTTCCTCATGACAAAGGCTTTCTCCTCTGGGCGAATGAGTTCCTTCAGGACAAAGGCCTCCACTGCGCGGTATGCTACCCCAGGCAGGTCCCTTTCTTGTAAGTCAAGCAGAGTCACTCCTGCGCAGATACGAAAGAGTGTAACATGAAATTATAATAATTTGTTGGCTGCTTAATATAATTTAGTGCAATTAATCATACCGGATTCAATTAGTTGGCGCAGATTGATGAGCGAGTGGAAGCTTAAGGACGCAACGTGAGGTCTATACTCGTTGAATAAAAAAATCAAAAAATATTTATTGAGGGTGCTGTATGGGAACCGTGTTCACTCGTTTACTTACCTTCCCCACCGGTCCGACCCTTCCAGAACGTCTTCTTCGTACTTGATCCATCGAGCCGCCTCCTATCCATTTCCAGTGGTCGTGGATATTAATTTTATTTCACAATATTACTGATCAACCATAAGGACAACACAGTTTACCTTCCACTGTCGATGCTCACCCTGACCGGACAAGACGTCCAGCTCCACAAATATCTATGAAAGAGAAGGAAAAAGTTATTGCTAACATTATTTTAGTAGAGGAAATTCAGCAGAGAACATTAGTAACCCACACTGGTATCGCAATTTGATAAGTATGTGACGTGCATAAAACTGGGATCCACAATTTACCTCGTGGGGCTGGTGGTCATATCTCACAGGTTTCAGAGACATTGCGGCAGATGTGTCCAGCAGATCATCCGAGAATTTGGAGGAAATCTTATGCCTTTGATACCCTTTGTTGTCAGTAAACCGATGAGCTGTAAAGACACCGAGGAAAAAATGAGACATGCTTTTAAGTACATAGGTATTTATTAAGGGGCTGACGAGTACGCATGCCCTTTGGACTAGTCGTTCACATACTGGACAGATTCTCCTGGTCCAGATCATCCATGCCAGCTTCGAGTTCAGGCTGGGCAAAACGGTCACTCCCGTTTAGTCGGCGACCGTGACTGTGGTGGTGATGATGATGTTTCTTGTGCTTCTTCTTCTCCTCATGAGATTGTTGCTGCTCTTCCTGATTGAGGAGTGAGGCACCACCTTAACCACAAAAATACCAGAGCTAATTTACACCATTTCCGACAAACCTCAAAGTATATGGATGGCATGTCAACTCTCGTTTACTCACCAATCTCAAATTGCACCTTTTTCGGAGGCGAGTTGGTCCTCCCAGAAAGGTCGTGGACGAATGGGACAGGACTCCCAAAGACTGGGCGACTCACAAACGCTTCCAATTTACTGAGAATAACCATGGACAAGAACAAACGTGTGAATGGAATAAAACTCATACGCTACATATTATGCAGACCGATACGAGATACTCAATAATTCAATAATGAGACGAGAGGGGTGCACGTGTGCTACGTGCATGTTCATTAGTGTGCAATCGCCGGTAGTGCACAGCTATGAATAACACAGCAAAAGTAACAACACGGCCGTCGTTTACCTCATTTCGATACACATGTTGTTCGAAAACGCAGGACGAATATTTCTGAAATTGATTTCACCACGTTGGAACTGACCAAAAACGTGGGAGCGATTTTCTTTTTCAGCTGAATGCATGCTGGTATTGCAGTATAAATAATGTCGTCTGGTGGTTTCCAGTCCGACACCAACAATTCTATTGACAATTGTTGCAGAATGAAAGAAATTTCTCGTCTACAAAGCCTCAATTGCTCGCAATCAGTACATGAATGGAGAACATTTTAAATCCGATGCGACACGCCGGCACCACCACAGTCCGCATAAGTCAGTTTACTTTACAAGAAAACAATAAGCCAATTCGGGAAACACTAAAAAATAAACATTTGTCGGTGCATGCACATTAATTGTGGAATCGAAGAACAAACTGCACAACGTTCAGTACTCGTAGTACGAGTCTCGTACATACATTCATTCATTTATTAGCAATAATCTGCTGCAATCCGAAACTGTCGAGCGAGTCGCGTTACCAAAACCACCATCGGGAAATAGATTCGGAATGTGGAAGTTGTGCTGCTCTATTCACAAACCGTGTGCATAATAAAAGTGACGGTGGTGGTCGACAGTTGAATTGTAGCCACATTAATAATGAGTCTACATACAGCAAAATTGGTGGGGTGAAATAGAAAGAAAGGGAAAGGTTCTTACAAATTGGTTCCAGTGGCGGTGGTGTCCGACCCCTTTGTCGTCGTCGTCGTCGTCGTCGTGGAGGAGGAAGTTGTCCGTCTCCTCTGGACATGGGCGTGATGGCGGAGTGGTTGATGCGTGTGGGGAAAACTCTCCCGACGATGGGCTATTTATCGTCCAGCCAGAGCATTAATTTATTATTAGCATTCATTCCAAGTAGATGGATTGATGGTACATTATGTGCAACGATAAAAACGTATGTCACACCTACATTGGTAGTCTCGCTCATCAAAGCGTCGTAACTCTGCAGTTGGGCGTCGCAAATCAGCACTACTCGGAGGAGGGGAATTTAGGAGTGCTTCCAGCTGGAAACCTTGGTCATCCCTGATTTCGCCATCATGTCCGAGCAGGACTTCGTCAATCATCTCCTCCAACGTGGTCGAACCTGTTGTCGAGAGCAAACGAGGCGGCGACGGCTGCAACAATAAATAAACAATGACAACTCTGCAATAAACATTTCAGTCCAGTACATAAGGAAATAACCATCATGTTGCATCTTCTCACTTATCAGTTGACCACCACGTGTTCCCGTTAATTATCGTTGGGAGAGAAAAGTGTCTCATTGGTTAACGTCGCTCACTCGGAGCATAAAATATAATTGTTCATTACTCTTTATTGCAAAATTGCAATTTCCCGAGCATTGTCATTATAACTAAACATCCTACTAAACGGAGGAAAATCTATAATTATGGAACAATACGAAGAGGATTCAGGAGGACGGGCCAGTACAAAATCATAGTCTATAATATTCTGCATGCTTAAGCACTTTTAAATGGACGGAAAATAAACAATGACAAGCAAGGCTTCTCATTTTATGAGTAATAAGAGCTCTATCTCGCATCTCGATGAATTGATGGACGAAATAAGTTATGGTTGTATGGTGGTCATGTTGAGTGAGATCAAGTTACGAGGTACTTCACAGAAAAGGAGAGAGTTGTGAATACATGAGAAGAAGAATTAAGTAAGATGAGCATGTTTCCGAGGCAGACATAACAATGCTCGAGTGTAATAAAGTACTCACTGCATGATAACGACGGACGGACGGAGGAGGAGGATTATCCTTCTTTTTGCGCGGATTTTGCGAAGGGTGCATGTCAGCGTAGTCTCCTCTGGAATTATATCGCCGGACGACCCAGGTCTTGTTGTGCGTAGAATTTGTAGGACTTAAGTATTTATGATTGGGCCGAGACTGTTCGTCTTGTTCGGCACTCTAAAAGGAAATGCTCGAAACAAATCCTGTGAACCAATGCAGATCATACAATTCTTATTTAAACTATTTATGAGTCACAAAACAGCTTGTTTAAATAAAACAGGAGAAAATCGCTCACCAAGATCGAGAAGAATCACCGCATTGACTAATATTCTTGGTCTTCTCGAGTGTATCTTATTGTCTGAAGAATCCGAGGAATTTGCCAACGCGGAGAGATGATGGATCCAGTCGATGACGATGAATGTGGTATTCTTCCAACAACCCATCAAATTATTATTGACAGCCTGGAGCAAATAAAAAAGGAAATAATTGCACTTCTTCGGCCATCAACGCCTAGCTCGATCATCATCCATCACACAGACAGACTATAAATCAAGAGTAGATGCACCCACCAACTCGTAGTTTATCTACCTGTTCTCAACTATTTTTCGTCATAATAACGTCACTTGTTAATTTTCTTTTGCATAGTTGCATGCGACATGCAATTTGTGGGTTTCTTCCTTCTAAAGCCACTCGATCCTGACTTGGGGAAGCACTCATCACGAGGACAACGAGAAAAAATAAACAATGCAATTTGGAGGACGTGGTCGCAGCAGGACGGGGGTCGCCTCGTCGTCTTGGAAAGAATTTAGGGCCGGAAACCCCAAGCTGATCTGCCGAGTGCTGTTTTGCTACTATTCCGCATGGTATCCGGCTGACAACTGGCCATGCAATCCAGCACCGCACGGCTAAAGTACTCGTCGTCTCAATTTGCCTCATCACCTCGTCACTTTCCATGCGAGAACCTGTTGCTGCTCTCACTTGCTTTCTCCTCCACAAAGGTGAAGGTGAAAATGCAGTGTAATGATATTGATTTTGTATTGATTATATAGCGTCGTAGTGGGAGTATTGGATTTGATAATGTGAAGTGGGCGAGGGCATTTGGATGCAGTATTATGCTCGATGATAAAAATGTCCGGACGGGGCATGGTGAGATATGAGACGACTCACTCCTTGTGAACTACTATCCGCAATTAACATTCATTTTCTTCCTTTCCACGTTACACAAATGCTCCACGACGTTAATATTCCTTTCGTGAAGAAAAGCAACTAAATGCATTACACGCTCAATGGAAATGGCTTTATCTGGTTGCAATGTCACAACAAACTGACCACGACTGGTTTCCTGTAGAGTGACAGAAAAGTCGTATTTAATTCCTAACTTAATTCCAACTTAGGAATTAAGTTAGGAATCCTTAGTCACAAGTTGTGACTCACAACCAGAGGGCGGATATGTATGTATTTATAACTTTTTCATACTAAGCCAGATCGTGTTAAGATTTCGTATTCTAACATCTCATCTAACTAAGTATGATCTCATAAATTCAAACATAGTTTTCAATATTTTGCATATTTTCAGGTTTTCGTACATATACATATTTTCATACATATTTTGAGGGTTTTTGCAGATATTGAATATTTTCCAACATATTTCGGGGTTTTTTGCAACATCAATATTTAAAAAAATCTTCCGAGGTTTTTGTACAAAAATATTTTTCCTCAATCAAAATATTTTTCTTGACAAAATTATACATATTTTTATGATAATGGCGTTCAATTCGTGTGAATGAGTTGAACATCCAAATTGACACATTTTATCAGTTTCCTTCGCCAAAAAATTACTCCAGACAATCTCGAAATGGAGCTGGTGTGACAGCATCTGAGTCTTTAAATGTACATAAGATGTTCCGCTGATATAATTAGCGTATAAGAGTGTTAAAAACTTGTATCTTTTCGAAGATCAATTGTAAATGCAGTAGACAATTTAAGTTGAAAACATTTTTTATCTGCATATTTTCGAGTTTTTTATGCACATATTGCACACATATTTTGAGGAATTTAGGTACATACATATCCGCCCTATGCTCACAACTATGAGAACAAGTAACTCGAGTGCATATGTAAAAGTATAGTCATCCGTCGATGACTCATTAGTCGGACTAGCTCCAATGTAAATGATTACGTCGAATTCTTCAGAAAACGACGATTATCCGTGTATCCCAGGGCCTTTGCGGGACTCTACTCTAATGCAACGAAGCAACCCCCAAATTTTGGTCGTTCATGTACTACATGACTCAAACCCCACGTGGGAGCAATCATAAGGGTTCGTATTTTTGAAGTTGCTTCCAAAAATTATATAAAATACGAACTTGTAAGAAAATGTTGGTGTAAGGTCTCAGGGTATGACCTTGAAGGTCACAGGTCACATGGACGACAAATGTGCCCTCTTTACCCCTCTCAAAAATGGTGTCATTCGAAAGATAATCTCAAGGGCTTCAACTTTAGTCCTTATCACTTATGCTCTTCGACCACACCCAAGGCCTGTGGAAGTGGTTAAAGTTTCTTCAATATTTATTTGTAAGAAATTGATGCAAACTTTAACCACTCCCACAGGCCTTCGGTGTGGTCGGAGAGCATAAGCGATAAGGACTAAAGTTGAAGCCCTTGAGATTATCTTTCGAATGACACCATTTTTGAGAGGGGTAAAGAGGACACATTTGTCGTCCATGTGACCTGTGACCTTCAAGGTCATACCCTGAGACCTTACACCAACATTTTCTTACAAGTTCGTATTTTATATAAATTTTGGAAGCAACTTCAAAAATACGAACCTTTATGATTGCTCCCACGTGGGGTTTGAGTCATGTAGTACATGAACGACCAAAATTTGGGGGTTGCTTCGTTGCATTAGGGAAGAGTCCCGCAAATGCGATGGTGTATCCATTATTTCTGCAGAGTAGTTTATTTGCGAAATTATGCATACCATTTACCTTGCCTGGCCCCATGCAAAATACCTTCTGTGCATATGGACCTGTGTGTCCACGATTTATGCAGACTTTGTTTGTCTGATGATGCACAGTTGAACTATTAATTCCGTAACTGCATTTCTGCAGTTTTTCCTTCCTCTACGAATAATTGTGCTATAACTGTAATAAATAATTGCACAGCTTCAACAAAGATTGATATCTATCTTTCTTTCCTAAGGGTCTATCCTAAGGCGGGGAGAGTCCTCCTTATTCACTTGCGCCGGAATGATGCAACTCTCATACACAAAGAGTAAAATATAGCGTAACAAATTGATTACTCGGTAAATGAAGACCGTTTTGTCTGGCTGACCCTTATCCTGGTGACCATGTGATACATCTATAGGGTCGAAATCACTACCTAATTTCCCCCAACTATCCACCAACATTATGCAATGGCGATAAGGTTAGTAGTCGCGCTTAAAAAAACGTGGGTCACCAAACACTGAGCAAAATCGGGGAGAAATGATGACGCCCATTGAGTTTAATTTGACCCCTGGGGTTTCAACAGATTTTTTAAATTCGGACAGCCCGTTCCTGGAATAATTCCTTAGGTATGTGGGCACATAAAAAAATCACGTTTGAACGGATCGCCCGGGATTTGGTCTTTGTACAACTCGGAACGGTCCCGAAAACGTTGAAATTTTGGAAAATTTGTAAAGACAAACAGATGAACCCCAGCTCGGGGTCACACTGCATCTGGCTCATTTCTCTGGAGACAACTTCTGGATACCATAGGCAAACTTTGGTCACCATTTGCCCGCGAAATTCGACAACAATTTTTTCAAGGTTTCAAACATCAAAGGGGTACCCCTTAGGTCTTTTGAGGGTGAAAAATTAAAGTATTGAAATGTGCCGATTTCTGTCTGGAATATTATGTAGACCCAAAAAATAGGTGATTCGGGTCGGTGTGACCTATCAAAAACGTTTGGCATGTGCTCCAAATTTGCCAAAAACTGACATTTTTGCCAATTTCGAGGCATATCAAAGCAAAAGTTGAAACTTTTTTCTACTAAAAAACAAGGGTTAGTGGGTACCAATATATGTGCAAAATATGAGCCTTCCCGCGGGTGGTGAGAATTTTGCCATTTTTCGTCATTTTTGGCCAATTCCTTATGGGAAATCCCATGTTAAATTTGTTCCGATCAAAGGTCATAGACCTATGAACTTTGGCAAAATTCGGAAATTTTGTCTTTTCTCCTCTATCTTAAATTATCCATCAGATCTGAGTTCCCGGCATTTCAAGCCAATACAACGGTGGGTTCAAATTTGAGAAGCAGTCAAAGTTTGGTAAAATGTCAGATCTGCGGTAATCTTTAAGCTTACGCCAGCCCGGTAAAACCGATTTCTACCACAAGCGCCGACTTCCCCTATGTTTTCCACTCCAGTAGCTCTCATTTGAGCCCAATTTCAAGCCAATACAACGGTGGGTTCAAATTTGAGAAGCAGTCAAAGTTTGGTAAAATGTCAGATCGGGGTAATCTTTAAGCTTACGCCAGCCCGGTAAAACTGATCTCTACCACAAGCGCCGACTTCCCCTATGTTGCCACTCCAGTAGCTCTCATTTGAGCCCAAATTCAAGCCAATACAAGGGTGGGTTCAAATTTGAGAAGCAGTCAAAGTTTGGTAAAATGTCAGATCTGCGGTAATCTTTAAGCTTACGCCAGCCCGGTAAAACTGATTTCTACCACAAGCGCCGACTCCCCTATGTTGTCCCACTCCAGTAGCTCTCATTTGAGCCCAATTCAAGCCAATACAATGGTGGGTTCAAATTTGAGAAGCAGTCAAAGTTTGGTAAAATGTCAGATCTGCGGTAATTTTTAAGCTTACGCCAGCCCGGTAAAACTGATTTCTACCACAAGCGCCGACTTCCCCTATGTTTTCCACTCCATAGCTCTCATTTGAGCCCAATTTCAAGCCAATACAACGGTGGGTACAAATTTGAGAAGCAGTCAAAGTTTGGTAAAATGTCAGATCTGCGGTAATCTTTAAGCGTACGCCAGCCCGGTAAAACTGATTTCTACCACAAGCGCCGACTTCCCCTATGTTGTCCACTCCAGTAGCTCTCATTTGAGCCCAATTTCAAGCCAATACAACGGTGGGTTCAAATTTGAGAAGCAGTCAAAGTTTGGTAAAATGTCAGATCTGCGGTAATCTTTAAGCTTACGCCAGCCCGGTAAAACTGATTTCTACCACAAGCGCCGACTTCCCCTATGTTGTCCACTCCAGTAGCTCTCATTTGAGCCCAATTTCAAGCCAATACAACGGTGGGTTCAAATTTGAGAAGCAGTCAAAGTTTGGTAAAATGTCAGATCTGCGGTAATCTTTAAGCGTACGCCAGCCCGGTAAAACTGATTTCTACCACAAGCGCCGACTTCCCCTATGTTGTCCACTCCAGTAGCTCTCATTTGAGCCCAATTTCAAGCCAATACAACGGTGGGTTCAAATTTGAGAAGCAGTCAAAGTTTGGTAAAATGTCAGATCTGCGGTAATCTTTAAGCGTACGCCAGCCCGGTAAAACTGATTTCTACCACAGCGCCGACTTCCCCTATGTTGTCCACTCCAGTAGCTCTCATTTGAGCCCAATTTCAAGCCAATACAACGGTGGGTTCAAATTTGAGAAGCAGTCAAAGTTTGGTAAAATGTCAGATCTGCGGTAATCTTTAAGCTTACGCCAGCCCGGTAAAACTGATTTCTACCACAAGCGCCGACTTCCCCTATGTTGTCCACTCCAGTAGCTCTCATTTGAGCCCAATTTCAAGCCAATACAACGGTGGGTTCAAATTTGAGAAGCAGTCAAAGTTTGGTAAAATGTCAGATCTGCGGTAATCTTTAAGCTTACGCCAGCCCGGTAAAACTGATTTCTACCACAAGCGCCGACTTCCCCTATGTTGTCCACTCCAGTAGCTCTCATTTGAGCCCAATTTCAAGCCAATACAACGGTGGGTTCAA